GAGCCTCATGAGGAGAAAGTCCAGGTTTCTCCATCAAAATAGACCCATGCCAGAGGATTTCCCTGCTAAAACCTTGCTGGCGTTTAGAACTGTTTTGCTTGGCTGAAAAGGGGAGGATATGCTAGTTGTTTTAGTGGCCTTGTTAGTTACTATAGTTGGAGATGGTTGGAGAGGGTTTCAATCGGAGAAGCCAAATTTCGTATTGACTAAGCTCTTTGACTAATGTAATGCTGTGAGAGAATAGAATTATTGAAGCTACGTTAGTCAGAAGCCACGAAAGAGAGTCATGCCGTTGTTACAGAGCATTAGGGAGTTTATGCTAAGGCAAGGCAAGGCAAGGCAAAGCGAGGTAGGATGCGGATCATAGTGCCACAGGCGGTTCATATGCTCCGTAGCAGGGGGCTACATCACGATCTCCAACGCATCAAACAAAGAACAGACACACCAGGATTAGTCTACCCCTCACAAAAGAAGGGAGGAAGTAGGAGGGAGAGAAAAGAGAAAAAAGAAGACAAAAAGAACAAGGCTTCGAAGAACAGCTGATTTCCAAATTGGGCAACACTGTCACCTCTGGCTGGACATGATTGCGCTGAACCCACAATGACAAGCTTTCTGCGGACTCTTGTGGGAGCTTTGTAATGCAGGTCCCGGAGCTCGGCTGCACGGTATGTATTTTCGTTGCCTTTTTGGGGAGAAATGGCATCGGCCATAGTCGGGAGATCTGACAGCGAACGTGGGGCTTTTTCCAAGAGGGAGAGCGAGGTGAGGCGGGCATTGTATTCATCGGGGATCATGATATGGATCACGGAGGGATATATTGCTATGCCCAGCTATACAATTACATACTATTCCCAGATGCTTGATGCTATCGTCAGCTCTTATTGGAGCCGAGTCATGAGATCTGCTCTTAGCATAGACTAGTCGAATCAGTACTAGATTACCTACGTTAGTTGATTGCCTGTCAGTTTTCATTCATGTCGGTCGGTCGGTGAAGTTGGGTTTGGTTTATAAGATAGATTTGCACACCCTGGACTCTATGTTTGTACAGTATCCATACTCCGTGCCGTGTGTTTAGTCTCCATGGCAGACCCTCAATTAGTTCGTCTAAGAAAGTTCCATAACGTGGGTGGCTCGAGCTGCTGATCTTTTTGATCTGGGTATGGACGGGTATTCTTCTCCAATTTCCAAAAAGGTACCAAAAGAGCTGGCTGACATGGTCTTTCCTACTAGTCTGACGTATTGACTCGATGTTCCTTCCTCCTGATCTTATCCCCATCTCAACCCGCACCCTTCCTTCCATTTACCCCTCCATGATCCATCCAATTGTGCCATTCCATACTCGTCGTCGTGCCTTCCTGGTACCTAGTTAGTTGGTTAGCACCTACCTCCATTTCTACAATGCTCCGTCCGTACTAGTTTTCCATAATAACTCGATTAGATTTCTTTTCCGTCACAATCCTTTTCTATTCATCATCATCCTCATCACCATTATCACTGACACTGTCACTGTCACCAAAACTTAAACTCCTCCCTACCCCTCACTTACACCCACGGCAACGATATCCTCTCTTTGTCTCAAGAGTCCACCATGAACCTTCTGTAACGACTCGCTCGTTACATCCAAACCGCTGTCTCGCCCGCCACAAAGAGCTCGAGCACGACCTGGACCTAGTAAAATCATAGGACTCGACTTCCAGTCCAGTCCAGTCCAGCGCAGCACACAAGACACACTCTGTAGCTGTCAAGCTGCTCTGTCAGCACCCGGCGCATGCCGCCAAGCAACACAAAACCGTGTCACAACTGCCGTCGTCGACGCCTGCGCTGCGACCGCTCATGGCCGACATGCCACAAATGTGCGGTCTCAGGGCAGGAATGCCTCGGGTATGGCAAGGTCTTCGTTTGGACCCAAGGAATTGACTCCCACGGCAATGTCAATCCCCCTCCCGGCCGGCGACTACCCGACGAATCTGATGCTTCCACCTCTGTATCACCTACCGGCCACCAGCAGGGCCAGGGTCAGCATGATCGCGCTCGACCTCAGCCTCAACCCGACTATAGCGACCAACATCCGCTGGCGCGTTTGGTTCAACAGGCCCAGCAGGCCGCCCAAGAGGCGGAAGAGATGAATCCGCAGCAGCAGCAACAGCAGCAGCAAAGGCAACAGCAGCAGCCAACCCCGCCAGATTCTGAGGGCTCCCCTTCACACGATCCTAGCATACCCTGGCCTTCTCCTGCTGCACTTACAGATCCGTTGTTCCAGGACCTTGACCGCACATCACGATACTACCTAGCGCATTGTAAGTCTTGGCTCTAGTTTTTTTTTTTTTTTTTTTCATGGCCGATGCTAATGTATGCCCCAGTCAGCGAGAGGGTCTGCAAAGATCTTGTGGTCCGAGACACGCCTGAAAACCCGTTCCGTGAGCTGATACCCTTGACGCGGAAGCACCCGCTCCTCTTGCAGATTCTTGTTGCGACTTCAGCAATCCATTGGTCCAATATATTTCGTCGTGTTACCGAAATACCGGCAGGCCTCACCAATCCCGCGGGCTATCTTTCCCTGCTACGTTCAAAAGATCTTGTGACACGACAGGCTCTCATCGATGCCTTGACGGCGAAGCAAAAGGCGATGAGCCACCTTAGGGAGGTGCTCGATACCCTTGACCCGGCAGGTAGTGAGGTGGCATTAGCTGCCATGCACTTTTTTATCAAGTTTGACTTGATTGATCTGGATAAGTCAGACAACCAGAGCTGGAGGGCCCACTTGGAAGGCGCCACAAGCATCATGGCATTGCTCAACCCGGACAGTAATCCCGACGCATCTAGTAGAATGTTGCGGGACCGTGTCATTACTGACAGCTTCATGTAAGTCCGTCCTAGCTACTGGTGTACTCGCAGTGGATACTGACTTTTGAAAGTTACAACATTTTGGGCTCGACGTTGACATCTGGTGGCCTTGCAGCTCGTGTTGCACGGCAAGCTTTCCAGTTCTTACCCGTTATGAAGCGTGTGGAACTGACAAGCTACTTGTCTTGTCCTCCGGAGATTCTGAACATCATTCTTTCTGCATCCGAGCTGTCCCACGAAGTACCCTGGACAGACCAGTCTCTAGGTGCGGCAGACAAGGCAATTGCTCTAATAGACGAGGCTCTTGCTGTGGACATTCCAGCTTGGGCAGACTATTTGCGACAACACAACCTCGTTCAGGATCTTGAGAGTCGAGTGTGTCTAGCTGCGGCACACCGGTCAGCAGCTTGCCTGTACATCCTCCAAGCGCTACCGCTAGTTCGGTCTGTACGGTCCATTGATACCGATTTCCTGTTGGAGGACGTTTTGAGAAATTTAGCCGCCATCGATGAAAATGACCCATACTTCAAGGCATCGTCGTGGCCGACTTTTGTTGCAGGGGCCGAGACACGAGACCCTGAAAAACGCACTTGGACCCTGGCACGGCTGTTGTCGATTTGGCAAATCTGTCCATGGGGGTATCTCTTCACGGCAATTGAAATGCTCAAAGCGACATGGGCGATGCAGGATTCGCGCGGCTCAGCTAATGTCAACTGGCTACATGATCTACGGGGGATGGGATTTGAGAACTTGATTGTTTGATATGATATGATATGATGTTGTGTTTTTGGTTACAGGGTGTGTTTACTGGATCCAGTCCATACGTACTGCCTGTCACTGTGGTGTGTTTTATTTAGCGTCGAGCGAAAAGTTGTGTCGAGTTGAGACTTGTGCTTCATTCTAGGGTTCATTTCAGTTCGGTTGCAAGCTCGGAGTTAAAGTAGTAGCTAATAGGTTAGAGGAACGCCGCGTGTCTTTTTTTGGCCAGCTGTCCATGGTGCAGTGCTAGAGAGAGAATAGAGGGTGTTTTGGGCGTCGGGAAGGGTCATTTCGCAAATGCCGGTTCTAGACTGATCGAATCTCACGATGGCTTCACCGATTTCAGCAAGGTACTTTTCTAGTTAGATACCTCAAGACACGGGATTTATCAGCAGACCCACCATTCATACGACACTGAGTTAGATGACGGTAGCTTTTGTAATATGTCACTTGACATTTTCTCTTTGTTGTTGAACTTGTTCTTGAGCTCCTCATTGTGTTTCGAGTCTCGATTACAGAGGCCCCGTTCTATCATTCACGGCGTAAACAGACCCTGCAACTGTGATTTGTCCAACGCTCAGATGGATCTGACAAGTCCATCGTGGTTAAGGGTCAAGGTCCTATAGAGTCAGTCCCCACTGAGTAGAAGAACTAGAAGCATGCAGCTTGTCCAAAGTAGTTTGAGCATGAAATCTCGGCCGAAACACCTGACTTCGTTTGGCGCCTGCGAGAGTCGCCTATTCTAGCCTGGTCTTTGTTGAGCGAAATAACGGCGTCGGTTACACCTACACACGTGTAGGGGATATGGGCTCTTCGTGTTACAAGCAAACGTAACGTGGGTGACACGGCATAGTTGTCATGTCAGAATCCTCTTTTCTCCCTACCCCTCAGATCTGAATCCAAACTGAGATTGGATGAGGGGTGTACATACTCTGTTGGCTGTATAAGTAGTATAGAGTTTCCGCTTATACAGGGGAGAGACGTTGAACTTGCATGAGCAGCGCTAACGGAATCATAGAGCAAAAGTGGAACCAAAAGTTGTGCAACCACGTTTCTTCACTTTCACTTTGCATATAATGCAAAGGGAGTGAATAAGAGCGAGGATAAGGTAAGATCTCGAACAGAGCTATTCCCATTGGCCGGTCCTATACTCCGTTTTTATGTAGCTGCCAGCACCGAGGCAGACTAACAATGCATGTTTCCCAGGTAGAAATCCTCTTTTAATAGTAATGTGTGATAAGGCGACATGACTAACAGGTCCAACAAGTATTGCTTACTTTCATTGACACTGATAGGGTACCCTATCCAAGTAATGTAATGGGTTGGGTTGCTTCTCACTTGAGACGATAGTAGACAGCCATTCCCAGATATGAACTAGTTAACTGGTATGGGATAGCAATATGAACTTGCTAGATCCGAACGAACTTACAGCTTCAGTTGTTCAAAACAGATAAAGCGTGAATTGTAGCCTCGATAACGGTTGTGAATGCAGCGCCGTTTCAATGACAAGGAGGCTTTGCAAAGCAGGCTCAGACCTACTGATACTACTATAGTATAGACTGCTACACGACAGTGATCTGCTAACTGTTAATACCTTACCACGTCTATTCTACTCAATTCTCTTGATGCCATCAAAGTTGAACAAGAATTTGTTCGTAAAAGCCATGAGTATATCTATGCGTCTACCATACCTCTCACTGGCAGTGGTGATAAGATACTGACCTTAAGTCGTAGGGACCTGGACATCAGAACATACACTTAAGCATAGAGTAGTAGAGGAATGTGTAGAGGAGCGGCCAGGCACACAGTGTTGGTCGATGGCGCACCAACAGGTCATGATTAATACCATGAACAGCCAGCTAACTGGCAAGGACGGAGATGGAGAGATGGAGAGATAGAGTAAAGATTGTAAGATTAAGAATGATCCCACGCATACCTCGTGAAATATACGCCAGTCATGCAGCTTGTTCATGATGATCGTTAAAAAATACTCCGAAGCCACAGCGCCATTCTAATAAAGTCTAAGGTGAAGAGAAGCACAGCCCGTGTGTAGGGAGGGTGCTGAATGAACGAAGGGAAGAGAAGTGAGGGAATAGTGCCTGGCCTAGATACATGGAATCGTTGCAACGCGAGTTGCGGTTCCAAGTTGGGGAACGGAAGAAAGAAAACATGATGTACCAGTAACGTTGAGAAGCTGTAATAATGCGCAGCCATTTTCGTTGTGTCGCCTACCAACGGCGACTATTCTGGTATTAGTTTTGGCTGTATACACGGAGCATCACAATGACATACCTATACGCTGAATCGAGCTTTGCTTGTCGCCGTTTCGGCTTGAGCCCTGACATGGACGACTTCGGCCTTGGAGATCCTTCAGGAGTCTTTGCTTTGGTATCTCGTCCCAGCAACTCGGCTTCCAAGGAATCCAATCCTGAAGATGCAGCAGATACTGATGAGTCGCGCGACGTTGGGGTTCGATTGCGGCGACGGCTGCGACTGCGACTGCGATTTCGACTCCGACTATGGTCTCGACTGCGACTTCGAGTACGACTCCGGCGACGTCCACGACCACGGCTATGGTCTCTATCCCGATCTGGTTGGTACCGGTCTATCGATCGTCGCTGGTCGTCGACGTTACGGAATTCTGTAGGTCGACGTTCGGGACTACCTGGACGTGACCTGCGTCCTTGCGGAACGTACGAATCACGCGAGCGCGAATGTCGGCCGCGTGATCCTCTGCAGCTGGCATCGAAAGAACTTCGGGATCTCTGTCTCTTCACTGGGCGCTCACCAGGGGTATCGTCATCTGGGTGACCTCGTTTTGCAAGCCGTTCATGGACCTCGCCACTTTCGGAACTTTCGCTCCGAGCGATCTCCTCAAGTTTTGGTGGTGGTCTTGGCGGGAGATTGGCAATGGCATCTCCGCTAGGAAGCTTGCCGTCTCGTACGAACGCGGGGTCGTGTTCGATCTTTGACCAATACGGAGTTTCGTGTATTGGCTTCACGTATTCCTCGATATTGTCAGCTTGAACATAGTGCGACTCGATGCATTTTGCATCCCATTTTCTAGGAAGAAGCACCTCATCATTATATTCTGCTGGCAATGGCTTACCAACCTCATCTGGTGGATGACGTGGCTCTGGCCCTGCGAATATGACATTCTTGTCCCATTCAAATTCATCGTCGACAGCCTTTTCGGGTGCTGTATCCGGTCTCTGTGATGAATCAGGTCTAGGAGTTTCAACTTGAACCTTTTTAGTTTCGGGAGAAGCAGCAGGCGGGCTTGACTTTGGTTCAACGGCAGTTGTTGAGCCTTTCTGATCCCCCTGTTTAGGAGACGGCGCAGGTTTGGGATGGTTGGGCGTCTTGAGATCAGGGCGTCTGTTGTTGTTGTCTTGTGGCTTCTGATCCGGCCGAGAAAGAGGCTGATTCTTCTTTTGTCGATAGTCGTGATTACGAGGGTGTCGTTCATTCTTCCGCTTGTTACGATGATCTCGAGAATGGTCAGGAAAGTCCCGACGTCCCCTACCAGGTTGACCATGCTGATTGGGTTGTGGTGGTTTTGGAGGTAGAGAAGGTCTAGGGGGCAAAGAAGCTGACAAAGGTAAAGTTGATGCAGAATTCTGGCGTGGTACAGAGGATGAAGCTGATCGATGTGGACGTGATGCAGGAGGTGGTGCTGGTGATGGGATAGGAGGCCGTGAAGGTGGAGGGTGCCCATACGACGGAGGCGCGCTGTGAGAGGGATAAGGGGGCGGGTATGATGGCGGCGGTGGATGCTGAGCATATGGTGCTGAAGCTGGCTGAGGATAATGGGGATAATGAGGCTGTGGATGGTAGGGTACGTGGTCTTGGCGAGGCGGAGGAGGACCATATGCACGTGGTGGATATGAAGGTGGTTGCGCTGGAGGTTGAGGGGGAGGTGGAGGAGGAGAAGCATATGTGCCAGGAGGCCTAGGAGGCGGTGCCGGAAGACCTGGGGGAGGACCACCATAAGAAGGTGGAGGATATGGATTAGAGTATCCTGGAGGTGAGTAGCCAGGTGGTGCGTAGTTAGATGCTGAGGATCCGTAAGGAGGGTATTGCGGAGGATAGGAGGGAGGTCCTCCGGGGTAGTGTGCAGGTGGAGGAGGCCCATATCCTGGAGGAGGACCGTATCGAGCCACGCTTGGTGCTGATGCTGGTACAGGCGCAGGTGCGTATTTGGTAATGATAGGACCTTTAGACTTTTTGGAACCACCATGATGGTCTCTATTACCTCCGTGTCCAGGAGCGTTGGCGTTCCTCCAAGCTGCGAGACCACTATTCTCCAGTTAATACGTCGAAGTATAAACGATAAAGGCAAGCTGAGTGAGCTTGATACTTACGCAGGAGTTTCCCTGGTGGGTTCTGGACATGCAACAGTCCAATGGCCAGAATCGCCGCAGTTATAGCATCTGGCGTCGTCTGGCCGAGACTGGCCAGGAGCCGTATTAGACATGACAGATGAAGGAAAGCGTAGTTTGTGCAAGATAGCTTTGACCAGCACAGGACACTATCCTGTTAACAGACAACGGCAAGAAAAAAACACAGACCAAATTCCGCTGTGGTGTATATAATACTTGTGATGCTAAAGAAGAGTGACAGTGACTTGATCAGCAGAAAGTGAACGAGTTCAGGCGCGGTCACGACCCAAGAGAAGGAAACAAGTTTGATCAAGCGGCCTGAGGCTGGCTTGAGTAACACTGTGATACGTCTCACAACAGGGGCCTCGGCGCGACTGAGAGGCGAAGCGAGGCGACAGAGTCTGTGTTGCTGAGACTGAAAATATGGCTTGGGGATGTTACTGTTACAGCCCAAGCTTGTTGGTGCAAGTGCCCGCGCGCGGTCGCGACATGCGAAAGCGAAAGCCCCCTCCCTGGACCTTCTCAGGTAAAATATCAGAGGGGCTTCATTCAGAGATATTTGATGTGAACGACCTAGAGAGGCTGGCGATGTCCGATTGATTGATGACGGAGTCGAAATTGAGGTTGGAGCTGGAGGTCAATTAACAAGATATTGATGGCGACGATAGTCATCCATTGGTGGATGGCGATGCTGAAAGTGTTGTCGCGTGCGCACGGGCCACTTTTGAGTAGAGGAAGGTTGAAACTGAAATAGACTTTGGGGCATTCCCGGCCGCTACAAATGTAATCAGGGCCCCTTCTTGGCATGCATTATTAGAAAAGAGCCCTATTATGTATGGAATGGCACTGTCATATTGTCTCGTTATGCTCAATAGCAGTGTTCCACTAAGCTTCGCTGCGTCTGTTATTATTGTTTACCATTATGAGCAATTTACCCAAACTAGGACTGCATTCGCTTCGCTTGCCCAGGATCACATTATAAGCTTATTGTTTCATGAAACTACCCTTCTCGATAATTGTCTAGACTCACTGCATACAGTAACCAGTTCTCAACCATTTCTCATACCATTGTCAAGAGAACATCTACTAAACAAACTCCATGGTATTCGTTATACATAATAGCTCGTCGGAAACACTGATTTTCTACCAAAGCACAATGTTTCTTACCACTTATATAGCCATGGATTTCTATGATCGTTGATGATCACTACAAACTGCTATCCTCGAACCTTGCTGACTATACCCCTCATTCAGCTCAGCCTCGCCAAAGCATAATCCTGTGTATTAATAAGTATTGTGATATCTAGTCAATAAGATTATCATTACTGGTTCCATACAAACCCATTGTCCCAATATCGAGTATCTCCATCTTAGTAGTAGTCAAAGTGTGGGGAGATGGCCGGGCCTTCTTCCCGCCGAGGCACCGTCATCACCAACGACTAAGCAAACCACCACCACTACCACTGCTACTGATGCACAGCTAAAACATCCCACCGCCCAAAAAGCACATACCACCACCACTTTAGCATCACCATCCTCCCATTGTATGTGTAATCACGGATACGGTTCTACACGCAATTTGTCTTGTTTCATTGCATAGCGAGCCCTCGATCTCTCACCGCCCACGCGCTCGTTAATCGCGAACGTCTTCGCCCTGCGCCCATGTGAACTGAACCACCTTGATCCCGATCATGTTGGTACAACCACCGAGTTCACCTCCAGACATCATCCTTGACAGGAGCCGAACCCGACATCGTCACCCCTTAATGATACCGACGTTCACCTACGATTCTCGATTTCCACGATAATACACATTCAGCGACCCACCCACCAGTCACATCACCACGTCGGCATCTACAGCAACGACCACCACATCCCAATATGCCTGGGCTACCTTGTAAGCGCCGCGCCGAATCGAAAGGCTTCCCAGTCTGACCTATCCTCCCCAGCATCCGTCGATCTCGACGAGTGCATCTCGCGCTTGTACAACAAGGAGTTGCTAGCCGAGTCTGTCATCGAAGCAGTCTGCGCCAAGACGAAAGAACTTCTTATGCGCGAGTCCAACGTCGTCCATGTTAAAGCGCCCATCACCGTCGTTGGAGATATCCACGGCCAGTTCTTCGACCTAATCGAGATTTTCCGCATCGGCGGCTACTGCCCCGACACAAACTATTTGTTCCTTGGTAATCGCCCACAACCTAAGATATGGACAAAGTGAGCATTGGCTGACCTTGGCGGTGCACAACAGGAGACTACGTCGATCGTGGCATGTTCAGTGTCGAAACAATATCCCTACTCGTTTGCTTGAAACTACGGTACCCTAATCGCGTACATCTTATTCGAGGAAATCATGAGTCGCGTGGTGTGACGCAGTCATATGGCTTCTATACAGAGTGCTCGCGCAAATATGGTAATGCCAATGTGTGGCACTACTTTACAGACATGTTCGACTTTTTAACTTTGAGCGTTGTGATCAACGACCAAATATTTTGCGTCCACGGAGGTAAGCAGACATTAAGGCTACAAACGTGGCTAAGCTAACGGGATAAATCAGGCCTTTCCCCTTCTATCCATTCTATCGACCAGATCAAAATTATAGACCGTTTCCGCGAGATCCCCCATGAAGGCCCCATGGCCGATCTCGTCTGGTCTGATCCTGACCCGGAGCGTGACGAATTCTCCCTTTCACCCCGCGGCGCGGGGTACACTTTTGGAGCACAGGTTGTTAAGAAATTCCTGGCTGTCAACAACATGTCGCACATCCTCCGCGCCCACCAGCTCTGTCAGGAGGGCTTCCAGGTCCTTTACGACGACCGTCTCAGCACTGTCTGGAGTGCGCCCAACTACTGCTACCGTTGTGGAAACATGGCCAGTGTTCTTGAAGTGAGTGACACGGGTGAGCGTTTCTTCAACGTTTTTGCGGCCGCGCCCGAGAACGATGTCCACAAGGACCTTCAACCCGGAAACGAAAAGTCTGCCGACGGTAACGCCTTGCCAGACTACTTCTTATAGACGAATTTTATCACGAATACACACTTACAGTGCCCTGGAGCTTCAAGCTCGGGCTTCACGATATCCGCATCAATGATACCATGTCTTGAAAGCAAGCATTCACGCATTGCAACAGACAATAGACCTGCATTGCATAGCATAGACTTTGATGTATATAGGGATTTTTATTCTCCTGCAGTATTGAAGCTCCAAACCGAGCTCAGTACTGCCTCGTCAGTGACGAGTAGATGATACGAAACACAGCAACCACCTTTCTCCGGCCCAAATGGGGGTTTCCTTTGCGTTATGTGAGTTTTTTGTGTGAAAATTCTTCTCCGATGTTCAGGTATCTCATTATCTCGTGACGTGTGTGATATGTATTTTTGAGTTATGTCGTCGGGTCGCGCTATCAAGGTATTGGTGTTTACCAGTCCTTGGCGATGTCGAAACTCCACTCAAACTCGAGATGCTTCTTCTTATCGTCGTCCACGAAGCTAGAGATGGCGTTGTAGTGACCACGAGCAAGCATGCCGCTAGGAGCCTCCTCCTCTTGGACTGGGGCGTATCAGTAGCTGTATCTTGACCGAACTATAAACATGAAACTTACACTTCTTGACGTAGGTGGGCTGCTTATCAGTGTTGGGAGCATAGCTTCCAATCATCTCAGAGTCCTTGGAGACTCGGATACCCTTTCGCTTGACAACCTGGACGTAGTGAAGACCGCTAAGAATCTCATGCTGGACCTTGAACTTGGCGCTCATGGTGAACTTGGCACCCTCCTTGATGTTGAAAGGCTTGTCCTTGAGGGTGGTCTCGCTTCCGGGGGTAGAGAGATCGATGGTGACGGGAGGGCGGCCAGGAGAGTCCATGGTCAGGGAGAGAATGATGCAGACTCGGGGGTCGTTGGGGTCGGAGATATCAGTACCACCGCCGAGACCGAGGGACTCCTTGTATCGCTGGAGAGACTCATCGCCGGCGTCTGAAGGAAAGTTATGTTAACTTTTGAGTTCGAAGATCAATTGCAGTGGCTGGTGCGGTAAGTGGGCAGGGCGGAGACAGTCAAATCTCGGTGTACGCTCAAATACAAGAGGCACAATTGTCCTATAGCAATAACTGCAGCTACAGCATAGCTTCGACCACATCACACAGCAGAGAACAGGGCAGTATCTCAAGATCATGCCATGTTGGTGCCATGCTGCGAGACGGTGCCACATGCTCAGGGGCCATGTGTTGTGCATATCGCAGAGCCTCACTAACGCGCCTACCGTCCAGGTCGTCCAGGGAAGAGAGTGTACCTACCCATCTGCTGGTACTCAGCCAGACTCTGCTTGGGCTGTGAGAGCTTGTAGCCCTGAGTCTCCTCGGGCATAGTATCGTCGTCGTGAGAAGCCATGGTGGGCGAGCGGGGCGAAGCTGATGTGCAAGAGGCGGGGTGTTGAAGAAACGGAGGATGCTATAGCGACGAGTCGATACCTAAGCAAATATTAGGTTAGGTAAGAAAGTTGGAGGTAAGAAAAAGGAAAGAAGAGGAGAGGAAGGGGAGATGAAAAAGAAGGAAGCTTACTCGTTAATCCCAGCCAAGGTTGAGGTGAGCTCTGTCCTGGGCTTGCTTGGGCTTGGGCTTGGTCCTTTGGGTCTGGGCGGGCTTTGGAGGGGCTTATGGCGGTGACGATAGAGGGGCTTCCCGTTCCCGCAGGCGGTGTTGCGAGAGGTCGCAAGAGCTGGGCTGAGTTTGGGCTAGGCTAGAGGGCGGTCACTGAGTGCGGTTGCTATGGTGGGTCAGGACACTTTATAGAGATTTCTGATTGGCGCATCATCGATCTCAGGTCAGAAATACGGAGAACGACGCCAATGGACGTTGCCGATTCTTATGGAGAATGCTTCGTTCAGGGGTTCAATTAAGACTGGACCCGAAGATGAGGCTTATTTTGTGATGGTTTATGGCGGCTGTGGCTCTGAGTGTCTGGAGTTTTCAACAGTAATTTTTGAGAAAGTGAGTAATGACACATTAGATAAAATGACATTTTGTGTTACTGTTTCCATTGCTCTCGTAGCTTGAGAAATAGGCGGTGATGACTGGGCGTTGTTGGTTCGTGGATCATATCAGATCAAAATCGATTCAGGGCATCGCGATTTGGGTTGTGAATAGACGAGGTTCGTATTCTGTTAGACCACCACCCTCCCCCCATTAACAAGTATGTTACTTGTTGACGCGGCCTTTATACAATCCCCTGGATCTGTTAGTACGCTGAACTTTCGACTACAAGTTTTAGTGCTTCTCATTACTCGATTTCATGGGTAAGGTTTTCTACACCTTGATGTGGGATGCTCATCGGATGAAGAAGTACAGAATTCGTCTTGACATTGGGCGATAAAGGCAGACCATGACCGCACTCCCATCTTTGTCACAATAATAAGGAGCTTACATATCGCCATTTCGATTCACGAAGCTCTTTCTGCCCAGATCATGGCACCTTGTTTGTTTGTTTGTTTGTTTGTTTGTTTGTTTGTGTATTTTTCGTCTGGGTGGCTGTAACGAAGCCAAATCTCCTACTGGAGCAAAAGACGTGCTGAGCTAGCTAGGTACAGGATACCCCGCTTCCTTCACCATCCAGCATACCAAGGCACAAAAGGCGCTGTATTTTCTCGAGCCCGTCACCCGTCAGCGGGTTCGGGGGCATACTGTCGACTTTTTCCACCGACCAGAATTCTCTCACGCATCGCTACATCTGCTGACGCAGTCCACAATCTCCAGTAACCAAGTTGTAGCTCGTAGTCGTATGCCGTGGCGGCAGGGAAAAACCTTGGGAAGGAATCAGAGGCCGGCGGTGCGGCTTGCCTTCAAAGGGGAAAAACCCATCGCAATCGGCGTCGTTGATCGGGAGGATGTCGCTACCGATGCCACGGGCACCGTCCTCCGATATCTAAGGCGTTCTGGTTCTGAGGTGCCGCCATTAGATCCGACAAAGGTGTTGTCAGAGAAGGCGAACTCTCCAAATTCCTTCTCTGAAAACTGCTGTTAGGGAGCCGATAGCGTCCCCGCAGTTTTTGTGTGGTCGCGTGGCCTGCAGAAAATCCCGCTCCTAGCACCGCACTAACAGTGCGTGCCAAGAAAGAATTTTTACAGGAGAGAGTTGAGATCATGGCACCTATATGATCCGAGCCTCCTCTAGGGTAGGTTGGTCACAGCTTGCTCAGAGTCAAGATATGACAGCGATTTAGAACCTGCAAGTCACCCAACTCTGAACGCGTGGACCAGTTGGTAATGGACCCATAATCCACAAACCTCCGCGTTGCTGTCATGCAAGTGAATGCACGTCGACAGATTTGAGACATGAGCGGCAATAGATAATAACGTAACCCAGTTATAGCCAGTCTCACAGGGCACTCCATGTAAGTCTCGCCTGTCACTACATATGAGCAAGCCAAACCTGGGGTTGACTCTGAAGCAGTGACATGAATTCCCTGGGCTGAGCCATTGATTACCTTGAATTGCTTTTGGATAATTCCCTTGTTCCCAGTCAAACTCTATCGAACGCTCTGAGGTCTGTTTTAGCTGTCAGATCTATTCGATCAGCCGAGAAAAACACTGGCACACAGAGCACACAGCATTGCCGTGCTTGACGCGCGATAAGTGACATGGTGCGTCGCCATTCGTCAGTCGCAGATGTTAGCAGCCCATCTATCACCGAACCCAGCAGAAACGAGTGAGACTACAGAGGTCACACCCATCCATTAGACAGTCTCTTCTTCAGTGACCTCACCAGGTTAGCTCTTCCAGCCCCATGCATGTCGTGTCTTGCTTGTTTCGCTTCCATCTGAATCCCGTCTCATGACGCCGCAACCACAATCGCAAATCTGAAAACCACAACCCGAACCCATGCGCATTTCCCCGCGTTCTGAAAAAGAACAGTCGCCTGTTCGCGCGCGCCGGGCACAGCGAGGTCCAGGGGGACCCTAGGGACTTGTTGGGGGTGTGGTTCACCCTGAAGATCGACGACTTTGGTTGGCGCTGGACCTGTTGGGCTGGTTGCTAGGGGCGGCAGAAGAATTGCTGGCTGACTCTAGAACAGAGTTTCCCCACGTGCACTCCTGGCTAGTAACAGTAGCAGAAATCGAAGACGACATCATGGACTGTACGGTTACAGTAGAAGCGATGATACGCGACTGATAAGCTAGACTGTAAATCATGTAGCCCTTGCCGCCGTTACTTGCTTGGCTCAACAAATAAAGAAATAATCAAATTAAACGAATATCGGCGACTAGATCTGCCGGTAAAAAAAAAGAGGGACGTGAAGAAGGGTAGTTCGTTGGTACGTACTGTTGCTTCGCTGGCAGGGGGAACTCATCGGGTAATAGCGCTAAGTCAGGTGCACGGTAAAATGGGGGTAATTTGATCGAATATTAACGGGCGACCTCCAATTTGCACAGCTTCACCACTCAAATCTCAGTACCAATCTATCTCGCAGCTCTCCACTTTCTGACATCACGCTAATCTCCTTTTAGCCCAACAGGGCCGTCTGCTAAATCCTCGACGCTATCGAGCATCTAATTTGCGCGACTGGTTTCCCGTCTCGTCTCAGCTCTTCCCTCGTCTCGCTCGTCGAGTTTGTCGCGATCCTTTTTCCACCCTCATCTGCTTCATCTTGCTTTTCTTCTCCCCCCTTATCTCTACGGCATAGGCACCGTCTGAGTTGCCTGCTTCTTATCAATTTTACTGCCTGAAGCGCCATTGACGTTCTTCAAGGCTACTTTCTTCCGCTGAATGAATTAAGCCCTGCATTGACACGGTACGTCCAAAGCCAAATCTACTACGGCCCGTTCCCGCCGAAGTCGAGCCCGCGCCTGAAAACGACCACCTTTCATCGCAATCGATCACTGACGCGACTTTTTATCCTTACACAGGCTCTTCTATCTAATTTATTATCATTTGCGCGCCGGTATACGAGTGCACATACTGCCGCCCGTCGCGATTACGCTTCGTTTTGACGATCTAGAGGTACTCCAAATCGGTCGCGCCGCGCCTAAGCATCATACAAAATGGCATCCCATCAAGAGCGCACACTGCCCTCCAAGCACAATCCTCTCATGACAGAGGATGTTCCGGATTGTAAACAACCCCAAGCTATTTCAATGTCGCGAGATCGCAAGCTTACAATTGTTTCTAGACACGGATTTGGTCGCGCGTAGACGTCTCGGACAGACTAAGCTGACACCTAAGATGGCCGGCACTGGTGAGACTGAGCAGGCGGCTCTTGGTGTTTTTGATTATGCGCATCTCCGAGCCCCCCTTCCCAAGGGCATCGTCTCCGGCATCTTCAAGTCGAGCCCTAGCAGCTACTTCTTGATGCGACGCAGCTTTGACGGTTACATCTCCGCGACTGGCATGTTCAAGGCGAGCTTCCCTTACGCTGAGGCATCCGACGAGGAGGCAGAGCGCAGGTACATCAAGTCTCTTCCCACTACGAGCCCCGAAGAGACTGCTGGCAACATCTGGATTCCCCCGGAGCAGGCTCTCGTCCTCGCTGAGGAGTACAAGATTGCTCCTTGGATTCGCGCTCTCCTCGATCCCGCCAAGATTACCGTGACCACAACTCCAGACTCGTCTTCGCCCAAGAAGAGCATTACCGCCCCTCCCAGGTTTGATCCTGTCAAGGCGTCGCAGCCTGTGCTGGCACCCCCCACCCCCTCGACTATTCCTCGAAGCACTCGATCTCGTCGTTCTGCTAGTCCCACGAAGAGCACCAGGCGCGCCCCTGCCTCGCCTCGAAAGCGAAGCACCCGCGCCAAGGCCGAGACTGTCGAGACCATTATTGAGAAGACCGATCTCGTGAATGGTGTGGCTGAGACCGAGGCCAAGGTCGAGGAGACCAAGCGAGAGGATATTGTTCTGCAATCGACCGAGTTTGAGCCAGCTATCGTTCTGGAGCCCAGGGAAGAGGACCCCAAGGTCAAGGTCCACGTTGAGGAGGACATCGTCAAGGATGAGGACGGTGTCGAAACTAAGCGCACAATCACCGAAGTTGAGCTTCCTCTGCCCACAGCCGGCGAGCCTCCAACCGCCGAGGAGATTGCCCAAATGATGGAAGCAGCCAAGGAGATGGTCCAGAAGACCAAGGAGACTGAAGCCAAGGCTGATGAGGAACAAGAAGATGTCGATGAGGCCCCAGGTTCCGCCAAGAAGAGCAAGCGAAAGGCTGCGGATATTTCCATTGGCGACAAAGACGGCGAAGAGACAGAAAAGACTCCAGAGGAGCAGCCTAGATCAAAGAAGGCCAAGACTGAGACGGAATTAAGGAAAGAGAAGGTGAAGAACCGGGCATTACTTGGCCTGGGTGCCACAGTTGCAGTTGGGTGAGTAAAGATCTATGGTCTAATAGTGAAGAACCCTTGCTAACGTATGCCAGCGCGATTGTTCCTTGGCTTATGAACTTTATCTAAGCAATGAATTGTATGTCATGTCTTCGGAAATTAAACTAGGTCTTCTAGTAGGGACCTGAATAATCCCACCACAACCATGGCTGAGATATGGGACGGGCGGACTGGATTGGATCGGCGCGGCTATTGTATTTTTTGGTTGTTTCTTCATTTTCGTTTTCTGTCGTTGTGTCTCGTCTTAACGGAATCACTACCCAATACTCACTCACCCTGTTGCCGTAATGAGATGTCGAGAGTGGCATCTTGTTGAGACAACGCCCTTTCGATGTCTTTACTGCTACTACTGCTACTACTTACTATACCACATCACTATACCATACCTTACCATACCAACCTTGACCTTCCTCTTTTTTTATCAACTTTTATTACCAAAAACTTACTTCCCCCTTGCACATACCCCTTTGACCCGGAAGACACCAATACTAGATGAGTTGGTAGAAACTGGGTCTTTTGCTTTGATTGGTTCTGTTTGCTTGCATGGGGATTTCGGAACGACAGAGATGGAGATGGACACGATGAGGAACGTCCATATGAGAGAGGACGGTCGAGTTGACTGTGTCGACTCTATAGGATTATGTATGAAGACGTTGAAGTAAAATAAAATGAAAACTAATATGATAAATCGTGTCTAAGTGAAGCAAATATGAAAGACTGAACTCCCAAGTTATGAGAAACTTGTAGTGAGTTTGCCCCAGGTTTTAGTGTCTTTACTCCCTGAACATCCCCCGCAGCTCAGGTGCCTGCTCAGGCTTCCCCGCATCCTCCCTCCGCCCTCTTAACCATCTCCAACTCGGTCATCGTGTCGTGTCATAGGGAGAGACTCCCCCCGTAGATAAACTCGGTAGGTCTGGCTAAGTACGGCAATGGCCGGCTGTGATTCGGGTAACCATTCCCCCACACGCCAACCTTGAGTGAGATCCAAGACTTTTTGTTTGTTGTTGTAATGATTTATTTCTTATATCTTGTTCAGCTTCTTATTTAATCTTATAAGCCTTGTTCCAAGTCAGACGTTGGTTGTGATCTTGTCAGGTAAACTTGAACTATCCATTGTCTTATACTTAGCTACCATGAGACCTTCAACGCGGCTTGGAAGCTTGATGCTTCGTCGCGGTTTCGCCAGTTCGGCACGACGACTAGACAACTACGGCTTCATCGGTCTAGGACAAATGGTACGCATCCCCTTTCAAAGAATGGTTGTCAAATACTTACACAGAGAATAGGGTTATCAAATGGCAAAGAACCTCCAGTCAAAGTTGAAACCGTCAGACAAGGTGTCCATCTTTGATATCAACCCTGAATCTATGAAGGGCCTAGAAACAGAGATGAAGGCTGCTTCGACGGGGGCTCAAGTTGAATTGGCAGCCAGCGCATTCGATGCCTCCAAAGATGCTGTAGGTCATCCCACTCGCTGACCATGTTTGTAGCTATCTTACTGACACATCTAGGACACAATCATCACTGTACTCCCAGAGCCTCAGCACGTCAAAGGTGTATACGAATCCGTCATCACATCATCTCTTCCCAAAAAGGACCGTGTGTTTATCGATTGTTCAACCATTGACCCTTCAACATCCCGCCAGGTCGCCAAGACTGTGTCTTCTGCTGGGCAAGGCACATTCGTTGATGCGCCCATGTCTGGAGGTGTTGTAGGCGCCACTGCCGGAACATTGACCTTTATGCTCGGTGCTTCACCTGATCTCATTCCTCGTCTCGAGCCTGTCCTTCTCCTCATGGGAAAGAAAGTGCTTCATTGTGGTGACCAAGGCGCAGGTCTATCCGCCAAGTTGGCCAACAACTACCTCCTGGCTCTGAACAACATCGCTACAGCAGAAGCCATGAACCTGGGCATGCAATGGGGTCTGGATCCTAAGAAACTGGCTGGTGTTATCAATGTCAGCACAGGACGATGCTGGCCCAGTGAGGTCAACAACCCCGTTGCCGGTGTTGTTGAGACAGCGCCAGCCAACAGAGATTACAGAGGAGGATTCGGTATATCTCTGATGAAGAAGGATCTGAGACTGGCTATGGTCGCTGCTGAGGAGGCTGGTGCGAGAATGGAGTTGGCAAAGACGGCGTTTGCAGTTTATGAAGCTGCTGAAAAGGAGGAGAAGTGCAAGGGACGGGACTTTTCTGTTGTGTACCGATATTTGGGCGGTAAGGAGGAGCAGTCATAAAACAGTGAGCTTAGAAGAAAGGGGTGATGACGCATGGCTCGTATAAGTTAGGTTGGTGTTGTCAACTCATCCGTGCTCTTGAATAAAAGAATAGACCAAGAAAGAATAATAAATCCATGACATGTGATAGTCGCTAAAAGGCAGTGTTACAATGGAGATGAAGCTTGTAAGGTATCATCAGATCTAGCTAGATCTCATCATGAAACATCAATTACACATTCAGAATCGGATCGGTAGCATAAAACGATCCGAAGTCCTACAGCAACTAAAAAAAAAAAAAGAATTGGATCAGATTCAACCCGACGCTACAGATCTTATCTCTATTGTGTGCAGCAAAAAGGGTCGGCCGCCAAGTGTAATACGCGTTCCAGAAGTGGAAATGCCCCGTAAGCGAGCAGCAGAACCCGAGGCCCAACGCGAGAAAAGCGAGAAACGCGAGCTAAACAAGCATTTCCAACGTTGAAATAAGCGGATCTGCACCCGGGAATAGACATAACCGGGCCTTGGCATTCGCATCATCAACTGTTGATGAGCTAGTCACTCGAATTTAACCTATGAATTAACCACCTTTCTCTCCGTATTTTCAGTGCTCTCAGGTATGGTTAATGTCCCGAAGTCCGGGTGTTGGTCCCGTAAAATCCGGAGGAATTGGGTCGCAATGAGAAAATGAAAGGATCGAGTCAGCAACGATGGATCTTGTATGCGCGTACCGTAATCATATTCGGCCTATCTTTACACCTTGGTCACTCTTTTCTTCCTCTCTTTTCCCTTCTTCTTCTCTCTTCGTCCTCTCTTGTGTTTCCTCGTGAAACAAGGATTCTTTCATACAAGCGGGTCGCTTGAAACGAATCCATAAGTCATCATCATACACAGACCAAGAGGCAAATACCAGTGACAATCACTGCTCTCTCTTCATTTACTTGGCATTTCTTCACCTTTACATATCGAGTAGAGTACTACACTGAGATAGCCTCAAAATGTACGAATTATACGCTCGTCGACCAGCGAGTTTCGACGACTGCACCGATATCACCACCCTCTGTCCCGTCAGCGCAACTGTCCTCGGTTATGTTCCCAACAAAGGATCCAGTTACTTCTTCACAATCTGTTTTGCGATTCTATTCCTGTCCTCTGTAGGGTTGGGTGTTTGGAAGAAGACATGGACCTATGCTGCGACTCTTGGAGCAGGCTTACTGCTCGAGACTATTGGTATGATCTACCAACTCAACACCACTCGTTGAGAGGAAGAGAAAGAATAATGAAATGCTGACAAGTTCAGGATATATCGGCCGTATTCAGATGGACCCTAACCCATGGAAGTCATCAGCCTTCCAGACCCAAATCTGCTGCATCATCATCGCCCCGACCTTCATCTGCGCCGCCATCTACCTCACCCTCAAGCACGTCGCCCTCGCACTCAACCCAGACCTCTCACGAATTAATCCTCGATGGTATCCACGCATCTTCCTTCCCGCCGACCTCTCGTGTCTCATCATCCAAGCCATCGGCGGCGGTGTCGCAGCAGCAGCAAAGCGCAACCAGCCCGAGCTCGCTAGGAACGGCAACAGGACCATCATCGCCGGTGTCGTCCTCCAAGTCATCGTGCTCCTCGCCTTTGGAGTCATGGGCACTGATTACTACTTGCGTGTGAAGAAGTACCTCCATAGTTCAGAGGCTGCCCCTGAGTCGCTGCGTGTCTGGCAGGATAAGAAGTTCCGTATGTTTGGCTTTGCTGTTTCGGGCGCCTATTTTGCCATTCTCACTCGTTGCATTTATCGGTTAGTGCAGAATCCTCATTTATCCTATCTTCTTACATCAGCTGACGCGAGAAACTGTAGAATTGCCGAAATGGCTGGTGGTTGGGGTAACCATATCATGCAGGATGAGCCTAGCTTCCTCGTCCTCGATAGCTCCCTTGTTCTCATCACTGGCTTCCTATTGACGGCCTTCCATCCTGGAATTTTCTTCCCTCAGATGGCTGTCACTATGCAGCGCACTAAGAAGACTGAGGCCGAGACACCTGCCGAATCTTCCAGCGAGGAACGAAAAGTTGAAAACTCCCAGACTGCTTAGAGGGATATGGAATAGATTAGGATAGGGTATAGGAAGGGGTATTTGTTGTTTAGTCTTGTTTGAACTAGGGCGCGAGGTATTGGGACGATATTAGATCAGTTCTTGTAGACTCGGATGAGTCCAAGTTGAGCGTGTCTTGATAATGCTTTCTATCGATATTAGGATTTAACCAGTCTATCGGCTTCTCCATCGTCATCGCTGTCCGTCTCTTCTTCCTCGTCATCATCCTCTTCCTCATCCTCTTCTTCTTCCTCCGATGATTCCTCTTCTGTCTCTTCCTCAGTCTCCTCGCTTTCTTGCTCTTCTTCTGCAAGCCAGTCATCCAAAGTCTTAGCACCCACTGCTTCGCCCGTGCCTGCCCCTGTGCCATTTGACTTGCTAGGCATGGCTGTCTTGGCCGCCTCGTCAAGTCTCTCACTGGCAGGTAGCGTACTTCTTTCAACGTCATACCTAGAACTTTGACTGCCTTCAGGTTCTCGAAGTCGGCGATCAGGCTGCTTTCCTTCCTCAACCCAGTCGGGTAAGGGTTCGTAGCCCCGAAGACCATGAATACCACCGCCACCTGCAAGCACCAATGTGGAAGAACCCAGGAGGAATCCCTTTCGAGATTCTGATGGGCTCGGGGCATGTGGTGCGGGCTTCTCAGCAAGGAGCATCAACGTCGCCAGCTGGGGAACTGCAAGAAGTGATCGATACATTCTCGCGCGATCACGGAGATCGAACGATGTATCATATCTCACAAGTAGCAGGACGTATTCCCATAACCTCACAATAGGATGAGTATCTGTATCCATGGGCGGATCCTCCTCAGCGTCCCTCTCCTTTTCAGCTTCACTCTTGCGGTTGAGGTGGTGGAGGTAAACCTTGGCCGCCAAGAGCAGAATCTGTTGCTTAGCAACTGGCGATTCATTAGAAAACTCCTTGAGCAAGATGCGAAGAACATCTGGCGCAATGTTGTCCTCTCCATTCAGACCCGAGAATTCGCCCACGAGCCAGATGATTGTAGCACGAGCCTGGGGGTCAGTTGCAGAGTCGAGATTCTTCGCTAGACGAACGACCGTCCCAACATGTCCCTGGACGTCCTGTTGTATCAGGTGACGAATGACTGTCAGTGACTCGGCAGCAAGGGTACCATCCAAGCTAGTAATTTGACCCAGGAGCAACTTCAAGCATCGAGGAGCTGCAGAGGTATCAGTCTGGGCGCAGCGTCCAATAGCACGCACCGCCTCTCGAACCAATGCTTTGTTTGTTCCTTGCGAGAAGTGCTCGAGCTCCTTCAGAATAAGGCTTTTAACATGTGGTGGGCTGTGAGGGAAGATAATTGTCAGGATTTCCAACTTCAACTCCCATACAGGGGCAGTATCGGTGGCTCGAACCAGGAAATGGCTCGCATATTTGACGAAATCAGTTGGCCGGAGAAGACATACGGAGACGATATTGAACAGAGCAGTCTCCTGAATATCCTGAGCTCCACGAAGCAAGGCGATCAAGGGGCCAATAGCCTGCTTTACATACTCGGGTGTTCCGATGTCGACATAGCACCGAGTGACAGCGACAACAACACCAGCATTCCTACTCTGCAGTAAAGGTCTGATGCCATTTAGCAGCAATGCCAGATCCGGGTCAAGCACTAAAGACCCCTGACTTCGACTACCTTGTCGCGATTCGCCGTAGAAGTCGTCCACTTGCTGATCCTGGGAATTTTCGGTAGATTCGTCTGGCGACTCTGTCCTTCGAGGGAAACACTTTCGCGCATAATACATCATCAGTCGTAGTGTAGCCAGTTGACTCCATTCGTCCATATCTACCACTTGTTTGATCAGCGTGCGATAATGCTTATGAACAAGGTCTATTCGGTCGGGGCAAATCTCGAGGAAAGCTGACACGGCAGCTCCAGCAACATAGTATTGTTTATCACCCAGCAAAGTCGATAAGTAGTCGATCAACTGCGGCGCTTGACTCGGGTCTAATCGATGGCATTTCGGAATCGCAAGGGCAGCTGCTTTCCGCACGTAGGGGCTCATGTCGGCGACGCCCTTCTTGATAGCGAGAGATACAATCTGGCTGATGACGGGGACTCGAATTCCGGACATGGTCTTGAGGGCGAGAGCTCGGACTTGGGGGTTCTGATCGGATAAGGATTTCTGGATAGTGTTGATGGAGAGGAGTGCGAGATCGGGCTCCTGTTCGGCATGGTGGATGAGGTATATGTAGACAAGCTTCTTGATCTCAATATTCGGTGAGGCGACATTCTTGACGACAGAAGAGAAGAACGGTAGTGTCTTGTGGTTTCGGTACATCATCTACCTCATCACTATTAGCGCCAGGATACACTGTCGAGAGATCAACACAACGCACCGCCATAACACGCCGTAGACCCTCGAGAACCTCGCGCTCGTTCCTACTATCCAATAACTTCCTCATCTGGTTTCGATCCAAAGGTCTTGAGCTCGTGCGCGCACCGCGCGTCGCCTGGGCAGCATCGAGGGTGAGCTCCCTCGCTGGATGATCAGTCAGTTTAGCGACAGATGAAGCGGTCAATAGAGAGACGTACCGGTCTCCATGAGACTCGAGATCCTCGCTATTGACTCCATTGCGCGAGTGAGCTTTTCGAGCTTACGCCGCGTTGAGAGGAGGGAGAGCTTTTGAGGGGGGTTTTAGTGTAGGTGTTTGAGATGACGTTGAGAGATGGTTGCTGCGGACTGTGGAGGTGGAGGGGCGTGACAATTGGTGGGGAGCCCAACTACCTGCCCCTAGACAATACAACTTCAACCTTGTATCAATATATTGACCTGAAGATTGAGAACAGCATTCGAGTTTCCTAAAATGCCATTATGACAGTCATTCCACAAAATATGTCATTAGGGTTTAAACATGCGATATCAAACTCGAAACTCAACTCTCTTTGCTTAACCTTCTTGATATGAGCTACCCTGGATAAACTCAATGGCAACATCACATTATGGAATCCTCTCAACCCATCGTCGTCTCGCCAAAAACTCCTTCCGAGCTTCTATCGTATATCATATCGTACCATAGATATCCTTCGACAATAATAATCGGCTCATCAAAAGAAGAGTTTCAGAGCTCACTCATCGAGGACATAACACACCATCTCACCCTTCAAGAAGAACAACTACAACTCGAAGACTCAGGAAGCTCAGAAACACAACCTTCTCATCAGCTCCTAAAAGCACCCCTGTATCAAATAGCCATATCCCGCCACATTAGATTTCTATTTGCGCCAACTGTCACACATCTACGCGCCTTTCTCTCTGTCTTTACACCAAAGGACTCACTCATACCAGCACCACCAAACTATACGCCCACTTCTCGACCATCACTGCTTCTGGTCTACGGTCTTCTGGCTCTTCACAGGGACGCAAGTGAATGGTCTGCGCAAGGCATCGGTAACTCAGCTGCTCTCCTAGTCGATGCTGCCTCGCGAAACGAGTTTAGAGCTGCCATCATTGAGCCAAAAGGGATAGGAGGACACGATACCCTGGATCACCTTGGAGGAGAGATGATGCCTCTGTTGAATGGCACATCGAGAAGAGACGATGGGTCATGGAGTGGACGGACAGTCAGTCTCAAGCAAGTCTTGAGTCGATGGTTCGAATTCGATACTCGTGAACAAGAAGGTTGAACTGGTTGGTGCTCTCCCATTAGAAACTGTGACGAGTTTCCCTATTACCAAGTGCACAATACACTCGGACAATGTGTGAAATAGTCAATGAATATCAAATCTTGATTACCATGATCAAAAGAGACATAATAGGCGTCAACATTAACATATCATCATTACAGCCTTCAACGCCAACCCATGGTATCTAAGGTATCCCAAATATTGCCGCCAACCATAACATAAAGCATGACAAACACGGAAACCACCGTTAGACAGACTTAAGCAATAGCCTGCTCCATCTCAGCAATGTACAGCTTGATGTGTGCCTCCATCTTTCGGTACTCTTCATGCGCACTATGAACCTCATTCTCAATATTCTCCTTCAAGTCAAGCATCTATGCACATGTTAGTAATTTGCCACTCATACACAACGTCGCGGGATGGCTTACCTTTTTCTCAGTCTGCTCGATTCTGACACGTCGAACCTCCATCTCCTTGCCCTTCTCAGTCTGTTCCTCAGTGAGCTGCTTGTGCACTGCCCGGAGCTCATGCATCTTCTCCTTCGCCTCCCTCGCCTTCTGGTTGCTCTGCTCGCGGAGTTTCTCTGTCCTCTCTGTCCACTTGTTCAACTGACGTTTCAGCATAGTCTCGGTGCGCTCGACTTCACGCGCGTTGTTACCGCGCTCTGAGAGGGCATCACGCTGCTTTGCATTACGTGCTAGTTCTTCCTCTTCCTTGGCCAGCTCTGCAGCGATCTCGTCGAGGATCTTTATGCATGATGCAACATCTGTTGAGACGACTGAGAATGAATCCGTTGAGGTCTGCAGGGCTCGTGCTCTTCGGTCCAATGCGTCGATGTGTGATTTATCGTTGTTGAGAATTTCACGCAGCTCGGCCAAGTTCTCCTGAAGATCTGAGGCGCTCTGGAGCACATAAGGTCGCAGCTTTGTGCTTTCCTGTTTCAAGGTAACCTTTTCGTGGGTCTTTTGTTCCAACACTGCAGTGAGCTCGCCCTTCTTCTGCTTGGCCTCTTCCAGCCGTGCAGCAACCCTTTCCTGGTTCCGTCGAAGCTCTAGCAGTCTCTTCTTGAGCTCCTCGTTCCTCATTGTCTTTTCTCGGACTTGCGCCTCCATGGCTTTGCGGTTGTGTTTCATATCTTCCAGACGACCCTCATTCTCCTGGTTCTCGGCATAGAGCGTCTCAATGCGTGTCTTTGTCGACTCTGCCTTGTTATAGTACTGGTCGATAACAGCCGTTTGTGACTCGCGGAATCGAACAAAATTGATTAGGTAACTGAAAATCTTCACGAGGCGATCATATGTCGGCTTATACAAGTCGTTGAAGCTGAAATCGGTGATGCCGCACTCAAACAACAGCCTGCGCAGCGACACATAAAAGCCCATCAGGTTGCGAGTGTCCGGAGGGATGACATCCGAGTATTCTCCCACAATATCCTCGGCGGCAGCTCGCATGGCCGGCTCAACAGTCTCACGCGTCGCATTGAGAAGGAGTTCGGCGAACCACTCAAAGATTTGCTGAACATGTGCTGCATTTGGCTTTTGAAGATCTGCGACGGTGAAGTTGATGCCGATGTCGGTGATGCAGCCAACGATTTCGCGGTCAGGGAGACGCATAAAAGCATCTGCCTCTTCCTCCTTTTTTCGAGTCCGCGATTGTTGCTGCGAGGTTGGAATAATGCTCATTCGCGGATTGTACGCCATGGTTGCGGTTGTGTTTTATCTTGTCAAAATCGTAATCTCTTCTTTGGCTGCGCTTTCGGCTTAATTAGTTTGTCGCGATTACTGAAAAGGATAAACACCATATTACGTGTTGCCGTGGAAACATAGAGAAGTGGCATCACGTGATGGCATATGGCAGCCCAACTCAGTCGTGTCAGTATTGTTTCAAGAAATGGAGATTTGTGCAGATCTTAAACAGTGGCTTCAGACAAATGCGATAGATGTCTTTGATAAACGATGTCTTTGCTATTGGTCATGTTTAATTTCGTCCCTAATTATGGGAAAGTTTTATCTCTAAACCCTGCAACTGATCTTGATCGATATATGATAATCCAGACAACTCAGGAGGTACTCAAGAGATGCCATGTTGAGTTTCTGATACTATGAATGATAACTCTGAGCTTTGAGCCATCATCTGATCTCGAAATAACCCTTTCAAAACCCAAAGAATGCTGCAGGGAGAAGCACTGACATGTTCCACAAAACTGCTATCAGTGACGTTCGCTCGTATCACTAAATATAGTCTAGATGGTCACCAGCATATCATTGGCGAGAATTGACTGGTGATCCTTGACTATTCTGCACTTGTTCGTCTCACTTGCAGCCGTCAACTCGTCTCTGTGCATTTGCAACCTGTGAATTAATCACTCAACTCGCGTGGCTTGGTAATGCAGCAGATGCAAGCACATTGAAGCAAATTGCTGTGTCATCTAGTCTCTGTGGCACGCAGTGAACAGTCGCTCAGTATAGCTGATACTAACTTATACAGCGACTCACTGAAAGAAACCCAACTTGGGTTGTTGGCTGTTGGTCAAAACTCTTCCAAGGGAACGTGTTTGTAAGCCAGTTTCTCAGAAGTCTTCGTCCCACGTTGCCAGCTCCAACCACAACTTCTGCGTACAGTATCTTATCCACGTGGCGGTACGCCAGCACGCCCGAGCCAGCCCCAGGACGTTTCATTGCTTTTTGATCAATCAAAGTGGCGCCCCTGAAACGAAACCACCATCCTCTTCCTCTAGCCTGTCTGCTTGTCCAGGGGGTAAGAAAGCCCGAAGTCTGAGTAAAAAAGCAAAAGCTCTACGCCATTGAAACATGAGATCGATTGGCTCAAAGCCTAGTCCCCAGAACCAATACTCCCCAATGAAACAAGGCCTCAGGGGCATCGAAACGCTGGGACAAATCTGCCCCGATCGACTCTGACAAAGAAGCAAACCTAATCTTCGCTTCTGCCGAAGAGATCAAACCCATTTACTGATTCAAGAACTGATTGACTCGCTGGTATTGACCGCAAATAGTCCTTGGCTCGGAAATTGGCCAGAAACCTATTGGAATAGGCAACGGGAAGCGACATATATCTTGTTGTGCGACACACACATCCCCCGGCTATTGGCGACGACCAAAAAGAAGCCTTCAAAAATCCTCTTCATGCATGACTTGACATGCATGGTGCCTTGCGGAAAACTTTCTTGGACAAGGAAACCCCGAGTAACTTGCTAAGTTTACGGAGGGATGGGCCGCCCTTTGTTTCCGTGGCGGGCGCCGGGAGCGCTAAGATTCACCACTGTTAGACAAGGATCCCATCCTCTGCTGCATAATAGAGAGTGTCGTTAACATTGCAAGATGGGACTGTTGGGATGTCGCAAGCTTGAAAGACGATCTCTCTGGGATCTTCATGTGGTTTCTCAGCTGTTAGGATGTAGAGATGCCACACGATTCAGGATCACTGACCCAACTGTAAATTCATTGGCCAATCTGAAGCTCGGGTGAAGTCAAAAAGAACCCTCTGGTCCCTGATTCGCAACGTTCATCAGGCCCAAGCTCCACGTTGCAACGGTCGTGCTGCGGGAGTGCTATAGTACAGTATACGTACCAAGGCATGTTCCGCGATAGACTGGACAAACTTGCCGACCATGCCACAGTGATGTATGACAAGTTGATTGTGTGACGTCGAATATGTAACTTCAACTTTTATGAAGGCTAAGCTGAACCGGCCTGACCTGTCTGCTTGTGTGATTGAAAGAAATCCTGAAATGCAATTGATCGACATAGAGCTTCAATTCGGTAATGGTTGACCTGAACTGCTCGTGTAATTATGACGCTCATTTCCATGTCGAGGTTGGATCGACGGTAGGAGGAGACGAAAACTTGGTTCGGAAATAACCCTACCCATGCATGCCATGTTCTTGATAGAAGTCCAGGATTGTAAACAGTGCCTCTGGGGACTCAAAGATTGAAAGAAAGAAGCAGAAAGACTGCCTAGGGATCAAAATATGGTAACTGGCCGTATTTGTTACCCTGTCATGTCAAAAAAAGCTGGCCTTTGCGGCTATCCTAACTACTTGATAGCCTTGTGGCTTCGTTAAGCTCTTGGTGATAGACAGGGGATGTATCGATCATCACATTCCAAAAGCCCGTATAAGATCCAACGGCTGACAACAAGCGAGGTGCTAAGATTCAGTCAGCACTTTCTAAGCATCGGCTGGCGGATACGAAGGCCCCGAAGGCAACGAGAAATCAAGTGTCGGGCTTTAAGAGAGTGACTTCGTACTTTGAAAAGAAAATACGAAGAAGCACGCAGGGACGGCGTAGACAGGCGCAAGTCGCATGGGTCCTGATGCGAGGTACATAGGTACCGGTACTTGGAAAACGGACGAGAGAGGCTTGGCAAAAAGGCTCAAGTACAGAATACCTGATGTCGTCTGCTAACCCAGCCTCTGCAACGTGCTACGCACAGCAAATCAATTCGCAGCTACAGCACTGGGCTGTATAAGGTAGTTTCGCAGCATTGCTTTGTCCAAGTCAAGCGCCTGAGCTAAAGGGGGCGGAAGAGGGAGGGAGCAAGCACTGTCGTCTCGAGACTCTCTGCATGCGCCGGACGGTTGTGAGACATGACTGAACAGCTGCAGTCGTCACCTAATAGCAAGGGGCGGGGGATTTTGGCGTGACAGCCTCGATCGCATGGCGGCGAACGAGATCTTCGGACAGGGCGAAACAATGTCCCCTGTGTCGAACTAGCGTCCAACCCAATATCTGTTGATAGTACTGCACTCAATCGTGTGGCGGGTGTCGTGAACCACGAGACCAGCTATCGCGATTCATCACGGCCGCGGGAGGAGAAAGAAGCCGAAGAGAATAAGCGACGAGAACGAGAGTTTCTGACATGTGCCGATGGCTGCTTGGCTCCATGGCTACTATTCAATGATATCCCGCGAGGAGACGGAAAAGGCGTTTGACTCGATCTTGTCAATGGGAGGGAACTTTCCAAAGTTGAGCCGAGTCAATTTGTGGCTGCAACGGCGACGACAAGTGTGGCGAACAGTCGCGTTGCAGAAGATCACAGACGAAAGAGGAGCTGAGCACCGAGAAAGTGTCCCCGTGGCATACTGAGAGGAACGGCAAAGCCATCAACTCGTGGTTATACACACCCTCTCGTTACTGAGATTGGCCAATCCAAGGAAGTGGTCATTGCAGAAGGGCACGAACTTGACCTCATGCATTGGTTGAGGTGTCCTGAGGTAAGATGAGATTCGACATCTAACGTCCAAGCCAATGCCAACGCCAATGCGAGGAGAGGACATACACGAAGCTATACCGACGATCATCGACGGCTCCTAGCGGAGTGAAGATCCGGAGAGCCCATGTTGCTCCATCTTCAGCTGTGATGATTGCCAAGTATCAAAGCTCAAATGGAATTCTGTTCTTTTGTCAGTATCTTGTAATCCTTGACGTAGACACGAACAGCATATTGAGCTCGTGACACAAAGACAATGTCATCCATGCTGTTTGTTTCATGCAATTCCTTCAAAAGCCGCCAAAATAGCATCCGCTACTCCTTTCAGAGTTAATCTAGCGGCTGCTGAGTGTTAGTCGACAGCCAAGACCGCCCAGCCTCTGCTTGGAACACAAGTACCGACAAGGGTAGTGATGAGAAGAATTTAGAGCATGATTGTACTGAGGTATAGGAATGAGAGAGCACAAGTCGGACCACCTAAGCATTTGCCATGAATCAGTTGTTATCTATCATCAGCTGCTGTGGTATCTGTAGATGCTTTAGAGAGATGAGTCCTAAAGTTGGCTCCCTCTTGCCATGAATCGTACCTGCTAGTTATTGCTCCCCGCCTTTTACATCATCTTCATGCCATTGGCAAATTCACTCTGGTGATGTTTTGCTTAGCTAGGTCCTTCCACATGAAAACAAACAAACCTGATCAATCACCAATACCGTACGTAGCTTTCCTCGCTAGATCTTCTGCCCCTCTCAGCTTAGACGAGTCAGCTTGACCTCTCATTGCTGCCCTCTTGTTCAATCGATGACCACCATCTGCTCAAAACACTTTGACTTGCATATAACTAAGTACCTAAACACGATTCATTGATCCGGCCTATCCACTAGATCACGAGGACTTGGAGCGGATTGCTGCTTATCCATTGATGTGCATACTGTACTTATCGTACACTATCATATGTACCTCTTCATTTCCTCTCGCTTGCTCTATCCGAGTTCCCTTGCTCCAATTCAAGTTTCACCGAGTATTGCGGTGTTGACCGTCTGGTCTTGTCGGATGCTTTTGCTCTACCCGTTCAATTACGAGGCTGCCCCGCCGCCTAACTCCCAGCACTTAACCAACGCCAACAGCATCAACTCAGCGGCCCTCCAGCGGGTTGAGCGCCACCTCATCAGCAGCCTAAGTGTGCCCCTCGACGCCCTGGAAGTCCCGCCAGCAAGTACTGGTACTGGGCATCGCTTATTGAGTGCCTACATCCACTAACGATTCTCGTACCGCTACCTCATGAGACCTTTTTTACAGTGATCCACTTCCATTTGCTCTAAAAGGCCCCGTTGAAAAGGGCTCCAGAGAGACGGGACCCTTGCCACGTTGACCAGGGGGTATCTGGGGGCTTTTGATGTCCTTCTGATGCGCTTAGGTCTAAAAAAAAAAAGGAGGTACGTACCGGGTACACACTGGAGCCCTTAACTCCTGTTAGCACTTTCAAGTTGCAAGGGACCAGTCCAAAAGCAAAGCACAATTCAGTGACTGTGGGCCTTTCCCGCCCTTCCCTGTCTGTCTCTGCTTCCGCCGAAGCCTGACGTCGATTTTCCCACTCAACCTGCAGCATCTCGTTGGCCGCAACTGGGAAGCTACCTCCTAGTCATTGGCTTGTTCCATTGACCCATTCCTTCCCTTCCTTCCCTGTCCTGCCGGCCCCTGGTGCCCTGAAAAATTGGTCTTTCTTTCCAACACCCATGATCCCCCCCCGGGGTCCGCACACCCAGCACCTGCCGTTCCTTGCACTTACCTTAATTACCTAGCACCTGCTGCTTCCTCAATACTCTACCACCACACACGTTTCGCCACGCACCAAAACATCTACGACAACCACGACCTCGCTCGCGTACTTGCATTCTTTTACATCCACATACATCCACAATCACCGCTTATTTCGACTGTCACCGCAGTAGCTGTACTTGTCTTCCAATACTTACTTACAACCTACGCGCCCTCTTTGATCCTACATCGTTTTGTTGCGGCCATCGAGCCCACCAGCGCAGCGAGTTGTTCGACACGACCCTGCAGCTCTCACTCGCTTCCCCTGATGACCAGCTTGGTACGAACGTTTTGACGATTCCACGATGCCCTCGCATACCCAATATAATATAGACGATTTCGACTGTACATCGGCGACGACATTAGTTGCTCATTATTAGCTCCAGCGATTGGCGACGAATCAGGAACCATGGCCCTTTGGCCATTCCGGCGCCGGAGTAGCCGCAAGCGCTCCCGCAGCGGCGCTGCTTTCTCAGATGCAGAGGGCGCGCCGCTGCCTCACAACGAGGGACCCAAACTTGGTTTGAAGAAACGACGTACCGAACCGCCCAGACTTCAGCGAGCCGGTCGAACCTATAGTTTCTCCCCGGGACGCCAGGATGACATTCGTACCGACCGAGACCGCGCTGGCTCGCCAGTTCGTGAACGAACAGGCCGAACAAGAACTACTGGCAACCTTGAAGAACGTCCCGAACTCTGGGATCGCACACCCACGCTTCGTCCGACCCACCAACCAACAAGAAAGCAGAGAAGTAAGAGGAGGAAAGAAGAACGCAACAGAGAAGCCGAGATTAAAGCAATGAGTAGTTTTGCTCCAGTTCGGCCTGCTACGGAACAATGGAATTCAGGCCGGCCTATGAAGAAAGATTCCAAAAGATCAAAAACCGGGGGATTTGGAAGGCATCGAGCTGGTCGCAACTCGGATGTTTCACTTCCAGTACCCGGATCAATACACTCCAGTCTTTCGTCTGACTCGGAGTTTGGCTCGTATAGAGTCTCTGCTCTTGCAGCTCTTGCACCTCGACCTACGCTTCGTTATACCCCGAACGCCCGATGGACGACTCCCCATGTGCCTACACCTCATCGGTCTGGATCATTAAGGAGGAAGCTTCTTGAGCAGGAGCCGATTCCGGAAGAGACGATGAGATCGCATAGGCGCATCGATTCCCTTGCTGACGACCTCGACGCCCGCGATCTTAGGGAACTCATGGAAAGAGATAATCGACGACGAGAACTGAAGAAGCAGAAAGAGAGACAAAGGATGGAGCGACGGATCACACAAAGGGCAGAGAAGCAACAAGCGGAGCAAATGCAGGCCAGGAACACAGGCACTCCTCCGCCAGAGAATCTTGAGAGAGGTGTCATGGGCCGTGAACTTGTAGGGTTGGGGATCGACCCTGCTTCCGCTGTTGTTACCGAAACAAAGCCCGAAGATCCAGAGCCTATGGATATTACTGAAGACGAAAGGGAAACCGAGTCTCCAAAGAAGGCCGAGGAGGTCTTTCATCGCACAGACACAGCCGCCTCCGAGCAGCCAACGCCTATGGAAGAAGCCATTACAAAGGACACCACATCGATGCGTCAGCCCTCTGAAGACATGGGAAGCGTTTCTCCCGGAACAAGATTTTCTGATCTTTTGAGATCGGCTAAGTCGCGATCCAGGTCGACGATTCGATCTGACCGAGATAGGATGGTTTCTCCGCCACCTGAGACCATCAACGAGGAGGATGTTCATATGCCCAGACAAAACTCTCATGATTCTGATGGCGGCAAGAATGGGTTTGCTTCTATTAAAGCATTCCTGAGAATTGGAAGCAAACGGCAACGACGTGAAGGACCATCGTCCTTTGCCAATACCTCTCGGGAGGAGATGCAGGCAGCCGCAGCTCAGTCAAGAGCACAGGCGCAAGCCTACGCCCTCGCTAAGCTCGAGGGCGAGGACTCGCCCAACTCTTCAAGCGGTAACTATCTATCCCGTAAACCAAGCATTGGCGCCCCAAAGAGGACTCGTTCTCGCTTCCGGGAAGACTTACCTGAGTTACCTCTCTCACCGCCAGCTTCACGCGTTCAGTCGCCCGAAGCGGAACCCCCCATGCCCATCCTCACCGAACAAAAGATCCGTGAAATGGAGGAGTTGAGGTCCTTGGGCGTGCGCTATGACACACCAACATCGGGCCACCGATCCGCCGAGGCCATGCGCCGTACGCCGTCGACAGTAGAGCGCGCATATGTTTCACCATCCCCGGAAGCTGGCATGTCCATGTCACTCGCCTCGATTGACTCCGAAGGTTCCTGGCTTTCCGGTAATGCCAGTGGCCGTCGAGCTGCCATACGAGATAGCATTCGAAGGGCTAATCAGCGTGAGCAAAACGACGCCCACACTGATTCCCCAACGAACAGCACAGAAGAAAACTTGGAGATCGTCGAGGATGAATATTTAACGAAGCTCACTCCCCGAAGAAACTCGAATCCTGAGTTCATGGGTCGTCGTTCCGGTGAAGGACGTCCCAGCAGCGATGAGGAAGAGTTTGCTAATGATGGAGAGATGAAATGGGGCGCTGTTGGTTCTCAGCCCCAAGTTGTGCACAGATTCACCATGAAGAGCCACGAGGGACTCTTGGAGCTTGAATCTGAGGATGAAGAGAGCCCGACATCACCCGTATCTCCATCACAAGAGCTTGCCAACGTTCAGAGCGCTAGAAGCGTCAACCTGGGCAAAGGTCACGTTCGCAATTTTAGCGCTGGAAGTGCTAAACTACTTGATATCACTCCTCGGCCATCCGTTGATGCCACAGGGAATTCAGAGAGGCGACGAAGTCACGTCCAACCAGCCGTGTGAAAGCTAAACTAATCTTGATCGTTCAGAAGAAGAGTCTCGCAACTGAACGAATGTCGACCAGATGACACCTTTCACTCCTTTTATTTCCTTACCGTCTCAACTAACCTAAGTCACTCATTTCACATTTCCTTATCACTTCACTATTCTTATCAACAACGGAAAATGTACCAAAAAAAGAGGAAAACAACAAAATTAGCGAAGACTCTTCTTATGACGACTCAACACTCTTATAATAGCTTATCACATGGACGGTACTGGGAACCGACTTGCTCCTGATGTATGACACGACCTTGATGACTACGGCGCATTCCAAGTTCACTGCTAGGATTTCTTTTCTCGACTACATATACCGCACCTTTTGATACCCCGCGTCGACCGCCAATTACAGAGTACTGGGAGACTCGACGCGTTTGATTTACCAACTATTGGTGAGGGAGCTAGTCTCCTTGGCCGGTCCCTCTTCGTGCCCATTGGGCGCTGTCATTCCTTGGGAAGCCGGTGTGGTTTTCCTTATCTTGTCTGTGAGATGAGGGGAGCATTTTGTTTTCTACTAGCCGGGGTTTATGGGAGGCGGGGAAAATGGTTTGATTTGAGCAACTGGGATTTACTTTTGCACTTGGGCATCCAGACACATAAACTGGAAGCCTGAGATCGAGCTTGGCGCGAGAGTGGTTGATTGCATGAAACAATAGATCTTGCGATGCGATAGCGCAATGAACATCAATGGGAAAATGGGGGTGGACAAGATCACAAGACGATGGACATATGTCTGTCCACCTTAGAGGAGGAAGATGTAAATGTTTGTAAGCTGATAGGTTAATTGACCAGATCGAACAATATCCTGAGATTGAAAGCTGGTTCACCATACGTCAAGTGATAGTTATATTAAGATTAGGTCTGATCCACAGCCCTAGGCGCATGAAATAAGTTATGTCCGTGGTCTCGGCAGTTGAAGCAGTAATTAATTATAAGATGATCGTCGTAGATCTCGGGAACTAGCTTAGCTGCTGTGAATGTGGAAATTATCATGCTATGCGTACATTTGGGTGTGGCATATCCACAAGTGTGAGATGATGCGGCCGTGGTTCAAGTAGGTGAAGACTGGATAAGAGAGTGAGTGAGTTACTGAAGTCTGTGTAAAGTACGTAGATTCTTTGTTTGTTGTCTCATATGTAACTTGATCAGAACATGAGGTATCGTTGAACATGGCTCTTGAGAGCTTTTAGAGGTGAGTAATTGTTTCACTATGATGCCATCACATCAAAGGTACTATACGCAGTAGGCGTCTATCAACATATTATACATCGTCAAAGCGCAATATCGACCCTAAAACATTATCATGAAACTTTTGAGTTTCTATCATGAAACGTCCAAGACCAGTCATGAACTTTGTGTCATCATAATATGATTGGCCAATCAACCAAGTCATCATACTCCACCCAATGAGGAGCCATCAGAGCTAACAATTAGAAATCCAGACCTCTCATCCTAATCCAAGTTTACAACTCATATAAACAACACGTTTTATAAGACTTATACAATGTCCTCTCCCTTCCGTCTTATGCGACCTGTCGCCCAGGCTGCTCGATCTGGCGCTGTGACTTTCGCTGCCCGGCCATTCCATAGCACGGCTGCTCGATTCGCTGTGCAGGATATCAAGACGTGAGTTTGAGAGCAATCATGAAGGTTCTGGGAATAATTCTTACTGAGTTGATCTGATAGAACGAAAGAGTTTAAGGACCTTGTTTCTACAACAGACAAGGCTGTTCTTATCGACTGCTTCGCTACATGGTGCGGTCCTTGCAAGGCCATCTCTCCCATCCTCAACAAGTAAGTGGCTCAAAAGATACAGCACCATTGCAAAAATGGGCAACTGACAATAGAACCTCAGGCTCTCGGAAGAGAAGGCTCTTTCAGACAACATCCAATTCGTCAAGTTTGACGTCGATGAGCTCCCCGACCTGACCGCCGAGCTCGGCGTTCGCGCTATGCCAACTTTCTTCGTCTTCAAGAATGGAAGCAAGGTTGATGAGTTGGTCGGTGCTAACCCTCAGGCTCTCCAGTCGATGCTGGCCAAGCATGCTGCATAAACTGTATAAATCTTGTAACACCTCGAATCACTTGGTAAAACTATCAAGGAGAGTCATGGCAATAGACTCAATCTGTTTACATTGCTGAAGAAAATAAAAACAGCTGTGTATTATTAGCATAGTTAAACTTGTACAATGGGTTATTGGTGTCTGTCTATGGTATCTTATCCATGCATCATTCTGGAGAATCGTCTGAGCTCGTGAGTCTATACTGATCGGCAGTTACATCACACTTCTATGATTTCGGCTAGAAATGGTTCAAATGCCATAGGCTAGTTAGTCAAGTTCTCTCGCGGCCTTCTATTTCCAGTATGGACCATGGCGGAGGTGGAAGGCCGTCGTATGCATATGACCATTCGGCGAGTGTCATTTACGCCCGAGAAGCATTTGACAGGTCGGCAATAGCTTCCAAAACAAACTGATTGGTTCATTAATATGCAACTCAAACCATTGCGACAGGCTTATCTTGACGTTGCTTCTTATGCTACTACCATGATAGAGCCGAGCCCGGGTTCCGCGGCCCCGCCTTGATAAGCCAATCACAATAGTCAATTAACCGGTTTAGAGATCGGGGCTTCAACTGGGAACCGATGAGACGGCGTATAAGTTGATGTGACAACCTCTACTCTATAGTCTAGTCTTCAGTTCGATCAAGTACTTTTCCATTTCGAGAAGATTTATACCGAATACCCAATTGCCAAAGCGTGACATATCAAAATGGCGAACACAATCGTCGTCGTTGGGTGAGTCTTGGTGGGATAAGCTATTCTGAACGAAGCTGATACTATGAAAGTGCTGGTGTTTCTGGCTTGACGTCCGCCTACCTCCTTTCCAAGAACAAGGGCAACAAGATCACTGTCGTGGGCAAGCATATGCCCGGTGACTATGATATTGAATATGCCTCGCCATTTGCTGGTGCCAACGTCTGCCCGTATGTGATCTGGTCCATTTTGTATCATCCTACTCACGATTTCCAGTATGGCCACACGAGAAAGCAGCAGATGGGAACGTCGAACATGGGTAGAGTTCAAGAAACTGTGCGAACAAGTCCCCGAGGCGGGCATTCACTTCCAAAGTGCGTCACCATTTTTACTCTCAGGAAGAACACAGGATTAATATCCAGCAGAGTGCCACATTCAAAGACGAAAGAAGGACGCAGAAGCAGCAAAGAAACAAACATTCCCTGATGCACTCTTCATGGAAGAGCCCTGGTATAAGGAGATCTTTGAGGATTTCCGAGAACAGAACCCTGATGAAGTCACTCGCGGTTACGACTCAGGCTGCGAATTCACATCTGTCTGCATCAATACCGCCATCTACCTTCCCTGGCTCGTCGGTCAATGTCTGAAAAACGGCGTGGTCTTCAAGAGAGGTATCCTGACCGATATCAGCGAGGCCAAGAAACTGAGCCACACGGGCAACGTTCCCAACATCATCGTCAACGCGACAGGCCTAGGCTCCTTGAAGCTGGGTGGTGTCAAGGACGAGACTATGGCGCCTGCACGCGGACAGATTGTGCTGGTGCGCAACGAGAGCACACCCATGCTTATCACATCTGGAGTTGAGGATGGCGGTGCCGATGTCATGTACCTCATGCAGCGAGCAGCTGGTGGTGGCACAATCTTGGGTGGAACTTACGATATCGGCAACTGGGAGTCTCAACCAGACCCCAATATCGCCCAACGTATCATGCAGCGCATCGTTGAGGCACGCCCTGAGGTCGCTGATGGTAAGGGAGTTAAGGGACTGAGTGTGATTCGACACGCTGTTGGACTGCGCCCTTGGAGACGAGATGGACTCCGACTTGGGGAGGAGAAGTTAGACGATGAGACGTGGATCGTGCACAACTATGGCCACTCTGGCTGGGGATATCAAGGCTCATATGGCTGCGCTGAGGGTGTAGTTGAGATTGTTGACAAGGTTGGCAAAGCTGCCAAGTCTAAGCTGTAGATTGACTAAGCGTTTATGAATTGATACGATATTGAATAATTAATTCGTTCATTCTTATGATTGCCCTCAGCTTAATAAGGATGGAAGTTGGTGAGTAGAGAATATGAGAATATGCACATCGCGGGGCCCCGCATTTCCCATACGTAGCTCTCTCCAAGCTCTTGAACCCCTGTTTTAACTTGATGAAGCTTTCCTTTCCTCCTTTCACAAGCCAGCGCATTATCCATTTTCAAAATGCCAGAATCTGCATCTGGCACCCTGAGTCAGGGCGTGCGCTTCCTAAGAAACGTCCTCAATGGCCGCCATGCGCTCTCCAAGCTCATCCCCATCGCGCTCTGGCTGGTCGACGCGCTTGGTTGTGGCTTGATCATATGGAAGATCCCATGTGCGTGGCGTCTAATTTCTAAAGCCTCATGATGAAGCTAATCTCGTGGAACAGATACCGAGATCGACTGGGTTGCGTACATGCAGCAGATTTCGCAGTTTGTATCGGGCGAGAGAGACTATACCAAGATGGAGGGCGACACTGGTCCTTTGGTGTATCCAGCAGCGCATGTCTACACTTACACGGGACTTTACTACATCACGGACAAGGGGACAAACATTCTTCTGGCGCAGCAAATATTTGCTGTGTTATATATGGCTACGTTGGCAGTGGTGATGCTCTGCTACTGGAAAGCCAAAGTCAGTAACGTCCTGGGCCACTTCAGGTAGTTTTCTAACAATTCTAGGTCCCTCCGTACATGTTCATCTTCCTAATCGCCTCGAAACGACTACATAGCCTCTTCGTCCTACGATGTTTCAACGACTGCTTCGCCGTTTTCTTCCTATGGCTAACCATCTTTCTTTTCCAACGCCGACAATGGACCGTTGGAAGTCTAGTATATTCTTGGGGTCTTGGAATCAAGATGTCGCTACTACTGGTTCTACCTGCTATTGGCGTCATCCTTTTTCTGGGTAGAGGGTTATGGCCTAGCCTTCGTCTCGCATGGCTCATGGCCCAGATTCAGTTCGCCATTGGACTTCCGTTTATCACTAAGAACCCTCGTGGGTATGCGGCTCGGGCTTTTGAACTATCACGACAGTTTCAATTCAAGTGGACGGTCAACTGGCGCATGTTGGGCGAGGAAGTTTTCCTCAGCAAGTATTTTGCTCTATCTCTTCTGGCCTGCCATATTCTGGTGCTCTTGATATTCATCTCCAAAAGATGGATCCAACCAACTGGACGATCGCTCTACGACCTGATACCCTCCTTCTTGCGACTCAAGTCCCCGTTTACCATGCAGGAACAGCTTCGCATCTCTCACTACGTCACCCCTGAGTACGTCATGACAACGATGCTCACCGCCAACCTCATTGGTCTGCTGTTCGCTCGGTCACTGCACTACCAATTCTATGCCTATCTCGCCTGGGCAACACCCTATCTCCTCTGGCGAGCCACCGAAGACCCCATCATCGTGGCAATTATCTGGGCCGCGCAGGAATGGGCCTGGAATGTATACCCAAGCACCGACCTCAGCTCAACCATCGCTGTGAACACAATGCTGGCGACAGTTGTGTTGGTCTATCTGGGAACAGCCAGACGTGCCGTTCCCGCTCCCGCAGCCCAAGTCGGGAACATTGATGATAAGAACAAATAGATCTGGATCTAGAAGTGCATTTTCACTCATCTTCGGAGTCACTGGGGGGCATCTTCCCGACATTGGATTCGTCCTCGGAGTCGCTCATGTCGTATGTGTTTTTGACAAACTCTTTGGGCCTGCGATAGACTTGATTAGCCTAGTTCATTTCAGACGAATAGGTACCACGAAACTCACCAATATGGCTGTTTGCGCCAAGCCTTCTCATCACGGACAACATTTACAATTTCTCCCTCTGCCCGAGTGTCCTCCTTGCCATCTTCGTATCGTTCAGCCAAAACAAACCCGCCGCGCTTGATCCAAATGGTGTTTCGAAATCGCTGGGCCAGTTCCAGTACAAGGGTTTTGCCGTTTGGAAGCTCACACGTGTAGAGGTTGTTTCCTTCAGGCTTGACAACGCGAACGAGAGACTGGTTGGGCTCAAGAGAATCAGGAGGTGTCAATGCAGCCTCTGCGGCCGCGAGAACATTTCGCTTAGGACGTCCCATCGTGAAATTTTATGTCGATTGCTATTTAATAAAAGTTTGTCTTGGAATTTTCTAGACCTGAAGAATATGGAGGGGCTGCTTGGAGGGGCAGACACCGATAGAACGATATACCTTGATAGACAGAACAACTCCAAGTACTACTCTATCCATAATGACTTGTAAGTGGGAGCGGACTTACTAGATTCGGAACGTCCGGTCCTGCCCTCGGGGAGCAAGAAAACTTAAAGACTCTAGAAGAGGATGCCAAAATAAACTTAGTAAAGAGTCCCCTAAACTTAGGCTAATATACCTAAATATTTTCGTCGCTTAGGGTTAAGGCGTTTTCTTGCCTCCCCTAGCCTGCTCCCAACATGATCTCGTGAAATTACCATATTGGGCTATAAGTTATTCTCCTGATCGTACGGATATCGTGATTGTATTTTAAGTAGCATATTGCTCGGCTGCTAGTGGTGGGTTGCTGGGGTTGTTACCAAAAGAGGTATTAGAACCAACCTCATTATCATGAAGTTGAGTGACCAGTAACATAACAGTCAAATATGATGTACATGTTGTCAGTGCCTCAAGATGATCATGTGTACTGCTCGAGGACTACGTATACCGATGTCTCATCTTTATACAAAGGATAAGTTACAACAAGATCATTTGGTATCGTAAACTTCCCGTGACGCCTGGGTAAATTATTCGGTGCAATTAAGTATGAGTCCGTGCTTAATAAATCACATCGTATGGTATTGTCGAAGTGGACTCGGCTTGATTACCCTCTCGGTTGTCCCTCCTGGCATGTCAGGGTTCCAAAAACTACCACATAGAGGCATTCCACTCGCTAGGATGTCCCGTGGGGATATCAAGATCTGGGTGACCGGGTGACTCAAGTTGACCTTGTGAGATTCATGATAATTTGATACAAAACCGAACAACTAAAACTACTTACTTAACCACTGTAGACAGGCTCAAGCACACTTGTCCCTCGGAACTCCTTACACAATGGGATCGAATGTTCTCCTGATTATCCATTACTATATATCGAATCATTAAGTTCTTGGTGGCCTAGTGCTCATACACCATGGAGACTTCAATGCTTTCAGGTCTCTCAGTCGTTCAGCCAGTACCTACAAATCCGGCAAAGGAAGATATGTCTCGTCCATTAACAGCCCCGCCAATGACTACCTCGAGAACCCATATCGGTTCAGCCGAGAGAGAATCTTTTGACCTCGAGATTCTACCTGTCCGAGATGATCCAAAACCAGACAATGCATCTTCCGACCATGTCGACGACTTAGAAATGAGTCAACCTGATCGTCCAGATTCGAATACTGAGACTGTCGAAGTTGCACCAACTATCTGGGACCCCTTCATGAACCGCTTCAGACTTATCTCGACCTGTCTATCCCAAATAAATAATGCTCTTAGCGATGGTGCTACTGGTGCTTTGATCCCCTACATGGAGAAGTATGTCGATAATCTTTCCCCCGAACGACATAAGCTAATATACTTAGGTACTATGGCATTGGCTATGCCACTGTATCCCTCATATTCGTCGGTAAAGCCATTGGATTCATTGCAGCGGCCGTGTTCATCGATATCCTTAAAGAAAAACTTGGTCGAGCCAAACTTCTTGGTTTGGGCCAGGCTCTCGTCACTCTGGCATATATCCCCATCATCTGCGGCGCCCCTTTCATCGTTGTCGTTCTATCATTCTTCTTTATCGGCTTCAGCATCTCGATAAATGTGGCCATCGGAAACCTCTTCTGTGGTGGTCTCCAGAACGGAACGTTCATGCTGGGTGTACAGCACGGGACTTACGGAATAGGGGCGACAATCGGCCCTCTCGTTGCGACCGCGCTCGTAACAGCTGCAAACACCGTGTGGAATAAATACTATATCATAACCTGTGTGCTCGGAGCTTTAACCGTCGCATTAGGAATGTGGTCGTTTTGGAGATACGAACAGGAGTTGAGTCCTGCGGCGCGCCAGAGAGAGACGGCTCAAGTTGGAGACTCTATGTCGAACAGCATCTTTCTTGCTATGAATTTGCGCATCGTATTCCTTGGTTCACTCTTCATCTTTGCCTACCAGGGAGCCGAGGTTTCTATCTCTGGCTGGGTCATTTCTTTTCTCATCAACGACCGCGATGGTGATCCTTCTTCAGTTGGTTATGCAACAGCAGGTTTCTGGGCCGGTATCACCATCGGTAGATTCCTCCTGTCTGCCCCTGCGCAGCGAATCGGCGAGAAAACGCTTGTGTATGGCCTCATCATAGGAGCCGTTGCTTTTCAGCTTCTCGTCTGGCTCATTCCTAACATCGTGGGCAACACTATCGCCGTATCTGTTGTCGGTCTTCTCCTTGGTCCTATCTACCCATGTGCCTCGGCTGTTTTCCTTCGAGGCATGACTAGGCGGGAGGCTTTGACTGGTATTGGCATGATTAATGCTTGTGATAGCGCAGGCGGAGCTATTGCGCCCTTCGTTACGGGTCTTCTGGCCCAGGCGTTTGGCACCTTTGTCCTTCATCCGATTGTTATTTTCTTGTTTGTTGTCATGTTGTTGTGCTGGTACTTTCTTCCAGCTGAGGAAAAGAGGACGGAGTGACAAGGCGGTATCAAAAGAGGGAATAGGAAATTGGAGAATGCATGAACAAGCGAAGTGACATCAAGGTCGAAATTATATAGGGAATCGATTCGATCCAGGCTGACCAAGTCTATTCACGAATCTATAATGAATCTATGTGATCTCCGTAGATGGCTCGCACCCAGTCTATCCTTTATGTTTTGAATGGCCACGGATACCATTTCCTATTCTCCCTTTTCATGTCATTAATTCATACCAGATTAGATACGGCCACGGGCAGCATCCTTGACAGAGACGGTACCAGCCGCGATGTCCTTGACAGTCTGAGTGATGCTAGACCAGTCACGGAATGTGACGAAGGGAACGTTCTCGTTCTCACACCAGGTAACAAGGTCTATAAAGTGTCGTTAATTACGAACCAATACTGGGAATTGATGTTTTACTCACCCTTGTCGGCCTTGGCAAACAGCAGATCGGTCTCCTTAGCGGCTGAGAGATCAGAGACACCATCACCAGCGTAGAACATGGTAGGTCGGTTAGGAAGCGAAGAGTACTTTCGGATCTCGATAGACTTGTCATGGCCATGAATACTAGAAAACTCAGCACTTTCTCACCATATCAACGAATAGTTCGGATTTACCTGTCATCATGGAACTCAATTTGCCAGCCTCCCTCATCCTTAAGAGTCTTACCCTCTCGAGCCTTCACATCGTTGCTGACAATCTGAATATCCCAACCAGGACCCAGAAGAGTGTCCAGTAGAGCTCGAATGACAGGGGTCATGCCGCCACTGAGAATGACAATGGGGACATTGTTCTCCTGAGCCCAGTCGTAGAACTCCTTGAAGCCAGGGTCAAGCTTAATGTTCTTGAGAAGAATCTGGATGCACTCGTCGAAAGGGGTCTTGACGCTGTCCAGCATCTCAACGAAGCTGTCGCGGAAATGCATGTTTCCATAAAGAACGTCCTTGTTAAGTTGGCGACGGCGTTCAACGCCGAAGCCAAGGTTGTCGGTCATGTAGTCATTAGAATCGGCGGTGGTGACTGTTCCGTCAAAGTCGGTAAAGAAGATGAACTTGGGATCGTTCTTGAGAGCTGGGGTATCGGAGGAAGCCATGATAACGGTCTGTAGTGGATTATTGCGTATTTTTATGACTCAGTAAGATCCTTATTGGAGTCTACTCCAGTTTCATGAAAAGAGTGAGTGAATTGGATGTCTCTAGAACTGTAGTCTAAAGTGACGATGTTGTTGAGAAGATATGACCGAGCAAGAAAACGGCGGGGGAGGGGCACAAGTTTTCATGACAGACAAACAAATAATCGCGACAATAATGATCGACAGGAAATTAGAAACACCTGCTATAAACTGGCTGAGCTGATTGGAGGTTGATACTGAAGGATCCTTACTAGTAGAATGAGTAGCAATATAAATCACGTACTGTACATAACAGAAAACACCGCATATTTCGTTATCAATTCTTCCGCCTTGGCCAAGGTTTGACTGTCGTCATTGTCATGACTCTCAGGGACTGCAGGATATGAATAGTGCCCCTCCACACCCTCTTCTCCCTGTAATTGCGCTGGAATATAGCTCCCAAGGACCCTGAGTCGCACTCAATAGCGCTCCCGGCAAAGGACCCTGGCCAAGGTGAGTAAGGCGGTGACTCTATTCGGCCTTGCTCCGGCGGCAGAAAACACCCCGGCTACGGAGCCGGCTGTAGCTTTATCGGCTCGGCCCATGCATTCATCCCATCATCTCAACAATTGTTGCCGAGCTACAAGTCCAATCGTCCACCCTCGACGTCGCCGCTGCGATACACGCTTCCTTTGGTCGCAATGCAGCCGTTTGCTCGTCCTGCGGTTCGGCTTGTCTGGAACCATGCGCGATTTGGGCTTGATCGATCCACGAGGCCCGGGAGGTCTTGCTGGGGGCCCTCGATAGTGCAGAGCTCAACAATATGTGTGCGATGCAATTTTCAGGCCATTGGTCTCCGAGCAAGACTCTATTCGACGGAGCGACCACCGAGGGATTCCGAGAAGAGTTCAAGGACGAATAAAGATGTCGAGGATGAGCTTGAATCTATACTTAAACCTCGGCCAAACCTCTTCAAAGAGCTTCAACCGCCTGCCGATATACCCAAGTTGGAAGATGTCAAATCTACCAATGCGACTTCCGAAAGCGCTGCCCCTAAAGACACAAAACCCGAGCCACCCAAGGCCGAGACAGATACAAAGTCTAGCGATGAAGCCTCTCAATCGCAAGCACCATCAGGTCTTCAAAACCTGCGACACCTTACCCTGAACCATATGAACGAATTGAAGGAGAGGTTTAGCGGTGCTATGGATAGACTGCAATCCCGAGCAATGAATGCCTCACAAACGCTCAACGATATTACCGGATATACAGACATCGAGGCCATCAAGCATCAAAATGCCAAGCTAGAAGCAGACCTTGCAGCAGCTCATGAGCGGGTCCGTGAGGCTCGCCAGGAATACAAGACATCGAACGCTAGTCGTGCGACAACACAGCGTGAGGTCACAACACTATTGGCGCGGAAGGATAGCTGGTCCCCTATCGATCTTGAGCGCTTTACCGAGTTATATCGAGCGGATCATACCTTGGAGGGCAAGGTCGCATCGTCCCAAGAGGCTCTAACGGAGGCTGAGATGGAAGAACAGCGCCTTAGCCAGCAGCTAAATGCCGGAATCCTGAAACGTTACCATGAAGAGCAGATTTGGAGCGATCGCATTCGGCGGGCGAGCACTTGGGGTACATGGGGCCTGATGGGCATGAACTTCCTCTTGTTCGTTATCCTGCAGTTTGTGGCAGAGCCCTGGAAGAGAAGGAGACTGGTCAGGGGTGTTGTAGCTGAGGAGAAGGCTGTTCTCGAGGAGGTTCGTGGTGAGCTTGAACAGGTCAAGCTGGCTATCGAGAACCAAAAGACCCTTTCAACAGTTGAAGGAACCCTAGAGGCTGAGGCCGAGGCAACTGCTGAAGCCGTGGCATCAGAGAATGTGTTGCCGGGTGAGAGCCTCATGGTGGAGGAAACAAATTCCAGCCAGGAACCAGTTGCCACCTTCGAATCAGTGGCTGAAGCGCCTCTCTCAGGACCTCTACCCACGAGGACATGGCAAGAAGCTCTTATGGATCCAGAATGGTGGAAAGCCAAATCACAAGACATCTACAGCGAGCGACGGATAGATCTTCGCATGCGAGACGTTTCATTATTGGTGCTGGAGGGCGCATTAGCAGGAGCTGTGATTACAGGAAGTATTGCGCTGCTTTTGGTTCGAAGATCATGACAAGATGTAAAATAGATATAAAGCTTATCATTGTATACTACTATAATAAAACTGTACATTCTCGTTGAGGAAGAACATTGAACGATTTCTCGTCGTAGAGTTTCTCGGGTGATGTTGATTCACGATGCTTCACGCTGTTGGCGAGCCAATCGGATGTTGGTGTTTTGCATGACCGGTAGGGCTGGTAGCCAGAAAGGCAATACCGAAGAAGATGGAGTGGGACTAAACCTTTGGAGCTTAATGAGGTTAATATTTCTAACATGTCATATTTGATATTCGTATGCATAAAACCCAAGACTATTTGTTGAGTTGTTGATATATCGTTATGAAATGAACTTTGTCCGCCAAGAGCAAGTTCATCATGACACTTAAGCCTTTAACGGCCCCTAGACCCCTTGTCATTCCAACCCTCAAGGGTGACCCTGACCATTAATTTTGAGCTTGGATGATGAAAGTGCGCATCAGGAATATGATTTGCCAGTCATCGAGATTAACGGCAACTAATTGTTAAGGGTCTTGACGTTACGGATATTGACCGCTTTCCGATATGCGGTTTTAATCGGAGGTGTCTTGATGGTGGGGCTCTAGGACTTGTAGGACTATGAAAGGTGACTTACAGCAGACGCAGATACTTTTCCAGTGTAACTGTAGCTACCTTACACGGTGGGAATAAGGAAATGCACATATTAGAGTTTGTTATCTCCTGATTGCTATTGACGGGTTTGGAACTTTGTGGTATTACTTATGCATGATAAGAAAGGCTCGAGAGTTTGTCGTTTCAGAGAATGGTTTCACAAGCATCAAACCAAGTTTCCTTGTTCATGCGAAACTATCCGCTGATGGGTCTTGAAACGCAATTCGAGTAGGACACATGCTTGTGAATATCATATACAAAAGTGCCAAACAGACATTCCTTTCGAGTTACTGTAGAGACTCTCAGGTATGGTTGTCTCATTGGAGCTCAGCCTCTTTGTCCACGTTATCATATCATCATTCTAGTCCTACCGAGGTTACCTCTTGACAAAAGCATAAGGTAAACCAACTAGATTGCATCGTATCTTTCCGTGAAGAACTGAACAGACAAGGACCTACGGATACTGATGAATGATTCTGCTACAAACAGCGCACGTCGTCACCCACCATAAACTCAACTTAACCGGCCGGAGAGCTACACCTACGCCGCTACAAATTGGAAGCTCCCCGCCAGCCAAACCCTGGATCTCCCCACCAAGAGCAGAGCGGCGGTGGTCTTAGCTCCTCGAGGTGGTCTTGGTCTGCCTGTGCCTGTATCCGTACCCTGAGGCCTTGCCTTGGGCATTCATTAGTACTAAGGAACGGTATTGGGCTGTGCTTTGTCTTTCGACCCTCTCTTTTTTTCGTGTTTGTCAAAATCTTTTTTGAGCTGATCACCTCTTTGTGTCTCCTAAAAGGACCTACCTATATTTCTCAGTTCTACCAATTTCCTTGGTCTTTTAGCTTACCGCTAAATTCACCTGAGTTAGCTCAGTGTTGCTGCGCTGTGCTCTGCTGTGCTGTGCTCGCGCGCATTGAATCCATGGAAAACGCCCGATAAAAACCCCGCCAATTTTACCCCCTCCACCACCGACTGTCGATGCGATTCCCTAAGGTACCAACCAACTCTAGGAACTTATTGGATCACTGACGACATTTCTCACTTTTGACCTTCCAACCTACCTGCACTCTATTCCACCACTTCTACCTAACTGCCCTGCCACCGGCCACTCAACACCTATATAGTACCTACCCAAGGTACCTACCACCCCCATCTGCTTGTGGCAACGGCTGGGCATAATAAACCCAAACCCTCTTTCCCTCAACCTCCCCTCTCCCCCACCCGCCAGCTTCGGCCTCATCCATCTGAAGCGAAGCTTGACGGCGAAAACCTCCGCCAGCTATAAACCATCGCCGCAGACGCACGCATAATTACGCATACGCAACTGGGACCTTCTGGCTTCCCTCGTTCCGTGTGTTTCTGCCCGCCTGCACTTGGTTCGGCTCTCACAGTATAACGACATTCATTAACGATAACGACACACAAGACGTCACCTGTCTCGTCGTCTATTTTACCACCCGCTCGCCTACGCTCGCCCGCTCATTATTGAGGCGTCGTCCTCACCACCTGATATCGGCTGTATTTTCAGCCATCCCCTCCTCCTCCAACCTCTTGTCGTCCAGCGCGAACGTATCGTGCAGCCACTTTCACCATGAATGACGATGATGCGATCCATAGCATCCACAAGAAGATCGAGCGCGAGAAGGCTCTCATCAACGCTGCCAATTCCATGAGGGCACAGACCAACAATGAAGCCGTCAGATCTCGTCTCGACTCACAAATGCGAGATGGTCGTCGCAATCTTCAGTTCTTCGAGGAGAAGCTGCGCGACATCCAGATGCGACGTGTGAACGCAGGTGTTGGAGACATGTCTCTTGGAGGACCTTCTGACGATGCTGGCGGTCCTCCTGCACCACCTCCCAAGGATTCCCGAGAAGACAGAGGATCCTATGGTTCGGGCTCAGGACAATATGCCCAATCTGGTGCTGGTTCTGATCTCATGCCTCCCCGCCACCCTTATGCTCCAGGTCCTGGTGGCTCGGGTATTCCGAAGCCACGTCCAAATTTCACCAAGTTAGGTGCGTCGTTGCTATGCCATCTCCATAGAAACTTCCCTGAGACTTTCCGTGTTTTCTGTACTGTGCTAACGTGAACGAAAACAGATTTGATCAAATATGATACACCGCATCTGGGACCCCGCATCCAGCTCATGTTGTCGCAGATTCAATTCAAGCTAAACGTCGAAGAGCAATATCTGAAGGGTATCGAAAAGATGGTTCAGCTTTACGGTATGGAAGGAGACCGCAAAAGTAAGGCTGACGCGGCTGCCCGAAAAGTCGAAAGCAAGCAGAAGATTATACTGTTGAAGCAGGCACTCAAGAGATATGAAGAACTGCACATCGATGCGGATGTTGCCGACGCTCAAGATGGTAAGTTTACACTGCAGCATTTCCTACTACGACATATTGACAAAAGAGCAGACGATTCAATCAACGCCCCTAACCTGAGGAAGCCCCTAAGCGGACAACTATCGATTCGTATGCTGGCTATAAAGGATGTAGACCACCTCGCAACTGGCAGGTTTACGCGAGGGCCTGAGACCTTTATTGCCGTCAAGGTTGAGGATACCGTGATGGCTCGTACAAAGGCGTCCAGGAACGATCGCTGGGAAGCCGAATACCATACCATCGAGGTTGACAAGGCCAACGAAATCGAGCTGACAGTTTACGACAAACCCGCTGAGCACGCCATGCCTATTGCTATGCTCTGGGTCCGAATCTCTGATATTGTCGAGGAAATGCGTCGCAAGAGGATCGAGGCTGAGATGAACAGTTCTGGATGGGTTTCGGCCGACAGAATGGGCAGCAGCGGTGGGGCCCCTTCACAGTTCCCCATGAGCCCATCTTCAGGCTCGTTTGGGCCAGGCTCTCCAGCAGGTGGCGGTGCGCAAGGAACAGAAACTGGCCCATTCGGGACTGCTGGTCCTCAGCCTCAAGTGCAAACTGGACCAATTGAAGAATGGTTTAACCTAGAGCCTACTGGGCAGATTCAACTCCAGTTGGCATTCAACAAGACTAACGCGAACAGCCGCCCCGTTGACCTCGGTCTTGGCCGAAAGGGTGCTGTCCGTCAACGCAAGGAGGAGGTTCACGAGATGTACGGACACAAGTTCGTACAGCACCAGTTCTACAACATCATGCGTTGTGCGCTTTGCGGAGATTTCCTCAAGTACTCTGCAGGCATGCAGTGTGAGGATTGCAAGTACACTTGTCATACAAAGTGTTATTCCAGTGTGGTCACGAAGTGTATCAGCAAGAGTAACGCGGAGACCGATCCCGACGAGGAGAAGATCAACCATCGTATTCCGCACAGATTCAACCCTTATTCCAACATGACAGCAAACTGGTGCTGCCACTGTGGTTACATTCTGCCTTTTGGCAAGAAGAACTGCAGAAGGTGCTCAGGTATGTTTTGTTTGACTCTGTTTGCTGCATTGTGAAACTAATCCTTTATCTGTAGAATGCAGTCTTACTGCCCACGCCCAGTGTGTGCACCTTGTTCCTGACTTCTGTGGCATGTCCATGGCGGTGGCCAATCAAATATTGGACGGGATCAGATCCCAGAAGCAGAGGCAGGCAAAGGTCTCCTCACTGACAGAAAAGACTCTCCGGCCAGGAAAATCGAGCCCGACAAGTACTCATTCTCCGGCCCCATCCTACTCCAGCTCGTCCGCACCTCCCTATCAGCCAGGACCTGCCTCACCTGAGGCAACTGAGGCTGCTAAGGTTATGTACTCGAACCAGACAACACCACGGCCTGGCCACCCCGACCGAACATCATCTAGCTCAACGGCGGCGGCGGCAGCCTCTGCGGCTATGTCTGGAGGACCTGGAGGGGCCCAGAGACAACAGTCTGATTATGGACGTTACAGTGGAGGGTATGACCAGCAACAAGAGGATCCCTACGCTCAAGGGGGTCAATACGGCGCGGGTCAGCAGCGTAAGTACAACCCGGCTGACTATGCCAACGTCAACCCTAGCTACGGAGGACAACCGCCAGCTCAGGCTCAGCGACCAGTGCAGCAGCAGCCAGCTGCACAACAGCCTCCTCCCCAGCAACCGCTGCCTCCGGTGCCACAACACCAGCCTCAGCAGCAACAAGGTGGTTACCAGCAACCACCAGTACCAGCACACCAGCCCCAGTCTCCGGAAGCAATGTCTCCTAAGCAGCAGTCTGCATCTGGTGGAAATAAGGCACCATTACCTTTGGCTACAGACCCAGGTACTGGCCAACGGATCGGACTTGACCATTTCAACTTCCTGGCTGTGCTGGGTAAGGGTAACTTCGGTAAGGTCATGCTTGCTGAAACAAAGCGATCTCGCAAGCTCTATGCTATCAAGGTGCTCAAGAAAGAGTTCATCATCGAGAATGATGAAGTAGAGAGCATCCGCTCTGAGAAGCGTGTGTTCCTGGTTGCCAACCGAGGTAGGCACCCATTCTTGACCAACCTGCACGCATGCTTCCAGACCGAGACCCGTGTGTACTTCGTAATGGAGTATGTTAGTGGTGGTGATCTGATGTTGCACATTCAGCGAGGTCAATTCGGCACCAAGCGTGCCCAATTCTACGCTGCAGAGGTTTGCTTGGCCCTCAAGTACTTCCATGAGAACGGTGTCATCTACCGTGATCTGAAGCTTGACAACATTCTGCTGGCACTTGACGGTCATGTCAAGATTGGTGATTATGGTTTGTGCAAGGAGGATATGTGGTATGGTTCGACAACAAGCACCTTCTGTGGTACCCCCGAGTTTATGGCTCCAGAGGTATGCCCATACTATCTAATCCCTTTTTGTTCTTTGTGCTGACATTTTTCAGATTCTTCTCGATAAGAAGTACGGTCGTGCTGTCGATTGGTGGGCATTTGGTGTCCTGATCTACCAGATGCTTCTCCAACAATCTCCTTTCCGTGGAGAAGATGAGGATGAAATATACGATGCCATTCTCGCCGATGAGCCTCTTTACCCTATTCACATGCCTCGAGACTCAGTCTCTATTCTCCAGAAGCTGCTCACTCGTGAGCCTGACCAGCGACTCGGAAGCGGCCCAACTGATGCCCAGGAGGTGATGAGTCAGCCATTCTTCCGCAACATCAACTGGGACGACATCTACCACAAAAGAGTGCAGCCTCCTTTCATGCCTCAAATTAAGAGTGCTACTGATACCAGTAACTTCGACTCGGAGTTCACCAGCGTTACTCCCGTGTTGACCCCAGTCCAGTCTGGTAAGTCTTTCAGCTTCCGAGTTCTTGATCTTTCACTAACAATGACAAGTTTTATCACAAGCCATGCAAGAAGAATTCCGAGGCTTCTCCTACACCGCTGATTTTGATTAAGCGACTGAAGTAACAAGATTGACGATTTTGCAATATTTTATCGAGACGATGGAGCCGCGGTGGGGTTGTTGTCTTGTCTATCGGATACCCAGGGGCGATAGTGAAATAGATGGCCGGACACCGCGGGCAGGTGATGTCGGTATAGCGAACCTAGGATGGGCGTCTGGATAAGACGCCTTCTTTCCACGTTCGCTGGTTCGCTTATAGCGATTGGCTTTCAGGATATCGGTTGTTGGGCGAGTAAAACGTACGAGGGCATGATCAGTACCGTGCCATATTGAGATGGCGAAGCAAGCGACTCTAGCGGTAGATGAGTATCGTATGCAGCAGCATTTGAATGCATGTTAGTTAATAGAAGCGAGAGAAGAGATATCAAAAATGAGTTGCAGGCGATGGCTTTCGTCATATCTTACCCTATACAGTTGTGATTGATGATGTGTTCTTTGACAAGGTCTACATACTGCTTGATGATTCGTTTTCACATTGTCATAGGTGCGTTTGTAGGTGTGAAGGGGCATTGACATGTTTTAGATATTTTTTTGACCTATATTTTGTTTATTCCATTTATACCTCCGCCTCTTTCTAGGTTTTCTCTATCCTTCTACGATGTGTACTCCTTCTGCAAGAGCTTGGCAATAGTGTTGAGTCTATAACATGTTAGTATTCGCTTCGAAAGGCACTTATTAGGTTGAAACTTACTGGATGTTGCTGGTACCCTCATAAATGGCACCAATCTTGCTGTCACGGAAGTACTTCTCAGCAAGACCCTCACGGACAAAGCCCATGCCACCCATCCACTCAATGGCGGAACCACTGACGCGACCAGCGACCTGAGAAGCATAGAGCTTGGCCATGGCAGCGTCCCTGACAAAGTCCTCACCGGCCTCCTTCTTGCGAGCAGCAGTGTAGACGAGAGCGCGAGCGGCAGTGATCTCGGTGTAGGCCTGGGCGAGCTGGTGCTGCATACCCTGGAACTCACCAACGAGAGAGCCGAACTGCTTGCGGTCGTTCCAGACGTAGCGAGCAGCGTTCTCGAAAGCGCCAAGAGCCAGACCAGTCATCTGGGCAGCGATACCAATTCGGCCCTCGTTGAGAAGGGCGATGGCGTACTTGTAACCGTGGCCACGCTCACCGAGGAGGTTCTCCTTGGGGATCACGACGTCGTCGAAGTTGATAACGCATGTGCTTGAGGCGCGGATACCGAGCTTCTTCTCCTTCTTGGCGATAGAGAAACCCTTCGTGCCCTTCTCGACGATGAAGGCAGTAATGCCCTTGTAGCCCTTGCTGGGGTCGAGGTTGGCGAAGACAATGAAGAACTCGGCCTCCTTAGAGTTTGTGATCCACATCTTGCTACCCGAGATCTTGAAACCGTCGGCGGTCTCAGTGGCTCTTGTGGCCATTGCAAAAGCATCGGAACCAGAGACAGGCTCGGAGAGACAGAAAGAGGCGACGGTGTTTGTCGCAAGGCGAGGGAGCCACTTCTTCTTAATAGCGGTGGAAGCATACTTGATAATAGCTGTGTTGCAGAGGGTGTTATGCACATCAACCAGGACGGAAACAGAGGGGTCTGCACGGGCAAGCTCCTCAATGGCGATAATGGCGGAAGTGAAGTTCATGCCGGCACCGCCGTACTCTTCAGGAATCTCAATACCCATGAGACCCTGCTCGAACAGCTGCTCAACAACAGCAGGATCCATCTCCTCAGCCTCGTCCATGTCACGCGCACGAGGAAGAATCACATCCGTAGAGAACTTGGAGACTGTGTCGGCCATGGCGGCCTCGATCTCAGAGAGGTGGGTGATGGGTGTAGGAGGGATCTCGGAGATGTCGATGTGCTCATTGCGGCGGGTGGATGTTGTAGATAGAGGGCGAGCAGCATTGCTTAAGCGCAGAGTTAGCGATTGCTTCTTGTCATTCTCAAAACTGCACTCACAGGTTTATTCTCGTCAATGTTCGGGGAGCGGTGGCTCGTGTGGCAATGCGCTGTGTAAGACCTCGACCTCCCTGTAGCGCAGGGCGGACGACTCGAGTAAACGACGAAGACATGGTGAGATTCGCGGTGTTGAAGAGAGGAGTGAGGAAGAGCGGTGACTATGTCAGAGAGAAGGAAGGGAAGAGATGCAAGGAGCTGAAGTGGCTAGGTTAGATCGAGGCGTGAGGCGGGTATGTTAGATGTCTGACGATCACAAGCCAAAAGCGACAACCAACAAGACAAGCTCTTTGTATGGTATGAAACAAGAAGATGAAGGCGATAAGAGAACAAGAAGGTCAAGATATCAATTATATTAGCCTCGGTATATACAAGTCATCCATTGCCCCCCGTTGTACGCCCACGCCCTTCCCTTTATACGGCTGAAGCGGTTGAAGAATCTCGCTGCTCGGCCTAGACCAGCCGAGGATAACCACCGAGGTCGAGGATGTCTTCGGTTGTACAGCGGTAATGGAACTTGACTCTGTTTGACTTGGATCGATTTGGGGAAATCTGTTAGCCAATGCGGGATGGGAGATGGGGAGGATTGCGGGGTGGGAAAAGATGCACCGGCGATTAACCGCTGACGTCAAAGATCTAGGTGGGGCATGATAGATCGTGGCATGTGATCTGCTGCACCCGGAGAAACGAAACATCCGACACTGTGTAGCACGTGACGCAGTTTCGGGAGGCTGAGATTTTGATATCGGTATTGCATGAGCTTGGGATTGGGATAGCGAGAGGCCGAATACGGGATCAGTTCGACCACTTCCCACGCGACTTTTCAACCCAATCCGACCATCGACGACTCGCCCAACATGGTCGGCTCCATCCTCCGCCAGTTCTTCTCCCCGGCGACTCGTCGTCCCCTCACCACAGCCCTCTCAACACCACCAAGCCGCCTCATCCAACCAACCATCCGAACATTCACAACCTCAGCACCCCGCGCATTCGCCCCCACAACAGCTCGCCCAGCTACACTGAACCAAGTACTCCGCGGTATCCGAAAAGGCAAGCGCGCACGCCACGCTGTCTCTCCTGCTCTGTCCAACACAAATTGTCCCGCTCTGAAGGGTGTCTGTCTCCGTGTTGGTGTTGTTCGACCCAAGAAGCCCAACTCTGGTGAGCGAAAAACCGCTCGTGTGAAGCTTTCCACTGGGGCTGTTGTTACGGCGTATATTCCTGGCGAGGGACACAATATTCAGCAGCATAGTGTTGTGTTGGTGCGAGGTGGACGTGCACAGGATTGTCCTGGTGTGAGGTATCATCTTGTTCGAGGAGCTCTGGATCTGGTATGTTCAATGCCTGTTGGCCTCGAGTTGAAGTTCTGGCCACATCTATAATACTTGTCGTTATACTAACTACTCCAGGGTGGTGTTGCGAGCCGAACAACAAGTCGAAGCAAGTACGGCACCAAGAAGCCCAAGAAGGCCACAGTTGGTTAAACAATTTTGCATACGGAAATTAAATGGACGAATTGGGTTAAAAGATGGCAAAGCGATGATACAAGACATGTGTCAAAACCAATAGACCTGGCTGCGGCCATGTAATGATATTGTACACTATTTCGAGCATTCAAGAAAGCATTCAAAAGATCCCAGAACATTCTTGATTCATACACTCTACATGATCAAAAGCTGTCCAAAGTGCTTCAAACCCAGACGCCTGTTGTTGGTTCCCGTAAGAACATCACTCAATGCCGACCCATTGTGTGCAGCCCAGAAATCATGCAGACAATCTACCGAGCATTACGACCTGTATGATACAACCCTATACAACCCCATGTTAATAATATTTTGTCTACTGCTGCTTCTCGTAGCCCTTGGGCTTCTCCATGCCGTTGAGCTCGAAGAATCGAGAAGTGCCTGTTGCTTGGTTAGCGTATGATTCTGAAACGGTCTTCAGAAAAATACTTACAAGAGTAACCCTTCCAGTCAAAGTTGTTATCAGGGTTGCAGTGGCAACGAAGATCCAGACGTCGCTGCTCATCAGTGGGGCAGTGAGTGAAAGGAACGTGATAGTAGGCGATATCCTCGAAGAAGTGAATCTGCTCCTTCTTAAGGAGAAGACCAGCAGCGATAGAATGGACAGGAGCATCACCCCATCGCTCGTAGAAGAAACCACCGTCCTTGTCAAGAGACTCGAAGAAATCGAGGTAAGGCTTGCTTCGGAGCCAGGACAAGCTACCAACCTCAAAGTTGGACCACTAAACTCAATTAGCTGTGAAACGGGTGATAACTAGAGCTTAACTTACGAAATGGCACTTGTTGTAGTTCTCACCACCGTCATCACTGAGGAAACGCATGGAGTTGTCGGAAGAGATATGCTCGGGGTGGTTCTGCATGAACTTCTTGGTGCTAGCCCAGAGGGTAGGAATGGTGTCGATGTACTCGTAAAGAGAGAGAACAAAACTGTACTTCTTGTTGTTCTCGTGCATGACACGGAAGGGGTCGTAGTGGATGTCGCAGAAGAGCTTGACGGAGGGCTCAACACGCCAGTAGTACTCGTAGTTCATCATGAGTTCCTGTCGGAAGAAGAAGCCAGACTCAAATCGGCACATGTGACGGTAGCTGATAGAATCACCATAGATAATCTTTCGCTCGTGCATATCCTCACGGACCTTGCGGGCCTTCTCCTGGTCAATCCACTCAGGGAAAGACCAGTGCTCCTCGGGAATCAGACCATAGTGAGTCTTACCAGAGCAGAGAGAAGTGGTGACCTTCTTGAACTGCTCATCGAAAGGCTTGTCATTGAGAAAGACCCAGTCGTAGTTGTATCGGCGGTTGAAACGATCCTCGACTTGTCGAATGGACTCGGCGATCTCCCAGACGTCCTGGTTTCGAGCAAGAGTGACAAATGTAGCGTTCATGCGGGGACCGGGAGCAGTGCCCTGGAGGTTGTTCCAGCCAGGGTCGTTGGGGGACATAGCCAGAGGAGCCTCAGCAAGCTCGCCTGAAGCAGGACCCTCTTTGGGAGTCTGAGGAGCAGGAACAGCGGGGGCATCGCCAGCAGTACCGGCACCCTCGCCGGCGGGCTTCTGAGCGGGAGCATCGTCCTTGGTGAGAGCAGTGTCTCCCTCCTCAGCAACAGGTGCTTGCTGGCCGGGGAAGTTGACGTTGTTGCCGGCATCAGGGGATTTGGGGATGGTGCCAGGAGCTTGCTGCTGATTGCTGGGGCTTCCAGGACCGCCTGGGAAGTTACCGACACTGCCAGGAACGGGGATGGTATCGATCTTGGAATTGGAGAAGAAGTAGAACATGGTGAGCGTCTAAAGGAGTCGGGTTAGCAGGTGGCAACGTAAGCCATCATGAGCATCAGAGCCCATGGGACACGAATGAATGAGGTGACGTACGAAAAGCGCGAGCGCAATATAGCGCACGTAGCGCGTATGACCTGCAGCCATGGCGAAAGAAGAATTGACGATACGAAATCGTCAATATAAGAAGAGTTCAAATGAAGTGGGAGGTTTGAACAGAAGACAAAGAAGAAAGATGGATGATCCAAAGTCGATGTTTCGGTCGCAGCGCGCACGGGGAAAAAAGACACCTAGAGCACCTAGCAGCCCGCCTAGGCAATTACGTTAGTAGGGAGCCAGGGACTGAGGGGCTCCAGTAAAAGGAACGGTCGGTGATCTTTCTGAACTAAAAAAAGATGGTCTAGTTTGTCCTTCACGAAGCGAAGAACAAGGTCAATATCGTGAACCAGAACAACTAATTAAGGAGAGAAAAAGAGATGGTTTACGATGAGGGATGAATATTCACGAATTGGGTATGTGCAGGGAAGTATCTACTTATTCTAATACAAAAAGACAATTTGGATCAATGGCACGCAACGAGTTGCTGGAGAGCACTGGAATGAGATGAACAACGTGTTCTGGGGGAACAAGCCCAACCCTTGATCGTCAATTCTAGGCAAAGTCAGGTACACACGGCGACTAGAGAGGCACAGCTTGTCCTGATAAGAAGAGGGTGACTCGAGGTATCTTCGGCAGGGGTTTAAAGGTAAAATACCTGATTTCCAGCACTTGGCAGCACTAGAACGAAGTATTCGTGAAATGATATGTACTTGGTATCCCCTGACGTCCAGGGGGTGTATCCCGTCTGTTAGCGCATCTCAGCTTCGATTAATGGCTTCTGTGTCAAACTATTGCCGAGTCCAGACGCTTTTGGAGTGAGTCTAATGACATCCAATGCAATAGCAAACTTTTTTCAGCTTATTCTCTCCCACAAGTCCGTTCAGAGAAAGGTGGATTTTGTTCGTTGTCAAGATTACGACGACATGCAACAGGAGACTGATCTGTTTACAGGGATGCCCCAACCTTGGAAATCTCCATTGCCATCGACTTGATTCAGATGTAACAGCTCTTTTAGGTTTCGCCATGCGCCTCTTACAGAATGTTGAGGAATGGGGGATCTGCAGTCATTCAAGCCTCAAATTGAGAAAGTTTCTCTACAGCCAATCGAGGCCTGAATTGGGAAAAGTGTTGCACGTCGAATGCATCACCAGTTTTTCTCGTATCGTTGAATGAGATGGAGGTGCCCCTTTTTACGTTTCCTGGGCTTGTTTTAGGTTGGCAGCTTACAGGAACCTTGCGTCAAAGGAACGCTGCAACCAGCCTGTAGCAGTTCCCGATTTCCTATCTTCTCTCCACTGTACGAGGTAGCCAATTGTTTATTGTTGATCTCCGAAGTCGTTCGTTCCGTTTTTGCTGTCTGTTAGTTGACCTCCTCAACCTCGAATTGAGTCTCTCGGCTGATATCCTTGGTCTTGGATCGATAACCTTATTCAGGCTCAAACTCATGATCCGTTCCGTATGTCTAATTGACTGACTGTTTATTCCCATTAATGTTTCACCTAAGATCTGTAACTTCGCCATCAAGAGCCCTCTCAAAGTCAACTACCGTACCACGCGTAACCGATGATATCGACAGAGTAGAAAGCCTATCATGTTTAATAAAATAATTCAAGTCAATATCAATTAAAAACGTCATTGGAGCCATTGACATGTATATCTTATGACAAAGGGCTAACAACACAACACAGTGAAGTACCTTATTCTTACAATATCAAGATGAAATCTTCATCCTCTTATATAGGTAATTTCTTTTATATCCTCATAATGTTACATATCCTAGTCTAAGCTTGTAAATAGTATACAAGTTTTGTATGACTTTTGGTCCTGATTGTATGGCCTCGATGAAGGTCAACAATGCATTCACGTGATCCTGCACGTGAATGCATGTACCTTCATCCAGCCGCATGTGGGGGAAGCGGGCTTGGAGAACAACGTTGGCACTTCGTCGCATCATCGTCGGCATCAGAGCTTCGCCGCGCATCAACATCGCAGCCCGCTCTCTCCCAAGCGGCTGTCCACCCTTTCAGCTTACAAACCTCATTGATAGAGTTTCCGAACACTTCTAACAACCTTTCCACAGCCAACATAGCGCTATATTCGCATGCTTGGCCACGATACAAACATCTTGAACCCAATTTACTGGAAGACATCATGATAGATTTGTGCGCGCTGAACGATCCTGAACATATCTCATTCTCTTAGTGGTGAGTGGATTTACCTCAGCTGTCGCTTTCCTACCCTGCTCGCTTCCCCCGGCTTGGTCATTGCTGGATATGTATGTCCGGGAAACCCCTCGACGCCCTTGGACCTAAGGACGAATTATGGGTGGCACAAGCTTCATTCAACGCGAAACCTTTACAGACGACTCAGGCATCGGGAAAGTTTCTTCTTTTTCATACTGGCAGTGATATGCGCCACATGATGAACAGCGCTACAAAGTCAAGCAGCTTCGACCAGGACGAGGTCATATAAGAATACGACTCAGGATGCAGAACAAGATGAACAATAGAAAAATCCGCCATCGCAGCCATTACGAACAATCCATCAGCGACCCGAATACTTGAGATAAGAAGCTTGATATCTGGTCCAGGGAGGTTATGGGGCGTTTCCTGAGGATACCTCGAGCGGGGCACGGAGCTCAGAGCGACTACAGTCGATTGGCGTTTGTACTAATTTCTTTCATAGTACAATCGACGTCCACTTGCCCAAATTCTTTCAAAATGTCCTTCTTCGGTTTCGACACCACGCGCCATAACACGGCTGCGCCTGGCTTCTCCCAATCTCACGATCCATTTGCTGGTTTATCAGGCAGGGATGGCGATGATGATGCTCTAGACTTCGAGGAGACTTATGACGGTCTTGGAGACCAGCTCGAAGAGACTGGAGACGCATTCAACGACGACACCTTCGGTGACAGTGGCCCGGCAGTCTCTCGCAGTGCTGGCAAGGATTTCGACTTCTTTGGCCAGACTGCCAAGGTTGCGGATGCCATTGAGGAGGAGCATCTTCGCTACAATCGCCAGGGGCCTGCGGCTAAACCTGCTGCTTCTGCTCAGGCTCATTCTTCCGTCAACCAATATGCCTCGGCCGACTACCAGTCTTACTACTCTAACCAGCCTTATCAGCAACAGTCTTACCAACAGCCTGTGCGATCTGGTTACGAGAAGTACCGCGAGCCCGAAGCGCTCCCTGATCTCCATGTTGACCGAAGCATCTGGGGCATTGGGCCGTCTAAGCCAGCCCAGCAAGCATCGCCGGCTCCTGTTCCTGCAGCTCAGCCTGCCCAGCATGCACCCAGTCGCAAAGTCATGAGCTTGGAAGAGGTCGAGGCCGCCATGCGATCTCAGCCCAAGCAGCAGACACCTCAGCCACATGCCGCAGATCTTTCCTATCAGCAGCCGCCTCACGGATTTACTGCTCATCAGCAACAGCCTCCTCAGGCCCATGGTCATGGCCATCCGGTGACTATTCTGCAGAGGCCCCAAAGCACTCAATCGAAGCCCACGCCGCCAGCCCCGGGTCTTCAAGCGACTCCCGTTCAGCATCAGCAGCAGCTCCATGCCAACCCGACCCAGATTCTGCAGAATCCCAACCGCGCCGGCCCAGATGCGCATGTTCCACCTCAGCATGGACACCACTCCAAGCAGTCCCACGGTGCCATCCCTAATGCCGCGCAGTTACAAGCTCATCCCCAAATGCAGCAGATGTCCGAAGAAGAGAAGGCCGCCTATCTGGATCAAGAGACCAAGAGGGCTAAGCGAAACCATAAGATCTGGCTCCTGTCGAAGGACAACGGTTTGATGACTCCCCAGGACAAGAACTTCATCACCCGTATCCAGCTCCAGCAGCTTGTTTCCGCTACCGGCAACCCTGTTGAAGGGTCTGATGCCTCAATTGCCGAGGACTTCTACTACCAGGTTTACAGCCATATTCGAGCTGGCCAGCGCCAAAATCCTAGCCAGCCTCTGAGCAACTTTGCCCAGACATATCTATACCAGACTGGTAGTCGTCAGGGTGGTATGCGTCGCCATGGACGTCCCGCTGAGAACCACTTCCAACGAATGGAGCAGCAGGTTCAGCGTGCTGTCGAAGCTGCCAAGAACAAGCCCAAGAACCCTCAGCTGGTCATTGCAGGTAGTCTAGGAAAGATCTCCTTCAGCAACGCGAAGACCCCTAAGCCTCTCCTCAGCATCAAGCGCACCGAGAGTGAGCATCAGCGCCCCAACAATGGCAAGAAGGGTTCTAGCCTTGATCGAAAGACCATCCTCCGAAACGTCGAGAAGGTTTATCAAACTCTGATGCAAATCGAGGACCATGTTCGGCTTATCCCACCCCCTATGACCGGTCCCGATGAGGAGCTTGAGAACAAGCACAAGGAGTGGGCCACCATTCTAGAGACCTACAACGCCAAGCTCTGGCAAGAGCTCAAGGTCCACGAGCAGATTGGTGTTGTTGTTCCTCATCCATTCATCGCTTTCTTGTCTTGTGCCAAGGGTGAGAAGGCCATTCCTCGTCTCTTCCCTCATCTCTCTTTTGAACAACGAACCACTATCTTGACCATGATTATCTATCATCTCGACCAATTGGATGTCGTCCAGGGCGCTGCTATTACACCGGGCGAGGTGACAACCATCAACGCACGCATGCGTGAGAAGATTGAACTTTTCATCTCTACTGTCATGCCATCACTGATGCAGTATTTCAACGACACTGGCCTGGATATTGTTGATGGAGTTTTGAATCTGATTGCCACCAAGCTCAACGTCGATCTCATTGCTAGATCAAGAATTGGTGTGTCAATGTTGACACTTATTCTCAGTCGTGCCGTGCTTCTCAAACAGACAGGCGCCGGCACTCCTGAGCAGTGGGATAACTGGTATGTAAATTCTGGACCGTGAATCACAACTTTGACTAACAAGCATCAGGGATCGAACATTTGAGATCTTGTTCAGTAGACTCGAACCTTCGCTGCCTTACATTTTCCCTGGTAGCGTCAACACTGGAGAGGACGTCTATGTATGGCAGCTTCTTGCAGCTATGGGCGTCAGCGCCACTCACGATCAACAAACTCGTCTGGTCCTTGCTGTCAAGGACCGTGTGCTCGACACTGTCACTGTTTCAAAGACTCTCCCCCCCGCTATGGGAGCAGAGCGGCTGAACAGTGTCAATTTGTTCATGCGATCCATTGGTTTGGATGTCGAGCTTCTCCAGTAAACACATGTTTCGTGAGCATGCATACAGGCTATTGTCGGTGATTCTTGGGCTTTTTTCTTGGGCTGGCATATGAGAGCGCTCAAGACGACCGGGACATGCAGGATGCAACACAACACAACAAACAGGGTTTACATGCTGGCGAAAATATTATTGGGAGCGGTTCAGCGTATAGGCATACTGGGTGTACAAAACTCGTAACCCCTGATATGGCGAGTGCCTAGCGCTTTCATGTATACCGGCATTACAGTCGGATGATCATCACTAACTCACGGAGAGAGTTTGGGAGGACTCTTGTCCATTGAGGAAATAGGTTATATCGTATTTGCAAATTTTACACGTTTTTGGCAAAGCTTTTTTATACTGTGACTTTTGCATTCCTTATATAAAGTTGATAGATCCTTTGCGCCGTCCCATGCAACCTATTTAGTCCCCTGAGTTTACTTCTAGCACCAGACTTTCACTCTTCATCCATCAACGTTGGCCGTTTTTGAAGCTGTAGCTCGAGGTCTACCTCCCCGTCGAGGAACGGTCCCCGCCGCTCCACCTCGTGGTCGAAGCTTGGGCTTTCGTGCCTCCTCCGCCCCTGGCGCAGGTTGCTCTGGCTGCTTGACGGGAGCAATTGGCTTGGGATCTTCTTTAACAGGTTCTGGCGCCGGTTGTGGCTTCTTAATACCACTAACAGCTTCAAGAAGCTCGTCATCATCCCATCGACGAGCGAACTTTGGCACAGACTCCTCAAGGGGTGGCTCATTTTCCTCCGCATCATCGGCTTTCTCTGCTCCTTCCGCGGCCTCCTCTTGAGTAGGGCGCAGGAAGAGGCTTTCGTTATAAACCTCCCAGGCAGCCTCCTCATTCTCATCTGTGTAGTGCATAGTTCGCCAATGCTCTGTCTGCACAGATCGTAGACGATCAGCCATGGTTTCGGTGGTAACCGTATCACCATCGCCAGTAGCCTTGACAGTCATATGAATTGCGCGAGCAGTGCCGGCTGCAGTGCTGGGCGCCGACTCCTTAGTAGCCGCGTCTTGGCGTGCTTGCTGGACAGTTGCGTCGATGTGGTGAAGTTGTGGGCGTAGATGAACAAGTGATGATACAGGCGTGAGATGCAAGTCCTCTGGCGATGTGTTAGAAGATATATGGACTCAAGAGCCAATGTGACTTACTGCCTTGAAAGACACCAACCATATGCTGAACCTCCTTATACTCAGGATACTGCCCACCAAGGGTCTGTGTCCGAAGCACTTTATCCTGCCTAACGGCCTCTGCCCAATCCATGTTCTCCTGTTCATCCTCGGCCTTTTTCCTGCCACCTCGAGCCTGGACCGTACCGAAGCCAAATCCGCCAGCCAATCCATGACTGCCGCCATTCTTGGTCGCCATAGAAGCATGCAATGTCTTTCCCCACTTTTGACCCTTCTCGCGATCATAGGCGACTGTGTTGTCTAGGGGCACATCGACTTCAACCATACCTGCTTGAGCCTTCACTCGCAATTCGGTCGGTGGAGGTCGTGGGGAGTCATCGGTTCGGTTAGGATGTTGGAGAACGAGAAGACGGCGGCCTAAAGGCAGAGAGGGATTGATAAAGACGTTATATGTTGCGGTGACTGGGTCATCATCGTCGTCGTCTATCGTGGTAGGATTGTTGGCTGTAGAGGGCTTGACGCCAGAGTCAATGTCCATATCATCGATGTCCATTGAGGCCGTGGGAGCCGGTGTATTCGACGTTGTAGACATCTTATGAAATTATTTGTAAGGAAACAGAGCTCTTCTGCACAAATTGCCAGTCAAGAACCTGACTAGGCCTTGTTATTCGCTTTCGGTTTGGATGACTCTACGTCGCTCTCCAAGTTCGCTTTGCGACAACCACAATGCGCAGCTGTTTCTAGAATACCTTTGGCTCGTATGTCGATACCGAGTATATACACGGGTTTTGTACCGGTATCTTAAGCTTCGGCGTTTTTGCGACAGGGTTTAGATGCGAAGTAAGTCAGACTGAAGGTTGCAAGTTTAGAGGGCTGTCAACGCTGGGAGGGGCGATTGTAGAGAAATTTCCATGTTCGTCCCCCGCCAAAGTTTAGACCGTTATCTTATCAGTAACAGCAATTCGAGAGTCCCAAGCCAAAGATGAGAGTCACTCAGTCATGCCCCAATTGTAATAAGTAGCTGACTTATTTCAATAGAGATGTAATCTTGGATGGAAGAAGTATTTACTGCATTTGTGATGCTTTTCCAGTAAAGCAGCCTATTTGCATTGATAATTTCTCAACACGCAGTCCGAATTTTAAACTCCATTGAATCCAGCAGGCATATGGCCATGAAACGACATCCGTAGATCGTTTCGTTTCTGGGCACCCCAGAGGCCAGAAAACATATCTATTAACATCAAACAGTCTATCGACCCTTTCCACGGTCGCGGCGTCCACCCTCCAATACCTTGACTCTCTTGTTGAATCTCTCTCCAATACCACCTCCCATACCACTTCCACGGGGTCCATCCGTTGTGTCGATTCCACGCTTTCGGCTCTTGTCCAGAAGAGCACGAACGTTCCCACCTGATTGCTTGCGCTTGGTAAGACGATCGATACGGTCGACACCCTCTCCCAGGTTGTGCCAATCCTCGCCACCAAACTGCATGCGGTTGCTGCGACCAGCCTGCTTCGCCTTCTGAGCTCGATCTTTCTTGCTCTCCTTGGGAAGACGTGTAAAGTTCATTTCCTCGTAATCCCGGCGCTCTGCCTCCTCCTTTCGCTCGGCGTCGGTCTTCATCTTGCGACCTCCCTGGACAATTGTGGTACCAATACTGGGCTCCGCCAAAGGTGCACTGGATAGCTCTGAGGCGACAAATTCTTCCATGGTGTGAGACTTGCCGGCGCGACGATCGTGCTTCTCGCGTCGTTGAGGCGCATCCATTGTGGCACGGTCTCTCTTAGGTGGGCGGTATACACCCGCAGCTCCCCCATCACGCTCCGCTCGGCGAGCAGTAACATCATCAGCCATGGCTCCAAAGTTGCCGGGCTTGTGAGACAGAGCTTCAGCATCTGTTTCCTCCTCTGAGTCGTCCTCTTCTTCCTCAGAGTCTGATCCAGCCGCGGCCTTGGCTTCCTTTGCCTGTCTCTCGCGCTCTGCATCGTCTGCTGTTCGGAGGAATCGATCAATGGAGAAGCGCAACTTCTCTTCCAACGGTCGGGCTCCCCTTTCCAAGTAAAGTCGTAGCTCAACCAGCTTTGCCCTCACAGATTCGTCGAGTTCGGAGTCGTCTTCGGCTTTATCCGAGTTTGATTTTGAGTTGCGCAATTTGAGCAGGATCAAGAAGACTAAGTTTTGTAGGTATGAGAGGAGAAGTTCATTCTTCACATCGAGAAGTGAAATGCCATCCTTCTGGTGCTCGATGGCTGCGAGTTTTGGTGTGACCTCGAGTGCTGATGACAGCGACTGGGTTAGCGACGTCAATAGCGCCGGTAATGTTGTAGGTGCTGCCATGGTGATCTGTTTGACTGAGACTTGAAATCTCTAGACAATTGAAAACTGATGTCTCGTCGAAAAGTTTGGAGTACTTCAACTTTTTAGCGGGGCGTTCTTGGCTTGGCTCCACATTCCTGCCTCGACAGCCACAAACGCCACAAATCCCCTGTTTCAGTGCGTGGCTCATTCTCCTGACTCAGCTAATATCTCCATGACAGATTACAGCAAGTGCCTTGTAGCTCCCTGTTTGATGATTTACTCTCGCAGCTGTTTCGCTGGCCTGATTCACCACACGATCCTTTATATCATTGATCGGACGATATAAGAGGCAGAAACTGAGTAAAACTCTCAGTGATTACTTGATTTTTAATTTTCCTTCCTCATCGACTCGAAATTGCGGGTCGCGCAAGTCGTCGTCAGCTGGAGCTTTGATCGACAGCTTCACATCTCGGCTTTCGCAATCCTCCTTTGTTAACCTCTATCGGTCTGCGCATGATCTAACTTTCCAATATGCATTTCCGAGACTTTGCGCCTCGTACGGCGCTTGTCAGCTCGCTTCTGGCTATACCACAGCTAGCTTCTGCTTTCTACCTCCCCGGTGTCGCCCCAACTACCTACAAAGAGGGAGATAAGGTTCCGCTTTACGTGAATAGCATCAAGCCTGTCGACCGCTCCCAAGATCCGCGACTACACGCCGTTGTCTCGTACGACTACTACCATCCTGCCTTCCAATTCTGTCAACCTGAAGGCGGCCCTCAATATGTTTCGGAAAGTCTGGGTAGTATTCTCTTCGGAGACCGCATCATGACTTCTCCTTTTGAGCTTATCATGGGCAAGAACGAGACGTGCAAACCCCTCTGCAAAGTCAAATATACCGAGAAATCGGTTCAGTTTGTCAAAAGCCGCATCGAACAGGGCTACAGTCTGGAATGGCTTGTGGATGGATTGCCAGCGGGACAGGAAGTTCTCGATCAATTAACCGGCACTACCTTTTATAATCCCCGATTCTTGCTTGGCCAGGATGATAAGGACGACAACATTCTGTTCAATAACCACTACGAAATCGCCATCGAGTACCACGAGGTGAACAAGGACCCCAACCAGCGCCGTGTCGTCGGTGTGGTTGTGCAGCCAAGTTCAAAGGAGTACGGCGGCAAGGCTGATTGCGCCAACCACCCGCCCATCGTTTTATCTGGGGGCGAACAGCATGTTGCCTTCAGCTACAGCGTGATCTGGCGCAAGTCCGACACTGCCTGGGCCACTCGATGGGACAAGTACTTGCACGTGTTTGATCCTAAAATCCACTGGTTCTGGCTTATCGATACTGCTATCATTGTTGTCATCCTTGTTCTCACCGTCATGTCCATCCTGGTCCGCGCTCTCAAGAAGGATATTGCTCGTTATAACAGACTCGACCAGATCGACCTCGACGACTTTGGCGGTACCTCGGTTGTTGAGGATGGTGTTCAGGAAGACTCTGGCTGGAAGCTGGTCCATGGCGACGTCTTCCGAACCCCTTCGCGTCCTCTTCTGCTCTCAATCCTGGCCGGCAATGGTGTTCAGCTGTTCTGCATGACAGGCTGTACCATTCTCTTTGCTCTCCTTGGATTCTTGTCTCCTTCAAACCGTGGATCCCTTGGAACAATCATGATCCTCATGTATACTGTCCTTGGCTTCGTTGGTGGTTATGTCTCTGCTCGAACTTACAAGGCATGGCAGGGTGAGAGCTGGAAGTTGAACATTGCTTTGACCCCTACCTTGGTTCCCGGCATTGTCTTCTCCAGCTTCTTCCTCCTGAACCTTTTCCTCTGGGCCAAGCAGTCATCAGGGGCGGTTCCTTTCACCACCATGCTTGTGATTGTTGCTATCTGGTTCATTATTTCGATTCCTCTCTCGTTCGGTGGTTCCTGGGTTGGATTCCGATCTCCTCAGTTCCAACCCCCTGTCCGTACCAACCAGATTCCACGACAGATTCCTCCCGTGAGCACTTACCTTAAGCCTGTCCCTAGCGTGCTCATTGTCGGTCTTCTTCCCTTCGGTGCCATCTTTGTCGAGCTCTTCTTCATTATGAACTCGATCTGGTTCAGCAGGATCTACTACATGTTTGGCTTCCTGTTCCTCTGCTATGGTCTCATGATCGTTGTCTGCGCTGCTGTCACTATCCTCATGGTATACTTCCTGCTATGTGCTGAGAACTACAACTGGCAGTGGAGATCTTTCCTCGCTGCTGGTATGAGTGGTGGCTATATCTTCTTGAATTGTCTTTTGTACCTTGTTACAAAGGTCAGGGCGAGTGGATTGGCTGGTATTGTGCTCTACATGGGCTACAGTGCCATCATTTCATTCCTCTTCTTCATTCTTACTGGTAAGTTCTTTATAAATCCTCCTTTACGATGACATTCTGACCTTTGCAGGCTCCATCGGCTACTTCGCCAGTTGGTGGTTCGTTCGCAAGATCTACTCGTCCATCAAGATTGATTAAGAGACGACCATGCACCAATTATGACGAATGGATCATCAACGACAAGTGACTAATGAACAAGAGACGGAATTTTGGTGTTTGTAAAATACATGTACGACCAGCGTCTGGAATTCGCGTTTACCATGAGCCGTGCTTTAAGCTGCAAACAAGTGCCAGATCGGCGAGATTATGGTGATAAGGATCGGTGGTGTTGCATCAGCACGCTGCGAGTACGGAGTAGATTCATTTTCATTTAGACGGATATCAAAATCAGGCCAGTGCCAACAGAGCTGGGCCGTGTTGGCTATTGACGAGGAGGTATTGTTCTGCATTGTTTTTAAGCTTATTATAGATATCAAAAATTCGTTGGCTTATTTCCTCCTGCTCAATCGTCGTCGTCATCGTCATCCAAATCATCCAGATTAGTAAACTGGAACTGGGCCTTTTGCTGTGGAGGTCCAGTTGGGCTCCTTTGTTCGCCAGGGGCAGCCGGACCACCAACCAGACTTGCACGTCTCCAAGCCTCTTGCTCCTTTTCTCTCTGGCGTTCTCTCTCGATGCGCTGGCGCTCGCGTTCCTCACGTTGCTTCTTTTCGCGCTCTTCCTGGGCAATACGGTCCTCTTCTTCCTTCTGCTTTCTCTCCTCTTCCTCACGACGCTTGCGCTCTTCCTCCTCGGCAGGATCGTAGCCCTTGGGGTCGATGCCCTGCTCCTGGAGGAGCTGGTTAGCAGCCAGGGAGCCAGCGCCAAGCTGAAGGTCGTTTGGCCAAGGGAGGAAGATCTGGTCAGTCAAGGGGTTCAAGAACTGTGTCCACTCGCTGGGCAGGACGGTGTTGGCCGACATGGAGGACTGTTGAGTCGCGGGTTCCTGGGAGACGACTGGTGTACCATTCATGACTGCCGGGCTTTGAACCTGAGACGATGGAGGCGCAGATGGTGTCATGACTGAAGCTGCTTGCGACTCGGGTCCTGGAGTCTGGGCTGCTGGTGTTTGACCGCCTGGAGTTTGAACTTCCGGGACATCTGGCGTCGGTGGTACGGCTTTAATAGTGCCTGCTGGTGGCATAGTCGTTTTGCTGATACGTCGGGCATAATTGAGCAGTTCTTCGTAGGCGATGGGGTAGCTTGGGCCAGAAGGAAATGTGGTGGTTTGCGTCGTCACGATATCCTTGCGAGTAGTCGCTAGATTCGAAAGAGTATCGCGGATCTGCGTATCAAGGGCGTTTGAAGATTCGCGCAGTTGTTGAATACGTAAATAATTGTTCTGATGAGTTTGGACTGAGAAGTGAATTAGCTAAAACATTCATGGCTGGCCAAGTCGTATGAATTACCTTCTTTCAAGCCTCTGCTTAGTTCTTGGTCTGCTGCATTGAGCTCCTCTCCTTGTTGTATAGAGGGATGGTATTTCGTGACTGAATCAATTAGATTTGCGAGAGCTTTCTCTACTCGCTCAAAGCGACCATCGATATATTTGTCCATCACAAGATCGTGGTTGATCACGGCGACTTTTCTAGTATCAAGTGATATGAAAGTAAATAAAAGAAAGGTCAAAGGCAAGGCTGCTATAGCAGACCGAAGCTTGGAAGTCAAAGTGGGTCCCCGCCTGCGGTTATAATTGGTCGGCTGCCCCAGAGCTTCTTTTAGGCCTGAGGCCAAACAAACCCGATCTTTCCCGTTCGGCAAACTCGCGCAACCACGTTCAAGGCCTTCTTTTACGACGACGACATCGACAAGCAATTGAACGACGCAACAGGCTTCCACCGCCCTACAATTCAAGATGGTCTCCTACGTACGTCCGAACCCTTCGATACGACCGCCGAGAACTAGCTACAGATATTCACGAATGGCTCGAGGCGTCTTTCACCAAGTGTGCAATCGACTGACGTGATTCTCACCAGACTCCCATCCGCATGTCGGAATTCAAGAGCAACTATGGTCCTAAGTACGTTATACCAGTCTACAATCCCCTAACGTCGAATTCGAAGCGCACTGTCAAGGCACAAGCGAACTACGACTCTCGACATCCTCGCAAGGGTTCATATGGAATAGTGACGTTGGCTAATACTCTGGAATAGGTACCATCCTCAGCCCAACGTTGCTGGCATCACCCCCCAGTCTGCCTTCCGAATGTAAGTGCACAACTCCAAACCGAATTTGCGATCGAGAACCGAATATGCAAGCGAACCGACTTTCAATCTCCTTTCCGTTTCTCCGAAGTCTTGGAATGATCAACCGCGGCTGAGATGGACATGGCGGATGATAGATTGAGACTGGATTAGAGATTTTGCTGAACGACCGATCGTTGTACTGTGGATGGGAACTGACTGGGTTATAGCGGCTCCCGTCTGGCTATGTACGGTGCCCCCGCCGCTGTTGCTGTCCTCCTCTTCGCCAACGGTATCCCTCGTGTGCAGCGCGATGTTCTCCAGGTACGAATCACCTTCTCTCGACACTATTTGATCATGATATTAATTCCTATACAGAAGATCCCTTTCCTTGGCAACTACTTCCGAAAGGAGATCCACCCCGCCGACAACGTAAGTCTTGACTATGATACGAAGCATTGGGGTCGGTTATTAATAGTCTGTATAGCCTTTCTAAGTTATCTGGTGGACTTGAGGAAGATAGACGTTGTTCAGCGCCCCTGCCGGCTCTCCTTGTATAAGATATTCCAATAGACATGTTATGAGCCTTGAATTTTGCTGTGAAATGTATGGCCTGTGATTGGTTGATGCCTCAGTGGTTTACTTGTAGGCAGAGACATGCCTAGCAACTTATGGAAGTCCTCTGCAAAAGAATAGACCTGTGATGGCATGGAAGAGTTGAATAGAACGATTCCTATCACTGTTATAGTCTACAATAGGTATCCTTGGGCTGTCACATGTTGCTTTGGACCATTTGGGGTTGTTGATATGATGTTCCACTCATTAAAGTACAGTGCCACTAACTCACTGCGAAACACTGTTCTCTCTCCTACATGTACAACTTGCCCGTCTTATACAATTTCAAGCTGACTTTCGCCATTCATTTATCCTTCACCTTTCCTAATTGTTGTCTCTCTTAACAGAAATCTTTGGCTTCTTCATGCCATGAGAGGATTCTAATTGTTCCAGCACGATCTCTTTCGCGTTCAGCTAACTGCCGGTGAACACTTGTCAAGATGGAGCTATCTCAAGGATACAAGACAGTAGCAGCCTTCATCATTGCGCTACCTCTTTTTGTCTGGCGATTTAAGAACTCTTCAGGTCCTAACTCGCGCTTAGAGGGTTTCTTCTTTTATTGTCTTTCTGTCGCTTCTGTCTCTTGGTTGTATGCCGTCTCAGTACTAGTCCCTGAGCCTTACCTGGTACGCCTCATCTTATGTCGTACTCATTGCACAGATGCTAACTAGAGTTAGGATGAAGTATTCCATATACCGCAGGCGCAGAAGTACTGCCAGGGTAGGTTCAAAGAGTGGGATGACAAGATTACGACACCACCAGGGCTGTAAGTTTCACGCGCTTCTATACCCCTAAGCAAATGCTGAGCCCAGTACAGTTACCTTCTCTCTCTTGTAACACCTGGAGTTATCCGTCCTAGTAGTTCAGTAAGTGGATACTTCTGCGACGTCAAGAGTCTACGAGCTACCAATGTCGTTGTTCTGATGATACTCGCCTTCTTGGTCCTGAAGTGCCGTAGAGAGATCGAGGCACGTCTCTATGAAGCTCATACCTCGACCCGGCTACGCAATACTTCACAATATGCAATTCACACCGCACTCAACGTCGCCCTCTTTCCTCTTCTCTTCTTCTTCTCTGGACTTTACTACACCGATGTTGCATCTACTGCAGCCGTCCTGGTCGCGTACTTGAACCACTTGAAGCGCATTGGTCGAGATCGTAGTTCTGTCTTGAACGATCTAACAACAATCTTCCTTGGAATTGTCACACTTTTCTTTCGCCAGACCAATGTCTTCTGGGTAGTTGTGTATATGGGTGGCCTAGAAGCTGTCCATGCTGTCAAGACATTGCGGCCAGAGCAGGTTGATCAGCCAGTTATCTTGACGCTCTTTAGGCAGATCAAATATTTTGCATGGAGATATTCCCTTGGCGATGTCCATGACCCCCCACTGCGCATGATGTGGCCAGATGGTAAACCAGCTCTTTCCTATAGGTTAACTTGTCACTAACTGAAGACCAGACATGCTCTTCTGTGTATTGAGCCTGGGAATCGCAGCGATTTGCAACCCAATCCGCCTCATTAGGCAAATATGGCCTTACGTTGCTGTCCTTGTCTCATTTGGTGGCTTCGTAGCATGGAACGGTGGTGTTGTCCTCGGTAAGTACTCTCTTTGCATCGTGTCAAGTCTGTGGCTAACGGCACAAGGTGACAAATCCAACCATGTTGCTACTATCCACCTCCCACAGATGCTCTACATATGGCCTTTCTTTGCTTTCTTCTCTCTGCCACTTCTGGCACCGTATGCCCTACCCGTCATTAACATAGGACTGCGAATACTTCCGCAGGCTGGATCGCCTACATCAACTAGCAAACCAGCCCCCGAGGCAGAGACCAATGCAGAGCCGGCCTCATTTTCCTTCAGCAAGTCACGAAGGTCAGGAAGCTCTGAGAAAGACTCGGCGACGGGCAGCTCGGACAGAAAATACCCACGTCCATCGAAGCCACTGGAAATCGCCAGCTTCATCTTTGGGATTAAGCTCATACTCTGGCCCCTCTACCTCCTTGCGACCATAGTGCTCTCACTCGCCATCGTCCGCTACAACACTATTATCCACCCCTTCACTCTGGCTGACAACCGCCATTACATGTTCTACATCTTTCGATACACCATCCGACGGGCTTCTTGGATTCGATATGCTTTGGTTGTCCCCTATACCTTGTCTCGGTGGATGACGTGGGGTACCATCGCTGGCTGTTCCCAGTTCTTCACTATTCACACGCGTGCCTGTTCTGTTTATGGGAATGGAACAGGAAATCCTCCCTTCCTGAGTCATCCTATGGTGACTAACGTTGGGTTTTCGCCAAGACAGACTTATACTCCCTTTCCAGCTGAGATAATGGAGAATTCTCAGGATACTTCCAAAGATCAAGAACTGAGCAAGGCTTTGGAGGATGACCCTCTTCTTGCTTCCGTTATACCAGCTTCCACTTCGACCGGACTCATATTCTTGCTTGCCACAACCTTATCACTCATGACGGCCCCGCTAGTAGAGCCACGATACTTTATCATACCCTGGGTGATGTGGAGGCTGCTTGTACCTGCGTGGAGGCTTCACGATCATGGTGGTTACAGCGACATTGCTTCTAGGCTCTCAAATCACCCAAAGACCAGGCCTTTGTTTGAGTTCTTTCAACACTACGATATGCGTCTTATCATTGAAACGTTTTGGTTCATCGCCATCAATGTTGCAACAGGCTACATCTTCCTCACCAAGCCTTACATATGGAAGGCGGAAGATGGGACTGTGCTAGACGACGGTCGACTTCAAAGATTTATGTGGTAAACACAAGATGGAGGGGATGTGAGCGGTGTGGTTGCAAAAGATACTCTTTTTGTATTTTTGTCTTGATAAGCATGTGGCCCTCCTATCGCTAGGAACCCATTTCATGCCAGATGTGAAATATACCCAAACACTAAACGCCATACCCATGGTCCAAACCCAGACCTATTTGTAGCCCTAATCATACCCAGTTTCATATCGAGCATCCCAAGTTCATGCAAAAGTGAAGTTCGTGCGTTTGTACCAGAGTGGCTTATCATGTAATGAGTGATGCATACACATGTTTCCTGACCCGTCCAGTAGTCGTAAAAAGTCTCATAAAAATAATCATGCGTCAGATTATAAGCTTAGACGATCCAAACTTAAGCCATCATTGCTTCTCACCCGGCGGATAACGCCAAGCTTGAAGAACTTCTCTTCACCGCCTGGTGTGCGTCCACCGATATACCACTTGTCGGCACCTATCACATCACGGAACCCTTCACTGCTGCTGTCGCTTCCACGTCGACCAGATGATCCGGGAATAGGAATGGCGGTACCGTTGGCGGGGGATGTTGATGTCGACGGTGAGCAAGAGGTGGTGTTTCGGGGTGGACGGATGGCGACACTGGAAGTAGTTGGTTGTTGTTGTTGAGACTGGTGATGATGATGTGACGTAGAAGTAGCAGTGGTAGTTGTGTTTGCTGCAGTTGCTGTGGCAGTTGTGGTCGTCGTGGTATCTCGGGTGTGCTTGTTTGGCTGATGTTGATGTGGAGCGGTAGTAGAGATAGAGGGACCCTGAGGACGGAAGGCGGCGAGGAAAGAAGAGAGGAAATACGGTCGTTGTGAAGGCATCGTGAGGTTATCGGTCTGATGTGTTGTGATGTGATGGAGGGAGGTTGGCGGTAGAAGTCGACGGAGTAGGAGCCGAGCGACGGTCCGAGCAAAGCCGAGTTGCTCTTGTTCGTGACGATGCCGGTGTATGCGCAGCTGAAAGACAACCCAGTCCCTAATTATTTGTGTTGCTTTTGTTTTGTGATCAACCGTCGTAGTAAAGTGACTCAATTGTTTCTTGGTGGGAATGGGATGAAGAAGTGGAGTCGAGAGACATGAAGAAACAGTGACAGTGGCAGTCTGGGGAAGAGCAACGGTTTAATCGTAGTCACTGACGTCGACTTTTTGTGGAGGAAGAGGAACGAGGGAGGGGAAAACCCGGAACCAGCAAATGCCAATGGCAGGGATGTCATAGGTCAGGCTTTTGCATTTTAAGTGTGTGCACGTGCGGTACACCAATGAGAGTAGACCAGGTCCTACTGCACTGCGGAGGAGGTTAGGGGAACTGAAGAGGATGGCTCGGTTGGGCTTGCACTAGTTCAACGTGAAATGCGGAGGTGGTTTGAGAGTTTAAGGGTGAGGATCTAATCTTATTGGGTATGCAAGCTAAAGAGAGGGTTGATGGCTTGGTAGAGGTGTGATACTGGCGGTTATTTTGTGAACAAGAGGTTTAGGGATCAACTAGTTACCGTACATACAGTATGCTCACTATACTGTTCACTGAACATCATGGTCTTGGGAATGAACCATCCAAGTAACTACCAAAGCCAGTGAAGTGAATTGGCTGTCAGTTGACTGAAGATATCCCTTCGCCCGCCCGTCTGACTATACACATCCAACCGTTAAGTGTCACCTCAATCAGACCCCAATTCACAAGAAGCAAAGAGAAAAAAGGTCAGTGTAAGCGAGATCCTTCAGCATCCAACGCCTGCCAACACTCTTCCATGCACGTTTGCCCACGCAGCATCACAGCTCATCTTGTCCAGCTCTCGAAGATCACTTCCGCTTTCAAAGCTGGGCGACACCAGCCTTGACAGTCATAACCCTGTTTTCAACCACCATTTTATCAATTATCGCGATGAGTATTGAGATTGATACAATGCTCTTTACTGATACGAACAAAGACTCGTTCTCGTTCTCGTTTCCTTATATATAGACTGTTCATGACCGTCCTGTTCCCGTGTTAGAGCAGCACTCTTTCATCTCCGGACTCTCGGGTCAAAGGGCTCCTTGTGACAGCTGAATGTGAATGCGTGTATGCGAGCATGATCTGATAATCTCTGACAGTGCAACTGCAGCAAACACATGGTGATCGTCAGACTCTGGGGTTGGGACTGGTGAGTAAAGGGCTTTATCCGTTTGGTCGATCGGATTATCTGCAATAACAGTCGGATTATTGCACCGATTGACAAGTAATATTAATTTGTAGGAACAGGCTCAGGATTGTAAAGAATATGTACGATTACCTAACAATTCATGATCGTTTGGTCTGCCTCGGCTTGGTGGTCCTGATATCTGACTACCCTAGATTGTAGAGATAGACTGAAACTTACTTCCATTGTCTTACAAGCTAGCCAACTCATACTGCGAATAACCTAACTGACCACGGAAATACTTGGCCATGCTGTGTAACAATGCCGCCCTATTCGTTGAGATGTCTGTCCTCTCAACAACTTGCGCCATACCTTACTATAGCGGTGTAGACCATAGACCCCTCACCACCAACCACCCATGACTATTCGTACCCATATTCCCCTCCACAGAAAAAACCCGCCAGCGCATAATGACAGCTGGCTGTAGCTGCAGACCTTGAACATCCATTGTCTATGCAGTCTTTGCATGATCCCACTCCCGTGATACCCTCATAAACTCCATCTCACTCAGCAATGCCCAGCTTCAAAGCCCGCATCCTCAGCTGGATCGTCTGGTGGTGGTTCAAGAGCACATGGAGTTCAGCAGAGGGGATCAACAGCCGCATCGCCAAGGAACGCCTTCGTCCCGAGCGTGTGCCCCCCAAGCACCTCTACAAGGAATTCGCCGTTGAGGAGTACAAGAGAAAAGGCCACATTGCGGATTATGCCGTTTACATAGTCTCTCCAAAAACAGAGACGCCGACCCGTGGTCGAATCTTGTATCTCCATGGCGGTGGCTTCGTCTTTGACATCACGCCTCAGCATTGGGAGCTGGTGGCCCAGCTTGCGAGGCGTCTGAATGCTACTGTTACCGTACCGATATACCCGCTTGGCCCTGAGACGTCGCTCATGAAGATGTATGAGTTCGTGCAGCCGCTCCACGACGAACTCGCATCAGCACCAGATCGGACGCCGTTTTGGGTCATGGGTGATTCAGCTGGAGGAACCATGGCTCTCGTCCTCACGCAAAATGCGAAATTGGCTGGTAGACAGACTGCGCAGAGGATTGTGCCCATCACGCCTTGCACTGATTCCAGTCTCGTCAATCCTGAACTTCACAATGCAGCGCTCAAGGACCCATGGCTGGACGTTCCTGGCATCGCCGAGATTACAAGACTCATTTGTCCAGAGATGGATACCCAGCATCCCAATGTTAGTCCCATCTACGGAGATCTGAGACTACCGCCAATGTTGGTGTTTGCGGCTGGCTTGGATCTCTTGACGCCTGATACCAAGAAGATGGTTGAGATGGCTAAGGAGCAGGGTACAAAGGTAGAGCTGGTGTATGGAGAGGGCATGATTCACGTGTGGCCTATTTTACCCATTCAAGAGGGCAGGCAAGCTGTGGACAAGATGGTCGAATGGTTGGGAATCAGTTGATAATTTCTTTGAGTGGGTTGTCTTGGGCTACGGCGTTGGGTTGGGGTTTTGAACGGCATGAGGATACCCCCAGTGAGACGTGATGATGATGACGACTACTATATATAAGAATCATATGTTTATGATTGGGATGGGATAGGATACAGGATACTTTCATATGTCTATTGCACTCAGACGACTTATGGCTGCGAGTTCAGACGTGGCCACACTAAGGTATATAAAAACAGCTACATACATCAATTGGTTTTATTATGTCTATCTGCATGGTCAAAGTCTCCAAGATGAAGATTATGCAAGAGTGTAGTACAGACGGATAGCAGCTCGGCTTCCAAGTTCCTATCCATCTGTATAAAAGGCGGTGGCTTAAGGACCCCATCAGAGGGAACACAAGATCTTATAGCCCGAGATGACATGAGGTCAAGGTAGATTGTCCCGAGAATCCATGCGTAGTCAGCATTAACATGGCTGTGTTTGCCGCTCTTCCGCCAGAATACACAGGGTTTCTCATTTATGGTATCAATTTGAAGACTTAGCAGCTTATGTGCACACTGATTGGCTATCCCAAGACTTGAGGCTTCACATGTCAAACCAAACAATCCTGGATGATAATGATGAAACGACTACTAAGATCTGTCGACTTATACCCGAATAATTGATCACTTCGAGATTCATGTCATCTGCACGAACAACGACGTTCCGGATATCGTTCAAACGTTCAGAAACCCATGAAACGAGCAACACCAACGAATTGATACAAACACGAAAAGTCGGTAAGGCTATCATGTTACACAACCAACGGGAAAATTGTAAGTGGCTTATCTTGTGTGACATGCCACGGAAAGATCTGTAAGACGAACTGCAAGGCTGAGCAAAATATTCTATAACTCGACCACTGCCGTAATTCGAAGCCAGCCATGTTGGAGATCTTCAGGCCCAAGGTATCATCGCTTGAGCGCCACCACTCGTTACAGCACAGATAATCTCGGTTATCTGTAGAGTCTATTAGATTAGGTTATTGACGTTTGTTAATCCATGTATGTAAAGCACTCGACAGCAAGGTCCCAATGCATCGGCAAACCGCATCGTCCCAAAAGGGTATTCATCCAGCGTCCATCCGTTCCGAGAAACCAAGATAACCCCTTTCAATGCTGTTCGGAAATTACCACGGCATTAGACTCGAGTGACAGCGGATATAGATAACGTATCATTGCATGTTCTCCGAATTGGTAAAGTGATCAGCCTGTTTTCTCTGTGGTATTCGCTATATATGTATCGACAACAAAGCTTCGGCCCCCATCTCCCCCCAAGACCATACCCATACCTTACATTAGCACTGGCTGGCAAAAGCTGTGCCACAACTCTATATAGAAACGCCCGATGTTCGATGTTCGGGGCCTTGATCTCGCCCGTACCCGTAAACGTCAAGTCAATGCAACATGTTCCGTCAATGTTCGCCAGCCGTCTGCCAGTGGTTGCCACCCGCCAGGTGCGTGGACACTGAATGACTGCTGCCAGTGCGATAATTAGCATAGTATATATCGATATCCTGGCCTCATCATGACTTTGTAATCTCTCTTTCCTTCTCACAATCCCATTCTTGCTGCCTTTTTGATTGATACCCATCTGGTCTTCTTATTCTTCATATTTTGGTCATTTCCGCTCGCCCAACAACCTCGCTCGAGAGTACAACATGTACGACTCGTTCTATTTCTCGATCAAGATGGCGTCAGTGCTCCCCTTGATGCCTTCGCTTTCCATTGGATTGGTCGTCTTGGGTATGCTCGTGATGGGCATTATCGCCTTTAACGTCTTTGTATATCCCTTCTATGTATCCCCTCTTCGATATCTCCCCGGACCAAAAGCAAGTAAACTCGCCCTTCGTTTTTATATCGTATTGCTAACGTTGATAATAGGACAATGCCTTCTTCCTTGGACAGACTGCAAAGTTCCTTCGGGTGCCTTGGTTTCCTGAACTCTTTTGCAAGTGGTCTCGCGAGTTTCCCGATGCGCCCATTATTCGATACCTGAACTTTGCCAACGGTGAGACACTGTTTGTAAACAGCATCGAGGCATATAAGCAGGTCCTTCAGACGAAGAGCTCGTACTTTGTGAAGCCTGCCTTTGCGAAGCAGTTCGCGCATGAATTCATCGGCGATGGACTTCCCTTCGTTGAAGGCAAGCTTCACAAGGTCCGTCGAGCAGCCATCAGTCGTAAGTACAATCAACCCTACACGGATTGAGACCAATGCTAACTCTTTATTAGAACCATTCTCGGCTGCACGACTCAGAGCCTTCTCCCCTGTTGTTCGGCAAAAGGCCGAACAACTGATCGATGTACTGACCCAACAACGCAACGAACACGGTAACGTTGAGAGTAAGTAACCCCCCCTTTTTGTGCGACTGAGCTAACAATCTTATAGTTGAGAGCAATATTTGGAAAGCAGTCCTCGACGTGATTGGGCTCGAAACGTTTGGCCTCGATCTTAACCACCTCGGATCCGACGAGTCTCCGTTGTTTGACACCTTCACCACGATGATGCAACCCTCGACGTTTGGCCATGTTATCAACTACTTGAACTCACTAATCCCGATTCGACAGTATGTACCCCTGAAAGAATGCATTGAGTTTTCTCAGAGCTGTACCCGAGTTCGGGAGTTCATTGTAGGTTTGATGACGATCCGACGTAATCAGTGCGAACAAGGCCTTGTCAACGAAAAGCACCGAGACGCCCTCCAGTGTTTGTTGGAACACTCCGACCCTGATTGGAACGACAAGAATGTCGTTGAATATGTAAGTCACCCCCGAATTCTGAATGTTGTGGATTGTGCTAACTGTTGTAATAGGTTTTGAATCTTTTGATCCTTGGACATGACACGACAGCTTGTTCCATCACCTGGGCCGTCCACGAGCTCTCACGCCGGCCGGACTGCCAGCAGCGTCTGCGAGATGAAATCACAAGCATGGACAACACTTGCGGCATGTCTAGTTTCAGCGATATCGACAAGCTCCCGTATCTGCACAACCTTGTGCGCGAGGTTCTGCGACTCTACTGCGCAGGTAAGTAACCCATCTCCCATCCCCTGACATTAGGAAATTGATTAGCTAACATGTTTATAGTGGCCATGGCACCCCGCCAAGCGACCGATGACGTCGAAATCGACGGTATCATGATCCCCAAGGGAACCGTGATCCAACTCTCGCCCGCGGTGATGAACACGCACCCTCTGGTCTGGGGCCCAGACGCGCAGGAGTTCAACCCTGACCGCTGGAGCGATCTCACGGGTGACGCGACAAGCGCCTACGCCTTTGAGACGTTTCACAACGGCCCGCGCATGTGCATTGGCAAGCAGCTCTCCCTCATGGAGATGAAGACCATGCTTGTAGAGATGGTGCGCAAGTTCAAGATCGAGAAACCTCTTGGAAACGAAGAGAAGCAGGTTGACGTCGCTGGACCGGCTTTCACACTGCGACCAAAGGAGAATTTGGTTGTGCGTTTGGTGGAGATGTAAGAAAGAAGAGAAGAGTATCTGGGCCACTGTCTTTTGCTGACGTATTATACGGAGTTTGGGGAGTTTTAGGACACGACACGGCACGACATGACATGACATGACAATGATATTGCATTAGACATTGGCATTTAGACACAGACAGATTTTGCAAGAGGCGGAATCAGGTGACTTGGAAACAAAAGTCACGATGGATTTGTGCATGTAGATTTGAGCAATAAATCCATTTTTGATTATTTTTTTGTTGTTGTATGAATATGTCTCCATCATGACTTGGTTCTCATGATGAAGATACTCAATACTCACCCCGCAATTTCTAGGCCTCAATTAGTTAAAACCGTCCCGCTCGTTTCTCGAACTTTCCAGGGAACACGCGCTTAGAAATCCAATCAAAAGCTCTATCAATCCCTCCCAAAATCAAGGGTCCTTTGCCCTTCTCTCCTCTAAACTTAACGTAACGTACCTACATGTGTCATTGTGGCTCGCTCGCTGTTTCTAGTAACTCCCTGCTTCTGTCTTCTAGAGTGAACATCACAGCTCGTTCGCTTTCTGCACATTTCACGCTGCGATTTCTCTTGATTCTGTTCCTCCTTTTTCTTTTCTCTGCTGTGCAGTTTATTCTCCTTTTTTCTTTGCCATCATAATATCAGCCAGCGCCTTTATAGATACGGGGTCCTCTTGTCCGAGCATCCGGAATACAGTAACGAATCCTCTATTACGGTATAAATTACTGTCCAATCTTACCACATCTCACTACCACTCACACCCCCCAGTCTCACGCACTGCACTTGACTCAACATGTCTAAGTCGCTACAGCTCAAGAACGAAGGAAACAAATGTTTCCAGGCGGGGGACTACGTCGGCGCCGATAGCCTCTACTCCAAAGCGTGAGCATATATAATCAGCACAGCTTAGAGAGAGAGAGAGCTTATTCTGACAAAGATCGCAATAGCATCATCGCCGACCCCAAAAATCCAGCTCTTTACACTAATCGCGCCATGGCCCGTCTTAAGCTTAATTATTGGGACTCAGTAATCACCGACTGCGAGGCTTGTTTGCAGCTAACGCCAGACAACATGAAGGCCCGGTACTACCTTGCGCAAGCACAGATCGCTCTTCGCGACTATGACGCTGCGCTTGAGAACGCTCTGCATGCGCACAAGCTGTGCGCCGCCACGGGGGATCGCTCGCTCGCTGCTGTGACGGCTCTCGTTCTTCGCTGCAAGAAAGAGCGCTGGGACGATCTTGAGAAGAAGCGGGTTCGCGAATCGCAAAATCTTGAAAGGGAGATGCTTGAATTATTGACAAAGGACAAAGAGGCTATGCTGGCCGAGACGGATGATGGGATGGTGAGGCAGGAAATCGAGGAGGAGAGCGATGCCAAGATTGAGAGGATGAAAGAGATCTTTGAGAGAGCAAGGGCAGATAGTGAGAAGAAGAGAGAGGTTCCAGACTGGGCCATTGACGATATCAGCTTTGGATTCATGGTTGATCCCGTCATGGTAAGTTCCTCACCACGATCGAATGCCATGCTTGCTAACAAGGTACAGACCAAGACTGGAAAGTCATACGAGCGCGCGTCTATCATGGAGCACCTCAACAGACACCATAGCGATCCTCTCACTCGCGAGCCACTTGTGCCTTCTGAGCTACGGCCAAACCTGGCGTTGAAGCAGGCGTGCGAAGAGTTCCTCGAGCAGAACGGTTGGGCTGCTGATTGGTAGTAGAAAAAGCAAATGACGATGAGAGTTGGGAATCAGCGGATCGGAGGTCTTTTGATTAAAATCTTATTAAATGCTTGGAGTTTCAGGTGTTCAGAGACTTATTCCAGAGATGCTTTGGGCTTGAATAGCGTAACGTTTTGAACGAATTCATGAAAGTAATAACGGCAATTCTCCTCTTAATCTTCCACGGTCACTCGTGCTATCAGTGCTGCAGCCAGTCGTTTCATAAATAATACGTTTTTAACGTATACAACTGATCCTTATTCATCATGTCGTGTTCCTATCCTCCACTGACCTGGCCATCATGTCCCACAGCAGTTTTGTATATAAAGGTAGTCATCAAGCTCGCGCTCCGTCCAAGACATGTCTATACCCTACTTAACCCAGGCGTGACGACATTATACAATCGCTATGCAACCGAATAACCCAACCAAGCGATCCCAGTAGTCCAAAAGAAAAGAACACCAATAGCGCCGTGCAAATGCATGTTTTCCCCCTTCTTACTCAAAGCACCACCCCGAATGCTGACATTACCCATCGGATTTGCCCCTAGAGAAAAGATGGGCCCGGCTGGCTATCGTCCTTGACGAGTCCGGCCCGCTCTTCCTCCGTTGGGTCCGCGACGTGTGATGTTGATCTAGACGATGAGTGAGGCCGCCGGAAAACGTTATGGAATGAAAACTGACGTCGTGTCGTATCCTGAGGTTGTCCATGAGGCGGGGGCGTCGGAGGCGCAAGGCTGTCACCACTTCGGAATGACGCCCCTCGGTACTCAGTATCCTGTCCGTTGTACTCGTGCTCCCGAGTTTGACCATAGTAAGCGGCGTGTTCTTCGTCGGCCTTATCCCGGGGGACGGCAATCTCAGTCAGGGGGACCGGGTGCATCGGGCTGCGGGGCCGGGGTTTATCGTCTTCATGATCGTCGTTGGCGTGTCGGCCTGAGAAGTTGGTGAAGCCTCGGGCTCTACCTCGGATGGTACCTGCAATGCTAGAGAAGAGTGTGTTTGTTTCCTGACGGTTGTTGTCGTCGTCGCTATCGTCTCCGTCTTCGACCGGTGGGAACTGCGACATGCCTAAAGGTGGATGTTGTCTTGGACTGCTTGGTCTTACAGCAAAACGGGGTGAGGTGGGCGGCATCGGTGGTGGAGGCGATGTTACTGATCCTGCCCTAGAGCTGCTAATCGTTCCGGTCCTGAAAGTCATTGTTCGTCTTCTTCTCAAACCATCCCATTCCCACTCCGGCTGCTGTCCATCCTCTCGGATAGGGTCCATTGTGTCCATCATCATCTTTTCCTCGTGGAGTCGCTTGAGCTCTTCGGCTTCCATTCTAAGTCGTCGCTGAGAGATCTGTCGCACGATGGCAGCGGCTCCGCGGATGGCATCGGCCTTGGGTTCCGACTCTGGCTGTTCCTGCTCGGCAATAGTCTGGATCTGATCGAGGTCGCCGCTGAAGACTGCTGCGTCGGGCACATCCTTTGCGGATTTTGAGAGCTGCAGTAACACTACTCCGGAACAAATTGTTAAGAAACCTAAAACAACGGTGACGATAGACTGGGCAGTGCCCTTGAAACCTTGGAAAAGAATTGCTGACGTGATAATAGTCGTACTGGTAAAGTAGACGTAATATGTCGGGGTAACGAGGGCTGCGTTATAGATGTTGAGCGCTTTCTGTGATGAGCTGTTAGTGGCTGAGATAAAACGGAGAACTGGGCTCATACGTTGAGATAAATGATCTCAGTCAATAATGTGCCAATGACAAAGACGAATAAAACCCATAGGAACCATTCCTTGTACTGAGGTTTGCCCCCGATCCAAGCAATGATGGCGGCACCCAGTCCTTGAGTCGAGACGACACTGAGTCCACCAATCCAACTGCAGATTGAGATGTATACCAGCATATTCTTGTTACCATATCTTGGCCCAGCCCATAGTGCAGTGGCGATAGAACCAACTATGATAAGGCCGGCATAGGTGAGAAATCCTGGTGTAATAAAGTATTTCTGCATCTCTTGAATATCGCTGACGGATGATGTATGGGGAGCATTCATAACAATAACAACCGAGCCGACAATGCAGAGGAAGCAAGCAACTTTTCCGACCATGCTGAGGCGCTCTTTGAGGAAAATGGCTGAAAGAATAGCTGTGATAACAACGGACAATGCGCCCAGAGGAGTGACGAGGATTGCATCGGTGAAGGCATATGCGACAAAGTTGAGGATTTCGCCAATGATCATAAGTGTCATTCCCGCCCACCAGTAGAAGTTTTTGAGGTATCCATATCCTTCTCCAGCGACCTCATTGTATTTCTCGTTGGCGCGCAATAATCCGACTTTCTTTAGGACGAAAGAGATACCGATAAAGACACCAGACCCAACAGCCAAACCAATACCAACGGGTTTATAGAATCCAGGTCGATCGCTCGGGTCGCCGCCGAGGCCGCCACTTCGTGCGAAGATATCGGCGTCCATTGCGGTTCGATAGTCGATGCTCAAAACGGAGACGGAGAGGGAGGAGGAGAGTCGAAGCGGAAATCTAGACTCTATTTAGGACCACATGTGCGATGGTGACGGTATCGGTTGCGGCAGCGACGAAGGACTCTGGTTTATAGGGGGTTCAAGCAGACTATAGCGATATAAGCTCATAAGAATGACGAACAATTGAAAGTAAGAGCCGCGGGGAAAGTGAGATAAGGTAATTCTAGGAAGAGAATATACAAGAAGAAAGGTTGAGAAATCAAATAGTCTGTCTAGTGCAGGGCTCTGAAGATACTGTACGAAAGTAAAGAAGAAACCTTGGAAACGGCGTCGTACACACCAGGCCCAGCCAGCTTGTGATGAAAGAGCCTGGATGAATGTGGGTGGGCTCCTCCACTGAGACACCCAAAAGAACAAGTATCGGTACATGCGATACCCATTTAGGCGCTGTCCCCGCTACGACCTGCCAACTTCTAGTGGTCCCCAGCCAACCACTTCACTCAAACCTAAACAAGCTACAGAACAAGCTCCTCCATCTGCTGTTACCGGTCCATTGGACGGAGATCTTAGCGTGGTAGACATCAACAAAAAGAAGACATCTACGTACCTCGTGGTTCGGCATGTCAGTGACAGTCAATACCCCGAGGCCGAAATAAAAGAGAGATCAATTATACTTTCCTTGGTCACGATTAATTAATTAACTAATTACTACCGGGACATTCCTGGTTTATGACCGAAATGTCATGGGTCATCACCCGCTCAACGGGCTCTTGGACCAACGGGCGCTAAACAAATCGACGTCAGCACCTCATCCATGATGAGCCTGATACCCATGAGACCTGTGAATCTGGGCTGCTTCAGTGGCTGCTGATGACTTGTAGATATTTGATAGGGGTCCTTGTATCGATCGATGCTTGACCTGCCCATCTCGGTAAGCCCTTGGCGCAGCATTTGGGGATTTTGATGTACAGGTACTTGATGGCCCTTCGCCCCCAAAAAAGCCACTTACATACGTACGTCGAGGGGCTAGATGACGATGAAGCATTGCGCATCTCCTGGCCAAAACCCATTCCGTTGGAGACGGAGTCTAAAAGTTGAAGATTCTTCCTCTTAAATTGATCAAGATGACCGCTTCTAATCACCCGCACGCTCTGTAGAACAATACTGTCAGCTGTACTGAGCTTGACCGCTGAATAACGAATGTTCTTACTGAGCTGATGGTGGCTTCAAAACTGTTAGGCCAAGGCGGACTCTACTCAAGCGCATCCGCCAACGTGGGGTGGCCCCAGGGAGCAAGAAAACCTCTGACGTTGAACTAAGGTGTCAAAAATATCTAACCTAAGCTCACCTAAATTCATACCTAATTTACCCAATTCCTTTTGTCATCTAGAATAGAGGTCCTAAGTTTTCTTGCCTCCCCTTGGGTGGTTGTTCGGTAGAATCTAGACCCAAGGTCTGGGGTTCTTTCAGCTTTCGACGCTCAAACTATGACACTCACCGAAATCTATCTCATCCTATGGACTATCGTACTATGCAAGATCCGTGTCCGTTGGAGTTTATATCGTCAAAGGATGTGATCAGCACTATTCATCAACCATGTCAATGTCTCCCGAACCCTCCGGACCACAGCACCCATCTCTCCCACTGCATTAATGTCTGGCCTTGAGTCTCTCACAGCCAGCAAAATGGGACTCTCCGCAGCTATTTTTGTCTCGGGACGGCGCTGCATGCACACACGACTCAGCCTGTTTCGACTCCACACACCAACTGCAAATGTGGTGTTTCAGAGAATGTTATTTTTTTGCCCAGTGATCGACAGCGAATCGATAAGTTTCAATGTCTCAATTTGCAGGTGGGTCGACAAATCGACCGGCTGGATGCCCCGAGGAAGCATTTGAGTTCCAAAGTTCCATTAATGTTAATCAAGCGAGGCTCGCTTGATACGAACACGAACTAGGGCTAATGATACATGCCGTAGTTTTGTAGAACTACAACAAGGTAGGAATCCTTTGTAGTTGACCGCTCTTATAGTGGGCAGATATTCAAGACTTCGGGCGATTATAGTACCATCTAGTCATGTCTCTGTCATCAGACTCACGACTATAGCGTGCTGTCATGCAGCTCGACGGACCGTTTAAGCTGCATCTGCGTGGCGTCAAGGCTTAAAGAATATCATGTGGCTTATGCTAAGTTAATCCATAATACATACAACTATGCCGTTTCCTATTATGTAAAGGGGGTATCTCGATCTTGTATTCATAAATGCCATGATGCAACCCATTCCACTGAAGGCTGAAGTTCCCATCTCTTGCTATCCATATCATGCCATGCCATATCGTGCTATTTCTTCTGAACCGGGACAATCTCTTTCAGCCACTTCTTAACTCTCTCATCCAGAGGTAGCTTCTTGGCCTCCCCTTCGCTCATCTTCTTAGCAAATTGCTCTTTCAACTTCTTTTGAAGAGCTAATTTCTTCGCGTTTTCCTCTGCATGTCTGGCCCTATTTCTGGCGTACATCTCAGCTATTTGTCTCCTTTTTCTCGCCTGATGCTCCACTAATCGCTCAGGAGGAACAGGCTTGCCGGTATGTTTCTTGACCTTGTTCCAGAAAAGCATATGCTGCTGCTCGAAGTTGTTATGAGCACTGTTGTACACCATGATCCGGCCTTGGCTTTCGACCAGTTCCTTGAATACAATGCTGTACTCACTCCTCGTGGCTGTCTTGGAGAATCTGAGGCCCATGTCGATGACGGCGCATGCCAGTTCCTTGGAGCCAGGGAGGTCGAAATTGATTGCCATGAGAAACGATTGTGCCTCGGGATGAAGTGCGTGCAGAGGAGTGCCTAGGAGAGCTGACCGGACGATTCTAGGGATGAGTGATTTGGGTATTTCCTTTCCGCCGTATTGTTGCCACTCAGGTCGGGCTGAAGGAGACGCCACCGGATCCTTCGTTTCTGAAGCTTGTGGTTTGGCGGGTTCTGATACTCCGGATGTATCTATCTTCTGTCGTTTGGCCGGGTTCCTTGAGGGAGGGCATGGCGTTTCTTCGTGTGACAAAGCTCGCTTCCTGGTGATGGGCTCTGGTTCCGCATTCTCAACTGGCATGTCGAGGACAAGAAAGCGCAGAGAACCATATGAGCTCACGTCGTCAAATGCATCATATAAGCCGTCCTCCGTTGAATCATAAACATCTCCATACTCCTCATCTTCCTCTTCCTCCTCCCCCTCTTCGTCGTCTTCTTCTTCCTCTTCATTTATTCTCTCATTCTCTTCACCCTCTTCATCATATTCATACTATGAACGTCAGTCTCACCCTGGTAAATGAGAGGAAAAGTCGATACATACACTTGTTGTGGTTTCCTCAGCTGCCTCCGCCACAAGCATAACTGTTAGAGCTGTTGCGAGATCAAGCTGCTCGCTTCGGGTCAAATCGTTCTTGATAATGTCCTGGACGACGATATTCTCGATTGTCTTTGAGTCAATTCCCGAGCCTTCCGGATACACGTTTTTCGGGTACCACGACATTTCTCTGGGCTCTATCGTACTTATTTTGATGTAAAAGTTGATGATGTCGATGGCAAGAGGTGAGATTCTGTCCTCATCATTATTTTCTAGAAGGAAATGGTTGATTTTATTCCGCCCGTCAAGGTCCGATAAGGCGATGTGTAGAGCCCAACTGGTGGGGGAAATGACCTTTCCTGACCAATCACAGCCGGTTTCACTGACGATAGGGCCGTTCTAGATTTGTGAGTGGCAGAATTTACTTGGCATGGTCGCTTATCTCGTAATTTGTGTTCCGAGGCCGAGTCTCGCGAGTCGAGGCCTCTTGTTGACTAACACATGTAACCATGTGGCTTATTATTATATATCACTATTCACACCGTTAACTCAAACTGACTTACACATGCTTTTCGCGTTCTTACAAATTCTCGCGTCTAAAATTCCCTTCCGCCACTTTAACGGTTTAACCAAATGCCGCAGGTCCCCAGTTTTTAAGGCTAAATGCCCCTGGCTCGCCTTAAGAATTAAGTCTGATCCTGAAATTACGGGCTCGCTTTTTTACCAGGAAACAGATCCTCCGATCCATTCTCATCTGTAGCGCTGACGGGAGAGATGTTTGAAGCGTACACGGTCCTATCAGCCTAGCCATGGCCCTAGCTTTAAGAGGTTTACTCCCAGCATTAGCTGTTTGAGGACGATACAGCGCATTGAACAGCACCCGGGATGAACCAATGGCTTATATGGAGTGAGATGGAGATACAGGGGATCCTTCGTGTCCAGATGGAGTCTTGATCGCCTTAAATCAACTTTGAATCCTTATTTAGGGATTCTCTTTCCTGGAACTCTCGTGTCTGAGCTTTGCTAGCTTGTTCCTTCGTGTCTTTGCATCTGTCTCTGTCTCTGTCAGTCTTCGTCTTTGCATTCGAGTTTGCGCAGGCGCAGGTCTATCCACTTGAAGTTATATATCGATCGATTGTCGTAAGCCCTTCCTACAATGGCCAACAAGAACGCAAAGTCTCTCTACGAGGCTATTCCGGAATGTATTAGCGGATGCTTCGACATCAGTGTTGCTACTACTGGCTGTGCCAAGGACGACTACGACTGCTGGTGCTATAAGCCGAATCATCAGACCATCGTTGATACATTGGAGCAATGTCTCTCAAATAAGGAAAGGAAGACGAAAAAGAAGTGTACTGAAGATGACGAGTTCGGTATGTAGTTGTCGGCTCGGCATGCGAATCCATCACTAACATAGGTTAGAATATGAGAATAGTTACTGGAAGATCTGCGAACAATACTGGGAACCTTACGGAACTGCTACCGAACCAACATCATTCTCAACTGCTGTATCATCTACAGCTTCAGCAGCGTCGACAACACTCAAGGTCTCGACAACAGTCGCCACTACTGCATCATCTGAAGAGACAGCCGCCGCGGAAGAGTCTACCTGGACGAGCCTTGCACCAACTGAGACTGGCGATTCCGAGCAAGCACAAGCATCTGACGAAGCAGACGCAGTGACGCCTACTCACAGCGGTCTATCACCAGGAGGAAAAGTCGGAGTGGGCGTTGGTGTTGCAATTGGTGTTATCCTTATCGGTATTGCCGTCTTCCTCTGGCTGCGCGAGAGGAAACGAAGACGCTCAGTCGAGGAGCAGCTGAGAATTGTCGAGATAGAGAAGGCCAACGCTTCTCAAGAAGGATACTATGCTAGCAAGGGCTTGTACGAGATGGAGGGCGATCGACCTCATGCGGAGGAACTTCGTGGATGTATGAGAACGCCAGAGCTTGGTGCAGCAGAGACGACAAAGTCAAGCAGCGTGACACACGTCGGACCCGTGAGTCCATCTGATAACGATAGGGACTCGTCGTTCTCGACACGGAGCCAATCGTGGCCTATTTCTCCTGAGAGTCCAGGTCGTCAGGAGTCAAGGGGTTTGGGTGAGATAACGGACAATGATACGGCCAAGCCAGCTGCTCCTTGAGGAGTTATTGTCGTTGATGATTATCACATTCTTTTCTGTACAAACTTACTTACACAATTCTTCTTATTCTTCTTTCCAACGACTTGACATTGCTGTCAGTGGTGAAAGGAGGACTCAAACGAAAAGCCCCCACTCGTTGGTATTGACATTGGGATCGATAATTGAATCATGGTTTTTGGCTGTTTGGATTGCTGGAGTTGGGCCTGGAAATTACTGGTATAAAACGCCAGGCTCGGTGGCATTCTCTAAATTTTGACCCAGTCAGCATCACCATCGATATCGACATCGACACCGACACATCCATTTCAGCAACAGTTTGTCGATCCGATCAAACTTCAAGATGTCTGCAAACCGAGACACAATCATTCAGCTCCTCGAGCGCCTCAAGCAGGAGAAGCACCCTGGCGCCCAGACCCTGAAGGTATTCCTAAACACACAAACAACCTTGTACGCAGCAGAACTGACTCGAGTTAAAGGACTACATCAACGAGACCTCTAACCTCAAGGACGTCATGATGGCCGTTGTTAAGGACATCGTCGCCGCGAAGAATGTTCTCGGTCTCACCGATGGGCGTGCTGCCCGACTCAACTCTTGCCGCGAGGAGCTCTGCTACGCCTTTGTAAGTCACTCTCTTCTCTTTACTGCTGTCCATGCTGATAAGATATAGGACAAGCACTGCCGCACCACCGAGGATGGCTACGACCGCCTCTACCACCCTCGATTCACCTGCCGCATCCAGACCTTCAAGGTTCTTGCTGCCGAGGATCAGGTTGAGGTCGTTCTCCGAATCCCGGCCCGCGAGTACAACGACTCTCCACACGTTCTTGAGCCTGGCAAGTGCGAGGTCTCCCTCATTGTGAAGGAGAACTAGCTAAATGCTCGCTCTTGATTTTGACCCGACTTGGAGCTTGGGAAATCATCACACGGGGTGTAGACAGAGGCAGAGGCGTCGAAAACACAGCGAGATCAGGTGGTTCGGACATACTTTTAGCTATAGAATCAAACTTGGTCTTTGCTTAGGACTCGCTAAAATCATCTCTAAATCATTAATGTTACTTGTGATAATGATTCTGTCTTCCATGGTGGGGGATAATAATCGATGACGATCTCGCCAACAGACGATAACACTTATATTTAGCCAATTACTTGGAACAAAATACGAGTAGTATGCAATAAAATCTGATTCTAAGTCGAAGAAGTTTTGCTTTTTGCTCCATCTTCAGTCTTTTAGTGCAGCTGGGAAGTTAGCATGGAGCTTGATATTAGGAGTACTGTTCCCCCCTCTCCACTATTTTATCTCACTACCAAATCTCCCTCTTTCAACATCGTCCTGTACTCCTTCGATTCACAAACAACACCCAAAAAATGGACGCGAGAATCAATAACTCCAATGAAGTGAATGAAGCAGAGGCAAATGTGGCACCTCTTGCCCCTTTTAGCTGTCTCCTTTGTCGGAAAAGCAAACTGAAGTGTGACCGTACAAGACCCTCCTGCAGCCGATGCAGCAAGCAAAGCTATGATTGCGTTTATTCCTTATCAAGGCAACCGTACCAAAGCAAAAGCCGTGGCCAGGCAAAAGAATTGGAGGCTAGACTCGGTATGTGGTGTCACTGCTCACTAGCAGAATAATAGCTAACTCAGTTACGATAGGATGCCTGGAGAGATTGCTACAGAGTTCGAAAGAGACAAGGGCATCCTTCACCGATGGCAGCCAATACAGGTGCAACTCTATTGCGACTGTTGGCAACACACCGACTAGTCAAGATGAAGATGCCCTCGTTAGGGTGGGCCTATATGAGGAGACACCTCCTCGGGAACTCATCGAAACACTGTATCACGCCCTCGTATACACTACAACCCGTCGTTCGGCTTTAGTAACAACTGGACCAGAATGAACATATACTTCGCCAAAATCCATCAGGTAACACCCCTGCTACATCGCCAGAGATTCATGGCATCCCTCTTCCTGCCGGACCATATGAAGCCTCCAATGTGTCTTCAATACATCGTCATGGCATCTGCCGCTGAGACATCTGACGCCTACCGCCACCTGGGCATGATATTCTACAAGCGTGCCATAAAATATCTTCAAAGTGACGATTTGGGTGTATGTGACGGCTGTATCCATTCAAGACACTTGCTGAGCAAAGAACACAGGACCTCAGTGAAAGCTCAATATCTCTAGGACATGTACAAGCTCGGGCTGAAATATCGTGCTTCGAAGCCGAGCACTCTATGTTTTCAAAGGCTTCTATAACACTTTGTTCTGCCATTAGAGCTGCACAGATGCTAAACCTGCATCAAGTTGACATAACCAGACCGGATAGGGGCCAACATGTTGACTGGATAGAAGTTGAAGAACGACGTCGCACATGGTGGACCATATTCTGCTATGATCGGTTTACTTGTGCCACGACTGGATGGCCGGCGCTTATACATGACCAGAATGTAAGTTTCCCATCAAAACCTTTCGAACATACCATTGAATGATTTTTAAGATCAGAACTCGACTTCCAGCCTCAGAGGAAGCTTATGCGAACGGTCAGGAAGAGCACACGCGCTTCCTAGGAGACCAATTACTCGAGTCTGAACCACACTCTACATTTGCGGGAGCAGTGCTTGCAGCGCACATCTTCCACCGCACTATAGAACATACTGGAACGAATAACAGCCAGGATCAAGAGTCTCAGGACTTCAAAGGAGACCTGTACTGGCAGAGACATAAAAGCATTGACAATGATCTCAAGTTCATGTTATTGATGCTGCCAAAGAATCTGTGTCTTCCTGCCAACTACAGGACTCACAACGCCATTTTTGTCAACGTCATGTTACAAACGGCCACTATCTGCCTTCATCGAGCAGCTTTGTGGAGGATGAAGTCGAATTTACAGGGGCTACCGAGTTACCTGATCCGACTATCTCAAGATCGGTTGCTTCCAGCAGCGGAAGAGATACTCACCATTTTTAGAATGATACCCGATCTTGGTGCGACTTTTACTAACCCCCTTATTTGTTTTGCTGCATATATGGCTGCTCTAGTATTCATGGCAAGCACATCTCCGATAGACCCTGATGGAGAACATGGGCAGAATCTAGACTTCATACTCAAGATCTTGGTTGCTTTTGGTAATAAAAATCTCGTTGCTAATGCCTTGGCGAATGAAATTGTCAAGGAAATGAAGCAATGCGGTATCACATCTCGTTCCATGAACAAGGTTGGATACCAAGGCTCTTTTCTGGCTATACCGACACTTACAATACATCCTAGGTCAACTTACAAGAGACGCCACTAGATATTCCATTACTCGCTACGCAGCGTCTATATTCCTGTCAACAGAGTTCATGCTCTTGAGGGTGCTGGTAGACAGATATCCTGGATATCACATTCTCAAGATCATCGGATAAGACCTCGAAGATTAACACCACTATTATTACAACCCTAATGACAATTACGACTGTATCTTCAGCCTCATAATATGCAAAGAAACGGGACTCAGACAGACCACCCTGACAACCATCTCAACTATTTGCGAGCAAAGTCGCTTTCTGTCTCAAGCCAAGTTCCGAATGTCATCAACTCGGGGTACTCCTTTCTTAACGCCTTCAAATTCGCACCGAAACCCTGGTCCTTGAACCACTTGAACATATAACCCAACTCCTTGACCATCGCCATTATTGGGTAAACAACAAGACTATAGGTGTATGGAAGATCGCGGCCCGTCTTCTCCTTGAAGATTCTTTCAAATTCCTCGAGCGTCAGTTCGTCACCTGCAAGTGACACGGCGCGACCCGCGTATTTCTCAGGCTCAAGGAAAGCTTGTGCGCCAGCGACGCCCACATCGGTCACTGTGACGAGTTGAAGAGGTTTATTCTTGACAACCAGCTTCCATGCTGTGACGAAGGACCTTCCTAGGAAATTGTCCGTCAAGTTCTCCATGAAGGCCACAGGTCGAATGATGAACCATTGCATATCAGTACCAGTGGTACGGGAAATCAAGTGCTTCTCAATCTCGTGCTTTGTAATAAAGTGAGGAACTTGAGTTGGATTGTGCAGAGAGTCTTCGCCGTGTCGGTCAACTGAAGTGTAGACAAAGAACTTGACCCCAGCATCCAATGCAGCATCGACAAGACCCTTTCCTTGGGCTACTTCAGCGCCATCTCCTTGACCCATAGGGGACTAGTGACAAGATCATGTTAGCATCTCAATTCTGCCCATCAATAAGGGGGCGTACTTACCTGAACACTGAAAACTCCCCAGATAGGTTGTTTTGTAACTTCACCAGCATTTTTGAAGATTGTGGTGGCGTCAGATAAGTCTCCTTGTACAAGCTTGATGTTGGATGATTTCTTGAGGAGCTTCTGGGCTGAAGGAGAATTGGGGTTTCTGCTGACAGCGAGAATCTCCACATCGGCATTCTGCTTGACGAGTCGGTCAAGAACAGCACCGCCTTGTTTTCCGGTTGCCCCAGATATGAGAATCGTTCGTGACATTTTGATATGTTTTAAGTTGCCTACTTCTGATGCAGAGGATGAAGCAGTAATGAAATGATGAGATACTGGTTATAATAGTATAAACTGATGAATGAAATATCTAAAGAGGGTGATCTATCAAACCTGTTATATAGTAATTTCCTACGAAAAAGCCAGCCATCACGATCTGCAATCATTGCGATGAGATTGTGTCTATTATAAAGCAGATCAGTGGCCGGTGCCCGAATACACCGAAGCTATGATGGCTACAGTCTCGGCTCTATAACAAAAGACGGCTTGACTAGTATTGAGCTCCGGTGTGAGAGACGGCCGAAAGAGTGGAGACGGATTAACTTCGCCCTCCGAATTGTGCGGTTCCGTCCCGACCCAGCTCCGATGGATCAATTATCATCGGCAACACCAACGGCCAATTACGAATGTGGATCTTTGATGGCAGCGGTATCATGAAGCCATCAGTGACATATATTTAGATCTGACCTATGATCGATGCCAATAGAGACGGCGAAAATTCGTCGTTTTGCCGAGAACCGGTGAAACCATTTACATGAGTCGAATTCTTTAGATATTGGTATTCGAGTTGTGGCAGCATCCTGCTTCTTGAATCCACCACCTCGGGTGATCATCATTCGATACAATCGCAAACTATTCATGAAAATGGAAACTTCGAAACTCAATGCGTATTTTCGGTGGTTTTATTCTAATTATGGTTGTTCATCGTGCCACAGAACATGTCGAGATTATCTAGATGAGAACTCAATTCCAGTCTACGACGAGCGTTTTCGGCGTAATAAGGTAAAGAAGTGCAATATTCTGAATTGCCACTGGTAACTGAAAATTGAAGCTCCTTAAATCACGAGACAGAAATGAATAAGAAACAGGTATATATCTCAGAGTTGGCACTCCAGGCGCTGATGCGCCTTATATCTTGCTGTATACTGTGCATCACACTGTCTGATACTGTGCTCTACAACCAAGGGTCGGCAATTTGTGGATGCGTTTTGAAGCTTCACCCGAACAACACTATCGCGACCCGTGAAACCATTGGGAGCTGGCCCGGCCCAGCATCACTTCCCAGCCATGTCTGCCGCTCTCTTCAGATCACGAGCTGCCGTCTCCGGCACCCGAATTGGTTCCTCCGCTCGTCCTGCCATTCCTAGGTCACAGCTCGTCCAGCGCCGCAACGCATCATCTTCCTCTTCGGCTGGTGACGGAGCTGCTCTCAAGCTTGCTCTCTATGGCACTGTTGGTGCTGTTGCTCTATACGGCTCATACCTCTACGCTACCGATACCCGCGCTTTCTTCCACCGTTGGGTCGTTCCTCCATTCATTCGCTGGGCTTTCCCCGACGCTGAGGACGCTCATCATGCCGGCACCACAGCGATGAAGGTGACTTATGAGTTTAACCTTCACCCTCGAGAGCGTGATACGACCCTCGACTCTCCTGAACTCGCCGTCAATGTATTTGGAACTGAAGTGTCGAACCCAATTGGCATCTCTGCTGGTCTTGACAAGGATGCTGAGATCCCAGATGTGCTATTTGAGCTTGGAGCTGGTATTGTCGAGGTTGGCGGCTGCACTCCTCTTCCTCAAGAAGGCAACCCAAAGCCTCGAGTTTTCCGTGTTCGCAGCCTTGATGGCATGGTGAACCGATATGGTCTGAACTCTCGCGGAGCCGACGACATGGCTATTCGACTTAGGGATAGACTTCGACGATTCGCCCGATCTCTTGGTGTGACTGAGAAGGATGTTCTCAATGGAGAGGTCCATGTTCCGCCTGGAAGTCTGCGCAAGGGCCGTCTTCTGGCTGTTCAGATCGCCAAGAACAAGGAGACGGACGAGCGGGATGAGAAGGCTATTGCCGATGACTATGTATACTGTGTGCGAAGACTAGCTCGTTACGCTGATATTCTGGTCGTCAATGTCAGCAGCCCTAACACACCTGGTCTGCGTGACCTTCAGGCTACCGAGCCCCTGACCCGGCTTCTCAGCGCTGTAGTTGACGAAGCTGCCAAGACTGACCGAAAGCAAAGGCCCAAGGTCATGGTCAAGGTGTCACCTGATGAGGATGAGGATACTCAGATGGAGGGTATCGTTGAGGCTGTTCACCGAAGTGGTGTTGACGGAGTCATCGTGGGCAACACAACTAAGAGACGAGATGGTGTTGTTCCCGAGGGCATTAAGCTCACTGCTCAGGAGCAAAAGAACCTCATGGAGACTGGTGGCTACTCAGGACCTGCTATGTACAGCCGAACACTCGACCTTGTTCGACGATACCGCAAGTTGTTAGACTCGCGCTCTTTCGCGGCAACAGCTGGATCGCCACAGAAGGTCATCTTTGCTACAGGAGGCATCACCAATGGCGAGCAGGCACGCAACATTCTCAACGCTGGCGCGAGTGTAGCCATGATCTACACAGCAATGACATATGGTGGTGCGGGTACTGTTACCAGGATCAAGCGGGAGTTAAAAGATGGCGGAAAGAATTAGACATGCTATAGCAACATTTCACGTTTTATTTGTTCGTCATAGGTATAAAAATGGGACAAGTTATGAAGTTTGAGTGGTTTTTATCTGCTTATCAATTTTTTTTATATTTGTCTGTTTTTAATGTCAAAACCCCCAGTATTCAAAAGGTCCAAACTTCAGACTCCTGAAAATACTCAGCTTCTCCATTTTCTAGCTTTCATTGATTGGGTCTAGCCATATCAAGTGACGAAGGACTGATCATCCAAATTGGATGTCAGCACGAAAACTCCTCAACTTCAAGAAACCCAGCGCGCAAGGAGGAGTGGCTTAAAAGCCAGGCTCCTTGTCGAGCCACTGACGCAGAGCGTCGGCGTAGCCTCGAATCTGGGCCTGAAGAGCAGCAATGCGCTTATCGGCGTCACTGATCTCCTTCATCGCCAGGTGAACATTGTCTGGCACTGGATGCTTGCAGGCTTGCGCAATTGCCGCCTGTGCCTCCTTCTTGTTGATGATGAGGCGTAGAGCCTCCTCCAGAGACTGTAAGGTCTTCTTACAGTCGTTAACCCATTCGCGGCACTGATTGGCCACATTGCCAGCATTGGATATCGCCTTCTTGTTGCTGATGCTCGCGTTGACCAGATAGTTCTGGTCTCGGGTAGTCTCCTTGTACTCCTTAAGCAGGATTTCATATTCCTGCTGGATTTCCTCCAGACTCCAGCTCTTACACTCCCCAGAATCCGGGAGTGTCCAATTTTGCGTTCTCAGTCTCGCTGCCTTCTTTTCTTGGCTCTTTTCCTGTTGGCGTACTGACAAGCCCCGGAGCATGCCGCGAATACCGGTGGCAGGTGCACCGTGGATGGGGTCCTCGAAAGGGTTCTGGGTTGAGGACATGATGTTAGAATTTAAGTTAATGTGAGAGCATAGGTAGGGTTTTTATTGATCTCTGAGAGACAGAGAGTTGGGAATGGAGTACTGTGGCGGTGAAAATGCTGCGAGAGGTGTTGCGAGAGGTTGTGGAGAGCTTTGCTGTGCAAGACAGGTGTAGGAAGTAAATGGTGTTTGGTGATGATTGAATAGATAAGGAGATATCGTGGCTATTTGTACCTCAAATTGAAATCATCCGCAGCTCTCTGAGCCGTCCCAGTTCGTGTGAAGACATTGATTGTGTAAATTCTGTTCCATGAAGCAACTCCCGAACGATGCCATTGTGAAGGTGTTACTGAATTGTAGCGCCAGGTTCGCGGGAACTCAATGAACTGATATTCTGTTCCGATATATGTTGCTCGGATCAGTTGATGCCGTTGTTTGAATGTAATGATTGTGAAGTGTTGAGTAGAGCACACAATGCATGGTTTCTGAGTTCCTCTAACTGTGATCCGGTGAAACAGTCTACATAGGTGAACAAGTCGATCTGGACGTCATTCTAGAGGTGTACATGGTTTCTGGGTTGTTCATTGGCCCTGGCAACTATCTCATTGGTCTCTTGTTTGATATGGTCGAATCAGTGTTGCAAAGTTGCTCACTAGTTAGGGGAGGTCGAGAAGGTTAGAGAACCCAATTCTCATAAGTTGAACCCCCATTTGTATACTAATAGTCGAATCTTTTCAGGTGGGAGGCCTAGGCGTTGAATAATTGTAGGAAGCTTGGACGTGACCACACCCGACGTCGGTCAAAGAACTGAAAGTCCAGCGTTTTGGAAGAAACTGCATATATTCAGAAGCCTCAAAAGAGCTAGTAAAATGAACTGTTCTGAGCATTGAGCTCAGATCGCATCAAGCCGGCAATTATCAGGGCCATAGCGATATGAGAAACGTCTCGGAATAGGAATCTGACTCCAAATCGTTAGTACTGCAATGGAGATATCTGTGGACTATCCATAACTTACAATCATGCAATATCCATAACATTAATTGCAAACGAAGAAAGGTTGGCCTGACCTGTTTTTGACCGCAATTCTAGTCGAAACTCCTTTATCAGTGTCGTGGTCCACGAGATCGATGTCGGGGTGCCTCCTTTACCTTTGCAACTTGACCGTTATATCTATAGTACGGCGGCTCATTGTCGACTTGAGCCCTCCTGTATATATGCAGAGAGACTGGGCCCTGAGTTCTTTCGATGCTGCAATACCGAAAGGGGAGGTCTACAGGCAGCTGTTCCTGATGCTGAGATCTGGGATATATGGATTGTTGAGAAGGTTGGAATTCGCAAAATGCTAGAATCATTCCATCGTTTCTATATAAGTTACATGAAGCGGCTTAGGTAATTGCATGTCCTTTGTTTTTCTAATTCATCAACTACTAGGTAGGTAGCTACGTGCTGCTCTGTATAACAGGCGATAAATGTAGTGTAGAGACGTTCCACCAATAGATGTTAACACATACGGTCTGAAAGCATGCAAGAAGCCTAAGTGCATTCTCTTACCTCAGATAAGGGGTATTAAATCACCTGCTGGCAGGAATTCAAATAGGAGGGTGCTTTGTTCGTGTATTGGACTAATAGGTATATCCATAGTTTGTCTTTGTCCTCGTAGAGAAGCATAGAGTTTACATTGACTAACAAAATGTATCGACTTTCGGGAATAACTATCTGGATCTTAAGTTGTGGACAGAGTAGTATTCCGAAACATTTACCGGGTATCAGTAGTGTCTCATGTTTATCTGGCTGCTCATCTAATGAGCCATTCACGTGCGCTCTATCTGCACAAGGTCGCATATAAGCTAAGATGAGATTTGGTTAGAGGCCTAACGCCTGAACTTCCTAATAACAGAACAACTAACAACAGCAAACAAGAAATCAACACCCGATATTTAACTAAATCATGGGATGCGACTGCTGTGGCCCTCCAGCATCAGCTGTGGAGTCGGTCACCGCTGAGACACCTCCTCCAAGCGATATCGGAAGTTGCAAGGATGCTTGCTGCGATGGAGGTGACGCTGCGACTGAAGTTAAGGATGAAGAGCCAGTGAACAAAGAACCGGCTGATGAATGCTGTGCTTCTGGTAGCTGTGAGGAGCCGAACAAGGATGACGCACCGGAATGCTGCCGCGGAAAAACAAGCCCATGCTGCAATGCTTCTTGCATTGACCGGATCGCCATACGAGAGTGCGAGCTGAGTGCTTCTCACAAGCGTAAGTTCCGGATACTGAAAAGCACTGCTAGCGGCACATTGCTAACACTTTGCAGCGGATGCAACGGGTTGCGGCAGCTCTAGCTCCAGCTGCAATGGCGCAGCCGACGGCAAGGCATGCAGCAAGCACAGTCTATCTGCTCTCGACCGCTATGGTGCAACTCTGAAGGCACTCGGATGTATCTGCCGCGCTCTCATTTCTCTGGGTCAAGAGTCTTGCTGCGAGACCAAAGGCCGCTCTGCTATCGCCAAGCAATGCTCCAAGAAGTCGTCTTCCCGCTCTCTGATCCGCACATCAACGGACTCTTGCTGCAGCACCGGCTCTGTTACGGAAGAAAAGGCTGCGCAGAACCGTCTTCGCTTGCGAAATGGTTCCAATGAGAGTACCAGATCCGCCAAACAGCCCTCTGTCAAGGAGAGCTGCACTAAGTCGTGCTGTTCCATTGTTAAACCCGACCAAGAAGCAACCCCTAAGAAGTGTATCAGCTCATGCTGTTCGGTGGATAACGGCAAACCCAACTGTCCTGAACCTAAGCCGGTCAAAGACAAAGACAAGGACTGTTGTTCCGGTGGATGTTGTTCCAAGAAGGCTGCACCCAAGGTTCAACCCACTGAAAAGAGTTGTGTCAGCAAATGCTGCAGCAATGGTGAACTTTCCAAGAAAACTGCTGAAAACGACGGGTGTCCCGATAAATGCTGCACCAGTCAGCCCGAAGAACCCTCTACTGCTAAGAATAGGTTGATGGCTGAAGTTGAAAAGAGCAACTGCACCAAGTCCTGCTGTGACGAGGAAATAGCGGCGATCGTCAAGGAGCTGCCCAAGTCCACCTGTGTAAGTTCCTGCTGCAAGCCAGCTGAGAAAATTGTCACCAAACCTTCCGACAGCTGTGCCGATTCTTGCTGCGAGGAGGCTCCATCTGTCACCTGTCGAGACTCTCCGGCGGATGCTTGTTGCGTTTCTACGCCGCCCGATAAGGGAATGAAGGTCGAAACAACTCAAAATCCCGAAGATATAGAGAATCAGGCAACAGGAAAAGAACATGTGGTTCTTAGCATCTCCGGCATGACATGTACTGGCTGTGAGACTAAGCTCAACAGAACTCTCGCTACAGTCCCAGCTGTCACTGATCTGAAGACCAGTCTCGTTCTCTCGCGTGCCGAGTTCAACATTGATCTGAGGCTTGGTTCAGTTGATGAAGTTATCAAGCATCTTGAACGAACCACTGAGTTCAAATGTGAAAGACTTCAGACGAAGGGATCTAGCTTGGAATTCATCGTGAATGGCAGCACGTCTGAGTTTATTGGCCAAACATGGCCTGAAGGAGTTCTGGATATGAGTCTTGTCGACAAAGATACTGTTCGAGTCTCATTCGATCCCAAGATCGTCGGAGCGCGAGACCTTGCTGAAAGATCTTGGGACCCTCCGGTTAAACTTGCTCCTCCTCGTGGTGATTCGTCACTTGAAGCAGGTAGTAAACATGTTCGCCATGTTGGCTACACTACTCTCTTGTCTGCTGTTCTGACAATTCCTGTTCTGGTCATGGCTTGGGCTCCGCTTCGTGAGAAAGAGGTCGCATACTCTTCGGCTTCCCTGGCCTTGGCCACCATTGTTCAGGTTGTAGTTGCTGGGCCTTTCTACCCCAAAGCCATCAAGGCTTTAGTCTTTTCTAGAGTCATTGAGATGGACTTGTTGATTGTTTTGAGCACAAGTGCAGCCTACGTCTTTTCGGTTGTTTCATTCGGCTACCTCATTGCTGGCAAACCGCTTTCGACTGGCCAGTTCTTCGAAACTTCTACTCTGCTAGTTACGTTGATCATGGTCGGACGATGGGTTGCGGCCCTTGCCCGCCAGAAGGCAGTTGAGTCCATCTCTATCCGATCACTCCAGTCCTCGACTGCCATTCTGGTTGACGAGAAGACCGACACAGAGCGGGAGATAGACGCCAGACTTCTTCAGTACGGCGATGTCTTCAAGGTTCTACCAGATACTAGGATCCCGACAGATGGAACAGTCATGAGTGGGTCGTCTGAGGTCGATGAATCGATGCTTACAGGCGAGTCGAAATCCATGGAGAAGCATTTCAAAAGTGTTGTCATTGCAGGTTCCATCAATGGCCCAGGAGTCATGACAGTTCGCCTCAACCGCCTGCCTAGTGACAACACCATCAACGCGATTGCTGCGATGGTTGATGAAGCCAAGCTTTCAAAGCCCAAGTTGCAGGATCTAGCAGACCGAGTGGCCTCATATTTCGTCCCCGTGGTTGTTGCGTTGACTATTATTACTTTTGTTATTTGGGTTGCGATCGGCATAACAGTCCGTGGTTATGGTGGTTCTAAGGCAACTACAGAGGCAATCACCTACGCCATCGCTGTTCTTATCGTATCCTGTCCCTGTGCGATCGGCCTGGCAGTTCCAATGGTCATAGTGATCATGAGTGGAGTCGCAGCAGAAAGAGGTATCATATTCAAGTCTGCAGATGCTATCGAAGTTGCTCATAAGACATCCCACGTTGTTCTTGACAAGACTGGGACTTTGACACAGGGAAAGCTTTCTGTCGTTGCAAATGAGTGTATCGATGAAAGTACTCTTCCTCTCCTTTTGGGTCTGATCGAGAACAGTCGTCATCCAGTCTCCACGGCTGTGACGGGCTACCTCAAGGGTATTGGCATTGAACCTTCGGTTGTGTGTGATCCCAAGAGTTTGACCGGCAAAGGTGTCGAAGCGGTCGTAAAAGGACAAAAGCTGAAAGCTGGAAACTCTACCTGGCTTAATCTCTCAGATGATCATCTTGTTCAGCCCATGCTTTCTCAGGGTCATACCGTCTTTTGTTTCATAATCAACGACAAGTTGCAAGCTGTGTACAGTCTTCAAGACGAACCTCGAAAGGATGCCTTTGCAACTGTTGAAGCCCTGCATATTCGAGGCATTTCAGTTCATGTTGTTTCTGGCGATGATGATATAGCTGTTCAAAGCCTGGCATCCAAGTTGAACATCCCACGAGACAATGTCCGCTCAAGAACTTCACCATCTGGAAAGAGGGACTATATCCAAACTCTCCTTGGTACCTCCACTGATCGCAAGAAACCAGTTGTCGTCTTCTGTGGCGACGGTACAAACGATGCAGTAGCACTCGCCCAAGCCACCATCGGTGTTCACATGAACGAAGGCACAGATGTAGCACAGTCCGCAGCAGACGTCGTTCTTATGCGTCCCGCTCTAAGTGGCATTATCACTATGATAGACGCGAGTCGAAAGTCTGTCAACCGCATCAAGTTCAACTTCTGCTGGAGCTTTGTGTACAACACTTTTGCCGTTCTTCTCGCTGCTGGTGCTTTCGTCAATGCCAGAATTCCACCAGAGTATGCGGGTCTTGGAGAACTGGTGAGCGTTTTGCCGGTCATTCTTGCGGCTGTGCTTCTGCGTTGGTCGAAGATCTAGCTAGGATATTGAGAATCAACTTTGTAACAGCACAGCTTCTGTTGACTCACATTTATCTTCGACCAGAAGCCCTGTAGCTGAATATTTCTTTCACGTCACGCTTGAATTTCGACCAGCACAATGCTGCACGCCTGTCGTTACCGGCCTTTACAGTCTTGAATTTCGACGAGAAAAAGCGTCCTTGGGCGCCCAGAAAACATCAGTACCCTTCTATCCAAGCTCCATGATGGGCTTCTTTAAAGTACTGCGAGTTCTAACACAAATTTGGAGAGGGCTGGGGAGATATTCGCCCAGCGTCTTCTTCTCTTAAATATTCACTCGCTTTTACTACGTAGGCAGATAGTCTTCATTGTTCGCCAACTCGGCTTTGTTGCAACAGTGAAGTTAAACTGAGCAATGGAATTGACTCATATAGTGCCTCCCACCAGGTGTTCCTAGTCCCGAATTGTGATCTCACAGTGAAATGGCTCGATGTCCTATCCTCTACACGCATTGGCCTTGAGCTTATCACAAGTACACGATCTGGCATTTATAAGTAACAAATTTCTCTTATTCATACTGCCAGAGTATAAATGCTTACCCAGAAGTGGGCAAGAGCTCAGTTCATGCCCCCAACCATTATTAACCCCCGAAGTCCGTTCCTTATTTTACAATATTAGTATTACATAATTATGCCTTCAGACCAACAAATAAACAAACTCTCAACGATCTGCTGAAGCCATCGCTAGAAATCAAATACCGAAACTCAAGATCCAAATACAAGTCCCCATGGTAACTCAGCCAGCCACACCCAGCAAGAGAAGATGGGTACAAGGGCGAGCAAAATCCACCAAATTTCAATGGTGAGTTTGATTTGCATCCAACGTGGTAGTGTTCTACTCAGCAATGAGCGATGGGAGCATGTCTTTGTCCCATAAACAAGACAGCCAAGGCCTGGCCGAGATTCACATTCCACATGTTCTCGTCTTCGTTGCATGAGTAGACTATAACAATTAGTCGATGATTCATTTCAATAACATCAGAGTATATTGACTTACGGTACACTCCCGCGGCAGAAACGCAGATCACTACCGAGATCGCATCGCCGGTCATTGGGGCATTCTAGATGGAGGCTCCGTCGTTCCACTAGCCATTCCACTTTGAGGTTGATACCAGTATCGACAAGGCTATAGAAATAGGCGTTGGTGTGTTTCAAAGATAGTGCATCTGGGTAGATGAGAAAATCGGATATGGCGAGATGTATTTCTGTTGGTAGGGACATGAATGTCCGCTGAGGCGATGTTCTTTTAGGCACTCCGGAGGCCTTCCCGGCATCGGGGCCGGTTGTGGGGCGACGGCTTCGGAGGACGTTGGACATTGTGGAACGGAGCGGGCGATTGAGTTCCGAAAGAGTGACAAATTATTATGAAGCCTTTGATCTAGATCTGGGAATATGCGAAGGCTTTGTATCTGGCTGCTGCCTTGTACGAGGTCAAGGACTTGGAAGCCTAAACGATAGTTTACCTAGGACAGGGCAGGGTTGTTGTAGGCAGCGCCCAAGCCAATAGGGCAGTGCAGAATCTAGGTCGTTTCTTAGTCGTTTCAAGGCACTTTCAGCTGTAGGACTATTGTTATAAAATTAGGTTCAAGGCTGAGAACTCGAGTTTTATGTTGACTTTTGTTACTCGAGGAGGCAGCCAAATATCTATTCTATTTCGGTTGTTAGACGAATGAGAGCCGAACGCGGGCATGTCTGTTTGCAATAGAGACATGGCTATAGTTAGTATTGTCTCCACATACAGATTAGTCCAAGAATATTGTTTGTCTTGGACTCAACTGATTCATCTGCGAACATCAATTAATCACAATACCAATACCCTATCGAGGTATCCTGCCTAAGGTATTCTTAGGCAGTTGCGTATCAGTTTTGCTTCTTGCCAACACCCCACGTGACCCCGTGTACTCGCTCCCGTCTTCCCTCTTCTACCTAGGGACAGACGCCAAAACTCATCCTCGTCATTCATCATCAAAACCCTTGCTAAATTTAGCTGCAAGTGCCATTTTCCCCGCCGCATCCATTCCCTAAAACAATGATTCATCGCCTTGAACGAGAGCGGCTGCGATGACGTTGGATAGCGATAACGAGTTTGGCTATGATTTCTCTGCCGAGGAGGAAGAATTGCTCCTTCAGTTGTCTGCTGAAAATAACGACGTCCCGAATAACGCAGAGATCGCAGCTATAGACTCTGTTCCTGAGAGACACGATAGTCTACACCCTCAAAATGTCGCTGGCGGCACGTCAACTTCTGGCGTGGACCGCCTTCAAACAGAGTCCACGAATAGTCTGTACAGAGGCAAGGCCTTTCATCAACTCGACACGTCTTCTGGTCTGCCAACGCCGCCACCAGCTTTATCCTCAATCGAGGACGTACTCTACCCGGATTGTACGTGATGATACCCTCAAGAGGCTTCAGCACTAACTGACCAAAGAGATTAGTGAGCAAAGCCTTGAAAGATTTGAAACCAAAGCCACCTCTAGAATCAGAACCAAGTGTTTCTCCAACACCAGCAACTGAGGCAAATGAGGCTGATCCGTATGACGATGGCCGCTCACCTCTGCAGCGGTTCAGGTCATATCCTAAGAGACCACTGACCGTGACCGATCTTACGTCTGGTGCTTGGTGCGAGTTGCAGTACTGGTATACTCTCACCCGCTTACCTGGAGGTCGAAGAACCAGAACAGCAGCCATGAAGCAAGGAACCAAAGTTCACAAAAAGCTTGAGGATGAAGTCCACACTACAGTTCAAATTGACATCATGACCAAGGAAGATGCATTTGGACTCAAACTGTGGAATCTAGTTCAAGGACTCAGAACCTTGAGAGACACGGGACTCACTCGTGAACTCGAAGTATGGGGCATGATTGATGGGAACCTCGTCAATGGAGTCATCGATAGCGTGAGCTACGAGAACCCCAATCCTGAATTTGAAGCAGAACTCTCTAGTCAAGAGTCTGACACGACCGGACGACAATCTTCGGTGACCGACTACTTTCCGCCGAAAAACACGAATCATAAGAATGACTCGGGGCCAAAGATTTATCTTGCAGACGTCAAGACTCGCGGATCATTTTCTCCTGTTTCCAACGCTCAAATACGACCTGCAAAGATTCAATTACTTTTGTATCATCAGTTCTTGTCTAGTATGGCTGCTGGAAAACTGGATTTCCTCAAGGTCTTTCGACGGTACGGACTTGATCCAGATGACACCTTCTCAGACACCTTCATCGCACAAGTCGGCAGCTTGCATGATGAGATTTTCGTGGATGCATCAGAAACAGAAACAGAATTCACCCAAGAACATCCTTCCTCGAGTTTCCAGAGCTCTTCTTCAGCTGGACCAGATCTGTTGCAGTATCGAACTCTACGCGAACTCATTCCTCTTGTCGAGCATGAGATAGAGCTCACCTTCCCTCAGGGCGAACACTCTCTTGGACACATGCTTCGAGTTCAATACGTCCACCGCAGCGATGGTCGTGAAATCGATCTTCACGACTTTCCTGCTTCGAGACAAGCTCTGGAGACCTATCTTGCTAACTATATGGATTGGTGGAAAGGTAAACGCGATGCAAGAGGCGTCGATATAGAGGAAGCATTCAAGTGTAGAACATGTGAATTTGCTTCCGATTGTTCATGGCGTCAGGGCATAGATGATGAGATGTTACAGAGGGCCAGGGCGCAGCAAAAGATAAGGGCTACGCGTCGGGCTCGCAGCAATGCTGCGTAAGGTTGGGGACAATCTGGATATCATGAGTTGTGATGCATTGGAACATGCTATGAGAATTGTATGAATTGTTCAGGTTTGTGAAATCCATAGAAAGATGTCGAGCATAAACAAGACATTTTGTTGAGCAGTTGTATTGATTCATACTGACTCTATTTATCGTCTATATCGAAGTTGTCTATATGAATGAAAGGAACAGGAGAGGCCGCATAGTGTACGCGCTGTTTAGTGCTTTCTGTGTCGGTGAGTACGGGTCATTCCGAAACCCCATCCATCTATATCATCGTCAGCATGGTGTCTCAGGTCGCATATGTTGGAGACTTACATTGAGAAGCGACGTGGATGTCAACATCCAGCTCATCCGCCCAGTGCCAGACAAGATTGGGGTCCTTGAGGAACCCTCGTCCCACCAACACAGCGTCCACAGAGCCATCACTCAGATAACCCTGAGCTTGCTTTCCAGAGGTGATCATCCCCACTGAAGTCACAGCAACTCCGGTATCTTTGACAGCTTTCTTCACGGCAGAAGCATACGGGACTTGATACCCGGGGGCAGAAGTAATCTTCTGACGACTATCCAAACCACCGCCTGATATATCAATCAGATCAATACCGTTCGCGGCGAGGATTTGTCCGAGCTTTGCGGCTTCTTCGATGTGCCACTGTGGCAAAGATGAATCAAACTCGAGGTAATCTGTTCCTGGCATGCGGACAAGAAGGGGAAAGTCCTCGGGGACGATATCGCGAGTGAGTTGAACAATCTCGAGAAGGATACGAATGCGGTTTTCGAAAGATCCTCCGTATTGATCTGTTCGTTGGTTTGAGGCTGGGGAGAGGAATGCGTTTAGGAGATATCCATGTGCAGCGTGGATTTCGATGGCCTAACGAAGTCAGTGTCTATCAATTCACATGTACTGTCTGGCGGTCTTACATCAAAGCCAGCCTTGAGTGCCCTTTTCACAGCAGCAACCCAATCTTGCTTGAATCTGGCAATGTCGTCGCTTGTCATCTCCCTGGGAGTTAGAGACTCTGGACTGTAGGGAATTGCACTTGGTGCAACCACTTCGTCAGGCCAGCCACCAGCCTGTAAGTAATCAGTCACTGATCGCTTCCATGTGGTGCTGAGTATCCTACCTCTTTGACAGCTGTGTTCTTGCGATCCAGCCAGGGCACAACAGTACTCGCTTTTCTTCCCGCATGACCCATCTGAATAGCAATTCTTGCACCCTGGCTATGAACGAAATCCACAATCTCTTTCAGAGGCTCAAGCTGTCCATCTTCCCAGATACCGGCATCTTGAGGGCTGATTCGTCCCTCTGGTGACACAGCATTTACTTCCGTGATGATGAGTCCAGGGCCACGTGCGGCGAAACTTCCAAGGTGCTGTTTGTGCCATGGGGTCATGTAGCCATCCTTAGCAGAGTATCTGTAATGCTTGTTAGGTATCTGGTAGTGGCATGTGAGGGGTTACATACTGGCACATTGGTGATACGATGATACGATTGTGGAGCGTTAGACCTCGTAGCTTGAGGGGGGAGAATAGGCTGCCTTCGGGTTGAACATCCCATGGGGTTCCTGCGGGAGGGTCTTGGATAGGAGTGTAGAAGGGGACCTGTGATTGTGTTAGTGAATGATATGAATGTGAAGATATTGGTGAGACAAACATTTTTGGCTCCGACATTGATGAAGACTTTAGGATGGCCGTTTGCTTCGACTGAACCCATGATTGTTATCTTGATAAAACTGAAATGTTGTATGAAAGGATATTGGTATTCAGTGGTAGTGGTAGAGTTGATGAAGAGTAATGGGCTTGAGTGGAAGAGGGTTTCTGGTAAAGGAGGGAAGGCCATCTACTTATACTTCATCCAAGAGAAGGCCTTTACAATGTGAAATATCTGTAGTAAAACATGCAGGTTCTCACAAACGAAGCAATGAGCATTTGTCCCTTCCTCCGGACCAACTCCTCCATGTCACTACACGCACAAAATACAACACCAGTGACATGTTAAGACTTATGATAAACCCGAATAGCGAGTCCTCTAAAACCCATGTTTCACGAAGAGCCATTCAAGGTAATTGTCGCAATCACATCATGTTCTGCATCGGCGTCACCGAATGGGATATCTTGTTTCTCGGTTTTCGGCATGATGTATCGCTTATGAATATGTGTGGCTTGCCTTACCAAGAATGCATTGAACGTTGAGTGACGAAAAATCTACTGATTATGTTCAGTGTTTCCCGACTAAGTCGGCCGACTCTAAAATGGGCTCTATTGGGTCATTGATAGCATTCGTATTATCGGATTATTGCAGTGCTATCATCTACATACCGAATTACGAGGTTGCTGTATAAATTACAATCTGCTATAAACTCTCAATAATTAGAAAGTTTAGGGAAGAGGACACAAAAGTTACAGTTGTAGTGTTGGAAATAGTCTGTTCAAATAGCCAGCCTCAGGAACCAAAATGATTTAGGTTAGGCAACCTTGCATTCTAGAAGAACTTCCCTTCTACAAGCATCACTTACAACTACAACTGAGCCTCCACAGCCCTAGCATCATGCAGCGCTATAGAGAAGACGCCTCTGATGGGAGCAATGATGAAGAAGACATTCCTTTACACTACAAGCGGGCTTTCGGCGCGGGACTGAAGCGACAAAGGGTCGAATTTGTTCCCGCCCAAGATCCTGATGCTGGAACTACAACCACAATAACACCAGCCAAGTCAACAGACACTTCCATTGGCGATTTATATGCTAGCATCGTTCTAAAACCTGCCGAAGACAAAGATACCAAAGCCTCAGAAGAAGAGCCAGAGGAAATATGTCCAGACTGCAAACTCCCCATCTCATCCACTTCACAGCCTCACGAAGCATCCTTCGCTCACCAAGTCTCACTCGCACATTCACACCCCCCATCAGCACTTGATCGCTCGCGCATGGGCCTCAAAGCCCTAAAATCTCAAGGCTGGGACCCTGATGCCCGACGAGGTCTAGGAAGAGAGGGCGAGGGAATGCGATATCCTATCAAAGTGGTGGCAAAAGAAGATACCCTTGGAATTGGAGCGACGATACCGAAAGAGATCCGAGAAAAGAAAAAGGAAGAGAAGCCCAAGCCATTAAACAGAAAGGAAGCGAAGCAGCTGGCGGCTAAGGAACGACAACGGCATGAGAGACTACAGGGCGAGATTTATGGGAGAGTTGATGTGGAAAGCTATCTAAGAGGGAAAGGCGATGATGGATGATGATAGAGAGACAACGGGAAAAGACGAACAAAGATAACTCGAGGCACCGACTGCATTGTATCCTGTCTTCGATATCACAGGCCATCACGCGGTTAAAGAGATGCCTATTCTAGGACTTGCTCAAGGACTCACCGCCGGATCAGAAGATTCGCCCAGAAGAACAACACTTGGCAACTCGGCTATACTGCAGCCATCACAGCTGGACATTTCGGCTCAGAGTATCACAATGCCAACGCGATTAGTTCTGATTTCGAGAGCTATTTCCAGTCAACTGAGCTTAAGCACTGAGGTATATCAAGAGTTTCAGAATGCACCAAGTGTTTCATGTTGCATAAACGAAACAGTGATAAACATACGGATATGTATATATCGAGATCATCAGCAGAATATCCACAAGTTCTATTCTGCATAAAAAGTCAAGAAATGTAGTCGAAATATACTCAAAATTCAAGCATCTGTCATGACCTCATCGAAGTTGAGGCTGATACACCGCTCCCTATGTCATGCTGCTGATGCTCTGTCCTGTAGGCTTCCTTCAGGGACCTTTACAGCGACCATCACTAACCAACCACCAGGCGCTAGCGACTGCAAGACCTGGACCCACCTTCTTCATGCCTTCCATTGAGATGATGAAACCCCGCCAAATGGAAAGCCATAGCACCTCAACTCCTGACTTGGGCCCAAACCAAACTTAGAGTCCTCGATACTTGAGCAAACCACCCAAAACCTCAACTTTAGCCACTTTACATTGCACCATTTTTCTTTTAACTTAACTTTGATACCCCTGCGCCTCACCGTATCGCTTCAATTCAAGGTTCTGGGCTGGATCCTACCGCTTCTCTCATTGTCAAACACTATCTCAGCCTCCCTCAATATCTCCATACCCAACGACGTGACAGGGCAGCCCGCCTTTACTGTACACCATGGGGCTGTCCGTCATTCAAGAGCAGCATGATGGTATGATATATACGATACAAACACTATACACAGTTCGTTGCTAATGCGCCGACTTCAGCTATCTTGGGGCAGATCAAGAAGATCACTCGAGGCGATGTAAGCTACCAGCCAAGCTTTGAGCTCGACAGTTGACTGACGTCTTTGATGCAATAGTGGAAATGCCTGATCGTTGACGAGAACTCCAAAAAGATCATTGACAATGTCGTCAAGGAGGATGACATTCTCAATAATAATATCGCCAGTTGGTCTATCTGACTGCCAGCTTGGTGTCTGGTACTGACCAGCGTTTCCTCCAGCTATCGAGCGAATCGAGAACCGTCGCGAACCGAACCCTGAGATGGACGCAATCTATATCCTTTCTCCCGAATCCTTCGCTGTCGAATGCCTTCTCGCCGATTTCGAGATGCGACGTTATCGCAGCTACTACCTCGTCTGGACCGGCCTCCTCGACCCCTCATTGCGACGCAAGATCGACGACTTTCCTGGAGCCCGACAGCTCCGCGCCGGTTTCCAAACCATGTTCGTCGATTTCCTGCCTCGAGAATCGCATCTAGTTACCCTTCGCGATCCCTGGAGCTTTCCCATGCTCTTCCACCCAGCCTGTAACGCCATCGTTCCAACACACATGAAGAGTCTAGCGCAAAAGGTACGGCGGCAGCACGCTTCGCCCCAATGACGTTTGTTGATAAGAAGTTAGATCGCCGGTCTTTGTATTACACTCGGAGAATACCCCAAAGTTCGTTACTACAAGCCGCAAAGCGCACGCCACGAGGCAGCCGTCCTCTGCACTCACCTGGCTCGATTTGTCCAGGAAGAGCTCGATGCGTATGCGCAATGGGATACTAGCTTCCCTCCACCCTCACCACGACCACAGGCGACACTCGTCATCACAGACCGATCGATGGATTTGATGTCACCTTTGGTACATGAGTTCTCCTACCAAGCCATGGCACACGACCTCCTGCCGATCAAGGATGGCGACAAGGTCACTTATCGTACGACCATCAACGAAGGAACTCCGGAAGCCGAAGAGAAAGATATGGAGCTCACAGATAAGGACAAGATATGGGTGGACAATCGACACAGACACATGAAGGACACGATTGATAAACTTATGGGCGATTTCCAAAAGTTCCTCCAACAAAACCCCCACTTCACCAATGAGAATGCCGACACGACCAACCTTAATACGATTAGAGATATGTTGGCGGGCTTGCCGCAGTTCCAGGAGATGAAGGAGGCATATTCGCTGCATCTGACCATGGCGCAAGAATGTATGAACATTTTCCAGAAGCACAAGTTGATGGATATCGCCTCTATAGAGCAAACACTCGCCTCTGGACTGGACGAGGACTTTAAGAGACCGAAGAACATTCTCGAAATGATTGTACCTCTGTTGGACGATGAGGCCGTATCACCTTCAGACAGGCTGCGCCTCATCATATTATTCATTCTCTACCGGGATGGTGTCATTGACGAAGACATCAAACGACTCTTGGCCCACGCATCCCTCCCTCAGTCTGACCGCGAGGTTGTGGTGAACTTTGAGCAGCTTGGTGGACATATGACACATGCGCTCAAGGACGTGCGCCAGATTCCTGCGCCTCTATTCCCGATCGATCCAAAATCGACACAGTTGAACGAGGAATATGGATTAACACGATTCGAGCCAGCAATGAAACACATGGTGGACCATCTGGCAAGGGGCATGTTAGATCAGACTCACTTCCCTTACGTGAAGCCACCACTGGACCCCAATGAGGAGCTTCACTTAGCACAGGGAGGTTCTCTTCGTGCCGGTCGACCAAATTGGGCAGCAGCTGGACGCCGTCCACCAGAGAACCGACAGCGATTAATTGTCTTCATGGCTGGAGGTGCTACATACAGCGAGAGCCGATCATGCTACGAAGTCGGTGAAGCGCGCAGTCGAGATATCATTCTCGTCACTTCTCATATGATTACTCCTCAGTTATTTATTCGCCAAGTGGGCGATCTCAGTCGCGATAAGCGTCAACTTGACCTACCCCTGGAGCGACCTAAGCGACACGCTCCACGACATCTCTTCGAGCGACCGGCTCCTCCTCGCCCAGCACCATCACAACAGCCCTCACAGCAAGGACTGCCGCCTGGTCCCACGAACCGACCCGGCGGTCTTCCTTCAAGACCCAGCCCTGGCATGGCGCCTCCAACGGCTGCCATGTCAAACATGTCGATTAATAATAACCACGGTAACAACGCAGCACCACGGCCAACATCGCACCACAGTGTTCAACAACACCATGAGGAGCCAGCCAAGCTCCACAAGGAAAAGAAGAAGCGTAACTTTCTCGGTATCAAGAAGTAGGGTTCTTGGAACCGTGGTCTCTCTTCACCTTCTCCGCCGAAACCGAGGGCCATTCGACGATCACAGACTACAGAAACGTCGACTTCGTCTGAAGATTACCATACAAATGCGTCGCATGAGCCAGAAAGGAGTGCTTCCAGTAGAAGTCGGCTGGATGGTCCTTCGGCCTAATGTGGCTTCTCAGTAAAGCACATGGTGGAATTTCTGGTTTCGTAATTCGTCGACGGAGCGTGGCGTTGTTCTACCGTCTTTTGTGTATTGATTACTATCTATGTTGGAAGCATTACTTAACTTGGTAACTCGAATGGTTGGGAGACGTTCATCTGTATAAATCAGTTGTAGTGTATAAACGTCGTGAATTCTTTGTTCTCGTTTCAACATGACTTTGAAGTAACTGCTATTTACTCCTCATTATCACATTAGCAGAAATCGTCGTGATCATCGCCAGTGTGTACCCAGACAAGAAGGAAGCTCAGGTAAATCGCCCATCAACCAATCCATTTGAATTCACTACCTAACTTTCACCGAGTTAAACCATCATGCCTATATCCCTTGATTCCCCCCCATCGCCGTGCTTCCCAAAAATGACACGTAAAAAAACAAGTTACTAGCTACAGGGCGTACCCTGATTCCAAGCATGCGTTCAAAAGATGCGGTGAGTCGATTTCGGTAGATATTCGTACAATAGTGGAAGAAGCCCCTTTGTTAATTGTAAGGCTTTGAGTTTCAAAAGTTTCTGCAGACAGGCTGATTGATTCCGTACAAAAGTGGTACAGACTCTGTGGTCGAGGGGTGTTTTATTCGATGTGTTGAAGCACGGTATTCGTATGAGATGCAATTAAGGTCTACCGAAGGCGGCACCACGGCCGTTACCGGGCGGTGGCATACCGCGGCCTTCAAAGGGACCACCAGGGAAGTCAGGTCCGGGGGGGCCGTTGAAGCCGCCGAGCCCAGGGGGAATGAATCCGGGAGGAAGGCCGCCGTAGAAGGCAGGGGGAGGCATGTTTCGAGGAGGAGGGCCACCCAAGGCATCGAGAGGAGGCATCACGCCAGGAGGGAAGTTGGGAGGAAACATGTGAGGCATGGGCATGTTACGGTTGGGTCCAGGGCCGCCAGGGCCACCGAGACCAGCAGGAAGTCCTGGGGGAGGGATCATAGGACCTCGTTGCTGAGGAGGAGGCATTTGGCCACCAGGCATCCAGCTGGGAGGCATCTGATGGTCCAGACCAGGAGGTGGAGGTGGGCGTTGCAGGATCTGTGTAGGCTGGTTGGGTCGAACATCAGCGTCAGGAGGGTTGTGGAATCGTTCTTCCATGGGAAAACCAGGGGGTGGTTGGCGCATTTGACGTTGAGGACCACGATCGTCTCTGGGGAAATCGGGCTCCTGAGGCATCTGTGGTGGCTTCTGCTGCTGTGGGCCCATGCGCATCAACAATTCATTGCGCTGGGCGTCGGGAGGTGCTCTCATGAGATTCATCAAGAACTCAGTGTTACTGTTGTTACGAGCGGCATCAGGACGTCCAGAACCTTGACTGGGAGCTCGCTGGCGCTGGCCAACGAGATCCTGAAGAAGTTGCTCGGGGCGAGCAGCTTGTGGCTGGGGTCGAGGTGCAAGAATCTCTTGAACATGCTGAGGCGGGACTCGGCCAATAGGACCGTCCATTCGTCGATCAGGTCCATACTGCTGGAAAGGAGATTCGGGAGAGGTAATGGCGTTCGGCCTGCCAGCATTTGGCGGCGTACCTTGAGGGGCAGCAAACGCGGGCAGTCCTGGTGGTGTAGCGCTCATCGTCTGCTTCTGTAGCTTTGCCAGCAGTTGCTGGAAAGCTTGTCGCTCATCTTCGCCGCCTGCTGGAGGAGCTGGGCCGCCAGCAAAGGGGAGAGGCAAAGGCATACTACTGTTGACAGGAGGTCCCGTCATAGGAGTTGGAGGTTCCGTTTTGCCTCGAGGCTCCTCCTGGGGTTGCGAAAAGAAAGACGTAAACCTGGAAGATTTGCCAGCTGCCTTTGGTTTGTTGACAGGTTCCTTGGTCTCTTCAGCGAGAGGAGCATCCAGACCAGCATTCGATCCAAACGCCATGAAGAACTTATCAGGTCCAGCTTGAACCGCTGGGGCAGATTGCACAGGGGGCTTTCCAGCCTCGATGATGGCTTCAGCTGCCTCGACATTCGCGGATTTACCAGGAGCAGCAGGGATTCCAGCCTTGGCCTTCTTCATCTCTTCCATCCACTTCTGGAAATCTTGCTGCGTGTGAGCTTCGGGATGCTCCTCAAGAGGTTCGTCTAGCCATTCAGGCTCACGCTCGACTCGTTGATCGCGGTCTCGTCCCCATCGTCGATCATGGGTGCGATTGTTGTTGTTATTGTTGTTATTATGACGATCATCAGGAGTATCAGCGATCGCATCGCGGTCTCTCCAGCTCTTCGCGCGATCAATTCGTTCACGCTTGTCGGGGGTGGTAGTAGTTTCAACAGCCGGAGTGGTGACTGCGTTAGACTCGTTCTTGTACCACGGCTCAGTTTTGTTCCTGTTCGTTCCGTTTCGAGATCTACCCTCATCGTCTCCGTCTCTGGCGAAAGTGTCAAAGCTTCGTGCAGGGCGATCCCGAGCAGCGTCGTCACGTTCTCTGGGCTGTCGCTTGTCATCTCGGAAGTTGCCTCCCATACGTCCATGGAAACGCTCAGCACCCTCGTGCCCAAAACTCTTGCGTGGCTTCACAGTACTCCAACCATCTGATTCGCTCTCACCTTCACGACGGCGGTGACCATTGCTATTGCGTCCATCGCGAAATCGGTCAACGTCAAGATCTCCATTGCGACTTCGAAAGTTGCCGAAACGCCCCGAAGCGTCAGACTCCTTGGCAGTTTTGTCCGTTTCGAGCGATGATTTGCCTCGCGCTGAAGCAAACGCTGTTCGGGGTGGTGCAAATACGAGGTCTTCAGGGTCTGGATAGGTGCGCGCTGGTCAGTACACGGAGAGCCTAGGAGCGAAGGACAGGAGAGACAAACTGGCACTATTCCTTGAAACGTGTCTCTCAACACCGGGACGGCGATTACTCTGGTCAAGTAGAGGGTTGTCGTTGGATCGAGGTCGATCACCAGGAACCTTTGTTTGTATGCGATTTGGCTCAGGTGGGGGTCTAATCTAGGTCAGGAGACTTGAATATGACTTGAGGAAATCATTGTTACTCACCCCATCCAGTCTTCAGCTGGAGGGAGACTTGGCGGTTTGGTACATAACGGTGATTCCCGTAAGTAGATCAAGAAATTGGCCTCATAGCGGATTACCATGATGAAGAAACAGTTGGCGCTATGAGCGCATTCGAGTTATCGGTGGTATAGTATAAAGAAGTATGAAGTGTCCCAAGGTGGACGTGCGAGCGCAATCGAGGTAGCCTTTAGAGAATTGTATTCTCTTGAAAGGCAGCAGCTTCGAGTTCGGGCAGAGTGTGGTTTTTGGAAATTTATTAGTTGTTGGTGCAACAAGCAGGGGTGACGACGTGGCGAGAAGTTGCGATAGCGGAATGAGTGTTGTGCGGAGAGTAGGACGATCAATTCGTTCGGACGGTGAGTCAGGTGAGGAGAGTACGCGGGGTGAATATCGTGAGGTGAATTCAGGCAGCGGTAGTAACGGTCGAGGTAGGGGGCTTTGGTGAACAAGAACGTGAAAAAGAGATCAGGTCGAGCGAGTTGGTGGTTGGCGAAGAAGGGTGACGTCCTAAGGTGGTGGTGGTGCACTTTGTGGTTGTGCTGTGCTGTGCTTTGCTTTGCTGGTGGTGGTGGACAAGGCGAACCAGAGGTGGAGCCAAGCCAGAGCTGGGCTTTATCGAGTCGAAAAGCCCCAATCAAGAACAAGCAAGGGCCCAGCGAGGGAGAGAATGTATTGTAATTATTGATTCGCCGAGCGGGTAAATATTGATTGACTTGGTACAAAGTACAGTATTGAAAGAAGTCCAAGGGTTTAGTGGAATGATGTCGAAGGCGGGCGGTTTAACGGAAAGCGTGACAGTGTACAACGGTGCGCAAGACGCAGGAGATGGTTGAGGTGGATTGGGTTGGGCTTGGGATGTACGGATATCGAGGATTGTTTTCGGTGGCTTGACGTGGTTGCGAGAGGGAGAGACCGAAAACGGGCGAGAAAGACGAGAGAGAGGCGACAGAGAGTGGAGGAGGCGAGCGCGAGGGCTTGAGTGTCCAGTGAGAGACACTTAGCGCTGTTAGCGTGAGTGACAGTTGGCAATAGAACAAGTCAGACCCTGTTTCTGGGCAGGTATATAGGAACAAAGAAGGTATAATATGCTAGAATATTCTCATTTATCTTAATTGAATAAATTGTCTCGTGAGCGTTGAGTTCGTAAACGTCGGCTGAAAAGAAAACTGAGATGTTGTTGTTGATTGATTGATTGATTGATTTGATTTGTTTGTGGATGGGAATGAGGAGAAACAGTGGATAGACCTGGCTGGAGTGCACTGTCTGATACCGCTGCACGCACTGAGAATGAGCCTCCACTTGATGGAATTCAGTCGTGTCGTTCCACTGCCTCCACTAAAATCTCGGGTACCTGTACTGTGCGCCTTGAAACAAATCAGCCATTGGGCTTCACCTCAGTTTCATCAACAATAAAACTCGGCTCATGATTGCATAATAAACCATGCACATATTCTGCAACAAATAATACAATGTTCAATATTTCTTATTTTAGCTAACTATCCCATATTGACAATATTTGTTCCTATTTCTTCTGCGCAGCAGTCACCTCCTCCTCAAGCGGCAGAATATGCGGCAGAGGTCCAACAGGCGTGATAGAGAAAGGGTTGATCTGAGTGTGGCTCCTGGTGTAGTGCCACTTGATATGCTCAAACTGCGTAGTATCCTTGAATGCGGGATCGTTCCAGTACAGGTTTCGCATCCACTTGTGCAGAGCTGGGTATCCTGAGCGAATGTCGCGGATGTTGCACTTGAAGTGCTGCACGTAGACGGGATCGAAGCGAATGATCGTGACGAACAGTCGAATATCGACTTCGCTAATCTTGTCGCCGAACCAGTAGGGGCCTTGTTGCTCGGAGAGATGCTTCTCAGCGCGGTCGAGAGCTTCAAAGAGGGCGACGACGTTGCGCTCGTATGCTTCACTGGTGGTTGCGAAGCCGGACTTGTAAACACCATTGTTGATGCCGCCATATTGCCACTCATGGACCTCCTCGATTTGCTTCTGAAGATCTTCAGGGTACAGCTGAATGGCCTTGTACTTCTCATCCAGCATGTCGTCAAACTAGATAAGATTAGCAATCGTAGGTCAAAGCACACATTGAATAACTCACCTCAGTACCAAGCATTCGCAGAATTTCACTGCTTTCGTTGCTCACAATTCGGTTTGTCTTCTTGTCAAACAGAACTGGCACAGTATATCGACCATCGTAGTTCTTCTCACTCTCAAAGTACACGTCCTTCAAGTGAGTGAACCCCTCATGACCCTTGATGGGATCAGGAATCACATTGTCACCGGGAACGTCCTCATCCTTGGAAACAAATCGCCAGCCTCCCTCACCAAGATGCCAATGCACAACTGAGTAGGAGATGATGTCCTCAAGACCCTTAAGTTTGCGGGCGATGAGTGTACGGCACGCCCACGGGCATGCGTAGCTCACATAGAGGTGATATCGGCCAGCCTCAGCAGGATACTTGGCATTGGGATCGCGAGAGATCCAGTCTCGGAATGAGCTGACTTGACGCTTGAACTCGCCAGATGTGTCGCCGGGCTTGACCCAGTCAGTAACTTTACCAGTGCTTGCCTGTAGCTCTGTTAGCAAGCTGAGAAGAGCAGTGAGAGTGTCTGGTCTGTGTACCATTCTGATTTGATGTGGGGGCTGAACTTGAGTGAGGGATGGTTTAAACGATGATGCTTTGATAGATGTGATGAATCTGATCGATTGTTGTTGCTGTGGTCTAAAGAGGGAACTCCTGTTGAAAACTCGAGATGATCGAATTCCAACTCCTTGCATTGACATGTCTATAAAAACAAATCGGAGCATTCAGTGACGGCGACAACCAACACCTTTATAGCTAGCTGCAGCTGACGAGAGTACGAGAAAAGTGGCCATCACCACACATGATGGAACCCTTGCTCACTCATGACTTGCTCAGCAGCCCCTCACAAGCTATGGCAGCTTAGTTACCAACCAGATAAAGCCTGTCCTCCCAATCCCCAGGGACTCTTCCTCCGTCTGGTGGGTTCCCCGAGAGCTTCCATTCCTGAGCTATTCCGTCCTAGAGCTTTGGCTGCCACGCTTGGAAGCATTCCATAATCGTGGCGTAATAATCGACCCCGCTTTACTGCGAGTTGCTTAGTTATCATGCTCTACTGTCTTGATAAGCCCATGTGCATCATGACGACTGGCTTGGTAAAGAAAATTCCCTTCCATATCGAGTCAGGGTGGTAGTCTCGGCAGTTCAGCATATGTTTTCGTTTGCGCACGCGAAAAGAAGATCATTGGGGTCTCAGAATAGTCAACAGCAAATCAATATAGCAGTCTCCGTAAGCTTTGTCATACAGCAATGAATTTATCTATCTTTATAGGCTTCATCCTTTGGTCCTTCATGTGCTCATGTGCACTCCAGTCGTTTCTAACATCTCATATACATATCTCAAAAGACTGTTCAAAAGCTTCAAAGCCACAGTGCTTATGCCATCTTGACCTTGATGTAGGGAACTTCAACATCTTCCTCTGCAAGATCCTCAGCAACGATCTCAAAAATGACCTCCTTTTGGTGTGAAGGGATAGGCTTCTTTGAGATTGTCTCAACCAACTGGCTCAGCTTGAGGTCATAACGCTCCTTCAGCTTCGAAGGAGGGAAGAAAGACGCGTAGAGGAGGCTGACACCAGAGCTCAGCATACTGATGGTCAGACCCTTGGCCTTGAAGGTATCCAAAAGCTCCTTCAGGGTGATGTCCTCAATCTCAAAACGATCCCAAATCTTATCCAACGTAACCTTGCCGTCAGGGCCTTGGTATTCCACCTTGGGGCTAGCAATAGGCTCGCTGAAGCCAAAGAAAGGCAGGGCCAGATTGATGAAACCGTTCTTGTACTGCTCTAGATCATCCTTGCCATCGATGATCTTGTACAGCTCAAGCACCACCAGACCGGTAACCAATGCCGTAGTCGTGGCGATGGCGGGAATGATCTTGCCAGCGATGAACTTGGTCTTGTGTCGATCAGCAGGCTCGATCTTGTAGTTCTCTGCTCGGAGGTTGCTGCAAGCAGTGATGAAGTCGATGTGATGGTTCGAGTCATCGTCTTTCTCGAAGTCAACAGGGACCAACTGGAATCCAGACAAAGAGCTGGGCGATGGAAGGCTGGCGGTCAGCTTCTCAATCTCGTCATTGTCATCGAAATTGCTTGACTCGGGCTCCTAATCATGAATTAGTACTGGTTTTTGAATAAGATGTGAAAATACTTACCACAGGCTCCTTGTCGTCGGCCTGGATCTTCACGTTGGAACTGGGTGTAAAGTCGGGAACGATAACATTGTCCAATTCTCGCAGATATATGGACCTGTCGGTTCCAGGAGACTTGATGTTGTAGTTGAAAGCATGGAGGTTGGCGGCCGCAACAATGAAACCGAAGTGAGAGGGGTTGTTGGGGTCGAACTTGAGCGCATCAGGAGCTCGCTTAGGTCCGGACCAGAAAGGAGTACCAGATGAGGTCTCAGAATCCTTGGGAAAGTTATACAAGAGCTGCTGGATCTTGTTGGAAAACTCAGTCTCAAACAACTGACGGGCCCAGGCGATACAGTCCTCAAAGGTTCGTGGCCTCTCGGTCGTGAGATAGTTTCTAATCGTCTCAAGAGTCTCCTTCTGGTTACCGCCCTGCTTCATAGAATTCTCAATGAACTGAGGCTGGGTCAAGTACAGGTTGACAGTTTGGGGAGCCTTGACAAAAAGCTTCTCAAACATGTACTCCTTGGCCCAGGCAATAGTGTGATCGATCTTGTTGGGGAAACTTCGGATGGTGCACATAGGGAACTCCTTCTCGGGGGGGTCCTGGGAGGATGAGTAAGACTCGGTGAGATGAGGCAGAACGACCTGCGTGTTGCCCTTGGTTCCAAGAGTGCCGCTCTCGAGAAGAGGCTTCTGGAAGAAAACGCATCGGCGGTCGACGTATGTTCGAGCCTCAACGTTGTCAAGAGCATTGGTTACACCATCAAGGTTTCGCCAGAAGTCCTCGTTGAAAACATTCTCGGTCTCGGGGCTAACGCGTTCCTTGAGTGTTACCATGTGGCCTTCGAGGTCAGGGTTCATTCGTTGAACAGCAAGAGCAGCACGGTCACTCTTCATCTGACCAACATCATCGGCGCGGAACAAAAATTGACGGTTCAGGTTACTCCTCTCGATCGAGTCCATGTCAGTCACCCAGATCTTGCCCTCGGGTCCTGTTCCGAGACCAATCATCGCCCAGTTCTTGAGCATCTCACAACCAATAGCACCAGCACCAACGAGGAACTGCTTCAAGTTGGCAATCTTGTCCTGGAACTCGGTACCAAATACAGCGATCTGTCCATCATATCGGCTACCGATAGGCTTGCAGAGCTCAGCAGATCGCTTGGTAGATGTTGGCAGGGACTCGAGAGAGTCAAAGTACATCCACTGGTTGATAGGCTGGAACTTGCCAGAAACAGCCTTGAGGACCTCCTGTGCCACAATGCCACCAAAGTAGGCAGCCATAGGGTTAAGATCACCCTGGGCTTGGTAGCTCAGCTCCTTCAGAAGCTTCTCATCCAGCTGAATGTCAAGACCCTCCTGCTCAGCAAACTTCTTAGCAGCACCAAGAACGACGATAGCATCGTCATTGTCCATGGGGTTGGGAAGTCGCTTGTGAGTAAGTTGGAAAGCATGGAGTGCCTGGAAACCGAGGTGCAGCTGCTGAGGTCGGTCGAACTTTGCGAAATCTGAGATAAGGAACTCGGGTTCCTTGAGCGCAGTGGTGAAGTCCTTGAAGTTGATGATCTTGGGCATCTTGACCTGCTGGTACATGCCACCTCGCTTGTATTGACCGAGTCCAGAAACATCGCCGATTGAGAAGGTATATGGGCCCTTAACCGTGATCTTCCGGGGCTCCGCTCCGTTGAGTGCTTCCATTCCTTCAACCTCGGAGAATGTCACGTAATCGCCATCTTCCAGCCCATGTCGAGTTTCGTCGAGTGCAGACACCAAGCCCTCCTCGTCAATGCCTGCCACGATGCCGTTAAGAGGAGTCTCGCCAGTAGGATCGATGCAAGTGAACTTCTCGCCAAAGTCACAGAAAACGGAGCCGAAAAGACCGTATGTGTCGGCAATAACGACGTATATGCCCTTGCTGTGGCAGTAGTCACCGATAGCCTTTTGTTGGTGGATAGGCGCATTGGTCAGAACAACAACTTGGTACTTGTCGAACTGCGAAAGTTCACCATCAAGTCCAGGTGACTGGTGGAGCTTAACGGGGGTATAGGCGTTGAGCTCGGCGACACGAGGCACAGTGACCTCATCTCTGGGCTTTCCGACATCGCTGGGTGTGAGGAAGAACTGGGACGAGAGATCCGCAATCTGGACTGGCGCAGGGTCGTAGAGGGTAAGGCTCTTGACACCAGCCAGAGCGATGTTCTTGGCGATTTCCACGCCGAGACCCTTTAGACCGACGATGAGCACATTAGAAGCACCCATACGCTTCATGGCCTCGTGGCCTAGCACATAAAGTTGTCGGCTGTAGAGGGACTCATCGATTTCGTTATGTCCAACAACAGACTCATCGACCTGCATTCGGGTCGCAAGGTCGACCTCTGGTTGCTTTTGTTCCTATTGAGCCGGACTGTTAGAATCTTCGGGTCCTGTTTGCATGTTCACGGTGAAAGTCTCTCAAATGGCACCTGCTTTTCACATGCTCTGATGCTTCAAGCAAGAGTATGGCAGGCGACAAGCCGAGATAGGGAGTACAGAGGATCTAGGCTTACGGCCATTATTCTTTTATGGGTAGGTGACTCCCCGTTGGAGAGCTTTCGCTTCCCCAGCTTGTCTGTTTTAGAAGAGGTGGTAATGTTGGAAACGCTGCGTCAGTCGTTGCGAGGGCGATCCAGCACCAGGCAGAGCTCAACCCCGCCAAAGAGTAGAAGGGGACGGTGAGAGATGGAGAAAGGAGAATGAGTTATCCGCGAGCGATGTGTATCTTCGTCGCAGACCGTAGAGTCGTAAAATTCGTGTTGTGAGTATGGCCAAATGTGGTTTGTAAGAAAAGAGGTTCTAACTTTGAAAGTTGAGTGGAACAAGAGAGCGCGACATGGAGTGTCCTATGGTGATGAGGTAATGGCCCAAGTCCCCCAGGCAGAGCTGTCTTGCCCCACTAACCATACTGTCAGCGGGCGCCTCAGCTTTAATAAGCCACCTGGCCTGGTATCAATCAGTGCAAGGCTTCAATCTGCACTTCTTATCGGTTCATTTGGTATTCACTAAGGTATTATATACTGTTTTTGCTGCAATGAACAATTTTGAACTGTTTCTTCGAGTCATTCACCCAACAGCAGCCTAGGTATTTTGAAGGCTCCAGTAAGTACACAAGCTCAGCGTGGCACAGCAGCCCCGCAGCAAGTCAACTGCATGGACGTTCAAGGTTGCTAGGGTGAAAGCTACACGTAGGTGACGCCCCTCTCATGGGTCTAGCACTTAATTGCTACTGATTCCAAGCTTCTGTTGGATTCCATTGACTTGACACGGTTAGTTTCGGGTGTATAGAACCCTTACGGACACATCAGTACGATTTTTCAGGGTACTGCAGCGATCTCGACCTTCTTGTTCAGGTACCCTCAGAATCATGCAGGTCCATCATGAGATTTAAACGGCGGGGTTGATGTACGCGGGGCATTTTTACGCATGATGCCATACCAACGTGAGCTTCAGTTACGGCACAAAGAAACATACTTGATTAGCAGCTTGGGGTGGGGCATCGAGATACTTGATTATATCTCTCAATTTATCGGTGCATCCTTTGTTCACCAACACATGCCAGCAATGGTCATCACAGAGGTTCACGTTGGATCTCAATTATTCTTTGTTTGACCGTCCCTAGGAAATATGTAGAAGTCGCCATATTTGGTTCCTCACTCCATACTGCACCCCGATGCTACATGTCTGTAGGGGTATAATGAGCACCAGGTCGATCGTAGCATTCGTTGAGCGTTTGCAGCTAATCAGAAGCCCGTCAAAGCTTCATGTTTCCAGACTCGATCGAAGGATAGCGGTAGATATTTGAGGGACTTAGTTAATCTTCTGGAGCTCAACCTCGCTGAAGGAGTAGTCAGTAGGCTGTTCATTTATCTGGTAATATTCAATCAACTTACAAGAGGAGGGTGGCGTTGGGGGGAATGGCGCCGGGGAAGCCACTGTTAACTATGTTAGCTGTTTCCTCATGGTCTAGCTTGGCGGCTCCAGAGGCATCATGTCCAATGGCCCTAATTTGTGAGCTTACCGAGCGCCGTAGCCGTAGTCACTGCCAGTGACGGTTAGCATTCCAAATATCAACTAATCTGAGGATGTTGAGAACACTTACGGGGTGATGTCGAGAAGGGCCTTCTCGCCGAGCTTCATTTGGGTAACACCCTCATCCCAGCCTATTTGGAGTCAGCTTTGGTGTCTTATGCGTCACAGATCCGAAACTGGATAGGGAGACGCACCCTTGATGACCTGGCCAACACCAATGGGGACCACGAAGGCACCACGGCCGACGGAGCTATCGAACCTGTGAAGAGAGTTGTCAACTGCGTTCAAGAGCGGTGGGCGTACGAATGAACATACTGGTCACCCTTGTTGTCAGGCTTGGACTCGTCCTTGATCCAGCCGGTGTATTGGATGGTGACCTTTTGGCCGACCTGAGGAGAGGCGCCGCTGCCCTCGGAGATGATGGTCTTCTGAACACCCATTATGGCTTGTGTGAAAGAAAAGTTGCGAGGTTGGGTAAAAAAGGTATTGATTCGAGTGGTTGTGCGAGTAACGCGGGAGATGGATGCAGGAGAGAAAGGGCGCATCTTGAAAAAGAGGAGGCGAGCGTGGAGCTTTATACCTACAGTACCTAAACCTAACAGCTGAGCAAGCGTTGGGACGAGGCAAGTGAAATGCAGTGCTGATGCGGTGCCAGGCCCAGGAACAGGAACAATGGGATTTCTTCTGTTGAGCTCCCCGTATGATCAATGGCTTCAGAAGCTCGATAAGCTCTTTCCATTGGATCTCAGGGTAGCAAATGGCGGGGCAGTCAGATCGACAGCGGGGCAATGGCAACTGGAATGACGATTGGTACCAATCAGCTTGTCTGAAAGCCCCACTAGGGATGACGATTGGGAGAAACTCACGGAATCCAAGGAGGTCACTAACAGCTAAAAGATACTTCCATTCATCAGCCTTTTTATCACCTTGAACGAGTACATATGGCACAATAGGAACACCAGTTGGTCAGGGAGTTAATGTCACTCATCATTCGGATAAAATACCGCATTAAAGCAGATGTCGTGATTGTCCTTGGCCGATGTAAGAAGGGACTCGGACCCTGAACAATGGCACGTATCGATGAGAGATGTACCTTGCTTCGGAGGTACACACGCTATAGCTATATGTGCTGCAAGAAAGGAGTATCTTTTTAACTAGGTACTTAGAATCCTCACCAACATCATCCGCGTTAAGCAGTTTGCAGGGACAAAAGATTAAAATAGTAACATTCAAGAAGGGGACGTTGAATCAGAACAGCTAAGTTACAGTCCAGCGTGTCCTAATGGCATCGCTTCAGCTTGCTTTAGCCACCAGCTTCCCCGTGTCTTCCTTTGCTGTAGCTGCTCAGGCAGCGCAGCAACCAGTTGCGAAAATCACAGTGCTCTAGGGTAAGGGGTATATCATGCGTGTATGAACTTATATGAGTAGAATCATCTTCGGCACTTATGTTATATTCTTCCAGTTACTATTCACTTCTATCTGATTGCATTCCCAATACTGTCTCAGCTTCATGTAGTAGTTGTATGTAGTGTAAGATTCGTAATTGATAAAGCAGAATGTTTGAGTCATTGTTGAGTTTGATATCTAGAGTAATGACTATCAAGCAAACGCTACACATTACTTTGTGAGATATCGTCCTTCATTATCACTACCTGTAGATATTGGAATCAGATGATAGACTTAGAAATTCATATGAGCGAATACTCAGTATTCTCATGAAGCGTCCTGATGTTACTTGATCGTGCCATTTTATGCCCCCAAATGCCACAAAATTAACTGGAATTCGATAACTGATGGCATTTATAAGCTCTGGACGCTGTCGCGAAAGACTATGGCCGCACAGCATATTAAACAAATCATAAAGGGCTGATAATAAAGCTGGCCCGTGAGGAGCATGATCGTCCCGGCTCGAATCAAGGTTCAGCAGCGTGTTTGATCTTTGGTGCACGGTTACTTGTTCTGGTGTAATTCCTCTCAACTAAGGAGTAGCACATACTTTAACTTGAGTATGAGAGCATGAAGCATCACGGAGCAAAAGAGCGTTGCATTGAAAATCTCCAAAATCAAGAAAACCTGAATTTTCTTTCTCTTATGCACAGTAATACTCGACTTGGGTAACATCGTCAAAGCTACGGAGTCCAATGATAATATTGAAATATCTATAAAATGGTACGAAGCTCCGCGACTAACGATGTGAGACATCAGCTTCAGCAAAACAATTATCGCTCGACACTCTCTTTTCAAACATGACCAACTTCTTCAAAGCAGCGCTGTGCGCTTCCATGCTTTTCTTGGCTGGAGCATCAGCCAAGGTTAATCGCACCAATGCTGTCCTCACTGTTCTGGAAGGGTACAAGGACTTGACCGCATTCTATGCACTCTTCAAGTCAACAGGAGATGGCATTGGAATTCCCGAACCTGCATTCGAGGAGCGTTTCAATGACAACAACGTTGGTCTTGACTTCACCATCCTCGCCCCTACCAACGAGGCGATTGCTAAGGTCCATGGCCTCACGGAGAAGCTGACCACAGCAGTTGGTTATCCTCTCTTGACCACTCTTCTCCGTACGCATATCTTGCCGGGCAAACTCGCTCCACATGATCTATACAATAAGAACATCGTCTCGATTGAGGGTTTCTCAATTCATACTGACTCGAAGGGGGTTATCACCACCAACCCAGGCCTGACGAAGACTGATGTGCGCGCTCGCACACAAGCTAAACTCCTGAAAGACAAGAGAGGCAAACCAATCCGTGTTCCCGCTTCGAACGGCGTCGTGTACAAAATTGACAACATTCTTGATCCATTGCTCACCTATTTCGGTGAAGACTCCGCCAGAAATCACCGCTCTCTACCAACCATCAAGCACTCCCCTTCCAAGTCAATGAAGGATATATTGGCCGCAGACCCTGAGACATCTCGCGCCAAAGAGCTGCTATATACCGTTGCACCGTGGCTCCCCAGAGATCGTCTTGATATGTCGTTCTCCGGACGTCGCACAAAGGAGAACTCCAAGGTTGTCTACCTCGTGCCTTCGAATGAAGCGCTAAAGTCGTTCACCAAAGTTGCTGAGGCACCTGGTAACGCCGATGCGACACGGTTCTTCCTAATGGCAGGTTTCGGAAGAATGGATGGAAAACATATCAAGGGGCGTGCGGGATTCAAGCTCGAGGTTGAAGGGGGGAGGGTTATGAATGCGGAGGTTGAGAAGAGGGAATGTGGTTCGAATGGTTGTGTATGGAGGATTGGGAGGGTGATTGATTCAGTTTATGGTCTCTTCTAAGGTTTCACTTGCTAATTAGTGCTGGGATCGCTTTTCGTTTATCTATGTCTGTACTTTATGTGAAATATGCATTGGTTAAGGAAAGTCACTGCTATGGTGAATATCAGGAGTGTATAGCAATGGCTCGACGTTTCATCCACTAAGAAACATTATGTCACAAAGAATAGCACAAACTCTTTCAAATGATATATGGATATAAACGATTTCAAGTTAATATGCCTGCTTGCTATTTGACAATAACCAGTGTTTGAATCAGACCGCGACACAGACGGGGCAAAGGCATGACTTAGGTGAGTATGTAGTGTACCCTGGATGGTTATTTCTTGCCTATGCATGTTTTGGCAAGAAAGATGACCACCCAGCCTATGCAAGCCAGCTTAACGAACGGCTGAGGCTTGATTTGGATGCTGATATGAGACCATGATAGTCCACGTGGGATCTGTGCCGTATCTGAGTAGGCAAGTAGCGAAGCTATGTGCGGCTGAATGTATTGTTGTTGAGTGATACCGTTCACGGAGTTGCCGAATACCAAGAACAGCAATCTATTGGTCTCCTCGTAGATATGTGTTTTTTGTGTATATGCCCCGTGGCTATGAAATTAGGTGTCAGTTTGGCAATAACGGTAACAACATGCATAAGGCATCAGGAAGCTCAAGAGCAGGCCAATAAAGGTGGCGGAATGACTTCTCATTCGCTATTTCGTAAAACAAGAGTTTCTGAGTTATCGCTAACACGTTCGGACATTTAAACAACCTTAGTTAGATTGGGCTGACTGGTTCGTATAAAGGTTAATTAGACATGGGTTTGGCAGATTTTGAATGATGGACATTAAGCAGCCTTAGATTTGATAATGGAATGATTAGATGGAGGCTTTGTTATTGTCCAGAACAAGGGCCTGGCCAACATTGGATCCGAGATCCGAGCTTGAGCCTTCAATGAACTAATTACATTAGTAGCCACATGTTAGTGTCCTGACTCAAGCTGAGGATTGCATTTCAATGTTGTGAAGCAAGCAGACGGCTTGCGTGTAAGTGAATATTGTTACCAGAAGTGGTAGTAGATAATGATTGGAGAAAAGATGTGAAACTTTAGGATGTCGATCATGAACAAGCAAAATCGAAATTTACGACGCAGATCTCATGATTGAACTAAAAGTCGTTTTGACAGGCGAGCCGCGTTCCGAAGCCATCGCGTAAAGAATTGCTAGGCTGTGCCGAGAAAAATGATCAGGGTCCCCTAAAAGCCCCATCTAAGTGGGTGAATCTCAAGGGGTTTCCACGCTGGGCGGCACTCATAGCCGCTACAGCCCAGCCCTTGGCACATCAAATGCCGCTATAGCCGTGAAGTCCTGCATGCATTTCCCTGTACACAACTCGAGGTGACGTCAGAAAATAGCAAATTCAATGGTACTTTTAATGACTTGGCCATGAGAGCTTGCGACGCTTCATGGCGCCAAGAGATGTTGAGTTATACAGCTGTTGTGGGTAGACCAAGTCTGACCTTGGCTGAAGTTCTCATGCCACTGTAACGAGATTAGGAGAAAGGTACCATTATCATGGCCTGGTTGGCATGGCGCTCAAATATAAGCCACCGTCTTCCGCCATTATAATAGTTGCAGTTCTAGTTCAGTTCCAGAGCCACGGTTGCGACGGCGCTTATCACACCATCTATCGAGGACAGGACCCTTACGAACCAGCCTCTTTTAACCGTTGTTGAACCCAACCCTCCTCCTTCATCGTCATAACAAAACCATCCTTCGGGTACCCGGATGATAGGACATTATTTCGTTCAAGTGACGCAGAGTTTTTGGTTACTGTATCGAGCAGTATATCCTCCGGCGCAAACTCGTTAGATCACAATCTTGATCATTCTTTCGCGTTCTTCAGCAGAAACAAGGGTCTAGAAAATGACCACTCCAATCAGCAGCACCAACGGCGATGGCCAAACGAACGGTCACAGCCACGACGAGACAGCGACACAGAATGGCAATGGAGTATCACAAGAGCAGACAAACGGTGCGAACCCACAACAAAATGGACAGGAGCATCATCATGACCACGCTATAAAGCGTCCTACAAAGATTGGAACCGGCCTTAAAGACCGTGTACATCAGATTACAAAAGGACCTCCCGGTGGCTTCGACCCGACCCCTCTTCCTGATGCGCCGCAAGGCTATACCATTCGATTCATCTTCCACGGCGCCTCAAATCTTGCTCCTGGCGACTTTGTTACAGCCTCTTCAGATCCCTTCCTTCATGCGACTCTAAAAGGTACTCAGCCGAAGCGGCATAAGGAGGATCCCGATCTCACCCACCGTACGAAAACCATAAGGAAGACGACCGAGCCGGAATGGGAAGATGAATGGATTGTCGCCAACGTCCCGCCAACAGGCTTTACTCTCAAGTGCCGAATGTACGATGAAGATTTCCCCGATCATGATGATAGGTTGGGCAATGTCACAATTAAAGTGCCCAGTATAGGCCCAGACTGGAAAGGCATTCCCGCTCCTGGTCGTGTGTATGAGGCTAAGAAGCGCATGATGAGCAAACGAGCATACCTGGCCAAAGCTATTAGTAGCGTTGTTACCCACAACATTCACATGACACCTCTACTGCGTTTGAGCATGGAGCTTTTGGGACCGTCGGATCCGCCTTATGCGCAAATGTACACTGTTGGACCAACAACATGGGTCAAACATTTCAGTCCTCTGATCGGCCGAATCGCCGGTGTCAAGGTCAACGCTAATGCCGAGGACGATGCCCGAGTGGATGAAGATCAGCAAGTCGACCAAGACGGGAACAAGAAGAGCAAGACACAAAAATATGAGTATGTTGCTTGTTCAAGATGAAAATGGCTATGCTAACATGTCATCAGTTTCCAAGCAAATGAGATGCAGCTTCAAGGACCAGTGCCTCCCAAGCTGTATCATCGCTTTGTCGAGTTTAGACCTATTATTGCATCGATTTACTCTTCAGCGGGCTTGCGCGGCACAATCCTGAACAAAGCACTGCACAGCCAGCATCGTCGTATCTATAATTTTAACGCATCGACAGAATATGGCGATTTCGATGCATGCTCGCCAGAGGCTTCAGAGCAATTCCTGAAGCTTGTTCACTTCGACGAAGGAGGTCGCACTTTTACCTATGTTCTGACCTTGGACGGCATGTTCAGATTTACAGAGACTGGCAAAGAATTCGGCATCGACATGTTGAGCAAGCACACTATGCATTCGGATGTTGAGACGTACATCGCCTGTTCAGGCGAATTCTTTATTCGGCGGCTTAAGAAGCCTCTTGCTTCAGATGATGTGCACCCTCACACCAAGACACATCCGCAGGAAGACATCCCTGGAGGTCCACCAAAGGAACATCCTCCACATGATCCTGCATATTATCAACTGATCATCGACAACGATTCCGGAACATACCGACCAGACAAGTCAACCCTGCCATACCTGAAGGAGTTTCTCGAGAAGAACTTCCCAGGACTGGGTATAATTACGATGCATTGGGAAGACCAGGAGCTGCAGGATATGAAGGAAAACCAGCGTAACGTCAAGAAGAACGAGGGCAGAATGATCAACATGGTCATGAACAGAAGTCAGAGCAGTATCAGCTCAGCCGAGAGCGAGTTGGATGACCGTGAGGAATCTTGGCAGCAGGGACACAAGAGTAAGCGAGAGGCCGCCTACGAAGCTTTGGAAGATCCCCATAAAGTTAAAGATGCGGTCAAGTCTATTGTTCCCGGCTTGAAGTCGGAGAGGGGAGAGAGCTCTAAATGATCGGTTTATGACTAACGGCTGAAAATAATTTGTACCTTGATTAGATGGACTTCTCAGTATTGGCGAAAGGTTCCTGTATGGATTTCATATACCACTTTTGCTTTGTCACTCTTGCATTCCTTGATACCTTTCTTCTTATGTCTAGGTAGTAATATATAGTCTTCTTCTAATCCAGGAGCCTGCTCGCCACCATATATGTATGCCGGCCTCCTTTGATCACAAGCTTGGTTTAAGTGCTACCCATTGACTTGAGCAGGTCGCCAGCACTTCGCCTTTCTCATCCTTCATCTCGCCTCTGACCTTTGTCTTCCGACCATCAATCTCTTCTGCAACAGCTGTGATGCAGACAACGCTGTCTGTTGGCACAGGCTTGAGATACTTCACGTCTATGCCACCCGTCACGCTATGCGTCTTGAACGCCCTAGCCTCTTTACCCAAAGTCCCATTCAAATCAAAGATGGTACCCATTGACTCATCCAACAACGCCGCGACAATTCCGCCATGAACCATCCCAGGATACCCGCTTACACCTTCGCCCACTGATACAAGCACCGCAATCTCAGTGATGTTATGTGCAGGATCCTTGGCGACCTCAAAACTAGGCGCACGAAAGTAACTGATAAGATGCCTCAGGCCACGAGAATTATTGAGTGTGTTCCCAAAAAGCTGATCATGCGCTTGTGACTTTGGATTGCGACATGAAGGAAGAAAAGGGATCGCATCAGGAGCGCAGAGCAGAGAAGCCGTCCATGGATGAGAAGCAAAGAAGGACAATTCCGAGGCGAACAAATCAGGTGGTGCGTTCTCTGGCACCAGGTCAAGTGCAGGGCAGAGGATTGAGTTGTGGAAGGGTGGGAACTCCATTTTGGCTGACGAGAAGGCTTTGATGCTGATGTGTGAGAGGGTCGTGTTTACGGGAGGTCCGATGATGCGATTTCGGACCCGGGAGTGCGGGGCCGATCGGGAGATGTAGAAGCTCGGCAGTGGAGTGGAGATGGGTCTTAGAAGCTTGGAAACTTGCATTATATGAGAGTTAATTGATCAATTGTTGAGATGAGAATGAAAAGAGAGGAAATGTGAGGCTTTTGCCTCTGGTTTATGGAGGTCGATCGACCTGAAATCAAGGATGTGGCAGTCATTGTGAAGCCGAGGTACGTATGCAGGCTTGTCCCATTATGGTGATGAAAGCCAAAAAAGGCCACTCCAATTGGATGCTACCTTAATCTGGTTGATCTTATAGAAGTTTTATATCAGCCATCGCCGTGTTGAAATGGTATATATAGGGATTTGAATATGATATTGTCTTTTGACCGAAGAACCTCTGCGGCCAAACTTTCATTTAATGGTCCTTGTCGTGGTCGTTATGCCAAGGCCTCGTTATTGCAGAATTGACGTTCCATTAATAAGAGAGTGCAGTGCAGTCTCCTTGGCAACATGCAACAATGGAAATCCCAACATTTAGCTTTACAGCTGATTCTTATCAAGCTCTAGTGGATCTGGAGCTGTTTAAGGCTATGATTAAGGTTATTTGCGTAAGGTTTGTCTAAGTGATCAAGTGTTATATAAGCTTATACAAACAATATAATGAAAAGGACGGCATAATCAATCTGCGCATAACAAATAACAATAGCATTGAAATAAAAAGAAAGAAAACATTGATTTTTATTCGTTTTTTTAACATATATTCACTATCGGAGAAATACGATCCCATCTGTTATCCTGTTCGCTCACCACATGATTCAATGTGGAAGGAACTAAGCCATCACCTTCAAACTGCCACTGATGGCAACTGCGAACTCTATCGCAGTCGCCGAGCGCCCCTTCCGTGTGTAAGTCAACCGTGTTGAGCTCACAACATCTCTTTCCCCTTTTCCTTCTATCCCTCTTCTCTTTCCTCGTTTGTGTTTGTTCACATTCTCTTGCGGAGCGAGCGCTTGGCCTCCTCGTTTCTTCCCATCATCAACTCCAAGGCTTTGTCCTCACCAAACATCAACATGGAGGGCTATCCGGAGCATCATCGAGGACCGACCTTCTCACCTGAGCATATCGAGATTCTTATCACTATAGAACGAGTCGGAGCAGGATGTTCTATGATCGCTATCATTCTGGTGCTGCTGACCTTCGGCCTTTTCAAAAAACTTCGAACAACTCCTAATTTGTTTCTCATCTTTGCCTCAATCGCAAATGCCGGTGCTAGTGTTGCATCTATGATCGGCTATGATGGTCTTGAAAGGGGTGAAGGATCACATCTTTGCCAGGCTCAGGCATTCATCTTCGAATGGTATGATATTTGGCTCAGGTTATGGTTTAACACTAACCTCTTTCCCCAGGTTTATGCAGTCTGACCCTTGGTGGTCACTTGCCATGGCTATCAATGTGTTTCTCGTGTTCTTCTGCAATGCCGATCCTCGAATGTTTCGCAAGTATGCCTGGCTATACTGCATGATCTGTTTCGGTGGTCCTTTTATTCCAGCAGTTGTTTTGATATCAATCCGCAACTCACCTGAAGGTCTCATATTTGGAGATGCTACTGTATGTGGTTTTTAACCGTTCTTCTTTCACCAGTATACTGACAATGTGTAGCTCTGGTGTTGGATCGGGACTGACTGGAGTCTTGTTCGCCTCTACGCCTACTACATCCCAATCTGGATATTTTCATTCCTCTCCATCATGATCTACATCGCTGTTGGATACCACGTTTTCCACACTCGAAATCAGATCAGGCATATGGTGATGGATGTTATTGGCAACGCCGAGAAGAACGATCATATTCCTTATTCGAGTAGTGAGCACAGAGGCTCCTCAGAAGCGGTAGCCTTCCCACCTGATGCCAGTGAGGCAGGCGAAGCTGACTTTTGTCCTCAGAATCTCACACCTCGTCAGGACTTCTATGGTACTGCAGTCACAGAAGTTCAGATTACACGCGAAGACCCGAGGCAAGTAATCCAACAAGAGCCTACACTTCCAAGTCCTCCTCTAGCCGCAATGCCTCCGCGCATCCAATCTTGGGTCTTACCTAGTTCTTTCGAGCATATTGAACCGTCGACTTCTAGCAGAGCTCAACGATTCGAAACACTCTGCACATCCGACAGTTCTCGCCAGCCACCCTCCTCAGTAATGACTAAACTTCGTGCCGTCAAGTCTAACGCTTCTATGAAACTCAGACAATTTGATCCAGTCAAGATGGCATATTTGCGCACCAGCTTCATCTTCGGCCTCGCTGTGTTGATCACTTGGATTCCGAGCTCCGCCAACCGGCTGTACAGCCTGACGCACCACGACAGGATCAGCTTTCCCCTCAGTGTCGCCAGTGGCTGTGTGCTTCCCTTGCAGGGTGTTTGGAACGCCGTGATCTATTTCACCACCAGCTGGAAGACCTTCAATGAGGAAATGCGTGTTCTCAGGTTCAAATGGTTCGGAGGTGCCGAAGAATGTACAAACGGGGTCCGTCTCAATAGCCGACTTGGTTCAAGCAAGGGCAGCTATCGAAACACCTTTGAGCGAACTCGACAACTACGCGCCTACTCGGTTGAGGATGCAGAGAAACCGGTTTCGACATGATTTATATTATATGTAAGAGAAACTATATGGATGGAGTCAAAAAGGTAATGTTTCACACATTTGTCTGAGGGAAGCACAAATGTTACATAACTTGTCATGTCTTTACAATTCGCCGTCACAGGCATGGATCACCGGGTGTTAAAATGGGGTACAAGCGTGGATAGCATCAGCTGCGATGTACCATTATTAATTCAAAATGCCTTATGACTTAAATATTATATGGCCATGATGTTTTTGCAGGCAGACAACCTTCAGGCATCATAGATGGCCTCGCCCTCAGCAGCATCCACGTTCTCTCGCACAACTCTTTCGACAGCAGCTGGAATATCCTCATCACCATCGAGTAGATCATACCAGCCGTTCTTGACACCGTCGGCAGCGAGAAGATGTGAGGCAACCTCAGCAACAGCCTCACGGCTAACACCGCTCTTAGCGATGCTCTTGGTTTTGCCAAACTCAACTTTGGTGGCTGGGTCATCAGTCAGAGTTCCAGGTCTCAGATCGATGCCAACAAGAGTAGGACTCTTCTTGGAGACCTTGTAGAGGGTCTCATCGGCCTCGATCTTGGCCTTGTAGTAGTTTGCCAATACGCCGTTGTTGACCTTTTCATTGTACTCATCCCACTCGCCGGCAGGCCACCATGAAGCACCAGATCGACGAGAAGCTAGGTATGAGATAAGAAGGAACTTGGTGATGGTGGGTACAGATGCTGCGGCATTGATGAAGTGAACGGCGGCATCTCGGTCCACCTTGAAAGTCTAGGAGGGGTCAGTAAGTGAGCTGATCTGAAGAGGATGGGGCTGGTTCATACTCTTTCTGCGCCACCTTTACCTCCGGCACCTGTATCTCATCAGTATTGGCCCAAGAGTGATTCTCGTATGTTGACGTACCAGCACTCCAAGCAATATAATCGGGCTTGACTTCATTCAAGATACTCAAGGCCTTATCCTGGGATGTGACGTCCTCAATGCTACGTACTAGGACATTGAGTTTACCGGGGAGGCCGGCACCAAGTTTTTCGATGGCAGGGGTCTGTTCAGAAGTTCGGATGACGCTGGTTACAGTCCACGAACGCTTGAGAAGGAGAGGAGTGAGAAGCTGGGCGATTTTGCCGTGGCCGCCAAGAAGAAGAACGTGATGAGAAGCCATTGTGTATAAGTGAGGATGGGTCAATTGGGTCAAAAAGAGGTTGGATTTGTCGATAAGAGTTATGAGATACTGAAAAGATTAGATACTGGTCAGATAATCTGATTAGAGTTGGACCTTGGGTATTTATCTACTTTAAAGCTACAGGGCAACTGACGAATTCTACGAGGTATGACGACATTCGTAACAAAGCGGGGCAATCAACCATTACTAATTCTGAAAGGATAACGGCATTTGATATTATGGATCTTGGGATTGACGAAATTCGAATGATTTTCCTCGCCATCAAGGTGATTTTTATACCATACTGACCTGAAGTTCCCTGGTTATGCTGGGGGTTGTGATGTCAGGGTTGATGGTGTTAGTGGTGTTGTTAGATTGACTCGGAGTTTAGCTGGAGTTGATGACATGCATAACCGGCATTTGGATAACATCTTTCTACTCGTCTTACTAATACCATGAACTCATGTTCGTTTAACTAATGGTTAAAACATACTCTTTTGGCCCCAAAGCAAAACCCTCATTCTTAGTTCTCATGTTGGACACATACTGTTATGCCGCTTACACCAGAAAGTAACGCTAGATTCTGAGATGAGACAGCTCAAGCTACCTACCAAGCAACACAGGCAATCTCCATGCGAAGATCTATGGTTTTATAGGTAGCCATATCAATCAAGCAAAGAGATTGTTATTCTCACCTAGTACTGCTTTATCCATTGTTTGGATAAATATGAATTCGCAATCTGATGCATTTCACAAGCACAAGCGCTTAGGTAAGCCACCTACGACTTGGAAGATCTCGGGAGTTGCGGAGCTTGATCGACTAAACCGCTTACGGTGTGCTCAACCATTGGATGCTCTTTCTCACTGAATGCTGTATATCACCCTAAGATTGTGTTTGCCTACTGACGGCCAGTCGTGAAGGGGTGGTGTTCTTGCATTTATGAGTCTTATATGAAGGCCTGCTGTTCTCTCAAATTTGCTTATCCTACACCAGTCCCCTCATCCTAGCTTTCTTGCTACAAATCGCTCAACCCTGTCTACTCATCGTAAAAGTGAGCCTCGGACAGGGATTGTATAGGAGTCATTGAGCTCTTATATGAGTATCTCCAGGTACTTATCCGGCGTGAGAAAAATGGCCAAGACGGTTTGTATTGTTGGTAAGTCACGCCTTGCTATCTCTGACAGCTTCGCTGAGTACTGTAGGCGCTGGTCCTTCGGGACTTGTCGCAGCCAAAACGCTGTTACACAACACTGCCCCCGGCGAATTCAAAGTCACCATCTTCGATGCCCAGAAGGACATTGGAGGTCTGTGGCCTACGTCAAAGACGGACAATGGCAGACAGGTCCACCCATTTATGTGGGCGAACCAGAGCAGACATACAATGCAGTTTAGTGAACTTGCCTGGGAGGATAGTGATCCTCAACTCCCACAAGGTTGGATGGTTGGAGAGTATCTTCACAGATATCTCGAGCGGTTCCTGAAGAGCAACAAGGACTTTGAACTCAAGCTTGGTACACGAGTTGAGAGTGCAGAGCGGCCGAAGGGGTCATCTAATGGTTGGGTTGTCAACACCAAGTCAGATGCTGGAACTGAAACAAGGAACTTTGACTATCTTCTTGTTGCTTCTGGTTTCTTTGGAAAGCCAATTATACCCGAGAGTCTTGAGAAGCAGACACCTATCCCTGTTGTCCACAGCAGCCATTACAGGGAAGTGAAGAGCCTTCTGGGCAAAGGCAGACCTGGTGGTGGAAAGATCCTCGTCGTTGGTGGGCAGATGTCTGGTGTTGAGATTGCTGGAACCATTGGCGCTCATCTTTCCTCCGTGGCCAACTCACCCGATCCATCGAATATTACCGATATCGACAAGTACAGTATTCATCATGTCATTCAGCGCCCGATCTGGGTATTTCCTCTTTATACCAGTCCCAAGCCTGCAGAAGTCGCAGCGCCATTTCTCCCTCTCGACTTTTCTTCATATAACCTCAACAACCGTCCTCGACCCTTGACCAATACACAAGGACACATCCCCGAAGCGACAGCAAAGGTGGTCCACAGCGTCTACAAAGGCGTTCTTGGCTCTGATCAATCCGAATACTCCCCACTGCTCAAAATCGATGGCACAAATGATGATAAGCAGCCCTACTTAGCTGTCAGCGAATGGTACACTGATTTTGTTCGATCTGGAATGATTTCTTTGTCGAAAGGCAAAGTTGAAAGCCTCGGGGGATCTACGGCAACACTGTCCGACGGCACAAAGATTGAGGACATTGCAGCGGTGCTGGTTGCGACAGGTTTTGATGCTTCACCTTGCATAAACTACCTTCCTGAAGACGTCTTGAAGGCACTTCATTTCTCACCAAAACATATTGATCAGCCTGTCGCCCTGGCTTTCCATGGAACTCATCACCCCGAAGTGCCAGATCTAGGCTTTGTGGGATTTTACAGATCTCCTTACTGGGGTGTGATGCAGATGCAGGCTCGGTTTGTGGCTGCGCTGTGGTCAGACAATGTATCCCCTGGTCGTGAATCTGAGATCTTTAAGAACAAGCTTCGCGATGACATCTCGATTCAGCGAACACTCGAATTGCGAAATGATCCCCGAGTATCGCAGTTCCCAATGGGCGACTACCCTTATCTGGTGAATGAGATTGCAGAGGCACTTGAGTTGAAGATTCGCGAGCCTCTTGAGCCTCCAGTTCCCAGCTTACCACATAACAATCTGCCAATGGACATGCTCACACCGGCGAGGTACTCAAGTCCTGGTGACGATCAGGATTCAAAGGATGCTGCGACAAAATCACTCGAGCAAACACGCAAAGATGCAACTGATGGTCTGACGACGTCAAGATTCGTGGCCCACGCTGTTTTTCGAAGTCTTCTCGGTACATGGAAACTCGAGCGCGATCTTGTCAGCAAGCTACCCTCACATCCGAGCGGACACTTTAGTGGAACCGCGCAGTTCCTCCTCCGCGAGAAGACGAACGATGGCTTGCGATGTGCGGTCAACGCTAGCGAGGATTCCCCTAGCGATGATGAGCTGGGCATGGAGTATCTCTATATCGAAGAGGGAGAGTTCAAGACCGAACAGGGATTTGGCTTCAAGGCCACACGCCGTTACGTCTGGAGATATGACGAGCTCAAGGATGTGCTGAGCGTGTGGTTCGCTAAACCAGAGGATCTGAAGCGTGCAGACTATCTTTTCCACGAGATTGAGTTCACAGAACCGACAGATAAGGGATGGAAGGCCAAGGCAGGACATTTGTGTATTGATGATTACTACGATGTCAAGTACAACTTTGCCTTCCAGGCCGTGAACCTGAAGGAGTGGGGCATCGAGTATACGGTTAAGGGGCCGAAGAAGGATTACACCATCAGCGGCACTTATAAGCGTTAGAGAAAAGACCAAAGAAGTAATAAGAAACCAAGCTCTTCAGCTCCCCAATGGCAAGATATTGTTGTGACATCTCGGCGGACGAGCAAGGCAGGGATACGGACCGGGCCGATGTCTTGATGGATTGCTCCACACGCTGTGACAGGATGCATGATAGCATTTAACCTTAGATATGATCGACTCGGGTAATGTGAGATGCATCCGGGTATCGTGGAGGAGCCGATCGGCTGGGTCTTGCCGGCCTATTATGATCAGATCATCCGTAACTGCATGATGCCTTCTAACTGCAGCGCTCAACTACTAATTCACGATTCCGATTTCACAATCCGAGCATGGTCTCAAAGAGATTTCTTCAGGACGATATCTCACCTTGAAGGCCATAAAAGGCCCAAAAATGCCAATGCATCGTAGATTGTTGCTCCACAGCGATGTGAGATCCGAGATTCGTGCGTTTGTTCGGTTTTAATCGAGTAGTCCAAGTGAGTTTGGTAAGGCGTTTGAAGGAGAGTGATAACCAGTCTAATATCATGTTCTGGATCGTATTCAAACCCTTTCTTCTTGTAAAACGGCATACTTGCATATCGATACAGAGAATCCTTGATGGAGGTGGTCTCAAATATAGAATTAGGTGTCAACGCAGGAGAGGATAATCCAGTGAATACTCAACAAGTACTGCTTCATTTAGTAGAGGATGCATATCAGGCCATTGCTGAGGTGCAACATAGCCTTGTATACGAAGTGCCAATGCCTTCTCGATGACTCACGCATTGCCCATGATATCAATCAAACCTTCAAATGAGGCCATAAATGAGATGCTGCAACGCTCACCGAATTGCACAAGCGTCCAGTGGTCACCGTTGATATGTCACCGAAGCTGACCTTGCGTTCCTTGTCCGTTTCAGGCCCAGCAGGGGCCTTTGTGATCCTATCAAGATCGATCTTAGAAATTACAACTTTCGATTGTTGGAAATCAGACCATAAAGAAGGGATGATTGGGGCTCTGCGTGCCTTGCATATCAGACAATAAATAGTCCCACCCATTCGGGGCCGGGGGTCATTAACCCGGATCCCTGGGACACGGACACCGAACGATTCCGGGGACATTTTTATGGGAGATGAGATTAGGGTCAGAAGAGCCTCGGTTGATTTGGCGAGCGTGGGGTGCATACGAATTATACTGGATTTATCTTTGCAGCAAGCTATTAAAATAATGTATTTTGACGCCTATACTTGTTCGGTGTTGGTATTGACGTAGGAATGCATCTCCTAAGAAACAACAACAATGACAGCTGAAAATGAATGTTAGTGAAAAGCTTAATCATACGTTGAAGCCCAACTCAATCGCCAGCCTCAAAGATAATAATAATTGCCTCCTTTCTTGTAACAGTCGCACACACATGCTTGGCGTCCAAGCTATGGATATTGGTATGGTCTGATTTTCCAAGGCACATGCTGACGACACCGCTGTGTATGTGCTGAAGCTGGATAGAGTTATTGGATGTGACCTCCTTTTTTCTCCCCTCGTGTAGGGGCTGTGCTGAGTGGGTTCATAGATGATCGAGTCTGAATTATTGAGAATAGATGAATAATGGCTAGGTGTTTTAGGTATTTTTGGTGAGTGTATATATACTCCAAGTTGAAGCTCCCCGTTCCTGGTGGAGAACGCCCAGAAACGTCCATATTTACCTTCCAAGCTTCAAAAACCCCGCGTAATTGGATCAAGGAAAGAGCTTAGCTGTCAAGCAGTCACACAACACATACCTTACTTATTTATTTCTTCCTCTTCAATCCCTTGTATAAGCTTTTCATCCCTTACATCTCCATCTCTTCCTCCTCTTCCTCAACTTCAATCCGACTCATCCTTATCTTATCATCATGAAGCTCGCCGTATTCAGCACAAAACCCTACGATAAAAAGTACTTGTCGTCAGTCCTCGGCGCCAAGCACGCAGAGTCTGGCATCGAGCTCATCTTTCACGAATTCGCTCTTAACGAAGATACCGTTTCCCTCGTCGAGGGAGCCGATGCCATTTGCGTCTTCGTGAACGATGTCGTCAACGACAATGTCATCTCCGCCCTGTCAGAATTTGGCGTAAAGGCTATTTTGCTGCGATGTGCAGGCTTCAACAATGTTGACCTCGATGCCGCCCAGCGTCTCCGCATAATGGTCGCCAATGTCCCCTCTTACTCTCCCGAGGCTGTTGCCGAGTTTGCTGTTGCTCTGATTCAGACCCTCAACCGAAAGACCCATCGCGCTTACAACCGTGTTCGTGAGGGTAACTTTGCTCTCGATGGCCTTCTCGGAAAGACCCTCCATGGCAAGACTGTCGGAATTGTCGGTGTTGGCAAAATCGGCCTTGCTACTGCACGCATCATGAAGGGTTTCGGCTGCAGACTCCTTGCATATGATCCCTTCCCTTCGCCAGCTTTTGAGGAGTATGGCGAGTACAAATCTCTCGAAGACCTTCTGCCCCAGTGCGATATTGTTAGTCTTCATTGCCCTCTCATGGAGCAAACACGGCACATTATCAACCGCAACACTCTTTCTCTGATGAAAGAGGGCGCTATGCTAGTCAATACCTCTCGAGGTGGCCTGCTCGACACCGAATCTGTCATTCATGCCCTCAAGACAAACCATATCGGTGGCCTTGCACTTGATGTGTACGAGGCTGAAGGCGAACTCTTCTACAACGACCACTCGTCGACAATCATTCAAGATGATAAGCTCATGCGTCTCATGACGTTCCCCAATGTGGTTGTTTGTGGTCATCAAGCCTTCTTCACCGAGGAGGCTCTCACCGAGATTGCCGAGTGCACCCTCAGCAATCTTGAGGAGTGGATAGAGACCAAGACAAGCAAGAACTCTCTCACCAAGGACCTCAAGTTGCGACGCCGTGAATCACTACCCGTCCGCGCCATCTAAAGGGGTCCCATTCTTTACTTTTCTGTTCTGTTCTTTGTTTTCGCGGCGTTTAGGAGAGGGAGAGTCGATGATCCACTGGAGATAACAACCCTTTGCTCCTATCCTTGTTTGGGCAAAAGTTCACACCTCTAGTGGGATGCTATCACGGCCGAGCCGGGAACTAGAAGGAGATGAGGAGCGATCCCTGCTGCCATGTTCATCACCAAGTGGGCCCTGTCAATGAAAGCTCTGATGCGACCCATTTCATCGCCGAACAGTACCGATGAAGAATAAGCTTGCATAAACGCCTTCCGACCCCTTGAAAACCTAGTTTCTGTGTGCCATGATAGTGATTCAAGCATCGCGTCTGTTTCTTCGTTTTCGTTCCGTTTTCGTCCGGTTTCGGTGGTGAAAAGAAATGTTCTTGGATGTCAGCAAAGTCTCGTTTATCAGGCTTGGATACTTCTCGCAGACACATGAAAGAGGCACTGATTGATGGTTCAGTGTGTTGATTAAAATGACATTAAATTCAAGGGTATTATGCTAAATATCCAAGTCCCCTCTAAATAATTTTCCGCGCATATTATCCCTATATGCAAGTCCTGTCCAGGCATTAAAGTCCAACCTCCTTGTGCCATCCCAAGTCTAAGTCTAATTCCCAGTCTATTTTGTTGTGAAAATGTCCAAGGGACAAGTTGGAGAGCCAATCTAGTGCAATTGGCTTAAGGGTTGCTCACGTAGCTGCGAGCACGGCGAAGATCCTCATCCTCAGAGTCATCACGGACTTGAGCGCCGCCATGAGTGTTACCACGGCCCTTGGCCTTCTCAATATCGTCGACAGTCTCGTCATCACCAGCGTAGGCGTACTTGCTACGCCCACGGATCTTAGCACCGTACTTCCAGAACAGGAAGGGAATGGCACAGCAAGCAAGACTGAGGAAAGCAAGGAGTGTTGAGGCCCATTGATCGTTAAGACGCTCATACATCTGCTCAGTGAAGAGAACAACTGCAGCGCCCCAGAAGCTTCGGATGCAAGTCTTTGCAGCGAGAGCGGAAGCAGCTTGATGCTGATAAGAGTCGACAAGGTAGTTGTTGGCAGAGTTGTAAAGGAAGATAAAGCCAAAGCCGACAGGGAAACCACCCATAGCAGGGCCGGCCCAAGAAAGCTCCTTGTATGAAGTCCAGGCGAAGATAAAGAGACCAATGGGAATGAACCAGCATGAGGCCATCATGGGAATAAGACGAACCTCAGCGGGAGGATGACCATTGTGCTTCTTGACGAGCGAGATGTAATGGCTGTTTACCCAAGGAGAGCAAGCAGCTGAGAGGAGAACACCAACAGCGACAGGAATGAACATGAGACCGGTCTTTCCAGCAGAGTAACCCTTGCCCTTCTGGTAGATGATAGGGAAGGCAACGAAGAACATGTACAGAAGACCGTAGAGAACACTCATGTACACGGAGATGAGGAAGACGATGAGCTCGCCAAAGAGAAGCTGGAAAGGTCGAATAAGGAAGATTCGGAGACGCTCAGAGAGAGGTCGGAGATCCAGTTCCTGCTCTGTAACGTGGTCGGTTTCGCCAGTGGCAGCTCGAAGCTTGCGAGCTCGGCGGGCGAGAAGAGTAGGGGCGTAAGTCTCAGGGACGGTGAAGGTGATGAGAATCCAGACGACGAAGGCGAGGATGAGCTGGATCCAGTAGAGCCATCGCCAACCAGCGGCATCAGAGAGGAAACCACCGACAAGAGGACCAACTGATGCATTCGTTAGTATCTGGATAAGTGAAGGTGTTTAAAGGTAACTCACTAGCAGGACCGATGAAAGGAGCAGCAGAGAATGCAGCCATGGGAACACCACGCTCTTCATTCTTCCACAGATCGGCGAGGGTACCACCAACAAGGGTCATGGGTGCTGAGAAAGCAATACCATCGATGGCTCGGCAGACAAGAAGAGTCTCAATGTTCTTTGCCACAGCACAGGGAATGATGAAGATGACAGCGACAAGAAGAGTAGAGCCACTGAACAACGTTAGTAACAATCACCAAATATCTTAGCTGAGATGACTTACTAGATGATTCGTCGACCGTAAATCTCAGAAAGAGGTGCAAAAACCATAGGTCCAACACCAAACCCCACAACGAATAAACTAATACTCACAAGAGCAAGTTCATTGCTAACATTCAAATCCCTAACCACGCCCGCGATATCGGCAGTGATAACACTAGAGCAGAACGCAACAACGAAGCACGTCAGCGCCACAACCATAGTGCACCACCACTTATAAGCCTTGCTCCAATTCTTAGGATTCTCCTTATCTCCGGGGGTGAAAGTAACAAGCTTATATCGCCTCTCCTGGCCGGGCTCATGGTTCGTTGACTTTCTCGCGATCTCCTCAGGCTGGATAGGACCGGGGATAGCACCGCCTGGAACTTCAACGCGGTACTCGTCTAGGTTGGCGTTGGCGCTGAGGGTTCGGTAGGGCAGGTCGATATCCAGATCTGGATCGCGGGTTTCTTTCTGGGAGCCGTCGTGGGAGTGAGTGTGGGTGTGGGAGAGGGAGCGACGGATGCGGCTCATTGTTGTTTGGTGGGTGTTCAGGGGCGCGAAGGTGGTGTCGTCTTCACGACCTTCTAGAGTTGTCGAAGAACGATTTGGATTTTGTTGATCCATTCTGTTTGTTTGGCTGGTTGATAGTGTATTGCAATACTCAGTATGTAAGGTTAATATAGTAAGTCAAGGAGCGTAGAGTAGATGGACAAGGTATGAGAATCAAGTCAATGTCTCAAGATGCTCAATAGAAAATAAATCTTTCATAAACTGGGCCATGCCCACCTCTATATACTTACCCATCTCATCTCATCTCTTTTACCAAAGATTTCTCATTCAATGAGAATGGTAACTTTGTCCCCACATGAATTGATATCGCCGCACCCGAATTCCGGCGCTGGGCCGTCAAAGTGGGTCCTCGCCACACGGTTTGAAGACCCACTCTTTGCGGATGCGGCTGCGAACCGTGCGGCTCCATCCGAGAACTTGAGTGTGTTTACAAGGATAAGCATACATCACAAATTTACCTGTTTTTGCTGGAGACACTCGCTTGGTTGGTTGGGGATACTTCGGTGTTGGAGTGTAGCATTATCGATTCATTATTTGCTTCTTCTGATCAGGGGATGAACATGTTACATGCCTTTTGCATCCTTGCTTGTTTGTGAGCCTCAATATCAGCCGCATCTTTTTCATTCTCTTTAGTTCTGTCCCTCAATTCTAGTTTGATTGCTTTAGTTTGAGCTTTATTCAAATAGGGCTATGATTATCTTCCTTTAGTCTTCGGTCTCAGTCCGTAAAACACATCAACGGGCGTTTAAGAGCCTCCACATCGGAACCGTCGCTTCCGATGTGGGCCCCGTGATATCTAAGCTTCAGCGCCGTCATCGGAACTTGGACTTGTACTGGGCTGAAACAACGAGACTAAAAAACTCAAGCTTCACGCCAACGTCATTGCTGCACCAACCCCTGTTCACTCTTCGGTAACAATCCTTGTAACGGCTGCTTAGACTATCATGTTACTTATTGATGCTATCAACTGATAATGCAATCTCTGGTCTTTCCGGAACGTCGCCGAATCTCTTTGTCTCTCCTCTCTAACGACTAGTCAAGCTCCCTCTCGAGTCTTCAATAAAGTTTGTCTACCACTCCCGAAATATAATCTTAGTAACAAGACTCCCATGCTCGTAGGTCGGCGGTATTTGCCCAGTCGTGTCCGGTTTTATCTTTAGGGCAATCTCTGCACTTGTCAAAGCTTTAAAAGAAACATCTGGCGCTGCAACCACCTGCTCCTATTCTGTCATGTTGTAGTCGCCCTTAGAATCGACCTGTCTCAGACTCCCATTGGCCTCCACGACTGTACGATGAGGTGTGTCTTGATGACCGACACGCAAGGCCCACGCCCGGGCCCACCCCTGCACGCAGAACGCCCAGAGAATCATATCAGCTCCCGAATCCAGGGCAAGCTCCACCAAATTGCAACAGATAGCAACTGGTAGTCCTCGAATTTCGAGTGGATATGTTGTCACTTCTCCGAAACTATCACCCTCAGAGTCAATCTCGTTGCAACTTCCCTTGGGCCGTGAGTCTATCTCAACCAACAAGGTGCCATTTTCATCATGTTGGGTGGCATTCATGCAATGCTGACGACATAGGCCGTGAGATATGACGGCAAGCACATCTGGCGATATCATGTAAAGAACAATCATCTGTTTGTCTGTGTCTGAAGATATTGACGGATCGGGGTTGATAGATCTGGTGAAGATGTCCTCTCCTGGACTGTCGTATCCACTACCAACCGAAAATGTCGCCATGACACAGACCCCGAATCTCGTGTCAGATACAGCTGTGTATAACACGGGCAGTGTTGACGTCGTATTCATTGGAGGACGAAATTGGGCCTTGCAAATTAAGCGATCCAAAGACCCTCCCGTTGCATCAGAGCCCAAAGAAAGGGTCCCGGTGCTGGGATTCGTGTACAAAACATGGTCTCCATCGCCCAAGGGAACAGGTCTGTAATGATCCCTGATGTTGCTGGTGGTTATTCCTTGGGTTGGGCTTTGTTCTCTACCGCGATGCTGCTGTTGCTGGCCATAGTCATCGCAGGCTTCCATAAACGGGGAGGATTGATCGTATACTCTGACGTCTCCACTCAGAAGGGTCATTGCCGTGACCCCTGTGCCGCTCCCTAAAGTCAAGCCGCTGGGCTTGCTACCGGAATGTTGAAGACGTTCCCGACTGGTCCGAACAGATTACCGAACGTCGCCAGAGTCGAAGTGCATCAGCCGCATATACCTTGTCAGATCATGTGCTTAGCGAGGTCACGCCCGATGGCACATCGAGAGGTGGGTAGTCGCGATCTGAGCAGATCTCAAAAGGTGTGTATAGAATTCATATGTAGGTATGAGCGAATTTTCTCGTGATATGGGCTTGTTGATAGTTGGCCAAACGAATGATGATGATGGAGAAGAAAATGACCGCCTCAGTCATTGTTCACAAAGGCAAGCACTGACTATCGTCAAAATCACGGGATTGGAAGTGCCTAACAGGAAAAGGGAAAAGGCCGAGATAGCTCCTGCTTGACTCAGTTTCACGACTCAACTGCTCTTCATTTTCATGATTTGTATATATCTTCGGTTATTCTAAGCATGACTAAGGACGGACAAAAAGCTAACGTGTATTCTTGCGATCAAAGAAAAGGACATTGGGGTGCCTGCTCAAACTTCAAACACCAAGCAAGCGCCATAATCATGCAGGTCACCTTCAATCAACGTCATTAAACATTATTTCCTCCATTGTCTCTCCAAACGTTTTCGTCTCCTATACCGAGTGTGCTATCGACACCCTGCAGAACAGGGCGTTCAGTCTCCTCTGTTGTCTGTGTGTCATCCGTGGGGATTGGTGGAGGTGGCTCGTCGTAAATCCACGGCTGGGGAAGTCTGTATATCTGTCAGAAAATTCATGTCATACATAGTAGGTAAAATGTTACTTACGGGGCCACAAGACTGGGGTTGACGAATTGCAGGCCCTTCTCCTTGTACTCGTCTAGGGTGCTTCCACGACGCAGAATGGCCTGTGAGGGTCGAGGGCGGTCCTCGTTCTCAAATACGTCATCCAGCGCAGCTGCATCGTCTGGATCCTCATCTGCCCTGACAGCGCGAAGGGCAATGTATTTGGTCAGAGGCTCGAATCGCTGCTTGATATAGTAGCTGTACCAGATGGTAAAGGGGAGCAGTGGCAGAATGCACACCGACTGAATGAATGCCTCGCTAGTGGCGATTCGGCCCACCATGACAACTTCCAAGACAAGCAACCCGACGATGATGCGGTAGCTTATTATTCTCCACGCACCTCCAGTGGCATGTTGAGGCTGGTCCATTGCATATAGTACCATGTACTTGAAGGCAAAGTAGCCCAGACAGAAATAGACGGTCCCAACGATGAGTATAGCATATCCCCAGGCCAGGACACTGTAGATAAGACACAGGTTGAAAACAAGTAGAGACGTAGGAAGGAAAAAGCCGTATTGAAAAACCGGGGGTTTCTTGAGCTCGAGAGCGTCGCGTGGTGTTTTGGACAACCAACGCAGGAATGGGTAGAGGAATACACTCCCCGCCTCGAGAATTCGGAAGGGCATAAGTCCAATGCCCTGTAGCATAATAAAGCAAATGTAGAAGATCGATAGCTTCTCCACATCACCAGCAATCGCGCGTGGCATTTTGCTTGTGTCCTTCGCAAAATCCTGAAGCCTGCTCCAGAAATTAATTCCTGACAATGAAACTGCAAAAACAAAAAAGGTATTGAAGAAGGTGAAGAAGTAATTCTTGGAGATGACGGAGAGTTCCACGTCGCCCTGAGAAATCATGCCTTGATGATTGGATAGGAAGTCGTACAGGTAAGGGACAGCAACGTTAAGAAGCGACACAACCAGAGCGGGCAAGCCGTTTTGGACCAACGAGAAGATAACGCCGTGCGCTTGTAGCCATTTGGCAAATGGTTTAAAGTTGGACTCAATTGTGCAGTAACTTAACAATGACGAAATGGCAATGGTGGGGAAAATGAAAGCGAGTGTGAGCGCCGTGATGAACAAAGTCACAGCCCAGGACTTAAGGCGACGAATACCACGGGGTGCATATGTATTCCTCCAGACAAGGTCCGAAGGGGCCGGTGTCAACTTAGTCAAAAGCCGGCCTGGCCTGGGGTCGATTCGTGCTTGGATAGCCATCTGGCATGAAGCTACCGAGTCCATAGTAACAATGGCCATGTCTGTGGGCGCGTATGTCTTCTTGCGAGCCTCTATGACTTGGGCATCCAATCTTCGAAGTCGTTCCTCGTAGTAATCGATAGCATCAACGTTGCGGGATCGCAAACCAAGGGTACCATAGCGTATGTTGACTTTAGGTCTGCCTTCATCTCCAGAGTCCCAGGGCTCCTGTTGAGAGTCCAAGAGGCGCCCATTTTCTCCGGTTTGGTTATCGTCTTCTTGTTCCTGAGACACACCATTGCCACGTCTTCGTTGATGTCCAGCATTCTTTCTTTTCCGACGCTGATGTTGAAGGAAAGTGGCCCAGGCACCTTCAAGGCGTCTTAAAGTGGCGTCTCTCAATTCCACAAGATCGTCAAGTTTCTTCCAGTCTCGGCAAAGCATGACCTTCTCAACTTTCCCAACGCCCAGCTTTTCGATGAGATCCTTGATCTTTTCCTCCGATCGCAAATCCTCGGGAATTCCTGTAAGTCGAAATGTCCTATCTGTCACTGTGGACTGTGATCCGAGATAGTCCTGACGAAATTTGATGACGCGAAATGTCTCCAGGTTGAGATAGTATATCGTCAAGCCGACGAAGAAGTATGTGAAAATAACGTAAGCCCACAGCCAGGACTTCTCGTAACTCTTGTCCGTTTTATCTTTGTGCTTAAGTATGTCGAGGAAACTTGCATCTGAGAACACGTTCTGATCTGTTCCATAAAACGAACCCGGGACAGTTGATGTATCATCACCACCATGGCCCTTCTTGCTTTTGGTGTCCGAAAATGAACGATTGATTGGCAACAGGATAACAGTCGCGAAAAATGCCATAATGCTAAAGAGTCGGATGGCCATTTTGAAGAAGCTCAGAAACTATAATCTGTCAGCGATTTACATAGGCTGCTCGGGATTTATGTCGTACCACAAAAGCATCGAGTCCAGCGGAAGCCAGGACCTGCTCCTCGGTAATTTTAAACAGTGTCGGGATCCAGCCAAACGTGGAATTTGGAAGGGCGGGAAGACCAAGCTGATGATCGAGGCGCCGTTTTCGCGCAGCGTAAAGGGCGGGCCATCGTGGGCGTAGGAACTTTCAAGGAGTCAGTTCTGTGGCTTATAGCTTTGTTTTGTTATCGGGGAAGCGTGAGGTCTTTCGCAAGCGTGCCAAGGATGAACGTACACAGAAGAGGAAGAAGGCAGAGACACCAATCACCAAAGATAATACGAGCTGGACCTCGAGACTCTTCCCGGTGTCAGGGTCGATAATCTTCTCATCCCAGCATGAATCGGTTTTGTTCTTCATCGCGAGGGACGATGATGGATACTCACAGCGACAAATGCTGAGAGTTGTTGTGCGAGACGCAAATGCAAGGCTGAGGCTATTCAGGATCAAGTTGTGGCGCCTGACGAGTTAGAACCGATGACGTACAGAGACGGTGAAGGAGGACGGACCCACATGAGCTTTGGTGCTGAGTCATGTGTCACAAACTCTACCCTGTACCACGAAGAAGTCTTACAAGCCATTTACCTCACTTCCTTGAACCACATTCTAGACGTGTAAGATAGTGTTGAATTACTGGGGTGCACTTTCTACTTCGGGTGCAGATCTTTCTAATCTACCTCCAGTATCTCCTTCGTGATCATCGAGTAAGGATCTTGGTATCCTCTGAGTCACATGGTTTTAAGTCTGTTGCACAGTGAATGAGCCTAAAACGTAACCTCCATCCATCTCTTCTGAATCTGCATTTGCGGGCCCTCCTTGAAAGAAAGAACGTTCCCATCCCTTAAGACCAGAGAATCCAGTGCCCCCCTCCTGAGATATGTTGAGTAAAGCCTCACGCTGAGGATGAGCTGGAGAACCCCAGAAGAAAACCCATGCGCGTTGTCGGAGTAGGGCAAGATTCTCTTGCGTAAAATTGCGAGGCGTGCCATGACGAAGTACGATGTCGTTCCATAATTCTGGAAACAAGCCCCTCTTTCTGTCAAAACTTCCTGAGACAGTTTCTTTGTGGGCGCGATCATAGTCACAACGGAAGTTGGCATTTCTGATAAGAGACAGTGCAGGCTCAATGGAAGCTTCTTGGCCTTGCTGCTTGTGTCTCTCGTCCATAAGGCTCATGATGGGTTCAAGACCATAACTCGGTAGCCTTGCTGCGGCCATGGCGCATACGGACTTATCGTCTGTGAGCGCTTCTACCCATTGGGTCGTCTCGCAGACTATGCTGTTGGAGCGTCCAAGTCCCGGGGGTGGTGGATCCGGCACCTCAGCTCCAGACCACTCAGAAAAGAAGGCTGTATACAGAGTCTGTATATATGTCTGAACACACCTGATGGCTTCGTCCTCCCATGGTAGAAACTTATGGCCTCCTCGTCGACTCAGTTCGACTCGAGGCCTGTAGCGATGATGGATAATCGCAACATAAAGGCGAACCTTGCTCATCAACTCGTGTCTTAAGAAAGCCCAGAAAAGATTTTTTCGTCCAGGTTTGCCAAGAAGATCCAGGTCAAACTCCCCCTCAAGCCTTGGGTGCTCGGTAGAAGTCAAGTCCGAGTCCACCACAGGAACACCTCGGTATGCTCGTGGAAGGAAATCAGAGGTCGCCTTATTCAGGTAGTCTTTGATGCGAGAGAGTATAAGTTGGTGAAGTTTGTATATACTGTCAACAATAGACTGGTCCTCTAGGGCCAAGAGAGTATCCGCCAATTCCTGTGTCGCCCATTTGTCCATCATTATGGGAATGTCTTTTCTGAGGTGAGCTCGATCTTGCTCACTTAAGACAACGAAACTTTGGAACTTTAGGATGGCCATCGCATCCTGAAGCATCTCCTCATCGAAATCGGCTTTAATTTGATCCTGCATGATTTTGCTGTCGGAAGTGGTGGATTCTGTTTCCAACAGCACGCTCTCAGTTGTGTCATGCTTGATGTGGTTTTCAATGCCCGCTGAACCATTAGAGGAGAGAAGTTCGGGATCAATAGTCGAGCCAACAAGCGCGAAAGGATCGAAGAGGCAAACGTGATGAGTGGAATTTGTGTTTGAAGACTCTGGGCCATAGAAATTCGAGTCCCCCTCAACATTACAATTAGGGCGGCTGTCTTCCGAGTCAATATCCATCTCAGTACGGTGGACGATCCTGGCACCGAAAAGGTCCTCCTGAATAATGGATGAATCGTCATGACCGCAGAAAGCGTTGTCAAAGAAGGATGGTTGGTTCGCGTAATAAAGACTAGAATGATATTCTTCAAAGACATTGACATTCGGGTTGACGTAGTCATCGAGACTGGCGTAGAATTACTCAGGGCCAAGATACTTCCTAATGGTAGGAGTGAATAGAGGGTTAGGGGGAGCCATTTCGTCTGTTCTGTATACAAGCCTCTGAAGCAAAGGATCTTTGATTCATTAGTATAATCGATTGTTATTTCTTGGTGCCAATTGTCTGTTGAAATTCATGAAGCAAGGATAGACAAAAATGAATAGAATCTAGATAGTAAAAGGTGAAGTCCATTATTTATATGAGTCTAGACAGTCACTTTGAGTTTGTGTTATACAATATTCAAAAGTTTATGTATGTATATTGAAAATTTCTGGTGACAGACATGAGCTCAAAGTGTAAAAGACTAAGCACTGTCAATACTCATTGGCCCTTATCATTAAGGTATGAATTCAGTCATTTATACTCTGAGGCCCCTACCACCACCCATGACGGTAAACGGCATGCTCACACTTCAGAGTCCTCTTTGTTAGCTGTTTCACTATCTTGGGGAAGATCCTTCACATTGCCAATGCTGGATCACATATGTATGGGGAGTACCACCTTCGAGAGAAATATGCTCTGCTACCTACCTAGTGCTTTTTGAAGCACCTGGTACCCATTTGTTAGGAGTGACTCTATTGGTATGTGAAGCTTACTTTTAGCCATTTCGAATATCGCACCGTTTGCTGGCTCATTTAAGACGTTGCGCTGATTTATTATGGAAAGTTTAAGCCTATGTTGTGGAGAAAATAGTTAAGGAAACTTTTAATGTTAAGTGTCACCTATTTAAGGTATTGCATACCGGATAAGATTCTAAAGTTTAGTGAGATACGATGACATACTATCATGCATGCCATTTGACAAGGTTCCTTGAACAATATATTCAAACTAGCCTTCGTCATGCAAAGGCTGTCTCAGAAGTCAGAGACCTGTAGCGATGACTGAATCAAAGGTCTGACACGCGTACCGTTCTTTGTTGCTTCAGATCCAGACCTTTCAGTTGATATTCTTGAAAATCAACGACTTATTTGACAGAATGTATATCATGAGAGATCCTTACTACTGTATACCTTAATCTCTTATATACAAGTCCATGAGTAAATGCTGTTGATAGAGTTTGGTACAGTATCGTATGTGTATGGTTGTTTTCAAAGTCAGATAGAATCTCTGAATAAAGAAAGCCCGAGCTATGCTCTCGGAAAAGAAGACTATATTCTTCCATATCTTACTGCTAAAACGATGAAGCTAGGTCTACCTATTGCTTTGACGAGCCATTATTGGCGACTTTCTGATCGGTCAAGATATTCATCTCCGAGGAAGAGTCGCCTCGATCCTGCTTATTTCGCTGTTGCCAAGATGGAGCCTAGATTATCTTCAAGCCCCCCACGCCTGCTCGAACGATCTTTAAGGCAAGACCTTAAGACAAGAAAGAGAATTGGCTGAGCGAGGGTCGTATAAGGCCAGAGGGCTCCACTGCAAAAGAATCCTTCTTCTTCAAACCCTCCACTTTCCACTGTATCGAGACTCCAATACATCGGTAAACTCCGTTTCCATCCCTCTTGGCCGCATGAAAACATGGTGAGCTAGCGAGGAAGGCCCGTGACGATGTGGAACTGCCCAGGATCTTCAGTTTAGCTCTCCACTGGCTGGAGGCGATGGCTTCATGTTGTCCACCGGAAACAACGCGCTTTTGCCTACTAGTTCGCGATGAGGGTTGAGGCGTTATTCCAATAGCAACTGATTTCGCCTTTCCACATCACGATCTTCTGACAAATACAACAGAAGAACTATCTCGTTGACCTGCAGTTACGCAGAACACACAGTGTAATGAGAAACACGGACAAGGGCTGCTTAAGCGACAGGGAACTGCAATGAACCAACATGAGAAACCTTATTTCATAAGATCTTATCTTATCTAGATGATCAGTCGCTGGTGGCTGAAAGAGCCGCCAGGGCTGAAGCGCCTCAACTTAAACCCACCACGGCCTCAAACGGGTATGTAAAACTCTGCTAGCTCGTCGGTTGCTTGATCGAAGAATTCGTTCTCGGGTCCGGAACTAAACGGATAGCTAACAGACTACCTCAACTGATCTCACGACAATTGCCAAGCGAACTGGTCAAGAATTGATCATACCAGGATTAAACCCTGCATACATGCAGCTAAATCACATTCTCGAGAATAACAGATTTGATCAATTGCGGGTCATCAAGTTTCTGATTCGTGCTTGCGAGAGATCTATATCAACTCGAGCAACTCTTGTCGAGGACCGGACTATGAGAGTTCACCCGACGGCATCGGTCATGAACTCATTATGCTGGGATCCTTTGTACTGGCTTGGATTAGGCGATGGGCCTCTCCACTAAATCCTCCTTTATCGGCTTATCTGATGATCAGATAAAGGCAATTTCGGCGAGCATCCCTGAATCGCAAAGAGCCTCTGCAGCGGCCAGAGCTCGGTATTAGACCAGTTGCGGAAGTGATCATCTAGCAACATGAATCCTTCAAGCTTCTCCCAATGAGAACAAAGAATTATTCCCTGGCACTAGAGTTCTCTCCGATGCTCAAGGGTGCTCATCCGTCTTACCGCAGAAACTCCACTCAGAATCATCCACTGCAATACAGGAACCATGAATCCATGACCCTTCTTGGCCCTTCTCTGCGAACTTTTTCTCTGTAAAAGAGCTTGGCATTAGTCCGACTTCCGGAACAAGGCACTGGCATCTCTACAGGACAGGTCCAGTGCAAGACTAATCCCTACGGACCCAGGAGATGGACAGTCCGTTCCATTGTCTTGCCACTCATGGAGGAAGAGACGAGACGAGACGGGATGTCACGAATATGTCTGGAGAATGTAACGCTGTCTATAAATCCGCGGCCTTAATCACGTTCCTGTGTTGCATTTATGTTCCTTCATGCCACCGCCTTAAGTACGAAGGGCCCCGGCCAAGTGTAACCCAGTCGTGGTACTTCTTAACCTTCTTTACAACTCTATTCCCAGCTCTCTGGTAATCATTGGAGCTCGAAGGTTTCACCAAGAGAAAATGGTCGCTTCTACTAGCCCAGCCCAAGTCCAGGGCGACTTCGAGAAGCAGATACAGCCTGAGAACCATACCATCAATGATTTCCCCGACAAGGAAAAGGAACATGATTCCGATGATGGCTCCGAGATCAAGCAGGATGGTGTCAAGCGTGTTGAGGCCATCACCAAAGTCTGGTCTCCTGGTATGATGTGGGCTGTCTTCATATTGTATGCTCTCCAATGTTCCGACTTTTAAGCCAACGAGAACCAGCTAACATTGGTACAGCCTCTACCTGGTCAACTTCGTCGACACTCTCCTTCAGGCTGTTCACTCCAGCTTGGTGCCATATGTCACTTCTTCGTTCAGCCAGCACGGCCTGCTTGCAATTACCAGTGTTTTCGGATCCATCATTGCGGGTGTCAGCAAGCTCGCCATCGCCAAGATCATCGATATCCGCGGCCGAAACGAGGGGTTCCTGCTAATGATTCTGATAATTATCATTGGAATGATTATGAAGGCCTGCTGTAAGAATGTCGAGACTTACGCTGCTGGTCACACCTTCTACTGGGTTGGCCACGTTGGGTTAAGCTACATTATCGATGTTGTTCTCTCAGATATGACCTCTCTTCGCAACCGTATGATCATGTTCGGCCTTTACATGAGCCCCCGACTTGCTTCGACCTTCGGTGGCCCTAAGATCGCAGAGTTGTTCTTCAAGCACTCGACCTATCGTTGGGCTTTCGGCTCTTTTTGTATCATCCTTGTCTTCTTCTCTATCCCTGTGTCTGCCATTTTCATGTACCATGAAATCAAGGCTAAGAAGCTTGGATACCTGCCAGAGAAGAGCCAGCGCAGTATCTGGGACTCAATCAAGTACTACTTCGTTGAGTTTGACATCGTTGGCATGATCCTCACCATTGCTGGCTTTTCCCTTATTCTGACCCCTCTCAACATTGCCACTCGCGCTCCCAACGGTTGGAAGACTGACTATATCATCGCAATGCTTGTTGTCGGCGTTGTATGCCTTGCTGGATTTGCTGCCTGGGAGAAGTGGTATGCTAAGGTACCCTATGTGCCTTTCAAGTTTCTCAAGGACCGAACCATCCTAGGTGCTTGCCTTCTAAGCGCTTTTCTCAACATGTCCATCTTTGCATGGGACACCTATTACAACTCATACCTCCAGGTTGTCCATGGTCTCAGCATCGCTACCGCTGGTTACACTCTAAACGCATTTTCTGTGACCTCAACTATTCTGGCACCCTTCATCGGACTGTAAGTTCCGCTACCCCGTCTACCAAACTGATCATTCTGCTAACATGGCATTCAGTTTCCTCCGTTGGTATGGAAGATACTACTGGCCTGCAGTCTTCGGCATCCCCTGGTGTGTCCTTGGTACTGCACTTCTCATTCACTTCCGACAGCCTGGAAACGACATCGGTTACCTTGTCATGTGCCAGGTCTTTCATGGTGTGTGCGGTGGTATCTGGGCCATGACCGGGCCTCTCGCCATCATGACTCAGGTTACCCACCAGGAGATTGCCGTTGTGCTCGCGCTTTACTCTATGTTTGGCTCCATCGGCCAGGCCATCGGTTTCGGCATCTCTGGCGCTCTATGGACCAACGACCTACCAAGGGAGATGTACAAGGCTCTTCCCCAGGACGCCAAGAACCAAACCGCTGCCCTCTACGGCGACATGAAGCTGCAGATGGCCGACCCCATAGGTACCCCTATCCGAGATGCCGTCGTTCACGCCTACGGAGTTGTACAGCGCGAGATGGTCATTGCCGGCTGCGCTTTCTTGCCTTTGATCTGTATCTGTGTCATTGTCTGGCGTAACAAGCCGATCGACAGACAGCAGACTAAGGGTAATGTCTTTTAGATTGTGCTAGGAGCATCAAATAGGTTGAACTTGGAGGCTTTGCAGTCTCAGTGGGTGGATCGACAAACAAGAAACAAAAGTGATTTATCTAAGATACAATCTCTCGTTTACAAAATTGAGAGTTGGCGATTTATCCTTACCGTGATTCACCAGGCTGTGAAGTCGTTTGTAAGGCTAGCTAATGACTTTATAGCCCAGGATACATAAGATTTCGTAATAAGGAAGCTCACAAACGAAATATGATCGACTGTTCAATGACTCTAGGGAGCATTCAAATCCCAGAGCCCGGTCAGTCGAATATCAATCGGGTTCTCGGCGCTACTTTCTCAACAACCTGATATCGAAGCAAGCTAATGTTGTGCATCTGTGACAAAGCGATCTACGAGCGTATAATACCGGCATGTCTCAAATTTCTGCTTATGCATTAATTAGACGGGTATCGACATTGATTCATGCCGATACGCATATTGTTCAGGATACCCGCATCAACACCTCACCTCGTGAGTTTGCCATCGCATCTGCCGTCCCTGTTTGCTACGCTCATAGGCTCACATGCCTTTTGTGTAACATCCAAATCAATAGCGCAACTGAAAATCTTTTAGCATCATGCGTGGCTCTGGTCTCTTTTTGCTAATCTACAAATTTTCTGGGAAACTCCTCATGCTCTATAGCTGATTCATTCTGCAATCGCCCGTGGTCACAAGATCGATGACTGCTTCACCTTGTGGGACGCATTGCGTAAGATGCGAGATATTCAGCAAGTTGAGCGTGTTGGCGGTTGCGAATTGACTGGAGACCAGAGTCGAGACGGCTTTACGCATTAAGACAACGGGTGGCCGCATGAGAATCACCGAGCAGGACCTCGAGTCTTGACATGTATGGATAAGCTGACTGATATCTCATCCGTCACTATCCCTAGCTTCATGTATTGTCCGTAATGGATGGCAGACATTATCATCGGCGTTTACTACTGCGAGGGCAGAAAGGCCCGAACAATGATCGCATTTGAAGAGTTGCTGAGATACGGTATGACAGTCCGGTGTACGCGTAAGGAGGCAGATTCAGAGCTATCACTGAACAAATCGCCCTCATAGCAAAGAGATATGTTGTTCCCCTCTCATTAGATGCATGGCACTACAACCCCTTCTCACTGATTCACCAAGCAATCAGACAAGAGTGAGTGCGTACTATCCCACAACGCGACCATACTATCCAGGATACGATACACATGCAGTAGCGTGCGCGAACATCAGATTGTGCCCTGAGTGCTCGATTGCCAGATGAATCAACGACGATACAACTTCAACCCTGATCCTAGAGCATCCCAGTGTAACCAGTGACCATACTTTGCGGTCTGGCAATGAGCCAACAAGCAGAGTATGAAGCAGTCTGCTTTACCACTAGATTCATAAGAGGTCATGCTTAAGTTTTGTTAGGAGAGTTTGCATTGTTTGCAATACAAACGGATAAGAGAGCCTCTTGTTCTATCGGACTATAAGTTCTTGACATTCCCCCCTTGGATATGATCACCAAGAACTTGTTAAAGACTTTCGTCTACGCAAAGAACACTCTCATCTTGAAGTTTAAGATAACTCTTCACACACTCTGGCATCAGTCTTCACAGAATCTGCCTATCATCATGCCCGATCAGTCAAAGAAGGCTAATCAGCCAAAGAAGAATTGGGCTGGCAATAAAGGAGAAGCCTCTCAGCCGGCGAATGGGAAGCCACCTGGATCTAGTGGAAATTCATCTACGCAGACCACATCAGGTGGAGGAGGCAATGCTCAGGCAGCATCAAGCCAACCAGAATCGCCTGCAATGGAACGTTATAAAAATCAGAAGCGCAAGGACGAGCCTGAAGGGGAGAATCAGCCTGGCAGCAAAGGCAAAGAGGAGGGAAAGGGCCAAGGCAAAAACATCCAGAAGTGATAGACACAGCGATCACAAACCAGGCGGAAAAGCTCGATGAAGCCAGGTTGGAGAACACGATCAACTGGAGTCCGGGGCTTTTGGTAGTGACGATAAGCGTTTCATGGTGCCATATTTTACTCTGGGTCAAATGTTAGAGGAGGATGGAGACGTTCGAGAGAGAGATTGAATGTTGAGGATATCAGACTGTGGACCAAGATATTAATCCGAGACAATTGTTTTACATTATTCATCCACTTTGATATGTTACAGGTTAGAGACCCTCTTTGACAGGGAGGATCTGTCACGTAAAATTCCAGACTTTGACACGCTAGATGAACATGTTGAGCAGTTTGTTATTTTTCTAGATGCTCTGGTAGAAGCAATAATAAGCTAGTGACCACATGATTTGATTGAAACTGTGGGTAAATGCACGTCATGGGATGGTTCATTGTAACTCGGGAATGGTCAAGAATAGAGATTTTAGGTTTAAATATGACATTAACATACATTTTACAGCAATAAATATCATAGAATGACCAAGTCTAGCGGTCAACTAAAACACAATTTTCTCAACATGAATGGCATGCCCAGAAATGAGGTTCCAAGATACTCTAGTCTAGGCAATATCTTGGCGATGGCTTGGTGTGGTGTGCATGATGAACTCAATGTGACGGTTAAAATACGGTGCAGCTAATGGAAGGCTTGAAGAATAGGGCGGAAGCTATATCATGGCTTGACTGCCGAGCATTGACTGCAAAATGACTGCTAGAGGCTGAGCTGACAGTCGTCGTCATGGCTGTCGATATTGCACGCATAAACCGCCAAGTATGGATACTCAAGGCCTATCTCACCAAATCGAGGCTGCTGAGGATGGATGGAATTTCTCGTATTTGAGCGCATTTAAAGTTGTATTACTGTATTCGTATCGGGGTACCACATCACATCATGAAGATGGTGTCGAGGTAAGGGACAGTAAATCACATACCAAAGTCTCAAAGTTGCAGTTCAAAAAGTAAGATACAGGTGAATCTTGTTCTCGGCAGGGGATAACACTCTAGAACACAATTGACCTGCCGTTTTCTGATAAATCTCTATCATGAGGTTTCTTTGTTGGGCAACATGAGAACAAGAGGCGCACGCATCGGAAATTGCAATGACGGAGAAACCCAAAATCCAGCCAATCACCTAAAAGGGTAGAAGTGGGGAAACACTATTTCAGGCACGCAACTCCGCTGAATGGCCTGGGCTGGGTACGATTTCGGCTCTTTTTTACCGTAGTCTCCCACTGAAAGAAAGTCAATAAAACTTGGGACCTCAGGTCTAACTGACAAAAAGATTTAGGTAACCTAGCCCAAGTTTAGAGGCCTCTTCGATGAGTTTCTTTTGGCACCCGGGGACAAGTTCAGCTCTCGAGACCTCTGTCGCTATGGAGAGTAGTTCATAATACAACCAGAAATGGTTAGATTGTGCCTGTCTACCTATACACGAGATGACGAGAGGCCTGCAAGACGGTAACGGTAATGTCGTTGTACGAGGTGGCACAGTCATACAGTTCAACATTAATACGGACCATGATAATGGATGATACAGACTGTGGGCTCTCATCAATGTTGTGCTGAAACTGAGACGCTCTCAGACGTTTCCTGTTCTACTGTAAGGGACGAAGACAGGGCCAAGTAAACAAAACGAGACGGAAAAAGAGAGAAGAGACACAAAAAAAAAGGGGCAGACATTATATGTATGCAATGCAAGATAGTGTTTCTGGTGAGAATCATCTTCTCCGCATGATGCATCCAAGTGCAAGTACAAATACAAATACAGTTACCGATGATTACAGAAACTCTCTTGTTGTCTTTGGACAAGCCCGCCAAGCCCAGGCCACTGGATTCGACCGCGTGATACAACCATACCTGAACTAAGATACCTGGGGTCCATGTACCGACACCATATGTAGATGGCATCCGGGCTTCCCGTAGATACCTGGGACTCAAGTCACTTGGCGCGGTCTTTTTTTGTTCTCGTACCGATGGGTTGGGGTTGGGGTTGGGGTTGGGGCTGCGCGGCTGCTCCCATCCAGTGAAAGTGCCCAGAGTTGACTTACGCGGCAAGTTTATGTTTGTATTCCAAGAATTTTCCCTCCCTTCCAGTTTTCTCCAGATTTGATATAGCAGGTGAATGCTTTGGTGACATTCATTTTACTGTGCATTCCCCTCCAAATGTTATCATCGGGTCATCTCCTCACAATTCCAATCCATTTCCGAGTTCGGCAAGACCGTCGCATCTAAAGAGACGAGACAAGACAAAGACAAACGGGCCCATCTCCCCCTTCCCTTGCACCCGCTGCCAGAAAAAAACACCAAAACACCCCTGGCCCTGGTCTTGTCCCGCTACAAAGTCGCCCGACTCTGCCGCTTACAGTGAGATAGTGACCCAGTTTTTCCCCGGCTGCAGGCTGTTGCTCACTGCTGTGACTTGCTCCCACCCACTCTTTTTTCTCTCTCTTCCTCTCTTCCCAGCCATCTCATCAACATCGATTATCGATCAGCAAGTGAAATCGATCCTTCTTTCGACCAACTACCGAATCCTACTGGGCCGTCTGATCTCACTGTTCTCTTTCAGACCCTAAAAGAAAGGAAAAAGACAAAGAAGAGAGGCTGGGCTTGGCTACAGTCAGACTTTGTTTATTCCCCTCTACTCAAAGTGGTTTGGTGACGACACGACTCTTTCAATAGCGTATTGCACAAACGCAAGCCAGCCTTGGCTAAAGACACAGCATTTCCAGGTCGCTTCTACGCTGTACATACCTACCTCTCCAGACCTTGTCTTGTCCTGTCTTGTCTTGCCTCCCTCACATACACACACACACACACACATACAAAGGACACTTCCCGCCCCCCGGTTCCACTGAACACAACCTTAATCCTCGTCTCTCGTTACTGTCTGTGTCTGTATCGTATCTTTTATCCTCACGATCCCGTCGCTCGTTTTCTCCCTTCGACACCGATCTCGACCTCAAATCACGACTTGGACTATCGATCTCTCCGAACTGGGCTTAACTGACCTTCAATTTTCGTCAAAATGGGTGCGTCATCCTTCGACTTCAATCCTGGTCGATTTCGCAAATCCCCTCATACTAACACTCAACTTGAACAGCCCAACAAGGAGGTGAAGCCCCCGTCACCACCATCGTTCCCTTCAACAACCAGAAGGTCCTTCCCGCTTGCGCCGCCGCTTGCGGTCCCCTCTACGATGCCAACGGTGCCTGTGTCCCTCCTCAAGTAGCCGCTGATGCCGGCCCAACCGCCTACACGCAATGTTTCTGTCTCGACCAACGAGTCGCCGCTTTCTCGACCGCCACTACGGGCGTCTGCGATGATGCATGTACCGCGGATCCCAAGGGCCTTTCATCAATCGCTGGCTGGTTCCGAAGCATGTGTAGCGTTTCGACTGCTCAAAATGGAGGAACAACAAAGAAAACTGGAACTGGCTCTACGACTTTGACAGGTGACGATGCTTCATCAACAGCTGGTAGCAGAGCTGGATCTAACAATGGAGGTGGTGATTGGTATGTTGACGATTGACTTACAACACCTTGAATTGTTCTAACTGAATCAGGATCTCCAACCATTGGCAATGGGTTATCATGATTGTTGTTCTCGTTGTCGGCATCGCAGCCATTTGGATCGGCGCCTGTATCTGGCGTCGCCGTTATTTGCGAAAGAAGGACCGCCAGACTCATCTCGGCCAGAAGCACTCCGGCTCCGCATCTCGACCATCCTGGGGTCCCGGCATGGAGGCCTCAGAGTCCGGAGGTCTTCCCTACGACGATGAATCGAACCGAAACTCGCACGGCCTGATGCTGCCGGGTGCCGCCGCCGGTGCTCCCGTCGAGGAGAAGCCCAAGGAGAAGAAGCGATGGATCGTCCGCGACCGAACATGATGCCCGCTCCATGCTCGATCTTGTTAACGCCAGTTCCGATCTCATAACGATTCTCCTTGTCATGTCCGAGTTCAAAAGCACTTCGACATTCTGTTCGCCTTACGATATAAACCGTGCATTTATTCATTTAAACGGCCTTACTCTATTCGATATTATCGAAAACATATGACTTTTAGTTGGTGAGGGGGGCTACATCAGCACTTAAAGAGGAGGAAACGAATGCATTTGGTAATAGCCACAGTTACATGCAGACACTTGATTATTCAAGCATGGTTGAAAGATGCCGTCTGCAGTATCTCTTGTGGCCCAATACTCACGCGTTTGTCGGTTGCCAGTCGTGCTGTGCCCCCCGTGGCGTTCTTGTTCATATTTCAGGTATATTCTGGCGTTGGGAGGACAAGGAGGGTTGGCGTATCCTCCTGATTGGTTGTTTCTGTTTTCGTTTTTGTGGTGGCTGTTACCACGGAGCGAGTCTCGCCTCCATTCCCAGCATGTGGGTGGAATGTGACGTTGGCTCTGCCGCGAGGCGAGGGGGGGAAAAAACGAAGCTGTTTATTTGTTCTACTTAGACCAGAACAGAAATACTCTCTGGTTAGTTATTTGGTCATCTTTATTACCTACAGCTTCCTGGGCATGGGAAGAGGTTTGGAGTCTATCCTTGATACAGCATTTACAATTTCACCACCCGCGAAATCTTCGACTCGCGATTACCAGTTCTTCTTAGTGCGATACATTGTGATCCGTAAACTTTGTGTAATGTTGCTCTACTCATAACAGTAACGTCTTCCGAGCAACGTCTCAATGTCAACAAATCGGAGAATCTAATCTGCACAATTTTCATTTTGGCTTTTCGCTCAAAGTTAATGCTACAACGCTTAAAGATGCTTGTTATTAACCTAATCAGGAGAATGCTATAGTAGTAGTTTGCGTGGTAGTGTATGTTTGATTCAAGCCCATGCCCAATCCTCAGGTCCCATCATCATTTCCTCCTCTTAAAAATTGGCTCTATGCCTTATTCTGTTCCTCAGTAGCGTCCATGTATAAGTCGATCAGGCATCCTGCCGACCAAGCTTGTGTGGGACTCTGTATAGGGATTAGTATACGATCAAAGGGTTCACATACTCAGAAAATCGACTTACAGAGTCAGCGCAGTATTCGCCGTTCTTTTGCGTCAGCTCTTGGAGACCAGCCCAAGGGCTCTCCTGGATCATCTTCTTGCACCCACTCAGTCTTCGGGTAACCTGCTGGAACGCCTCAGTGCGACCCTCAGGTGTTGTTCGTCTCTTGAGATCAAACTTGAGCAGGGCTCGGAGGAAGAAGCCAGTAGGCCAGATCCACTCGGGTCCCTGGTGGTAGTTACGGCCCTTGCTTGTAGCAAAATCGTCACTATCTTCACTGTTGACGTAGTAAGGGCGGTAGTTCAGATCCGCAGGGTCTAGAGTCGCCATTCCTTGGGGTCCCCGAAGGGCCTCATCGGCAACACACAGAGCATGCATGGCATGGTCTGGGTCGAACAAAGCGGGTGCAGTAGTCATGGCAATTGCAAAGTTAGGACGCAGCTGGTAGTCCTCATACTCCTTGCCAGACTTGTAGAGATCTTTGTAGATTCCTCGGCGGTTCACAATCGGCGTGTTGACGTCATACTTGGAATCGTCCTCGGGAGAAATGGGGACATAGTAGCAGCGCTCGAAGTTGGCCTTGAGCAGACCAGCCCAGTCTGCCAAGGAGATAGAGCCACCCTCGGATTTGTCCACGCTTGCATAAGCATATTTTCCATCCTCATGAAGCCCAGCGAGCCAGTCGAGAGTGCTGTACAGCATACCAGTGATCTCGATAGCAGCACCATCACGAGGAGTTCCGGGGATTCCCTTGGATCCTGCGCGTTCACTCTCGCCCATCTTGTCCATCCATGTGCCACAGTTGAACTGGTTACCGCCAAAAATGATTCCATTGCTCCAATCAACCTTGATCTCCTGGTTGAAACCCTCATCCTTCATTTGGGCATCAATTTGGGGACCGGCATTAGCTTCCCTGTATTTCATGCCTGAAGCATGTCTTTGGAGTGCTTCTTGGATAACCTCCTCAATGGTGCTCTCCTTCGAGTATGCCCTCTCATCGTTGGTGGGGAACCATGTGTCATCGTAAGGCAGGAAACGACGCTTGACCTTGGCCTTGAGGATATCAAGTCCCTCTGGGGCAAAACGTGTATAATCCTGAATGCACTGAAGGAAGAACCAGATGGAGTCTCGAGAGTTGTACCTGGGAGCATCGCCACTGCTGAGAAGGTTGGGGATCATGCCATGCTTCAATACACTGGCAAATGCAAGGATGTGTTCTCTGGCGTCGTCAAAACGGCCAGTACCGATAAGAAGTCCACGAAGAGCGATAAACACGTCTCGGCCCCAGCATCGGGCCCATTCAACAGCGAAGTGAGGAAGACCAGCAGCCAGAGAAGGAACCAACTTGAAAGGCCACAAGGACGCTGACTTGACATATCCAACTTGTTGAACACTGACCATGGCCAGGCTTTGCAAAAACCATTGCCCATCTCGGACGCTGGAGTTCATGAGCTCGAGAGACCTGTCCCAGCTTGCCATGTAAGCAGTGCGCAGGACAAGACCAAAGTAACGAGGGAGCAGGAAACTGGGGATCTTTCGGATGGCATCGAATCGCTCCTCTAGCCATCTCAAGGGTTGGGCAAGTGCCTCGTTACCTGGAGTGGCACTGATTCGCTGCAGTCTTGCAATAATGTAGTCCAGAGCCCATTCACCATCACGTAGGTTCTGGCACAGTGGGTGGGCCAGGTTGTTGTCCTTGATGATGTTCTTGAGAAGACTCCACCATCCTTGGAGACCAGCATAGACAAGCTTTCCATGTCCAGGAATATCGTAGACACCATCTCGACCATCGCTTTCGGCCCTCTCTTCAGCTTCACATCGATACATCAAGAAGTTGAGGTCTGTCAGACTGAGCTCATTCCAGGCAGCCTTGGACCCTGAGGTGACATAGTTGTCCAAGCCAGACGAATGCTCAGCAGCGGGGATCCAGGTCTCGAACAGGGCGATGCTTCCAGGAGGGAACTTGTCGCGCACAGTGATGGTAGTGTCGTCGCCATTGATTTCCATGCGGATGCCGGGTACGTCCTTAACTCGGCTAGGCAAGCCGCGCAGGAACTTCTTGTCCCCGAGCACTTGTTGCGTCGCCTCCTCACCAGCGTCAACCTCGAGCATCCAGCTACCCAGGTGTCGAGCTTTGGTTCCAGTGAGATGAACAGGGCTAAAATCACCGTTGCCATTGCCGTAGCCTGGGAAAGCTGTATGTGCAATGAGGAAGTAACCCTTGCGAGATTCAGGGTGCACTCGGTGAACAGTAATGTACTGGTCTTCGTGATGGATGTGAGTCTCGTCGTATCCATCCTTGCCCATCAAAGTGTGTATTTGGTTGAGCAGCTTCTTGACGCCGCCAATTCCCTCCTCGCCGCCTCCAATCTTAATAGGCTTCGTTCCAGACGAGGCAGATGTGTAGAGCCGGGTCTCGTTGACAAGGTCGACAAGCTTTGGATAGATTTCATCGTATCCCATAACACTTCCAGTAGCGCTGGAGCACATGCATACAAGAGCAGCGTTGGGAAGAGTATCACGGGCATCACGCTTCTGTGCCGGTGTTTCGTTGTCATGAGTGCAGTCCATGAATAGAGCATGCACTGGGCTTGGCTTGATCGTGCGAATAATCTCTCTTGAATGTGATACATGCCCATTCGTCTCGCCGTTCTTGAGTCTGGTCGGGCTACTCGATGGGGTGCGAACATCCGACTTGGAAACTTCATCGACCTCAAAGCTTCCAATAGGTCGGCCTCCGTGTCTGTGAACCAGTCGGCTAAGCTCACCCGTGCTCCATGCCTGCATGGCTTCACGAATAAGAGAGCTGAGACCAAGGCGCTTCACAAAAACGTAGTCCATCTCTTCAGAGCCTGTAAACAATTCGGCCACAACATACAAGTCAGGTCGCACCCGGCGAGCCTCGTCAAGAATGTGCTCAGCCACGTGAATGGGAGTTGAGTGACAGTTATCGATACGGAGACCGGCAAAGTATTTGGCCAGTGTGCGAGCATACTTGGTCATATGCTCCCACAACCAAGGGTTGTCTTCGGGACCTGAGCCGTATCGTAACTTGACACAGTCACCCCAGACAATTACCTCTCGGCGAAGGTACACCCTGGATTCAGGGCCAGCGTTATCGACCAGAGCATTACCGCCCCAAACCCATCCATTGTTGACCAAAGCCATCTCTTCGGGCTTGAGCTTGGATGTTGTCTCATTTTTGGGGAGTCGAGTGAAGTAAGGCTCAATTAGGGGGTTCTCCTTGTTGATCTCGCCAAGCTTGGGACCGTGGTCATCAAGTCGAACATACTTGATCCTGTTGAAAATTTGCTGAAGAATGTCATCCACTTCAGCATCATACTCTTTGTAGTAGTCCACGTTGAGAACCTCCAAGATCTCGACAATCTTGGCCCTGGCTGCCTTCTCATCGGAAGAACCCACGGACGAAGCCAAAAAGCTAGCAGCTACGTCAGGCTTGACGCGCCTTCGAAAGCGCTCACCCATTCGGTCGGTGCCTGTTAAACCAAACTCCCTGAAGAACTCGACTTGGTCCTTGATCGATGCAGATTTGGCGCTCTCTAACTTCTTCTCGAAATCTGAAGCGTCCTCAGAGGTGTATTTCTTTCCTTGAGAGAAGGCTTTGACTGCCTCGTCGGCATCTCGATCCACATCCACCGCATAGTATTCCCATAGCCTGATTTTGGCAAGGACCTCGGTCTTGATCGCATTCATGATGAGTAGCAAATCATCGGTAGACTTGACAACAGTGGGTAGTCCCAACTTTGTCAGGTTGTCGCTCAACTCCAAGAGACTTGTGTCTAGTTGATAAGCAGACTCGAGCCAGGGTGCTGTGATCAAATTGTAGCCTGCTTCGGGATGCTCCTCAAGCCATTTTGTGTTGTTTGCGGTGTGGTTTAGCACAATGTCAGTCAAACTCAGCAAAGAATGGTTACGTTCTAGGCTGTCCACCATCTTCTGCACATCCTCTTCTCCTGCTGGAAAACAAGCAGGGTCCCAGCCGAGCTGGTCATACAAACTGTATGGGGAGTTGGACACTCCACGCACCTGAAGAGGAGTAAAATGGATCATGTTGTAGCCGCGATCGCTAATACCGTGAAGGTGACGCTCCCAGTCATTGGGGTATTTACCCATGAACTTGCTAATGACGGAGAAGATTGACAAGGCAGGCAACGGCAATGGCCGGCCGTCAAGTTTAAGTCTAGGCGCAACATCGATATAGTACAGGGGAGTCTTATTGAGGTTCTCCTTCTGTTCAGAGCTATTTTCTAGCTCCTTCTTGAGGTCGGGCAGCTCAGCGTAGGTAGTGTAGAAGGCATAGGCACCAGGTTGGTAAATGGGAATGGAGATTTCGAGAGTTCGATTGAAATCGGGTGTAAGTCTGTAAAACGACTGTGTTAGTTACACGGAGTTGCGTGTGCTTGTTACAGCGTTGGGACGCTTCAAACTGCCTCAAAAGTGATCAATTGGATCAAAATGAGAGCCAGAGCTTACTTGAACTCGCGAAAATGATCGCGGCGAAACTCATCACCTTGGGCAGGGATGTTGACCCAAAGGCTGCCATGACGGCAGATGGACGAGGTGCCCTCAATGGCAAAACGAACCGTCACAGGCTCGTGAGACCTGGGCGCGAGATAGATGTATTCACCTTGCACCTGAGGTGAGCCATCATCGTTGAGCGGCAGCAAATAAACCTCGTTGGATGTCATGGTGTGCGGTGGACTCATGATGAGAGAAGAGAAGAGCGGGCGCTTCGTGCCCCGCGAAACGACAAAAGCACAGCTCGGTCAGACACTGAAACTGGTAGCCAAGGAAGCGCTGTTGCACTACGCAACGTGCCTGTCGCAGTGGAGCTATGATCGATAGCTAACGGTTCGCGTCCGCAGTAGGCAAGTTAACTTAGTGGGGTGCTCCGTGGTCAGTGAGCTCCGAAGACGCTGCTTGGGTCGTTTTAGTGGGCTCGTCGGTTCGGTTCAGGGATCTTGGATCTGGGATATCGAGCGGGATCGACGACCTGAGCGAGCGACAGGAGGGATGATTTCCCAAAGATAAGGTGATGGTGGGAGGAAGAGGGGGATAGGCCTGAATCAGCCTACGGCATAGGCCTAAAAAGGGTTGAAAGGGAGAAGAAAAGGGTGTCTAGGAATATTCAAGGTAGACGCCAATATTGGACGATGTTTTTGGAAAGAAGTGAGAGATTGAGCTTGGGGTTGACGAGGTGAAGGGCATGAGTGAGAGGAAGAGACAAGAGGGCAGGAACGAGGAAGAAATATTTCGTCTACACCAAAGAGAAGAAAGAAGAGAAGGGAAGAAGAAAAAAGCAAAAACAAACAGCTCCTCGATCAAGTCATTTTCATGTAACCGAATTTGGACAGCTCAACAAGTGCCTTATTTAGTACATACATACATACACACTCAGGTTGAGTGAGCTACCGCACAATGAAAGTACTATAGGTCAGAATCCTACTCTATCACATCCCATAGCTTCTGGTCGAATCCGTTAGATACAGTCATATCAGCTTTGTACAACCAAACCTTGGATGTTGTCTTTGGCGGTCAAGACGGGGAACCAGGTTGGTTGTCCGGGAGTGCCGGGTTGTTAATTCCAACAAGATACTGTTCCCAGTAGCTTCAAGAGACTGCAGCAGCTCTATCCTTTGCGTGGAGGGGTAGCAGTTGTCAGCCAACAACAAATCACTCATGGCCAATGGGGGAGCAATTGGCTTTTGTTAGTCGCGTCGAAGCTGAAGCAAACAAGGTACCGGGCCACGATGTTCCTGGCTTAGCTTCAAGAGGTTCTCGATATTGATACAACAGAATACGAGTGCAAGGCGTGCCTTGTACGGAGTTGGCCTAGTTTTGTACGTCTCCGAGTCAATTCATCATGGCGCTTCCAGGGGAAGCTTCGCAAGGCATGAAGAGGGAGGGTGAGGGGGAGCTTCCGTGTGCGGCTCTTGTTCTTTATAGGAAATTGATTGGCGGTCTTTAAATCGACGGTAGGCTCTGTATATACTGGACTCTGAAGGTTTTACCAGCAAAGAAGAGCATTTTACAGTAGTTTGTTGGGAATAACTCGAGTACTTACAATTGAGTCAAATTCACATGCAAACTTGCTTTTATGCAGTTACTACGTCATTGAAGTGCAATCCAATTTTCCCCCATCCCCCAAATTTCTCATCTCCATGGGTCCTAGCGCCTCCGTCATCTCAACATACAGGGCGGGGGGATCCTTGGAGTTCGTTTCCTCTAGGGCAGAGCTCGGAGCTGTTGCGCCTTGATCAGCAGAGGCTCAAGCAGAGTTTTTTTGTTAGTCGATGGACATTGATAGTTAGAAAATGTCTTCGATTGGTTTCTTGTAATTGACTGACAGGTTGACCGCTTGACCAAAAGCCAAGTACCGAGTCATGCAGTCAGATTGAGAGAATTAAGTGATGATCTGATTGTATACGACGAACTTCCTTGTCTGGTCTGCTGCGAGCAATAATGGTTTATGCCTCCACTCATATGGATCCGTGGAGAGTTGGAGACCTTCCCTGTTGATCCTTCTCCAAGATCGACAATTGCCAAAAATAGGTAGGTAGCTTACCCTGAAGCTATTCGGAGAACATGAATTGGTAGAAGCCACGAAGTCCATGGAGTATCAAAGGATGCTTCATTTTGGCACCAGTATTTCATCCCTAATTGAACCCAGAATTTGTATCATCCCACCGTATTTATTGTCTTGTAAAAAACTTTAATCTTAGACCTCGATGCATTTTACACACTATAATACTTCTAAAAGTGTTTTTTTTTTTTTTTTTCATAAGCTATGGCAGGCAATTAGATTGTGCCATGCTTTTAGCTAATGGTTTATGTAGACATAATTGAAGCCAGCTAACTGAGAAATGATCAAATTGAACTTGAGGAACGAGTATATATAGAGTCCTTTACTATTCAGAAAGGCAATTGTCGAGTTTCCAGGAGTGTATGAATGCAGCAGGTGTTAAGATGGCCGCTCTCACCGCCTGCCGTATACGGTCCCGGGCCATCGTGGGTGGCAGAATTTTATAAAATTTAGCCTCAGTTAACCACGAGCTCTCCAGCCATGCAGATCCTTTCCAAGCAACATTCTTATATGTTTCGCGTTTTCTGGAGATCAAGGTCGAACTTTGGCGCTGGAGCGATCTTGGATCTTACAAACCGCTTTTCGAAAACTCGGACCCTTAGCACAAATCGCAACTGCCGAGCTCTCTGCGACAAACCGATTGCGCATCGCCAATTTTCGACCACAGCAAAAATGGCGGAGAAAAAGGTCAACGTGGAAACCGTTACCGTCGAGGGGAAGGAGTTTAGGACGGTCACAGAGGGAAAAGCCACTATCTTGGTGCCTCAAGGTGCTAAGATTGGCGAAGATCGTGGGGAAGTTCAGCAGGTCTTCTACAATCCTATTCAGCAATACAACCGTGATCTCTCTGTTCTCGCGATCAAGACATATGGCGAGATGTCTCTGGAGAAGAGAAAAGAGCAGTACGAGTCAAGGATGAACAAGCAGGGCAAGAAGCGCAAGCGAGGCGATGACGAACAGAAGCCTACCGAGGCCGTGAACCCCCCACCACAGGATAAACCGCAAGCGACTGAAGAGGCTGCTAAACCCAACGATGCCGAAGCACAACAACCGAAGAAAGAAACCAAGCCCTCATTCCGTATCCTGGATGCGCTATCGGCGTCTGGGCTGCGAGCACTTCGATACGCCCACGAATTGCCTTTTGTGACATCTGTCAAGGCCAACGATTTGTCCGACACTGCTGCCGAGTCTATCAGGATGAACGCCAAGCATAACGGACTCGAGGACAAGATTACCGTCACCCAAGGCGATGCGCTTGCGCTCATGTATCGAGGCATAGCAGATGACTTGTCCAACAGAGACAAGGGTGGAAACCCGGGCAAGGCCAACAAGTTCGATGTTATCGACCTGGACCCTTATGGTACAGCTGCACCCTTCTTCGACGCTGCCGTGCAATCTATCAGAGACGACGGTGGCCTCCTATGTATCACCTGCACAGATAGTGCGGTGTGGGCAGGTCACAGCTATTGCGAGAAGACGTTTGCGCTTTATGGGGGAATTCCAATCAAGGGAATGCACTCTCACGAAGCTGGTCTTCGACTTGTTCTGAACGCCGTTGCTACCTCGGCTGCCAGATACGGACTGGCTATTGAACCTCTTCTCTCGCTCTCGATCGACTTTTACACCAAATTCTTTATCAAGGTGACCAAATCCCCGCAGTCGGTCAAGTTCCTCGCTTCCAAGACTATGCTGGTCTACAGCTGCGACTCAGGTTGTGGTGCTTGGGAAACACAGCCCATGTTGAGAAGCAAGCCCGCGCCGAATAAGAAGGGCAATGGCGCCTTTTACAAGCACACTATGGCCCAGGGACCATCAGCCGATAGACACTGCGAGCACTGTGGGATGAAGATGCACATTAATGGCCCTATGTATGGCGGTCACATTCATTCGCAAGAGTTTATTGAGAGGCTTCTGGCGCAAATTCCCAAGGCTGACCCCTCTATCTATGGCACGATGCCCAGACTCGAGGGTATGCTGCGAACAGCTCTCGAAGAGTATCTGCCTGGTCCTGAGGTCAAGGAGCCTGTCGATCCCAAGGATGCTCAGCTTGCAACCGTTGACCACTACCCATTCTTCATTATTCCAAGCCGTTTGGCCAATGTGGTGAGCTGCGTGACTCCAAGTGAGGACATGGTTCGAGGTGCCTTGATCCATCTTGGCTACCGCACTGCTCGAAGCCACTGCCGACCAGGAAGTATCAAGACTGACGCACCTTGGTCTGCAATCTGGTGGATAATAACGGAATGGATTCGCCAGAAGTCACCGATCAAAGAATCGAGTATCAAGAAAAACAGCGCCGCATGGAAGATTCTGACTGATGCTGGAATCATTGGACAAGAGAAGCCTGAGGCTGCAGAGGAGACAGCTAAAGATGGCTCTGCGATGGAGGGCGTGGAACAGCAGACTTCAGAGGCACCTGTCGAGGGTACAGCAGGTGCACCAAACGGCGATGACAAGCCCGTCCCTAGTGAGATGGAATTGCGCAAGACACTCGTCTTTGACGAGAACCTAGCACGTCTTGCACGAAGACGAGGAGAGCAAAAGCTGGTGCGGTACCAGATGAATCCTCGAGAAAACTGGGGACCTCTGGCTAAAGCGAGCCGTCGATGATAACGTACAATCTGACTAAAAGAAAAAGCACAACTTTTGATCATTTACTTCGTCTTACCGGTTAAAGAAGGCGATCCTGTGGGATTTTGAACTGATTGCGCGATGCTGGCGTGCCTATCATCTTTTCGTCAGCAACACAGCCCCACACAGGCCGAGATGAGTTTCACTGAGGGCTTTTGAACTTGGTTTCTTCATCATTCACAAACTCGTCTTTAAACACAATTGCGTATACCGCTCAGCTCCATACTCAAGCCTGGCGACTTTGATTCCTGTCTCTCTAGTTCTGGCCGCATTCTGTTTGCATCTGCGAGTCCTGTTACACGTATTCACGATTGGCCAATAGCGCCAGGTTACAATAAAGATACCACATATTCTTTTATTCTATCTCTTCTTCTCTTCTTGAACTTAATCATTTGCCGCAATGTCTACTACTTTGGAATTGCCTCACTCATCCGAAATGACAACCGTCGAAAATGTTTCTTTCACTGAAGAGAATCTGACATGGACTCGCACCGGGGCATCCGAGAGTGCTTCACGCCATGAGCTTGTCTTGGTTCACGAAGTGACAAACTCTCAATCGGGCTCCTCGCAATATCTACTATTTATCCTCAAGGAAGACCCAGAGAACAAGGAAATACCATTTCGACTCTCGATACTGAAGACAGACGAAATACCCACTGAGCTTCGAAGTCTCACGGTGGCTGGACTACCCTCTCATCTTAAGCACGGTTCTGCCAACGAGCATGGTGCCACAAGCCAGGTGGACATTATCGTCTCGATCAAATCGGGGGTTGGACTAGCATCAAAAGTCTGGGAAGAAGTTCTCCATCCTATTTGGACATATATCGCAGGAGATGATTCTGGCAAATCGACATATCGTCTTATTCACACAGTAAGCCCAGAGACCATCCGAGACTATGCAAAACAGTTATGGACTACATACGAGCGTTCGAAAGCGAGGACTATCGTGCTTTTGAGTGGAGATGGTGGTGTCGTTGATCTACTCAACGGCTCTGACGGGAACCAGGTGCCAGAGAACCCACCAACAGTTGCCCTTCTCCCTCTGGGCACAGGAAACGCCCTCTTCCATTCTACCCACAAGCCACTTTACACTGAGCCTGGCCCAAGCCCACTTGTACTCGGGCTCCGAACATTATTCCAAGGCGTTGGCGCTAATCTTCCCGTATTCCGGGCATCGTTCTCATCTGGATCCCATATCGTCAAGTTTACGGACAAATCCAAGGAACAATCGTCAACAGCGAACCCAAGTCAGCTCCAGAAGCAGGAGACTTCTGTCACACATCTTCAAGGAGCTATTGTAGCTAGCTACGGCTTTCACGCAAGTCTTGTCCACGAGAGTGACACACCTGAATATCGTGTCCACGGCGATAAGCGGTTCCATATGGTCGCTGAAGGGCTTCTGAAGGAGTCTCACCCATATGTTGCAAAAGTGTCTATTCGACGTCGAGGTTCTGTTACGTTTGAGGATATTCCTCGTGAGTCACATGCCTATGTGCTCACAGCTCTGGTATCGAATATGGAGCGAAAGTTCGCCATTTCGCCTGCTACTAAACCATTGCAATCACAGCTTAGACTTGTACATTTCGGACCAATTGGTGGGGAGCGGACCATGAGTGTCATGATGAAGGCGTACGACGAGGGTAGTCATGTTGGTATGCAGTGGTCTGATGGAGAAAAGGTTGGCTATGATGAAGTCGATGAAGTCAAAATCTCGGTTCTGGAGAAGGATGAGAGATGGCGGAAGGTGTGCATCGACGGGACTATCGTTGAGATACCTGAAGGTGGAAGTATGAGTATCAAGATGCTTGACCATAGTCTCTTTAAGATTCTGGCAAGCCCTGTTGTTTTAGAGAGCCGTGAATAGGCCTGAACCTAGACTATATACTCAGGAATGCTCTACATGCACCTCAATAAATATCCTCTAGTCTTGAAGCAGCTTCTTGACCCTCTTCTCCATCAGCCGTTCAAACTCATCCACGCCATTCTCCAATGTATCCATCTTACCACCCTTCAACCTGTACACAATTCGTCTTCGCATGACTTCCTCATCGTCATCATCTTCGTCTGTTTCTTCATTCTCATCCACCGCACCCTCAATCACGCCTCGCATAAACCATCGGTCGTGACTAACCAAAATCACTGCACCCTCCCAATCTCTCAATGCTTCTCTCAATGCAGTCACGGTCTCGTAATCAAGATGAGTCGTGACTTCATCCAGAACAAGACAATGGGGCCGTCGCCAGAGGAGACGAGCAAGCTCACAACGCACCACTTGTCCTCCTGAGAGTTTACACAGGGGCACGTCAGATGCAATTCGACCTGGAAGACCAAGTTGGCCTAAAAGACCGCGGAGATCCCCTTCTGTGAGTTCACCTTCAACTTCGCGAGTGAGAAGAGCGAGAGCTGTGAGGGCTGGTTCTTCACGACCGAGAGACTGCAGTGCCTCAACGGCATGTTGAGAGTAGTATGCCAGCTTCAACCGGGGATGCGTATTTAGAGTTCCAGATGTAGGTCGAGTTTCACCAACGAGGAGTTTGATGAGTGTCGACTTGCCCGCTCCGTTGAGGCCAAGAATGCCAATACGATCTCCCATGCCAACAGAAAGAGTGATATCCTGGACAACAAGTGGTGTCTTGGCTGAATACCGGAACAAAACCTTCTCGAGAGAGATCAGAGCGCCAGGGAAGCGCAGGTCAGGTGGTTCAGGAAGATTCACCACGACGGGGCGGTCTTCCGGCGGAATATCGATATCATCACGCGCAGTCAAGTGAAAGCCAGCAAGATCTCGATTGAGCTTGAAACGACCGCCCCTGGCGTTGACTTGCAACCCCCAGCGGTTATCAAGCTTCTTCTGACGAGACTTAGCCTGACGGAGTTTGTTGGTATCGTCATTGGCCTTGCCAGCTTTCATGTTGGCAGCGATGGACTTCTCAATATGCGCTTTTTGCTTATCCTGAGCTTCTTTCATGGTGGTGAGCCATTGTTTGCGCTCACTTTGCGATGCTTCGTAAGTAGGAAAATCGCCATGGAAGTAAGTAAGTTGCTTGTCTTTGAGGATGAGCAGATCGGTGCAAAGAGAGATGAAGTCGCGATCGTGCGATACGAGAATGAGGGTTGGTGGGTTCTCTGTTTCTTCCAAGTTCTGGAGATAGCGTTGCAACCAGATGATTCCTAAGAGGTCGAGAAAGTTGGTAGGCTCATCAAGGATTAGGATGTCAGTTTCCTGAACCAAAGCCGTGGCTAGAGAAGCACGCATGTGCCAACCACCAGACAAACTTGAAATGGGTTTCTGGATAAGAGTTTCAGAAAAGCCCAATCCAGTCAGGATCTTCTTAGCCTTAGACTCAATCTCTGATACACGAGTTGGATCGACCTGTAGTTGAAGATCGGCTAGCATATCGACTGCTTCTTGGGTCTCAGCTTGAAGAGTCTCGGGTGAAATATCCTCATTGGATTGTCCCAACCTATGAAGAATTAGATATAGTAATGAAAGATGGAAGGAACGTTTTACATCTCATTCGACTCAGCTACGACCTTTTCGAAGGCAGTGAGTGCCTTGCGAGCTTGCATTCCGCGAGCACCACTGCGAAGCCGAGCATCTTTATCGAGACGGAAGAGACGCTCTTGGTGCTTTCTGTGCTTCAAATGCCTCAATGCTCTGACTGGAGTAAAGGGGTCAGAACCATTTATTCCTTCTGTTAGATCTGCATAAAGAATTAGACAAGTTAGTGGTTGAAATGGTAGATGGAGTACCTTTGATATCCTGTTCGATGGCATGTTTGGCTGTAGCTTTTTCGATGACTTGTTCCAGCACAGATGCTTTGTCGCCATTGTTGGTATCGGGTTTCTCCTCGGACTTTTCATCAGTCAGTCTAGTTTGCTGTAAAATAGCAATCCTAGTCTCTTCTGGGATGCCTGGGATGAGTTTCTCGGCGATGGCTTTGAGTAGTGCTGGGTTATCACTGTTAGCACCTCATCAACAACAATATCATGCAAACTTTCTTACTAGACTTTCCAGTTCCATTACGCCCAACAAGAGCATATCGTTGGCCTTCCTTAAGTCGAAGTTTGGCCCCAGCGAGAATCTCAATGCCCTCGCCCTTTGCCTTTGCTTTTCCCTTGCCAGAAGGTTTGTCGCCTGAAGTCACGGTGATGTTGACTCCATCAATATCAAGCTATCCATGGTAAGTAGGGAATGGGTGATGAATCGGTGACAAACCTCGCGATGATTGGTGATTTGAAAGCGCGTCTGTTTGGAGCTGCAGAGAATAGTCGCTACAGATTCAGAGGCTGCCGACGTCATAACGGAGGTTAAAGAATTGAATAAACCGACAGGAATAGTATACACGATCTAAAATACCAAAGCTGAACGAACTTGAGTTAAAGATGCAAGCGCTGTAAGTCGAAGCTGCCCTGAAAACAAGGCTTGATGATATTGATGAATTGGTCTTATTTATTAATTCTTCAACAATCGGGGGATCTACATGCACAGTGTATAATTTCGATACATTTTTCTTGGCTGAAAACTTTAGTAGTTGCGCTATTCGCATTCCCTATTCGTATGCGACTGTTTGCTCGAATTGTCGCCTCTAGTGCGGTTGAAGTGCCACACCATTTGTGGTGTTACAAGTCAGTGACTCACGCCGAATGACTTGGCTCAACTCGCAATTACATGCACTTCTCCACGCTGCAATTAAAAGGAACATCAATTTTAGAAGAGAAATGGCGCTCTGACTGACTTTATATAATTGTGGTGCATGCTTGAGTCATACTTCCTTGTCCTTCCTTACGTAGTTTGAGTTGCATGTATCTCTATCTCATGAGAACTTGTTGTTCTCAGGTTGATATTTACCCTATTATCCTCGGATTACTACAGTGATTAAACCACCTTCCTAATTCTGCCTCTCCTGTCTTATCACTTACGGCCAGGGTATTCGCCAAATAAATAACAAACACTCACTTCCCCCTTGGCTCTCTTATTTCTTCTTTTTGCAACTTCGCTCGCTATCTCAAAATGAACTCTTCCGAGAATCTGTGCACTTTTTCCGTCGATGCTTCTTTCGGGCCCTTTGTTGGCCCTGAATGTCGCGATGGCTTCGACTTCACTCTCGTCTTTGAACAATCCATTCTTGTGCTGTCTCCAGCCGCTCTTCTTCTCATCCTCGCTCCTGTTCGTCTTTTTCGTCTTCGGAATGTCCCCGTCAAGGTCACTGGCTACCGTTTTCGAACTGTCAAATTGGCGTTGATCGCTCTTTTGGCTGTGCTTCATCTCGTGCTCGTTGTGCTCTGGGCTACGCGCCCTTCCAATTCGCGTCTAGATCGCGTCTCTGTCGCTGCTGCATGTGTATCCTTTGCTTCGAGCTTGATGTCCTGTGTCCTCTCTCGTGCCGAACATGCCAAGTCCCCTCGTCCATCGTCTCTCTTGAGTCTGTTTCTCGCCGTGTCTTTGCTCCTTGATGTCGCGCTCCTTCGCACCCTCTGGCTTGTCCCCATGAGCACGGCCATTCCAGCTGTTTTCACAGCGGCCTTTGCTCTGAAAGCGATTATTGTCGTTTTTGAAGGGTGGAGCAAAGCTCCGTACCTTGTCGCCGACTCCGGGCCCCACTCTCCCGAAGTCACGGCCGGACTGTACGCCCGAGCCGTCTTCGCGTGGGTGACTCCGTTGCTGCTGACGGGATTTCGAAAGCTTCTACGGCCGATGGATCTGTTTGAGTTGGACGAGGAGATGGGCTCAGCGGCACTGATTGACGGGTTTTGGAAGCATTGGCATAACCAGAAAGGTTTGTCCATTCTCCCCTTCTTAGATAGCCATATAGTATTATACTTTAAACTCTTCTGTGATGTCCATGTACTAAATGCTGGCTTAGCTCCGGCTCGCAAACACCGGCTGATCTCATGTTGCGTCATGACACTGCGATGGTCTATCATCGCTGTTGTTCTTCCTCGCCTGGCGCTTCTGGCATTCACTATATGCCAACCACTCATTCTCAACCGACTGCTGGTGTTTCTCGACGATATTTCTCAGTCTATCAACATTGGTTACGGTATCATCGCAGCCTACGGTCTTGTTTACTCCGGTATTGCGCTTTCACAAGCCCTTTATTGGCATCGCAATGCTCGGTCTGTCACATTGTTGCGTGGAGTGTTGGTGTCTGCCGTGTTCTCCAAGGCTACCGATCTGAGTATCACAACAACAGACGATTCAGCGGCGGTGACGCTCATGTCCTCTGATGTAAGGACTCTTTTACCAAATCATGTGTTGGACTAACTATTTGATAGGTCGATGTTATTGTGAGGGCCGTTAGAGAGATCCACGAGTTCTGGGCAAACATCATACAGCTTGCCATAGCTACTTGGCTACTGAGCACTCACGTAGGCTATGCTGCTGTAGGTCCCATTATAGTGTCGCTCGTTGCGCTCATTGCTACGGTTCTCGTTTCGCCTCTGGCGCGCAAGTATCAGATGTCTTGGTTAGACAAGACACAGAAACGAGTTGGTCAGTTATAAATATTCTAATCTGTCAAAACTTACTAATGCCGGCCAGGTATCACTTCTGCCATGATTGGACACATCAAGAGCATCAAATGTTCAGGCCTAGCTCAAAACCTGTCTGACACCATCCTCAACCTCCGAGCAGATGAGATCAAAGCCTCGAGACCATTCAGGATCGTCAGCAGTGTCACGTCCGCAATTGCTCAAGTCCCTTTACTCATGTCTCCTGTCGCGGCATTTGCTCTCTTCCAAGGGGTTGCCTCGAATTCCGGCGAGACACTCGATGCCACTAGACTTTTCTCCGCCCTGTCCCTAATCATTCTCCTGGCACAACCACTTTTCTTTATGTTTGAGGTAATTCTTGACATGAGTGCTGCTTTGGGCGCCTTTGAAAGAATCCAAATATTTTTGACTCAAGAGTCTCAAAGAGATTCTCGCCAACAACAATCAGTTGTGGAGTTGAACGCACCTGATCAAGGAAACAGAGACTCTATCGAGCTACGAATGCTGAGAGAACCCTCATTGACATCTGCAGCAAACTCCAGTATGAGCGATGTTGTTATCCAAGTCTCCGACGCCAATATCTCGTGGTCAGAGGATCGTGTCATTCTTCGAAACTTGTCACTTGCCGTGGGCCGCAACCAGCTTGTCCTACTTCTCGGCCCAGTTGCGAGTGGCAAAACCACTCTACTGAAAACGCTTCTTGGAGAGGTTCCCAATATAACTGGATCAATTGATATTCATAGTAAGGGGATTGCCTGGTGCGAGCAAAGTCCTTGGCTCCTGGTATGCCTACCCGATATTTTTACTTGTTCCCAAGCTAACATGCCAGAACCGAACAATTCGTGAAAACATCATCGGCTACTCGCACTTCGACCCTGTTCTATACCAAGCCGTTGTTAAAGCTTGTGATGTAGAGAAGGATTTCAGACAACTTACCCAGGGTGACAGCACCGTTATTGGCAGCAAGGGGCTGGCCCTCAGTGGAGGTCAGAAGCAACGAGTTGTAAGTCAAGACCAAGGGAGTAATCGGCTATATACTAACTAAATAGGCATTGGCCAGAGCTGTCTATTCAAAACCTCGGATTGCTCTCTTCGATGATGTCTTTAGTGGACTGGATGGCCAGACTGCCCGTACTGTGTTCGAGAACCTCTTTGGCGAACGTGGTTTGCTGAGGCAGTGGAATACGACAACTGTTCTTGCGACTCAATCGGGTATAACACTCCAAGTATTTCTCAAACATACTCGCTAACGGGATCATAGTTGACTTTCTATCGTCTGCTGACCACATCATTTGTCTTAACAAGGATGGGAAAATCTCCGAGCAAGGCACATTCTCTGATCTCAAAGACACTGATGGCTATGTGCACTCCTTACTGAGAGACAGGGTTCATGGGGTTGAAGCTCCGACGCTTGAAACTGACGATATCAAAGAACAGGCCTCCAAGCTAGCACAAGAGACTCCAAAACAACAAGCCAATGAAGAAGATACACGCAGACAACGTGGGGACTCGACTGTATATCGATACTACTTCAGCAGCACTGGTGGTCTTTTTATGATAGTCCTTCTGGTACTCGAGATCATCTGGGCTTTTCTAGAAAGCTTCCCAAGTTTGTCACCTGGCATCCAGTTACTGTTCGAGATACTGACATAGACTAGCAATTTGGCTGAAATTTTGGACTGATGACAATGCGAATGGAAACGATCAAGCGGGTTACTACCTTGGTATCTATGCCGCTCTTCAGGTTACCGCAGTCATCTGGTTTGCAGTTCTTATATGGTACTCTATACAGATTCTCGTCGCACGTACTGGATACTGACTGTAGCAGGTTTGTCATTGTCCTGGTAGCGGCAAAGTCTGGAATAACTCTGCACAAGAGACTGTTATCTACAGTAATCAGGTAGGTCTATGGATTGACGTAAGAATGGACTGTCAACTAATCCTCCTAGGGCACCTTTGTCTCTCTTTACCACGACAGACCTGGGGTCAATCACAACACGGTAAGCTGATATCGCAGGAGTAGTTTCGAAAGCTAACACACGGAGGTTCTCGCAGGATATAGGAATGGTAGACAAACAGCTCCCCCTTGGTCTCGTTGTGACTCTCGCCAGTAAGCCAAGGCCCCGGCTCATCAACTAAATGCTTTACTAATAGAATAGGTTTCTTCGGTGCCATCGCCAAAGCCGGCCTCCTTGCCTCTTCAAACCCCTATATAGCAGCTACATTCCCTCTCCTAGGAGCTGTCTATTTCTATCTTCAACGTGGTTATCTCCGTACCTCTCGTCAGCTCCGTCTGCTCGATCTCGAGGAGAAAGCCCCTCTATACACCCAATTCCTCGAAACGCTCTCTGGTCTAGCAACAATACGAGCCTTCGGATGGAACGATGCAGTTATTCAGGCCAACCACACTCTCGTAGATCGCTCACAGAGGCCTTTCTATCTCCTCATGATCGTCCAGCGTTGGCTCGTCCTCGTCCTCGACCTGACCACCGTAGCCCTGGCTCTTCTTCTCGTTGGTCTCGCGGTTCGTCTTCGTGGGGAAGTCGACGTAGGTTTAACGGGCGTATCTCTCGTGCAGCTAATCTCGTTAAGTGAGACCGTGAACATGCTTATTCAGTTCTGGACTTCTATCGAGACATCCATCGGTGCTGTAGCTCGCATTAAGCAATTCGCTGAAGAGACTGGCGAGGAGAACTTACCAGGAGAGACACACCAGCCGCCAGCCCAGTGGCCTGACAAAGGAGCTATACAGATCCACAACTTGACTGCATCGTATGGTGACGGAGACGGAGAAGTTATTAAAGCTCTTGATGCAGTCAGTTTGGAGATCAAGGGAGGGGAGAAGGTAGGTATTTGCGGTCGCACAGGAAGGTCAGTATTTTCACCCCAATGCCTCTCTCGCTCTGACCGTCTTTTGTTCACAGTGGAAAATCATCTATATTTCTTGCTCTTCTCAGACTACTAGACTCTACGTCTGGCAGTATAATTATCGATGGGATCTCTCTATCTTCTGTTCCTCGAGAAACGATCCGTAGTCGTCTCATCACTCTGACGCAAGACCAGTTCGTACTCCCCGGCACGGTTCGACACAACGTTGATCCGCTTGGTATCTACTCCGACGTGGAAATCAAAGAGGCACTTCGTCTTGTTGAACTATATGATTCGATCGAACGACATGGGGGCTTGGATGCTTCGTTTGATCAAGACACGTTGAGCCATGGGCAGAAGCAGCTCTTCTTCCTGGCACGGACAGTGCTGAGGAAGAACGACGGGAGAATCGTTCTTCTGGATGAAGCAACGAGCAGGCAAGCCGAACAAACGATGCAACTACGAGCTAAGGAACTAATAGAGCCATAGTGTGGACCAAAAGACAGAAGAGACCATCAAGGCCGTCATCGAGAGCGAGTTCAAGGACCACACCGTCGTGTTTATCACCCACCGTCTGGATACGATCATCGATTTCGACCGCGTAATTGTGATGGACAAGGGATGCGTCGTCGAGGTCGGTGAACCAAAGAGTCTCCTTGCATCAGATGCCAAGTTCAAAGCTCTCTGGGCAACCGGACATCGATCTGGAGAATGATTCACCGGCAGACAAATGCTGGGAGACAATGCGCATCCTTTTATGAGTTTACTGTCTATATATCATCTAAGCTGTCGCGTTCTACGACAATAAATCTTCCCTTGCCTGCTCTCATGGTTCTAATGTGCCTTTCGACATCCTTGGCCGTTTGAACTCCCTCTCGATAACGCAATCTCTCAGATGGCATTGCATCAGGACCAGGCGTCCACCCTGTATAGAGCCGAAGCTCAGTGATCTTGCCCCAATGATCGGCCCAGTTGACAAAATCATGCCCAGTTTCGGCCATCAGTGCAGGGAACCAAGGGCAGCAACCTGTGAGGTCAAGAAACTCGAGCGCATAGAGATTCTTACTCAGCATGCGCAATACGAGTAAAGCCTCACTCCAATCGTGATCAAGTGAATGTGAATAAAGGTTCGTCCCGCCATAGGTATAACGACCTTGCGGGCTCGATACGGTGGCCAGGCGAGACCTCGGTGTTAAGCATGGTTCGGGCCAGTAGGCCAGACTCAAATGCGTGAGCGTGGTAAGCTTGGGAGACAGGGAAAGCAGCTGCTTCCATGATGCGGATGAGGCATGTCCGGGATGCAGGGCGAGTGAAAGGTGGGTGAGGTTGGGCAGCAAAGTTCGGGGAGGGCTTGGAATACTCTCGGAAACGTCCCAGGATTCCTGTAGTTCTGTCGTAGGTTGATCTTCTCTGGCAGGGAATAACAAGTCACTGATCTCTTTCAGTTTAATTGACCGGCATGCGGAGCCCGAAAGATCGAGGTAGTTTACTTCAGGATTCGAAGCTGTTAAACTATCCAACTCCGTCTCATCAAAAGTGTCTGGCGGCGGTAGCAGAATGAGCTTCAGATCACTCAACGACAGCCCAGCTTCACTGGCAATTCCAACATAGCGGATCAGAGCTGCCTTCAAATGGTTGGGCACAAAGTACAGATGGTACTGATTGTACACTCTGTGGAAAGCCCACTCGTATGCGAGTTTCTGCAGCACGATGTCTATCAGACTCCCACGCTCCGGGAGATAAGTCCCCGGCAAACAAGTATCTTCCAATCCTCTTGTCTTCAAGCGCGACTGGCTCATGGAGGAGGCCTCATGAGCAGCATCCGATGAATTGCGGGCGACCCAACTCCTAGGCGGAGGAGGGCCAGCAGGGAGTCTCCTGCCATTGCCATCGAATCTCTGACGGGCAAGACGGCGAGGAGCGGGGGCCGGTGTGTCTGGGATCTGGAGTATCTCTCTGATGGCCGGGGGTACACTGGGAGCAGCAGCAGGCAGGGCTGACTGCGAGGTGGAGGAGGGGCTGATCGAGGTACGACGCAGGTTTGCTAGCAACTCATTGACGCTTCGGGAGGGCCTGTCTGCTGCGTATTACTTGTGAGACTTTGGCTACCACGCGGTTTGAAGATATGGGGAAGAAGGAGGGGTGGTTTGAAGGGAAGCGAACCGAGAGGTGGCCGGACGCCGGACGAATAAGAGGAAAGCAGAGGGAGGGGTGTGTGCTTGTGTCAGTCCAGCTGCACAGACATGATTGTACAGCACAGAATAGCAAGCAAGCACTGCAGCACTCACCAGAACTATTCGTCGATGTTGACGCAGTCGGAGAAGCCGTTGAGACTGGCTTGAAGGACTTGATGTTGTTCCTTTTCTTCGGCATGCCCGGGACAAGCAGTGCACTTCTCTCTACTGCTGCTGCTGCGCTGAAGCTGGAGGAGTGAGAAGAGAGTCAATCAGTCAATCGAGGTGCGACGACGCTATGAGGGTATTTGTCTATTTGTCTAGGACCGTGTATCAGTCTCGATGAGTCAAGCAAGTACCGTAGACGCCCATCGTCTGCCTAATTCTGAGTCTCGCGTGGCAGTGAGTGAGTGATTGAGTGATTGAGGGAGTGAGGGAGGGAGGTAGAGTGGGAGCCCAGTTTGACCGAGAAATGATGAAGGATCGAAAGAGTCATCATCAATGAATGGGTCCCTCATGAGTCCTCAGGTAACCAACAATTACGTCTGTTTTTCGCCCATGACGGCAGTTCCAAGCTGGTCTTAGTGTCCCCACAGGCGCCAAGCCACTGCCGATGAGCGCTCACAAGTCATCGGACCCCTGTTGCCCTGATAGTGGATGACTGTCCACTGGACATGAATGAGCTTTCGGTATGGTACCTTCTGGTAGGTAAGTAGAGTACCTAGAAAGACACGAGTTGAGTCGAATATTGATAGACTAGATGATATCGGCAGATTTGTCAGAACCATGACAAACTCGGATGGATCACAGGATTGCCAATATTGATCATTTGATAAACTTCCCCAATGGAGTTGCTATAGTAAGGTAGCTATCAAGCAAAGATACGCCCATGCACCCCATGCCTCACTTTCACTTATTCGGTATAAGACAATGGAAATGGATTCGATAATCCATGTAAACCTGAATCACCGCCAAAGCCCAAACAATAACGCATGGTCTCTAATCTTGTTTGTTTGCTTGTTTGTACTCAGTAAGCCAGCCCTTTCATGGATCATTCAGGACCAAATGCATATGCAATGAAATGCCATGTAATAACTGCACTCTATTGCCGTGGCTTGTCAAGACAAAAGCCCCACCGGCCGGCGATGATGTGCATAAGGCATGGATGCCCACCTACTCACCTCGACTTACACGACTGCGCTGAGGTGGTCTAGGATTGATACGGACGCTATTACAATGTACCAATCGCCGATCTGAACTGTACTCACCCTTGAAATGGGGTCTATTATTATCTTGCATCAGAATATCCGATACCTCGTCTATTGGTCTCTACCTAGGTAGCTAATGCAATGCAAGTCATGAGCATGTCAGTCAAATTATTTCGCAAAGAATCTGATACAGAAGTTGTCAACGGTCTCAAATGTGTGCGTACAGGTCGGAGCAAGGATCTTGGATAGACTGTCCGGATACCTGCATGCCTCAAGAGTTGGAGCATCAGCCTGAGAACTGCCGCTACATCATCCTGCAATTTCTGTTGGTCATCTAATCATAGAAACAGTTATCTGTCACCGCTACTTGTCTTGGCCATGTTTTCTTACCCCAGAGACTAGTGCTTCAGAAAGCGATGCTACTAAGGTAAGCTCGGCAGTTCTTCGTTGCCTCCCTGGGGTTAACGATGGGATATCCATCCTGGATGTAATGGATCAACGGTTCCTGAATCGTTTGAGCGCTCATCGGCAAGGCGCCACCGCGAACTATGGACAGCTGCGTGCCAAGTTTCATCCAGGGAGCTGGAGGGTTGCACAACCTCCTTCGCCACCAAAGTTATATGCTCCTGGGCAGGGTTATCAATGGCCATGCTTCAGACTATACCGTCATGCCCCTGTTAAAGAGAGAAATGATTGTTTGTTGGTATTATCACAAAGTGGCAGCTGCCCGTTGCTAGTGATGACCGGTGAGCAACAGCCGAATCATGCTGATTGGAAGTAATCTCATTTCAACCTGGGGTACCGTAAAGTTATCAATTCTGATAGGCACCCCATGATGAATACTCTATCACAACATTCCGAAAGCAAACCATGAAGACATATGAAGCTCTTATCGAGGGCCTGTACCTTGGTCCAGTTTGCCTTGCCAGAATGCTGCAATTTCCCCCGGTTCATGATTAATTGGTTACCAAATTAACATTTATTTGTACTCCCGAGTTTTTCCATGTCTCACAGAAAGACCTTTTCAACGAGACCTTGGCTGTCGGCTCATGCTCGAACTGCGGAAGGCTCAGTATCAGGATCCCATCGCGGCTCCAGGAGCAGCATCCGGTAGAGGAACACCGCAGAGGGTCCACTTGTTGGTCAAGGCCTCCTTTTTGCTTCAACTACATACACTTCGAGGTTAGCTCTTGTTGGGTTTGACAAGATGCTCAATTGGGAAACCAGAAGCGAACAAATTTGGCTAATCAGCCCAATTTGAAGCAAAAGACGGCTATGCGGTCCCGAAGAATCCAGCAAGTATTCTCCGGCGTTCCCTCATGCCAGGAGTGATGATGAAATGAATATTGGCAATTGTATCGAGATCTGATAATGAGACCTGTTGGAAGAGTGGTAAGAAGGGACGCCCAGTCAGTTGAGTGTAGCGATATTAACCCTGGACATGTCCGAGTTACTTACAGAGAACCAGAAAGACTGTTGGTCTGGGGTAGAAAAGAAAACCCCCTTTACAAATGGAATAACTTCACTTAGATGAAGGGATAATCCTGGATTAGGGCATCTAAAAATTCTTCGATTACTCTCCAGTTATTACCGTTTTTGGCTCGAGACAGCGGCGTCTTATCTATACCAAGGGGCTACAGCCAAGTGAAAGAGCTCCCTCTGCCTGAAGTTGACCCAGCGAATGCCGGTTCTACAAAATCACAAGGGGGGTATAGGGTGAATCCTTTCATACAGATGTTCTTCATGCAAAAGGCTTATCCCGATTAGGAGTAGAATAGCTTGACTGCAGGGCGGATTTTGAGGTGGGAGCTCATGTCAAGTAATCTTCATTGTCTCTCCTCCAAGAATCTGTCTTGATTCTGCATCCATTAAGTTATGTGTGACCCAATAACGACCTCGTGCGTTCTTGTTCTCAAGAGGATGTCAGTGTGTTACTACAGATCGTAAGCCCCCTTCGCTGACAGATGCCTGTTCAGCATTTGTCGAAAAGTACATTCTGGTCATCTGAAGCCTCTTTACCGTATGAAGCGCCTATACCACCTGTCAGATTTCTTTGTCCACTTTGAGATTACCAACAAGGCAGGCGATGGTAATCTCCGCCTGTACTGTAATTCTTAGTCTGTCCCTGATGTAACAGAGTCAAAAGGTTAAAGAACCTTTGTAACGACTCCACTGGTGCATGTCGTGAACCAACAAAAGCCTCACTTTGGCGCTAATATCATGACTTAAGTAGAATGTTCGAAGAACGTGCTTTAGGCAACGAGATAAAGTCCGTTCTGCTGGGTGTCTGCACCTGCATAGGACAAAGCACTAAGTGATCAAGTGCTTCACAGGTTGTCAGTATTGAGTTTCAGACCATTCAATCGGGATCGAGAAGTTTAATCAAGGCTCCCCATTGGATACGTGAGAATTCAATGGGCAATCTCGTCCAGGGCATACGTAGGATCTTCACAGGGGACGTTGAGGCACATGTACCTTAAGATTAACTCACATAAGGAAGGTGCAATAAAGATGACTTGAGTGGATCAAGCGGGGAGCCCACACCGTTGGCCTCTGACAAGCGGCAGTCGAAAGGCAATATGGGGGCGCTGAATGGCGGGGCATCTAGTTAGTATCGTACCGGGCCTTCCAATTTCCATGGTATGGCCGTGTCAGCCAATAGCATTACAAAGCTCTTGGCTTAGACAGGGAAAGAGGCCATGTGGGAGATGGGGAAGGCTCGACCGGTCAAGGATAACTGCCCCGTGCGTGACAACTTCGCTTGTTGCCGCCTTTCAACCCCATCCTCAGACCTCAACCTCCACTAAGAGCCAACCTGGACTTGAGTGTCCAGTCCCTCCACCCCATGCAATACGCTCGCATCTTCCACCAAGACAGGACAATTATGGCGCGCTCATTACGTACCTCTAATGATTTCTCCCACCCAGATTACGGTCCCTTTGCGGCCTTTCACCATCTGCCTTCCGAGCTTTGACCCAGCGGCAACGAACGTTTCATCCGCCATGATCATTGCAGCTCTGATCAAGATCAGGACTACCTACGCACGAACACTACCCTACCTTAGCATCGGGTTGACCAGAGGGCTGGGTCCAACCTGGCTGGTATTGCACCCAAATTAGCACTGGCTCAGATGCGTTGCACACAAAGCCTGCCAGCCCTTGTTCATTTGTTCCGTCCTTCAGCCCGCATTCATCAAATTTCAAGGATTATTGACCTTGGATCCAAAAATGCACATGAACAGAGTTTTATGTCTGCTGTTCAAGCTCACATACGTAGAGGCCGATGCTGTTATTGGCAGTTCCAGCCTCAACCTCCTTGTCTGTTGGTGCAACACCCTCCTGTAGCTTGGGGTGCACCACTGACCTGCCTCTTTGCCTATGGTGTCGATTTACTGCCATCACTGCCGCTGATGTCGTTGCCGTGCGCTGCATCACTCACAGTACACTCCTGCTTAATGATTTTGTATCACTTTCTCGCTGCAGCGTGATTGTGCCATCACCAGCCTCAATCAGCATTCTGCGGCAGCAAAAGGAAGGTTGATCGACTTCAGAGTCTGGAAATAGCCATATGTCACATTCCACAGAGATCTAACTGGAATCGCGCCGAACGGTTCAAACTTTCTGGTCTCAGCTATTGCAAATGCGCGCGCTTGGTGCTTGTAGCTGTTCTTTCAACGGCTTTAGTTCCACCACCCCTTTGACTACAACAATAACACCGCGGGCCACAACCGTTGGTCTGAAAGATACTCTTGATGGACGGCCCGGTCCGACTCAAATTCGACCTTCATTCTCATTCGCCATGCTTTCGTTTACTCGTACCGTCGGTCTCCTTCTCATGACCAACCATGCTTTAGAAGACAAAGCAATGACATGTTGTCTTTTTCAACGATCCCTCCAAATTGCAAGCACCAAGTATGCTCTGTATGCTCTTAGACGTCCAATGTGAACATCGAACGCGACGACGCTGCTACTGATGTCGGCATCAGCATTGTACCAACCAAACCAAGCCCTGCTAGACGGGAACCGACACCGAAATCAGATTTGCTACGATGATGCTTTATGGAGAACACGAAAGCTTACAGCCTGTCATTCTGCTAGTCAACGATCTCTCCCGCGTCTTTTTCTGGGCAAGCTAATCAGCCTTTGGACCATGATATGGACCTGCGCCGCCCCTCCTCATCACTTCGGGTACGGAGGTGTCTTATTGGCCCACCGACAATCTACGCAATCATCAACGCCCCCTTCGGAACTACTGATCGTGAATTCGATGGCCCTTTATTTCGACCTGGTCCACATGAGCCTTCGGCATTGCCCTGGCCTGGTCATAGCATTAAGCCCCCAACCACTAAGTCGTTAGCCATCGTCCCCATACATCTCGGTCTCCTGCTGTCCCAGCAGTGTTATGCCGCATCCGCTGTGCGTGGAGGTGAAACCTTTCTTCGGCCTCACGTGTCGTTGTGTAAGGACGACTGGGGCCTTCAAAGCCTGAAACATAGCCTGGGCATCTGACAGAGGCCCGTCGATCTTTCTTCGCCCTACTCTACAAAAGTATGTCAGGCATCAGATGTCATGGCGCCAGGGTTGAAAGCCACCCAGCCGTCAAAGTGCGTGGATGGGACTGACAAGAAGCGAAAGCTTGAATGTTGAGGGTGGCATGCCAATCATGGTTGGTTGGTGCCTTGATCGCTTGGCGACTGTGCCTGTATCCCTGGCCGCACTTGGATGTGTGTAAAATTTCCGAACAAAGATGGACCTAATTGTCGATCATTGCGTCAATTGTATTGTTATCAAGCAGACGGTTCTCGCCGCTGCTTTTCCCCATGTCTGTTCTAGGTGGGGGGTTTCGACGCATCTCGACTTCGTATCATAGACAAGTCTGCCCACGAATCAGGCACTTCGATCTCAATGGCTGGCTTTTGTCCCTCCACCGTACAAACCTGGGCTGCCCTGCGGTGTTCCGTCTATGGCGTCTTTCTCGTCAAAGCAGGACCTCTTCCAATCATAGTCGTGCTTGTGGCGTATCGTAGAAGCATTGACGGCCGGGTACTTGCATACTCATGCACTCGTACTGGCGCCAGGAGTGGACTGTAATGGTCTTCAGGCTCAGGGCAGCGTCCAAGGCCGTCCCTCACTTGAAGTACCAAGACTACAACTGCCGCTTTGTTATGTCCTGAGGCTGATATCTGCGTCCGCTCTTCAAGGAGCGACGAACCAACTACAAGCATGCAATGAATTGGACACTACCGATCGTGACTAGACTCGGTGGATGCATCTTGTTCTCGGCGGTCAATATTCGCTGCCGTCTTGCGGCCCGTGAGCTCAATCGGGAATGAATCTAGGCAGGGCTCTCAAGACCTTTGCTTGGTCCAGATAGCGAGAATCGTGGAGGATTTGCAGCATAGCCCTGCACTTGCACGCGGCTTCCTGCTTCTAATTGTTACCGTGGGCTCCGTTAACATCGCGGATCTCCACTGCTGCCAGTCTTTTGCAGTTGGGCCATCCATTACATCACCATGGCATGGCCGAAACAATTTTGGCTATCTATGAGATGTTCAGAAGTCTATCATTTCATTAGTATTGGGGCTTCTGAGCTCTCCATAACTTGTATGTCCTTCCCGTTGTCTCAGGCTCTGCGCAACCTCAAGTCTTCCCCCATTCAAAGCCCCTGCCCCCAGCCGGTGACCCCGAGTCTACTGTTGTTTCTTCGAGACTTTCGGCAGGCTTCCTTCTTAGGACCTAGCTCCTTCATTGTCTGCTTCTCACTCAGTCCTGTGCTACATGTTCTCATAATCACCCCCTAGAGCCTCTCGATTCTTAGTTCTCAGTTCATTCCTGTACGATCCAAAGTCAGCCACCATCACTTGAAATCTAAGCGCGGGTATATAGACAGCCAGATCCTGCACTCGTGCGGTTGTGTCTTGTCTACAGCTGTTATCTCTGGCAGTTCACCTTTTTAACACTGCACTTGTTCTTTGTGACACCATTTGTCCAGCGATACCATCACCCGACCCGAGACCGAAGAGAGCAACATATATCGAACAACTTATTTGTCGAAAGAAAAACAAAACACGACAGTGTTTACTCAGTCTACTGAGTAAGGCAAGGGTGAGACACGACTATTGTTTTCGACTCCGATGCTCATGATCAACCCCCGATATCATTACCACCCTCATTCTAAATACGACTGAGGAGCCCTAAGCTATCAATTACTTAAAACTCGCTCAACTTATCGGCTCTTGAAGTCGGGACTAACTTCTTCTCGGTTCGTTTGTCGATGCTTGTTGATGAAGTCCCGCCTCTGAGCTAGACTGGACTGTTCCATGATGTTGCCGGATATCGCCTCCGAGTCTATGAATACATAACCCTATACAGCATATATCGAGGAGTTATCAGGAAGGAAATAGGGTACAACGGCTCATTCTTTGACAGAAGCTGCTGACCCTTGTAACTGACCTCTATGTCTCCGAGCCGAGGGCACTGTTTGCTTATTCAATACCCCATCTCACATCTTAACGACTGGATTGGCCTCAATCTTGATGTGGAACGCAATTTGAAGCTGATACAAGTGCAGAATTAGGCTCGAGAAACAACAAGAACGCGGGTGCCGATGCCCTGGTGATTAGCAACAGCTGTACTTAAATCAGGCAAGTGGCTCCCTTTGTTTCGACGTATGCGGTATACAATTCACAATGGGCAGAGATAGCCATTTCTGATAAATTGTTATTCAACCCAAGCTAACTATGAAGACTTTAGTCGGGTGCATGATCCGTCCGACTATCCCGCTTGAAGTGTTATTCACTGAATGACGGAGGCTGTGTTGTCTGCCTAAAAGTGCGCATGAGTTCTCAAATTCCCAAGGTAAGATCATTTAGTACTGGCCCAGGCGTATCCAGAAGTCTCTTCTGCGCTTGTGCCTTTTAGGGCTCGGCCAGCTAGCACTGTTGGAATGGCAGGTTACATACGAAAGACCGAGTGCTTCATCTGTGGCTCCGCAAGTCAAATGGTATGTGCAAACTTTCATCGTTTCGTTATCTGGGTCCCCCCCTTTCAAGCATATGAGAAACAACATCTGCATCCGCTGTCCTAGCTTTATGCTGTTCAAATCTTCGGGCCAAATGTCACAGCGTCTTCCAAACGCCTCACACCGCGAGGCGTTCATGTCTGCTGGCTATCCTGTGAGAGGCAAGCATCTCTTGAGGAGCTTCTTAATCAAAACAGGCCATAGGGGAACTTAAACGAGTGTTTGTCCACTGCAAGATCTTAACGGTGTCATTCGAGCCAGCTTGTCATGTTTTGCCGCGTTGTTTGTGTTTCGTGCACCAAGACAAGCAAGCCGAAGATCTTGTCCATAGGAAGGTCACCGTCTGGTCTTCCGAGTTCCACCAAACGTGATTGTATGGCGTATGAACGATAACAAGCCAGCGCTTATAGCAAACATGAAAAAGGGAGCAAAAGGCTTGCATGACCTTAGATATTTCATGAAATTCCTTTTGATCATCACTATTATCATTGACTAACATGAGACTCAGCTTGATCGAGCAAATAAGTTTGCAACTCGCCATCGCATCGCTGCCAGACTTGTAATATGGTCGAGACGGGAATATCCACAGGTCTCATTGGATCTCCTGGATATGGGCACGGATTGGCCTTGCAATCGGGACCAAAGGCTAACATGAAGCCTCTCAAACAGGACTACGAATCTTCGACGCCCACCATGGGCTATAGTATGGATATGGCAACGGCTACTGGAGAGATGAGGTCAGTCTTGTTTGCATTTTTCCTTTGCTGTTTCCAGCGTGCATTGTTTTTTGGTGCTGGACTACGTTACGACACGACTGCTTTAATATGCCTTCCTCCCCTTTTGGCAGTGGCTTGTTTTTTCTCCCTACGTATATATGCACCTACTCTGTGTAGCTTCTGTCGAACCAGTCATGTTGCACTTGACAGTCCCCCATGGACTTCGCGATGGTGAGTGGTTCGGCCTTGTTCACGAGTTGTGAGCTAGGAGCTGGGGCCATTCTTTGCCCAAGACGCCGTAGCCCAACCAAACTAAGGATACCCATGTCAGTGGTGGCAAAGGTAGAGTTACAGTTCTCTGAAAGTCACCATTGCTTATTTCTCTGAAAACAATAGTTTTTATCTTCCCTGCATATCGGTCGTCATTTCTGTACACTTCTTCAGCTGCTGTTCTGGCGGGCCTCAACCTTGGTGGCGGCTTTAAGTCAGGCTCTGGGAAGAGCTGATAGCCCTTAACTTAGCAACTCACTATCTTCAACTCCCCTTGCCTATCGCTACAGAACCACCCCTGTCGCCTTTCTTCACTTTTTGCTATGTCTTAGTTCATTCATCAGCCTGACCATGACCATTGTCTCTCTTATGCTCGAGGAAAACCCCACTAGATTTGTGAAACCATCAAACTGAGGGAAGTTCCCTCACGCAATCCCCTCGCACGTTACCGAACCATTCAATTGCTGCTTTGCCTCGATCTCATCTACCCATCTATGCTCTAACTAGAACGATGTCAGGCAGGGCTCCATCACAGCTGGAGTAACTGGTAGCGAGCGCAGCCCTGTCAGCCATTTTCTGTCAAGCATTCCATTCCCCATTCTTTAATTATTACGCAAGATCCCCAACCCAGCCTCCCCTCTCTGGGCTCTTCAATATTATATCCCCTGTTGTTGCCGGCGGAGCGATCCCCTGCCGCATTTATTCGCTTGTTGAAGATTCCCAAGCTGGCCAGTGAGTGCATGCGTCTCACAGGCTCTCACGGTACTTGCTTGCTCGCTCGCTGGCATCCCGTTAATTCGGATCTCTCTCGGTGGCTTGCCACAAAGCAATGGATAGCTCTTTTGGTTTTGACATTGACGCCCGGGGTGTGGTTTTCACTACCTTGTCCGGAAACTAGTCCTAGTATCCTTCCAACCCTATCCCACCCATTCACTGGCTACATTGCTACTTTATTCGAGTTTCCGCTTACTGCTACTTGCTGTCTACTCCTCCCCTTTCGCACGCCCACTGCCTACCTTGCCTACACTGCAGTCTGCATCTACCTATTCCACATTGACTACACGCTGCCCCGTGTCAGCGCCCAGCGCCAGTTTCAGTGCCGGTGTATATTGTCAGTGCCAGTGACAGTGCCGCGAGCTGCTGCATTGGCCGTCTTTGTAGCCTCTCGAAACAGCTCGGCGGGTTTTGTGGCACACCAACCGCCGACAGTATTACCTGGCGTGCACCTCAAGCTGTGACACTGGGAACACTGTATTTCCAGGACATGGCAATACAGCATCTCTGTGGCCGCGTCTTTTTGCCGTTGTCGCTGCCACTGCCAACTGCCACTGCCGTCCCGTAACCTACCTGTCTACCTGACGTTATCGCTACTCACTTCTTCTGCTTCTTGCTGCTCTCTAGTCAGCCTGAGGTCGCTTTGCTGATGAGCCGCCAGATACCCGCAAGAGGCCAGTACTTCTTTGACGATAGAGCCCTCTCAACCTTCGTCCCTCTTAAACCTATTCCATCCGCCGGTCCTCAGCTCTACCGCGCAGTACCCCCAGGACGGAAGTGCCTTTTTCCAGTCTCAAGCGGCTGGTCATCATCATCTCTATCCGGGTATAGACGTCCGCTCTCGACTGGGTTCCAAGTACGTCCTTTGCTTTCTTCTTTCATTCTTAAGTCTCTTAGCCCTCACATACTCCTCTCTTCCTCACCACCCAGGTTGAGGATCCCGTCGCAACCGCACACCATACCCATTAGATCTCATACTTCTCTTGTCTTTTTTCCTTTAGCTCTCCTTCTTCTCTGGCCATCTCGTCTCCTGTGTACAAGCAAAGACAGAGACATGAGCTGGGTTGGACCGATTATGATATACGCCGAAGACAAGCTCTATCGAGCATTGCAGACAGAGTAGGAACTGACTGCTGCCGGCAGCAACTCATCTACGACGGGGATGGCACATCCCTATCCCTCTTCACATCGCACCCCAGGCCTCCCGCACCCTGGTCCCCCGATCAGTACTCGAGAACAGTACGGTCCTGCCACGCCAGGGTTTAGGAGGCCATCCGAGCATTCTGTTCGATCGCCCTCCTTTGCCACACAGCCAAGAGGAAGACATCCGCTGTCACCAACAACAAGCCCCAACGCGGGCTTCTCGGCTCCAAGTATGGGCTCCAGCGGGTACGGCGGTAGGTCGACTCAGAACAACATTCCTCCCCTGCAACCAGTTCATATGCTAGGAAGCCTTCAATACAACGATGGCGCAGGAACACCTGTCAAGGTGGATATGTCAGGTATCATTGACAAGGGCTTCTTTTTATCGGAGAATGAGTGGACGTGTTATCGCAGGAACTACTTCTCTTGCGTCTGCTCCTTTTCTCTGAGCCCTCACATCCCCAACGTCACTATCCAGTATACTGCTAGTGGCTCATCACAACCCGTTCCGATCTTTGGATTCGCCATGTCCATCTCCGCAGTTGTCTCCGACAATGAGCAGCACAACATCGACCTGGTACAGCATACGCCAAAGAGAGACAAGGGGCCCATAATGAAGCCTGAAAAAGTTCGGCTCAGCAACAAGCCCCCACAGGCAAGCCACCACCACCATATGGGCATGTTCTCAGAGTCGGTCGTACCCAATCGCCCTGTATACCCCGACAATTTCAGCAATCAGCCCGGCAGCCAACAGTTACCCACAGAGCACACGTTTGAGCGCATTCAATTCAAGCAAGCTACCCAGAATAACGGGAAGCGCAGAGCTGCTCAGCAATACTACCAACTGGTTGTCGAGCTCTGGGGCGAGGTAGCTAATCAGAGCAGTGGTGATCAATACGTCAAGATAGCCACACGTAAGTCGGCCAAGATGATTGTCCGAGGCCGCTCGCCGGGCCACTATCAAAACGACAGACGCGGAAGCCAAAGTAGCGGACCTGGAGGATCTTCGGGCAACATGGGAGGCTACACCGTCAGCGGCATGGCCGACTTCAATAACCCCATGATGGGCGGTCCAAGCTACGCGACAGGTGGTTTCGACGCCCGCAGCAGCCTCTATGGTGTCCGTCATCACGATATACCGCACGAGTCGATGATTCCTCAGGAGGATTCCAAGGCCATCGTTACGACCCGAGAGTACCAGTACTACCCAGCCCCAATGTACGAGGCGCAGAGCGACCGGATCGAGCTATTCAACCCCCGTGGGGAGCGCGATCATAACGTTGTGCCGCACATGGCCACCGGGATGGACATGAGTGGCAAGATCAAGCATGACTACGACGGCGCCGCTCTACCCAGCATCTTCCACCCACCAGCTCAGATTAATGATCGTCCGCCAGGACCCTTCGAGGGCAAGTCAACCTCGAGCGGGTACTACCCCATCCCGTCGTCCGGCATCAACATGACCATGACATCATGATCGGCTGCTACGAGATGTTACAAGCATTGCAGTGCCGAAGTTGGCGGCGTTCACAGATCATACTAAGGCGTTACTGAGTCCAGCCTGTGTCCTAAAAGTGGAAGGAAAATAAAAGTAAAATCACGAAACAAACATCGGCATAGTCTAGAGCAAGAATACGAGCATGGTATTGCACAAGTTTGGGGTTCAAACCCTAGAATCTCCTTCGTTTGATAACATTTTGGCACTCTGCGAGGAGAGTGGCCTTGGATATGCAAAGACGGGCAGAGAGGCTGCAAATCATAACGATGTGTACGACAAGAAGCTGGAGAAACTATATGTCAGGTTTTACCTGACATTTCATGGGCGAGCAAAAGCAGCATGGTGAGAGAGATTGTACGAGGAGCAGAACATCAATAGCGGCAATAGCAACAGCAGCAACAAAATGAGGCAACAGGACAGACAAGAAAACGTGAGATCAGCTGGTCTTGTTTTCTCTCTCTCTCTTTCTGTTTTTGGGGGCGAATGTAAGAAAGGAGGATACCCAGGGTGCATTTTTTTCACTTCTTATGGCACATGGTTTCGTCACTTTTTTTTTTTTTTGAACTTTTTAACTGAATGTAATTCTTGTCATTTCATTTCTTTCCTATCCCATCCTATCCTCTTCTTGTTGCAGGATACAGCACCCTGTTGACTGTGGATACTTGGCTTCATGTTTGTCGATATGGCTAATGGCTTTCAAAATCTATCTGGGAAGTTGACGAGTAGTCTAGCTTGCAGGAGAAGGCAATCGATGGATGGTGGGGGCTGAAGCATCAGGCGGGAGGATGGCGTTGAGACACAAAGACACAGCAAAGGCAGAGGGATAAATCGAGAATACGAGGCTAACAGGATCGAGACACCGTCATGTCACATACATGATTAGGTCCTAGCAGGGTATCTACTCAATGAAAACCCGGTTTCCCTCTGGTGCATCCGCGACGGTCACGGTGGAGCGCTGTGCCTAATGAAATCTGACGGAATGCAGGGCCCCATGGTACTGCATGGCATGAATGAACGGATGGATGGGTTAGCTAGATGTGGTTGGATGCCACTCTCTTGATTTCCGTCTGGCCATATAATGACAACTTTCATTGATAAAGATGAATGAGACTGGTGTGTAATGATTGACTCGCAAGAATGTCCCTTTGAGGAAATTAACAAGGCCTCAACAAAGGGAACAAGCCAAGATTTCACACTACAGCACAGTCCTGTCGGTCCTCAGACATGGCTCTGGAGTCGAGATTCAAGGTTGCAGATGGAGGCTGTATCTACGATGGTCCAGAGGCGCATGCATTTTGCGACTGTTTTAGATGCAAGGGTGCTAGGCTATTTGCCATCCTTGCTATATCACACCAGTGGACTGCGTAGTATGCACAAGCATCGAATGTATGTATATGGACAAAAACGGGCTATTATTGTTTGAGATTGAGGTTGCGCGGTTGAGGCTGCAAGGTTAGTTCGATTAAGGTTACCGTCGGCACGCTAAAATCAACAAAACACGTTTTTTTACCGGCGGGAATGGGCCGGACCGCTAATTCAAAATCACAGAGGAAGACGCCTTGACGTTTTTCAATTTAGTTCTATTCTACGGGGATTGAGAGGAGATAACGAAAAAAAAAAAAAAAAAAAAAAAAAAAGAAGAAGAAAAAAGTTGAAATGAAGCTATGGAGTTTTTTGGGGTCGCGACAGGCCGAGCCCACACAGAGCGGGAGTACCATCCATACTTGATGAATTATTTCTCTTCTTGTCATTTTAGGGCGGAGACAAGATGCGGGATGATGGAATGAGGCTTGTCACGCGGAAATGATCTTCTCTTCTCTTTCGGGTACGTACATAAAAGTACATACTCTCTACGTTTTACTGCTTGTACTGTAGGTACCGCTTCTGAAGAGAGAGTTTGGGGGTGGATCGACGCTAGGAAAGCAAAGTATCGTGAAGTTCTGGATAGCAGAGTGGAGACTAAAGCGGCTCGGAGATTTAATTACAGATTACGATAAACGATTGAATTAGATGCTGCATATACGGATGGGACGATCTGTGTGGTGATTATCGGGTTGGGAGAGAGGAGAGAGATGTTTTGGCCCAGTGTTGGTAGATTGTTGGCTCGGACTCGTTGGTAGAAAATCAAACAGGACGGGGACAGGGCCTTGTAAGGGTACAGTATACGTGCAGCACGACAGTAAGGTACAGTGGGCAAGGGCCCCGGAGATATCGATGGAAGCGATCAGGTTAGTGAACCTTATAAGGCCTTATAACCCCTACCTCAGAAAGAAAGACCCGGCTGCAAGTATGTATTTCTCGCATTGGTGCAAGCTTTGGGGTTACGTGTGATTGACCCCAGGTAGACAGACTACTGAGGTAGGTAGAGAGTACGGATACAGTAAAAGGGATCGATCAAGCCTCGATGCTACCATGCGCGTCACTAGGAGAGTCATTAATGTGAGGATGGATGAATAGCCTTTAGTTTGATACATAGATAGCTTATCTATAAGTCGTGAGTTGTCTCTGCAGTGCAGCGTATAGACAGCATCGAAGCAAGACACCAAGATATTCTACAGGCTATAGTGCCTAGAAAAAGTAGATGAAAAAGGTACTTGTACTTTGCTTTTCATGCATTTTACCCCCCACCTCCATGTCACCGAGTACCCGGTCGGGGCCTCTTTTGTTGACACCTCGACACCCTCCTATTGTCGACCGAGGCGGAAGGTTTCTGCAGCCTCCATCTCCCCGGGGTTACACAGCAGCTGAATGTGAGTTACATCTGGACTACAATCTAACACATGCAGATTCTCGCCCACATCCTATCACATCCATGCAGACAGAGAATCAGAGAACGCCAAAGGCCGAAGAACAAGACGAAGTCGCGAGTTTGGGCCAAGATTTAAGATACTCTTCTAATTTATATTGTCCTCTCGCCTCTTCGGCTTCTGATCTCGCTATTATCCTAGGAATTGTAACTCTGCCCCTCTTTTCAGCCGAGACCTTTATTATGATGTGCCGTACTACTGTGTAGACTGTACTCACTGTATGTACCAACACACAATCTTCAGTAAATGAACTTCTTTTCCATCTCCGGCGATGACGCAGGCTTGGCACATTCATTCGATACGCTAATGCTCAATTTACCAAAGAAAAGAGACGAAAAAAAAAGGGAATTTGGTGAGATAACCGCAGGTATTTTTTTCGTTTTCTTTGCTTTTTCTTTTTTTTTTTTTTTACTCTGCATCTCTACTAATCAACGCTAAGAGAAAGTCGGCCAACCCTGGATTTGAGGCTCATGCAGGCCTTTTTCACCGGTGACGCATCCCTGCCTCCCTTGGCTACTTTGTCCCCACTCATGAGGCCTTCCTCGGACGCCGGTTTGAAAAATAGAGGCTAAGAGAGGCTACAAGGGATTTGAAATGGGCCGGGGTTAGACCAGAGCGCGGTCTAGGGTGGTGTGGCTCCCAAGGACGCGAGATTCTGATATATGACAGTCTAGCGTGAGAAAAATGAATAAGACTCTTTATTCACGAGTCAGTTAACGAAGATGATGTGATGTGATTTTGGGTTTGGAAAAATAGAAAGTAAAACAATGTTGATATCAAAGACATTGGCTACTAATTAAATCCAGATGCCCCGTCCTGCATATGCATTTCCATTTTGTCTCTTCCGTCTGTATCCATGCATATTCAACAACACACACCGTAGACAACCAACTGCACTTTCCGTGCTCATACCCTCCAGATAGCATCAGCCATCTTGGCCACCATGCCCATCTCTTGTGTGTCGTGTACCCTCACTATATCCGCACCGCCCTGAACCGCCGCTGCCACCGTCGCCGCCGTGCCCCACGTCCGTTGCTTCGGCTCCGTGACTCCCGTGATCCTCCCGACAAAAGTCTTCCGGCTCGAGCCAACAAGCCACGGCAGACCTTGAAGCCCCGGCCAGTATCGCAGCTCCTCCAGCCGTCGAAGAATCTCGAGGTTCTGCTCTCCCGTCTTGGCGAAGCCGATGCCCGGGTCCAGAATCATGCGCCACCGCCGGATACCCGCTGCCTCGGCCGCTGCTACGCGCTCGAGGAGCTCAGATGCTATTGTGGGAATGAGTCCGTCTGGATACGAGGTCATCTCTGTCATGGTCTGCGGAGTGCCGCGCATATGCATCAGACATATCGTTTTCTCCAGACGGGCGACGGTGGAAAGCATGTCTGGGTCCAGCAGACCAGCCGAAACATCGTTGATGATATCTGCTCCACTGGCAATAGCTTCCTCAGCAACGGATGCGCGATACGTGTCGATGCTGATAGCCACATCACGAGCTTCAGGAAGCGATCGAATCAGCTGAACAGCAGGCACAACTCGAGATGCCTCTTCCTCGGCTGATACTTCTGGTCGACCAGGGGCAGTTGACTGGCCGCCAACATCGATAATCGAAGTTCCATTGTTGACCATATTCACAATCGTCTGAGCGAGGTTATCTCGATCGTGAAAGCCACCATCTGAAAACGAATCCGGCGTCAAGTTGAGAATGCCCATGACATGGGTCTTGCGCTTTGCAGCAAGAGGCGTCAAAGAACCCGCCGTCGAAGAAAGCGGTGTCATGGAAGACAATGGCTCGCCAAGGGGCAGCTCATTTAGATTATCCTGAATGAGCTTCCACGGCTTCGCCGGATCCAATGATTTTGCCGGAATGAGTCTGCAGCTTGCCGTTAGAATACCTCGATTGTGTTTTTCTGTGCAACGTACTCGGCCAGGGGTCTGAGAACAAACTCCCGCTCTAATATGCCAATATGGGGAATCTTGAGCCGCTCGTGGTCAACCTTTTCGTCGCCGTACAGAAGAATGTCCAAATCAATGTTACGCGGGCCCTTGTCGATGACCTTCTTTCGTCCCATGTCATTCTCAATGGCTTGCAGTTGATCTAGAAGAGCTATAGGGTCAAGTTCTGTCTCGACCTAGTGGGTTGGTCAGCGCGGGAACGCGAACGGACGTTTTTGATATACATACCTCACAAGCGCCATTGACGAAACGATCCTGGTCGGTTACATACATGGGCTCTGTTTCCCAGAGGCTACTGGTCCTCTTGACTTTGATTCCTCGGCGGTCCATCTCGTTGCATGCCCGCTCAATCTCAGCAACTCTGTCTCCCATATTGCTTCCAAGAGCGATATATGCCGTCTTCTTTTGCGGTCCGCTGCTCCCACAGCCACCTCCACTTGCGCAAGCACATCCACAGGCATTGCGCTTAAGTCCAGGCATTTTGCATCTCACAAGAGGACGAAGGCGCGCATGATGGACATAAGATCGCTGGTGAGGCCTTGTTGACGTCAACGAACATCGCGAGGCAGTGGCGAAAGCCAGAACAGAGCCGGGAGAAGCATCGTGGCCGGTGCTTCTGAGGCTCTGAATAAGCGGTCGCGATGAGAGAAGCAGTTGTCTCATGGTGAGTGGTGCTGCTTCAGCTACATGACCGACGATTCAGAACATGTTGTTGAGTGAGTTCGGAGGATTGAGGCCGAGAAAATTTGCGTTAACAAGACACTAGGGGTGGGAATAGTGTCTTCAACGGTGCTAGCAGCTGTTGAAGTCTAAAAGGCTGAGTACGAGGCTGTAGCGGATTTTGCGATACTTTTGGCGGAGAAAATAAGCTGACGAGAGCGGCATAGGGCTGCGCGGTTGAGCTCATGCATTTCCGAGCTGACTGTACGGGAATGAGATGCATTGATTTCCCATGTGAGGTGGTCGTCATGATTCATGTCACGGGGTCTTTTGAGTCTTGGTCTTTGCTGACTGGTTCTGCCGTTAGCACCGAGCACATGTCAGAGACGTTGAACATGGGGGCCAACCTCGATAGATTACTAAGCTTACCATTCTGGGTAGGTTGAGAAAAGCCAGGAGAGCGAAGAGAACAGCACAATCATTTTAGCAGGTGCTTCGGCTTTACCGAGTTCCGTTGTTAACAGTCAGGCCATTTTCTTGTTAACAGCTTCTCCTCTTTCGTCCCGAGGCATCTTCCCCGGATTCAAAGTGATACTATCCCCAATGCGGGAACTACTCCTACTCCACACTCTTCCTGCCCAGGCTGAGACGAGACTCCAGACCTCGGCATGTGGTCCCTCCTTCCTAGTTCCTGCCATCGCGAACCGTGCTTCTAACCTCTTTCCCTGCGAAACCCCCTCTCTATCTGCTGATTCTTTTTATACCCCGGATTTCTTCTCCAACTCTCGACTCTCTGCTTCTTTATCAATCAATCTTGCTCCTGATTCCACCACCAGAAGCAAGAAGACAGTTCTCCTCAGACGCGACACGATAGCATCATCTAGACAAGACAAACAGACAAGCAGACAACATGGCATCACCACGTACGTCATCAGCACAATCTCCAGATTCCTCAACGATCGCTAACATGCTCCCTCACAGAGAAGCTCCGAACTCCCATCACCGATCTTTTCAAGATCCAACACCCCGTCCTCCTCGCGGGCATGAACGTTGCCGCCGGCCCTAAGCTCGCTGCCGCTGTCTCCAACGCTGGTGGTCTCGGTGTCATTGGTGGTGTCGGATACACTCCTGACATGCTGCGCGAGCAAATCGCTGAGCTCAAGAGCTTCCTCAATGACAAGAACGCTCCCTTCGGTGTTGATCTGCTCCTTCCCCAGGTCGGCGGCAGCGCTCGCAAGACCAAGTAAGTTCACCCCAAGTTCGGGGCCCTCGGCCTTGAGATTTTGCGATCACATGCAGATCTCACTAGTGACGAACAAAGCGCTGACATATGATTCCACAGCTACGATTACACCAAGGGTAAGCTCAACGAGCTCGTCGACATTATCATCGAGGAGGGCGCTAAGCTCTTCGTCTCTGCCGTCGGTGTTCCCCCCAAGGCTGTCGTCGACAAGCTCCACGCCAATGGCATTGTTTACATGAACATGATCGGTCACGTCAAGCACGTCCAGAAGTGCCTCGACCTCGGCGTCGATATCATTTGCGCTCAGGGTGGTGAGGGCGGTGGCCACACTGGCGATATCCCCACAACCGTCCTCATCCCCGCTGTTGTCGATATTTGCAAGAAGCACAAGTCTCCTCTCACCGGCGGCCCCGTTCAGGTCATCGCTGCTGGTGGTATCCACAACGGTCAGCTCCTCGCTGCTGCGCTCATGATGGGCGCTGGCGCTGTCTGGGTCGGAACCCGATTCATCCTCACTGACGAGGCTGGTGCCCCCAAGGCTCACAAGGAGGCTGTCCGCACATCTGGCCATGACGACAACATCCGCACCATCATCTGGACCGGCCGTCCCATGCGTGTCCGTAACAACGACTACATCAACGACTGGGAGGTCAACCGCCAGGCCGAGATCAAGGAGCTCGTCTCCAAGGGTGTTATCCCCTACGAGGCTGACCTCGACAAGCTCGCTGAGGCTGCTAGTGATAACGATAGCGACGACGATGAGGATCTGTTGGACAAGTACCGACCTTACCTCATGGGTAAGTGCGCTGCTGTTGTCAACGAGCAGAAGCCTGCCAAGGCTGTCGTGGATGAGTTCGTAGACGACGCTGTTGCTTGGTTGCAAAGGGGCAACAAGATGATTGCCAAGCTGTAAAAAACCTATAAGATACCATGTCTTGTCATTTATCCTTGATTTTTTAGTATATTTGTAGACTACGAGCATAGTTTGCTTGGATTTACCATTAGCAGCATCAATTCAATTGGATTAGCATTCCTCATAACGTCTCCTTGAACAGATATCTATCTATCTCTGTGAAGCTCACTCTACTCTCTTCGGTGCACGAATATCCACAATGAACCAAAATGATACGTTTTTGATTTAATAAACTAGGAAAACATCAAATCTATATCATACTTCGAGTAACCAAGCAGTCAACTTTGACTTCACATGTACGCCAGCTCCAAAAAGCATCCCGACCCCAGATTCATGCCAAAGAGCATCTTCTCCGTGCGCCAATTCCCGCTCGATAGTGATAATCGAACAGGCGCATGCCTCTTTGGTTGTTCTTCTCATCTGCTGCCTTTTCACCAACAGGACGCTCCTCAGCATGAGAAACAGTCACGCACACCTAAACCTCGAACCAACAGGGGCAAAGTTCGTCTAGTTCCCGAGGTATGATCGAATGGCTCCCTGGAGTCGTGAGGACACCTCACCGGCCATTTGTGTGAGATTCTCAAGATCGTCACCAGCTGTGATACCAAACTTGCGCACAAAGTCCTTGGCGGCAGACTCGAGATCGCCGTATTCCTCCTCGGGCTCATCCTCTGGTCGGCCGAAGTAGGCATTTGAAGAAATGGCGGTTGCGCCCTCGAAGCCTTGGAGTCGGGTCTTGGCCTCAGCCTGAGAGTTGGGGTCATAGGCACCCTTTCCGAAGAACTCGTCGGATGAGATACCCTTCTGGGTGCCGAACTTGTCGCGAGCATATCTCTCTGAGTCATCTACCATCGAATTAGTATCGTTTTATGTCTTTGTGTTCTTTCTAAAACTTACCAACAGCAGCGGCCTTAACAGGTCCAACGGAACCAAAGCCTCCGGCGTTCTTCTTAGGAGCGGCAGCAGCCTTGGGACCACCAATCTGTCCGAATCCCAGTCGGCCCATGCCCATGCCCAGTCGTTCGACTTCAGCGTCAGACTTCTGGCGAGTATGCGATGAACTTGTGCCGCGGCTGGGGCTGACGGGAGTGGGAGAGATGATGGCGGCACCAGATCCAGAGGCATTCTTGGTCGCGGGATCCTCCTCAGCATCAGGATCGTAACCGAGCTTCGCAATTCGGTCAGCCTCTTCCTTAGCTTTGCGCTCCGCCTCGTCAAAGTCAATCACGTCGCTAGTGACCTTCTTTGCGCCCAGCTTGGTGGTCTTCTTGGCACCGAGAACGTTGGCTTTTCGGGGACCGGTGGAAGTGGTCGTCTTGCGTAGAGCGGCGGAAGTAGTGATTCGGCTGGCAGGCTTGTTGTCGCCAGTGGAAGATCGGGACAGAGGCGAAGCTGTACGTGCGATATCCTTACCGTTACCCGAGTTCAAGAAGGGAGAGGGAGTGCGGCCGACGACAGGGGGGGTTCCGGTGCGAGAGACAGGAGGGGTAGGTCGCTTAATAGCAGGCTTGTCCCAGGAGGAGAAAAAGTCGTCGTCGGGCTCGCCAGCAGGTGTGGCGGCTCCGTCGTCGGTAGCATCAGTAATAACAACCTCGTTGGGGTATCTAGACACATGTCAGCTGAAAACAGGGGTACTATTTGCGACGTAGAAACATACTCCTGGGCGTCTCGCGCAGCGCGGCGCTTGAGCTCATCCTTATACTTGGTGGCGGCGTTGGACTGGTATTTCGTCTTAGGATCCTTACTATTGAGCGCCGCAGTACCGCCATTCTGCTGGAAGAACTTGGTGGCAGACTCGTTACCGCCAACCTTCATAACTCGGAGCTGGTCCCATTGCCACTCTGTCCCAACTCGTTAGCTCTGAAGTCGATTTTGTAAGGGAAGTGAATATGCTGGAGTCTACGTACGGTCGAGGTTCGTTGATCGCACAAATGAGATATGGACACCAAGGTTTCGGTGGTTGGAGGAGCAGTCAAGGCAGAGGTAGATGCCAAAGGGGACGGATGTCCATGTCGGGTTCTTTTGGCCGCAGTCGAAGCAGATCTGATGGTAGGCGCAATGGTCAGCTAACGTCTCTACTGAATGCGCAGAAATAACTAATGGGTACATACCTTGTTCGCAGGCTTAGTCTTTAACTTCTCAAAGATCTTGAGCGACTGCTGCTTTGACGCAAGGGCGCTCATCTTAACTATTAGGCCGTAATAAGGCGGGAGTATAGAGGTGACACAGAAAGGCAGCAACAGAAGAGGTCTCGGCACCGCGAAAAGGAGTTATATCCTAGCGTATTTGCGACGTGTCAAAGAGAGGACAGAATTGGATTGGGGGGGTATTTCGTAGAATTGCTAAGACAAGACAGGACAAGACAGAGTCGAGAATTAAGGAGAAGTGTAGTCAAGGGCAGTTGTCGATAAGGTGGCATATCGACGGACGCTAGCCTTCTTTTGGTCATAATTGGCAACCCCACCTCGAATTCTGCCCGGCGGTGGAGCCGCAATCAAGCTGCAACTTGATGAGCTTCTGATTGAGCTTGTTAACAGGTCGATCACACAGTTTAGCTGACTCGCAATCAATCAAGGCAATTGTCTTTGTACAATGGCTATTGTCGAATCGCCAGGATGAAACCGACGACGACAAATCTCATCGCGACCGGATCAATAGCCTTCCGGGGCATCCCATCAACGCTTCGACCTTTCCATGTCTCGAGATACTATGCGACACAACAAGGCTTAGGAGCATCGCCTCAAAGCTCCAAATCGAAGCGAAGAGCAGTGACGCCGTTCAACGATAATGGATATGTACCTTGGACAGAGCTTTCGGTGGGAGAGAAGGCAGCGAGAGCGACGCAGCAGAGCTTCAACTTTGGCATGATCCTCGTCGGTCTCGTGCTCACTGTAAGTGGCTTTGCAACAGCACATACAAGTGGCATTGACGAACATTGTACTTCCTTTAGGGCGGTGTAGGGTATTTCCTCTGGACAGACGTCTTCTCCCCCGATAGCAAGATCTCCAACTTCAACCGCGCAGTCGACAAGATCAAACGTGACCCTCGTATAATCGAACTCATGGGCGACTCCAAGAAGATTACAGCACATGGGGACGAGACATTCAACAAGTGGAGGAGGGCACGTCCTGTTGCGTGAGCTTGACCGTCATTTGTAAACAAGTCAAATTGCTGACCGGGCTAGATCTACGGAAACGACAGATGCTCGCGGAGACCAGCATATAATGATGCATTTCTATGTACGTCAAATACGGTTGTTCATGAACCAGAGAAGCTAACAGCTTTAGGTTGATGGGCCCAAGAACAACGGTATTGCACGGCTTCATATGGTCAGATACCGCGGCCATAGTGACTTTGAGTACAAATATCTCTTTGTCGACATCAAAGGTCATGACAGAATCTACCTTGAGCAAGAGGATGCAGCATCCTCCAAGGGTGGCAAGAAACTCAGCTTCTTTGGAGTGAAGTGGTAATTGTTATATCCTGAATGTTCAACGACTTACGAAGTCTGAGATCTTACCATGCAGCCATTCCGGACTGGGTTGGTGTGCAAAGGAACTCTGAGTTCTTGTATCATATGCTGGAAGCCGGCTTGACTAGGCGACCTTTGTATTTATAGTCGGTTCCAAGCTTTGTGTGCTGTTATCTACGTTCATCGCGGAGCAGTTGACGGGCAAACCTGTGTATCTTTATCCAAGTTTTATGATTACAGCTCTTTGTAGACATTCAACAATGACAAACAATGGAAAGAAGGATAAGTTATTATGCCGTGTTCTGAACTCGTGTAATCCTGCCATTTACTTCCACGAACTAATTCCGCCATGCCAGCTTCAAGGCCCAAAGGCATCCGACCTCACTTTCAGCCTTACAGCCTACACTGGACCTACAATCGATACTTCAAACTGCCATTTGTATCGTTTTGGGGCAAATCATAACTCCAGCTGGAGATTCTTATCACTTTCAAACTGTTCCTGAGGATTATAAGAGCCTCCCCGTTGAAATTACATGTCCAGTCCTGGATATTAAGCACCAACCTCTTCACACTAGTGGTTTTTTACATCTTCATACAAACTGCGCTCTGTCTCATATATTAACGGGCAAAAGACCTCCGAAGTGTAATATATATTGCTGTCTCAGTCTCAGTTGCCTTGGCTTCAACCAATACGATTGATATCTGGTGGCCGATCTCGCTGCAATCTTGGCAATTTGGGAGATTCTCTGGATATGGACAACTTGCCCGCTAGATGGCTTACTGTTCATCTGCTCATAAATCGTACACTATAGTAAGACCACAAGAACGTATGGGCTTCCCGCAACCTCATCCTTTAGGTCCAAGGGGTTAAAGGATACCATTCATATAAATATTCGCCCAGAACGCGCATTCCAACCCAGAACAGAGATACCAAACTGCTTAGAACTGTTTCCTAGATCGTAAACAAACATGCTCGATCTGCGATGCAGTCTTTGGGGAGAGCTGACAACATAACCCTAGGCAAAGAACCCAGGATACCTCTGTAGACTCGACTACGAATCACACAAATGATGCAAGCCCAGCCAGTCAGTCAGTGGTATGATCAATAATAATCTCTCCTGGCTATGAGACAAACCCTATGTAGTCTATCGCCAAAGGGATCATGCCGTTGACATGAAGGCTCAATTCCGCCATGACAAGACAGCGAGACACTCAAAAGGATTGAGCTGAAGCACAACACTTCAGCCGCAATCCCTCTATTTTATTATAGGCTCACTTTCATTGATCACAGTTCGACACAAGCTGGGACTCTGACCCTGCAAACTAGACAGTCCCTGGTGAGTTCATAGTGCTCAGTCTCACTTGACACATAAGTTGACAAGAGTCTCAGGGGAGAAGACTCGTACTTCAGAATCAGCATCGTAGTACGCAACTTCTTTCACGATTCAGATATACTCCATATGTTCTACGTATCCTCTTGACGTCTCTCGACTTCCGGTCATTGGATGTTCATGTTGAGGCAAGTTGCAGAGTGATGACTGAGATCTAACTCTTCTCAACATTGTCATGGATTTATACAACACGGTCTGTTGACAATTGAGATGAATCAGAAGGAATCTTCCTTTACTAAAGAGTGAATGGTGACCAAGTAACCGCACAGGTCATCCTCAATCATTCTCAACGCTGTGTATCTACTGTTCTCCTGAGTTTTCAGAAACTGTTTTGATGAGGATTCCGCCAGTACTCATCCATATGAATTGCGGCAGCGGCTACAAGCACACCAAAAAGCCTGCTGAGATTGTCTCAATCATTGGCATAAACAACTACACCTATCTATTACGTTAGAGCAGTCTCACAATACCTAGCCCAGCTCTCATCATCTTGAGCATCACGGAACATGTGACTGACCACCAATGCATGTGACAAGCCATCCAAAGATTTAAAGGAGCCGCATCAGAACTTCTTGACGTAGACAATACTAGTCTGAAAAGTTTATTCCTGATCTCCAGATTTCCTTGATTACCAAGTATGTAAGAATGACACATGAATTCCAGGTACAGTCATAAGAACTGGGTTCTTGGCTAGAGCAGATTTCTTAGCCGGTCGAAACGACCTCAGTTTTCGGAACTTCCTCTTGGAGAAAAGGTCTTTTTTTCAGTGTGAGTGGTTCTCTGGTGAAGCTATCGTCATGGCTATCAAGGGTCCCTATGCTTTACATCCACACCGTCACGCATAGATCAGCACTTTCTGGGGAACATCGGCAGGGCGTGTGTCGAAATCTGGGGAAGCAAAATTATATCAGTCACCGAGATCGGGATCTGCGAGCCTGGTACCTTTCTCGCCTCACCTTTGGAATGCCGTCATATAGTACCTCGGCCTACATCCAGGGTTGCTTCAGGAGCGTCCGTGCAAGTGCGTCAAAGTAAAACAAGAGCAAACCGCAAAGCTATGCCGGTAGTTGCTATCCTCGGTCCAGCGGCTTTGGCGCTCAATCTAATCTCCACGCCCCCCCATGGAACTTTGACTGATGGTTTTCTAGGCGCCATGAAAAGAAGCTGTTTCGTTATCATGTGGAGCTCACTAGTTCGCTCTAGAGGCTTGGTCTCAATACGATTTCTTCCGAGGGCTTTGCTCGGCAAATCCGTATTGCCCCGAACAAAGATTTTTTCCCCTTCGAACCCTGGAAATTGAGCTCTTTACGGGAATCCCTGTCATAAACGTGCTTTTTCTTCACTGGTGAATCCTTTAGTCTCCAGAGCTCCTGGAGTTTGGACCCTAGGCTGAGAGTCAGCCTGCTTCTCATCACATTCGGCTTGCTTTTAGTTGCTTTTCGTAGTCCAGGAACTTATCCGAAACCAGAGAGTGCAAGGTGCTGTGAGTCGGATTCACATGCTCTCTCAAGAAAATCAGTTGGCTACCCACCTATATGCGAAGTCTGCTGGTGGTTGCATTCTCACAGTCGTATCTAGAATATTATGCAGCATCAACTTAGAGGTTGGTCTAAGAATGAGGCTCTCAAGGTTCGCCCGGGTTTAATATGCTCCTGTCGACTGCAGCTGCGACGGCCGAACATTCCGGTCTCTGCGTGTGTGGCGTGGTAGTATTCATGTCTGGTGGTGTGCAAGCAAGCCTTCGGATAGGCAGAAAAGTGCCGGTGCTTTATTGAAATCAGTCAGCCACTCTTCATCCATTCAGGACCTTCACCTCTCAAACCTGTCGACAATATTGGAAGTCGTGGTACAACCCCGAAGCATCATCACATGCCATAACACGATATTCGATGACGGCCACTATCCTCACGTACCATACAGCTTGATAAGTTAGAAGCAATCATCCAGCATTGTTCTCCCACATGCCCTTATCTGAACTGAACATCCGGCATCGTCACTTCGAGCCAGGCGGGCTCTCCTGCCCTGCAACCAAAGGCCCGACTATCAGTCTTAGGTACAGTAACAGTGACAGAATCGTCCTGAGCGGCCGTGAAAACGATCCCACGAGTCGTTTGATTGTTCAACGGCACGCGTCATTTCCTTGCTATACGTGTCAAATGCCCTGCGCCTTGCTTCCATGATCCCCACAATCATCAGGGATTTAAAAGCATGTTGACCTTGTCTCAACCAACCATGCTACAACGCTGCTGATAAGCTTGGCGGGTTTTTCAGCTCACGATAGTATTCGAGCAGTTGCTGATATCTTCGACTAAGCCAGCTCCCTCGGTCCATTGAATATGTAGGGTGCGAATCGAAGCCATGCATCTTATCACGTTCTATTAGACCCACCACGCATCAATTCTCATGTAGACTCACATGCTTGGGCAATCAGCAATTGGGTCTCTTGAGCCTCAAACGTAAACCGGGTTTCACTCTCGGGTTGGTTAATAACCAGCTCAGGTCTTGATAGGCGCATCTCTAGTCATATGTAGGACTACTACATCACCACTTGAATATGGTAAGGCCTATGAACGGATGGAGACATAAGCTAGGTATCTAGAATCCAGTCGCTCGAGCAGCGACAGGCAGTTGTTAAACCTCAACTTTGGCTAACAATCGAGGTCAAGCTATTAAGCATGAGGTGTTCCGTCATAGCCTGTCACATCCCACACTTGTGAGACCAGCATCAACTAGGTAGGGGCTATGTTGCAATTGTTGGTTCGTCTGTCGGGTCCGGACGAAAATATTCTTGAATCACGGAACAAAGGGTTGGGCGAGCCAAGCTGGTGGGTGACCATCTTGTTTGGAAATGTTTGGAATGATGAGCAGGCCATACTCTGGACTTGGCTTCCAGTCATTAGTATCTATCGAGTACCTGAACGACTGTCTGGTCTGCCTTTAACAAATGCTTTGCATGATCACTGATAGTGCAATTCCACAAGCATTCATAAAATCGGTAAGTTTGCCCTACAAGCCCGTGTGATGCGAATAAACCTGGTATTTAGCGCTCATCATGGGCTCAACCCCCATGTGATTGCTCACACCCCTCAGGCGGCGCGGCCCTGACAAGGATTACAACTTTGTAAGGAGCTCTTCCCCATGTAGACCCATGCTTCTCTGACATATCGCGGGGCGTGGGCGTGGGGGAGAGCATCCACTATGAGACCTTGCTCGATGCTTGGCTGTGCTGCATCAGGAACAAGACAATTCAACATAACAGCCAATGCTTGCAAAAAAAAAAAAAAAAAAAAAAAAAAAAAAAAAAAAAAAAATTCAGACTTTCAGTTGATCTTCTCACGAGGGCTCTTCCGTCATCTCAGGGTCCGCTTGTGACCTTTGCTCTTAGGGGAAAGGTGCCAACTGAGCCAGGAGCTGTGACAGCTCTCGACCTCGTCAGAGTAGCCTCAAAAGGCCTCATTCCCCTGGCCTCGTCTTGTCTCAGCCTTTAAAAACATGCCGTGTGTATCCGGTGTAGAGCGCCCGTCGCTGGAAGTGTCAGCGTATAGTTCCGCTGAATACGTCGTGTATCGCTGGGGTGCTTCTTTGTCATAGGCATTTTGGTCGATCGACGTTGTTTGCCAGGCTAAATTTCAGGAACCATGCTCTCTAAGTTCCCCGGAGATTCCTTGTTGGTTTGCTTTTCTGGAAGCATCATGTGCTGGGGTTGTTGCAGCAAGTTCCTGTCTGTACCTATCTGTATCTGAGGGTGATGGTACGCTGTCTGTGGTTGACATAAATAGACAGATCCACTGACGTAGAGGCCCCAGGGGTTCTCTTCTCCATATTAACTGCATCATCACCAACAGATATTGAAAGAATGCGAGTCAGGCTCAAAGTCAATCAAGAAATGCTCGAACAATGAAGATATTGAAATAGAAGATCGACAACATGACGCGGGTAATAGGAACCCTACGTCGACGTCAGTTCTTGCCATTTCAATGAACTAACATCGTTCAAGTGGGCGCATCGTATAATGAACTACGATGCTGGGAAGGTAACCGTCCTGACAAACAGTCGCTCCTTTCTAATGAACTTGTCACTTGCCTGGTAGATTTATGACTGGGTATCCGGGTATCCTCTGTTGAACGGTCTGCATCGTCTGCTTGGGTGTCAATGAATACTCTCTCCTTAAACATCATCCCGATCCAGACGCAAGGAGGTTACATAGTAACAAATGAACTTGACACATGGAGTACATGTACATTCCACAACATCCGAACAAACCAGGTAAACAATCCCATTGTGATTGATGGCTTAATATGCTCCCTTTCACACGCAGATCCTTAGAAAGAGGCACGAAACACAAAGGACGATCCTGATGCCATTCAGAATCAACTCCACCCACAAAATAGGCAATAGGTCTCTGATCAGCCAGCCATTTTACGAGCACAACGCAAACAGACCCTTCAGAAGTAATGGTCAAAATTCCTGGTTTGAGTTTAGGCGGCTTAGCTCACATTCAGGAACTTCAGCGCCATACCCGCGATGGTCCATGTGAGCTTTGAAAGAAGCAATTATGCGTTACACGACCATCCCACGCAAACTCCGGCCCGGGACGAGCTCTACCGCTCCAATGACCCGGACATGACTGAACGATCCTGCGATTCAGAATCGAGATCACGTTGTTCAAATCACGACGCCATCCCTTACAAGTTACAACTGGCCACATGCATGGCCCAGCTGATATCAAGCCCCTAGGTGTGAACGGTGAACTGGCTGGGCGCTGGCACCACTACTTTCATGTTGGAGCGTGGGACAAGTCCAACAGAAGTTATGCTACCTGTCCTGTTCAACTAAGCTTCTGCTACATAGACTTGATGACCAGCAGATTCAGCATGAGAATCAGCAACCCCTGAGTCAAGATTCTGGCTGAGACTGATCTTCTGGTCTTGCCCTGATTTGGGTCCGTTTCCCGGGGCCCCAGAAAGTTGTCGATTCTCAAGATAAGACATCATCGTCGCTTGATAACGGCCCGCAATCGCGATCACCAGAGCATGTGTGTGTGTGTGTGTGTGCGCGCGCGTGTGTGTGTGCCTTGCGCCTTCCAGCCGCCTGGAGCGATAACAGGAGTGATGTTTAAGCAGAAGTGAAAAATGATCGCCAGTTACTTGACGTCGTCGACGTGAGGTTGGCATCGCCTATCGGCCAGCCAAAAGCGTCCATTCCAACCCCAGTTTTCACTGGACTTGGTCAGGCTGCCTGACCCCGCGAATACCACCCTCCAAGAAGCAAAAACAGTACATTGAAAACAAGCCCAGAGCTAAAGTTGGCACACACCCGCATCTCGAAAGTTTGGGGGAGAAGCGCACACACCACCCATCCCCGGATTTCAACTGGCAATCCTTCCTTGGACTCCAGCCCAGATTCGGAAAACTTGTCAAAATTGGTGTTTCTTCTTGGTTCGCACACTTTCTGCTACACACCATTTCACGCTTGCATCCGATTTCTGGCACAGCTCTCATTCGTTCTTGATTTGTAGCGGTGAACTTGCCTTACATTTCTGTGCCGGACTTGTGTTGCCGTGAGTCGACTGCTCTAATCAAACCGACTGTTTCCCTCAGCTTGGTGCTTATCGTGGCCAGGGGTTGTTGAACCACTCAGCCCACGAAAGACGGCCACATTGAGAAAATCCCCCACTTGCCAGACACTTCACTGGTGTGCATCTGCCATTGTATGTGTGGTACATGGCGCGTATCGCCCGGTGCAAGACCCCTTCACCGACCATCCCGGCCCGAGACACCTGGGCCAGCCAGCAAATGGCTGTTTTTGAACTTCACATGTTGAATTTTAATCTTCCCAACAATTACCGTGAACAAGGGGATGCTTTCCTCAGAACATTATTAGGCTTAATTAGAGACAGTTTCGCCATCCTTTGTACACCGACAGTACGCGCGCAAAAAAGCATCAGACATCCAATGATACTTTGTCCCTTTGCTGTACCAAATCAAAATAGCTGCACCCCTGAGTTTGGCCGGGCTGAGCAAAGACAGAGTCTTGGTATCTGGAGGACGCGTATCCTAAGCCCGTTGTCCTACCTCTCAGAAACAGTCTCAGGACCACGTATGACTTATCAGTGTGAGCCAGTCACCAGTGTACCCGTATCTATCAGGGGAAACCCTAAGAGGGTGCCTGGAAGGCTTGAAGCCTCATGGGCTGACGTGATGCGCTGGATGAATTGATGCAAAGTTGAGGCGTGCCACCCGGTACATTGACAGAATCGCAATTTCTTGCTTGCGCACTGATGGGCGAGGTTGAAATGTTCTGTCCTCTCACCCTTTTGCTTTTGGTGTCACCACCAACACGCGCACACCCCACGGGGAGGGTCAAGAAGCCCCCATTCACTCGTCGAGGACCTTATACGTCGCCTTATCAACAAAGACTGATCAAGGGCATTTGTGGCTTCAATCTTTCTGATAGACTCTCAGCCCAGCGGTCCTGCACCCCGAAACTGAAAGGTCTCCTCATCTGGCGCGGCCGCTGAGGGGCACTTGTTGCGCCCTGAAAATATGAATAGCCGGGAGGCTCATATCATAAGCCGAAAGGGTTTATTCTCTGGTGGATGTGCATGGGTAGATAACAGAAGCGAAAAGAGACAACAGTAAGAGTGAGTGCGTCTACCAATACCGGCACAGCACTACATCACCTGGGAGTTTTGCTTGTTTCCCATGTAATGACCACCACCATCTGAGAATTTCACCATCGGGGGCGCTGACACACAGAGGCTAGGTTGGGGTTGGATACCCAGGTATGGATGGGATGGGGTGTGGTGTGATAGTGCATATCCATGGTGGGGATGCGGCAGATCAGATTGTGGCAGTTCTGCCCGTCAGCCATTTTGATCGAATATGCATAGACCTTGAGGATGTGTCCGAAAGAGAAAAAAATATCAGGACAGTATCGGAACATCTGCTATGATGTATCTGAGCATTCCTCTTCCGAATACCCGGACAGAGATAAACTCTTCCAGACATGCTTACCCCGTCAACATCTGTCGTCAAACTCCCCGTCATATGACGGCATCCTTAGATCTGTCTGATCTGGTTTATCTAAAAAAGGGGTACCAACGCCGAGCTGGGCTGGGCTTGGCCCCCAAGACAAGCCAAATTCTAAACCAAACCTTGCCCTGCTTGGTAAATAACCCCCCCCCTTCAGACAGAGAGAGGGATAGAGGGAAAAATAGGTAATATTGGCCCTTCCGATTCTGCGGTTCCGCTCTGGGGAGGTTTGTTTCTGTCTCTAGATCCCCCTCCTCGATCGTGGTTAAACCTTCTGCAACGGAGATAGCGTCATCCAAGGATGTCGCGACGTAAGTTATTCAGCATTGAACCTGCGAAGTCCCTAATGGATAGCCACCCCTCCATAAGTTGCAATGGCCATCTGTTACACGCGATGATCCTGACATCAGCCATCAGGCCAGCAGGTTTACGACACGGTGAGTTCATCGCTGGCATTCCAGATCAGCCAGGTTACTTCGTTTCCAAGTGGAGGGGGTTAATAAACTCTGTGAGCATTGCAACTGTGGGTTTTTGTTGAATAACATCGCTGCATTTTTTGGTCTAGGTATCTATCTATCGCCGTGAATCATACAAGTATTAGTTACGTAGTCTTCCAAAGAGCCACTGGCAACCCAGTAATGTTAGCCTCCAGCGCAGGCTTGACAAAGCTGAGCTGAGGCTTACCCGAGTGTGCCAGACCCTAGTCGACCCATTATCAAGTCCCATCAAGGCCCTCTTCAGAGTAGAGTGATCCCGCACATCCAAAGAATAAAAAATAAGGAGACATGAACATTAAACATTTGACATGATATTTTTGATTGAAATTGTAACAGGAGTGAAGTTTCTTTCATAACAAGAAGTAAGAGAACACAATCCGTGGATATCAAATAGAACTGCTTTTCTGACGGGGCAGTGATAGCCTCCGACGTCCCCCGAGGCAAGCCCGAGGGTAAAAAATCCAAGTGCTCCGCAATTCGAATTCTAGTTTCCGCCGCCTCCCAAACATGGGCCGGACTCGGTGTTGTTACCGTAGTCCACCCGCCCTTGAACAAAAAATGCTTTCTTTCATTTCACAAATGCCGCCCAAATCCTCGCCGAGTGCTCAATCCTTGAGATGATGTAATTCGAATGCCATGTTGTAAACCATAAACGCCATTCCTTTCTATTCCTCTATAACCCATAGTCGTCATCAAGTCGTGCGAGTTGCGATGCCATGTCGTGTCCTACATTCGATCCATGAGATCGCCACCGGCCAAACTGCTGGTTCCTGAGCTTCTGCCGCTGTGGCTGAAGCCATTATCAGAAAGTAGATCCTGGACAGCCACCTTGGGGACCTGAGGAACAGGAAGTTTTCGCTGAGATCCATCGGGCCGGCTGATGATGTCTGTCAAAGACATCCCAGTAGGGCGAGGCTGGGTAGTGGGGGCAGATCCCTGCTGGAACTGATTCTGCTCGAGATGAGGCTCCATAGGGGCCAGAGCAGGCGTCGTATTGTGCTGGAGAGACAAATTTCGGAGACTTGGCAGCTCATAACCAGTAGAGAAAGGTCGCAGACGAGGAGAGTGAGCAGGAGTGGCGATAGGGGTGTGGTCGGGAGTGGGTGACAGAGAGTCGTGAGAAAATGTTGGCGAAGAGGGAGCTGTAGAGTTGGGGGAGTTGGGCCTTGATCGCTTAGCATGTCGCATGGCGCCAGAGTAGTGGTCATCGCTGGGGTCCTCATTTGAATGAGAGCGGCCCATGTGATAGGAAGAGAGCGTAGGCAAGTGGCCTCGAGAGCTATGCATTCCGTGACCAAAGTAAGGATGATGACGGTGGTTGTTGCTATGGTGAGGAGGAGCAGTCAGAGTCTCACGCTCAACCTGAGTAGCAGCCTTGGCCAGCATGGAAATGTCACCGCCGCGATTGTAGTGAACCGCAGAAACGGGCAGAGCAAAGGTAGAGTATGAGTGAGGAGGAGACACATTGGGTGAAGCCAGTGCAGAGCCAGGGGCAGATCGGATGGTCTTGGGCGCGGGAGGCGGCGCCATCATTCCATCGGGCATCATATGAGGCGGAAGGCCCTGCTGCTGGTGCATTTGGTGCTGCTGCTGCTGGTGTGCTTGAGCCGCCTTGTTACCTCGCCTTGAGTTAGGGTTGTTGTGAATGCGAGAGTGGCGTGTGAGCTCATCAGATCGAGAGAACTTCTTGCTACAGCCGGGAAACTGGCAGGCGTGAGGCTTCTCTCCAGTGTGAGTGCGGATGTGTCGAGTCTGATGCTCGAGGCGGTGGAAGGCCTTATCGCAGAGAGGGCACTTGTAAGGCCGGGGCAACTCATTTGAGTTCTCCGAGTTCTGGACACCCGGAAGGGGGCCATTGGGTTTGATAACGGTCACTGCTGCTGTAGCCATCTCGACGTCGCCCTGTTGGGGTTTCTCGGATTCCTTATCAGCCGGAACTGTGGGGTTAAGTAGATTGGAAAAATCCACGGCCGACTGTGCTCGTTGCATGTGATAGACGTCTGGAAGACCCAACTCTCAACAAAGTAACTGTTATTGAGGTTGGCTGTGGTGGTGGAGTAACTCCAGTGTCGTCGAGATAATGGTGTTTCGTTGTGTGTGAACGGGTATATCGTTCAGGTGGTGATGTTTGTTATTGTTGTTGTCGGGCTGGTACTGAATGAAATTATCCTTCGATTGAGATCTCGGAAGTGAATACGAGTTGGTGGAGGAATCAAGTTCCGGGGAAGCTGGAAGATCGAATGTAGATATTTGGAAAGGACGGAAATCAGGAGGATGGAGGGGATGGGGGGATTGGAAGGTTATAAAAGATGCCGGGCTCGGCACTAGAAGCACGCACTGCACTGCGACGTCGAGGAACAGAGAGGGAGGCGCGAATGGAGCGAGGGTGGAGGGGAAAGAGAGGGAACGAGGGACGGGAAGGGCCAGCGAGGACACCCCCTTCCACAACACACACCCTGTTCACCCCACGTCCGAGGGCACCACGATGGCTTGTAGGTACCTGCTGAGGATACCTGCTGAGAGAAACCGAGCCCGCCAGGCCAGGCAGCGGTAAAAACAGAAGGGGGAGCGCCTACAGGGAAAAGTCACTAGAGGGTCCGGTCTACGCTACAGGGGAGAAGTCCACTGATTTTAGTTGGAGGGCCCCGTGGGCGGCCCCATTGTGGACTCCGCCAGTTGAGTTTTTTTCTTTCTTTTTTTTTTGTGCTCACCTTTTGGCGTGCTTGGCTTGGGCTTGGGGGTGTCTATCTACTACTTCCAAGGGGGTGCATTCAATCTCTAAGATCAGAGGCAGTACGGGGCATGGGGCGTGGGGCGTAGGTATTGCGGGTTTGCGTTTTGTGCCTGCCCCTCCACCTTTTTCTTCTCTTACCCCAGCGGGAGAAGCAGGAGGCTCCAATGGAAGGTGCAACTGGGGCTCTGGAACATGAGCCCCGTTCTTCGGGCCTTATCCTTGGGGGGCATTAACGGGGCGAGCAAGATGAAGAGTCAGTGAGAGAAAAAAAAGACAGCTCAGCTAAGCATAGCACAACACATAAGTGTTTCTGCATGAGGAAGGCCAACTGTCTCTGCCCAATGTGACCTAGATCGAGTGACTCTATTCCGCACAAATGGCCTATCTGTTCATCTCTCCATGTTTATTATACCTGGCTCTGTATCCGCAGTGCGACGATAAGAATGATCTCCCGCTATTGTTATCCGACCCCAGAAGGGAAGTAAGGCAAAATAGAGCGAGTCATACCTTGTCGGCGCGACACGGGCCTGGGGGAGACGGACGGGTAAACTGGGGAACTCTAACGTCACTCCTTTTGGCCAAGATACTTTCGCACTCCCCTTGGCTGAGCATGCCCCGATTCTCTCCTCTCTCTGTTCTGTCTTTCATCACCTCGGCTTTTACATCCCGCCCGCCGACAGCTTTTTTCACCTTGACCTTTTTCCTGTTGTGAATGTGGGGACCCTACTTTTCCAGTCTCATTGGTCCGCTTGAATAGTCCCAATCCTTTCTGGCTCTCTGGCCGCCAATGCCCGAAGAAGCTCGACGGTGAGAGTTTTCAAACGCTCCACTTCACCGTGACTTTCTCCGTCCGCTCTCTCACACTCTCACGCTTTTGCCGGCCCGGAGCGTGGGGCATCAGGCCTTTCTCCCTATGTCGTGCTTGACTGATTGGCCTTCATTCCATCGAGCGGCTCCGACTGTGTTTTCTGCTGTTGTTGTTTATCTGATTTTTTTTTTTTTTTTAGTGTATTCTACGACAAGACGTATTGACTCGTGGGTCGTCTACCTAACATCGTCAACCTCGGGTTACTTATATCAGCATCCGTCTTTGCAAATCCACTATTTGGATTATCGTGGGTGAGGCTCGAGAAGAGACAAAATTGCATGTCGATCTCCATCAGTATCCGTCTGTCATTTTTGCGGTGCACATTTTGTCATGCTCTTTCGCTCAGTAATCAGTAACCAATGTCGTGATAGCCACCAATTGTACGTAATCGTCCGTTTGTAACGTCGGACCTGTACTTCCAGGACCATGTCCTCATCATGCCATACCACAGCATAACTTACCAATTGCAACACCTATACCATGCAGATAACGCTGCGGCGTCCTCCCCCAGTTTCTCCTTTACTCCGTTCTGTCAGGCTAGGAATCATGCTACGATAGCTAGCCCTGAGCTACAGTGGAACCTCCCAGGGACGCAGTCGACAGTACACCCACCTATCTCTCATGGGTCTTGACCAGATATGGAGCTCACGATGCTTCACAGGTGCCACTCCACTGATTATTGACCCTCATTGGCATCCATGGGTTTCTCATTCAGTTGAGATTGAATTTTCATCTCGGCACTATCTTTTGCGCTCCACGAGGGTCACGCTTTCGTGTAAGTCTTGACTAGCACCAAATCTATTACCCCAGAAGTCCACTCACACTTTTCTCCCCAGATTTGAGATAATGATCCTCATGCTATCGATGTCAAAGCCGCCATGGCCGCCAACACCTATCAGAGACTGTTCTGGACCCAATTGTAGGATCCGAGCAGTAAAATGCGCCAAAACACCTGCGGCTTGGTTTGCGATATCGCTCGGCTATTTGTCCGCATAGTTTTGGTGTGTGAAAGCCAAGTCCTTGTGGGGTTGGCCTTTGCCCGGCTAATCACTCTCCCAGCTGATCATGATAAGCACGCAACCGAAAGAATAATGGATCAGAATGGTGAAAGCTCATCTTGGAAGCCTTGTCTAATATTATGAGGAAACTCACCATTTGAATCAATGACTCTCATATCAGCTGCAGCGATATTTGTTCCATGATGACGAAACGTTGCCAAATGTTGAATTGCGCAACGTATCAGTCGGTAGCCGGTAAATGCAACGGCAGTCAGTTATCCTCCTAGCTTATCAGTGCCAATTTGCCAGGCTCCCAAGGACCCTTTCTCATAGACTTGAACTCTGGGATCTTCTGGGCACACACGAGACCAGTTCGTTCACCACCGGCTGCGCTTCAAGTGGTGTTATCTTCATATTGAGCCCCAGTATAATCGGGCCATTCACCGCGACAAACGCGCTCCCCAGAGCCAGTCTCCTCCGTCTCAAGCCGTCGTCTGGGGGTGGGTGATTCCTCCTTGGCACTTGTCCAGGTTCTTATCGTCAGTCTTCGGCGGCATTGTACGGTGTTTCGGTACCCTTGGGGCTAGACCATTTGATGAGCAAAGATAAACCCATAAGCGGACACCTCACGAGTCGCGGCTCTAAGACATTCATAAGTTAATAATTGCCCGTGACAAACAGATTAGTTTACCCCGGTTGCTCATCTTGGTAATTCAAAATTCGCCTCCCCCATACGCCATTATCCCCATCCCCGGATAATCTCCTCATTGCTGACGCTCCTGATTTGCCGGTCCAAGGTCTAGATAGAGCCGCCCCCATACAAATCTCCGCAATCAACCTCATCACGAGATAAGTCGAGATCCATTCCAAACTCCAAACTTGACGTAAAATAGCAATATTCCCCTGTTTTCCAAATTAGTCTATAGCTCCAGGCTCCAGATAGCGGTTGTCCAATTCTAGACATTTTTCTGGCTGCAACTGCGGCTCGGCGGATCGATGGCAACATGTTCCCCAGATTCCACGTCTGATCAGAGTTTTGGCCTAGTCGCCAACACTGTTGATACTCAGGGGTGTCTAAACTCTCAGAGTTCCAATCACAGGCCGTGATAAGCAAAACTTGACTGATATGATACCCTAACCCCAGCCAGATTGTCGCTTTTGGGAAACTGTACGCATCCTGAGCCCCCAGGGGCTTCAATGCCCGCTTAGAGACTCTGAGCATGCCCTTTTGAAAACGTCGTGCCGCCTTTGCACATGTTTTGCTCTTTACTTCCCGGCTTCCGCCAACTGCGACGGCATGTTGGTCTGTCAGTGACCCTGGTACGCCACCTCGTCGTTTGACCTCCCGAGCGACCACTCAATCCCGTTCCTGTGAGCAGATAAGGCAATCCGACCCCCAAACCAGCACCCTAGTTCCTAGGCACTGGGAGGCTCTGTGCCCCATCTTTCTCCAGCTTCCCCTTGTGCGATGGCGCCCCGGACTCAAATGCCTGATGCTGGGTGATAATCCCAGGCGAACTAGCCTAATTGCGGCAATTCCGGGGGATTGATCTGAGATCTTATCCTGGCTCTCGGTGATTCGGAACGGCGAACACCGCCTGCATGGAAGCATATCCTCGACTTCGGCCCGGAGTTCAGATGCCTTCCAGATTCGCCATGGCCTGATGCATCTGCATACTGTAGTCTTGAGCGGCTGAAGGTCTTCTTTGGCTCGCTGATTTCTGCTGCATGCCAGCAATTGCTGCGGTCATAAACAGATGGAGATACCCGTAACAAAGGTCATTGCAGCTCCTGAGGCACTAAAGTGTTTCCAAAAGGGCGAACGGATTCATGAGCCAAGTGTCGTGATAACGAGGCGGAATTGCCCAGCTTGCCGCAGACCCTTACCTGGCCCGCAAACCCTCCCCCTACGCCCTAGACTCAGCATAACAAGATCTCCGATTTAATCAATGCTTGCGGCTATTTCCCCAACTCATATCGTAGCTTCAATCTTGCTCATTGGATGCGCATGTTGATTTGGCCGATAACAGCTACCTAATGCGTTGACATGCGAGATGCGGCAACCCATGTCTTGCCGCTGAGGCCAATGCGCCCGCCCTGAATCCAAGTAACCGGTTAAGATTTACAGCCGCACGGCCTAGAAGCTGATTTGTTTGATGAGCGTCAACGCTGTAGCAATATCATTCATCATCTCTTGAGCAACGCGTCTGGTCACGACTTTAAAGCTCTCGAGGTGCAGCGGTCCAAGGCTAGGCCAGGCAAGAAAACTCAAAACTTGTAGCATAGGTGACAAAAAGACTTAGGTAGGTTCAATATAGACTTATTGTAGACTTAGTGGGCCTTAGACTCGGTATTTCTGGCAGTTTGCCTCAACTCAGAAGTTTTCTTGCTCCCAGAGGCAAGGTTACTGTCTGATACTCACAGTGGATTGCATGTTCAATGCTGCCAGTCTGGGCTTTGCTTTGATTCGAGGCCCTGAGGTGAATAGCCGAGCCAGCGAAAGGCCCGAAAACACGAAGGGGCAGTCATCTCGGTTCGGATCTTAGCAGGCCTGGCTGAGTCGACAGCACTCAGTCAAAGTCTTGCCCCACGTGGTGCGGCAATTGGTGTGTTGTCGCTGCGTTAGTCAGAAAAGATGAAAGCCATCCAGGTACAGATTTCAATCGTTGGTTCTTTGTTAGCAAGGTGCTGGTGGGCTTGGCTTGTGAGAGGCGGCTCCTGTCCAAAGATTCAGGGGTCTAGATCTCTGGCCAACAACAGGTAAGCTCTCTGCGGGGCTCCAGCTTTTTGCCATGCACAAAGACACTGATGCCCCTTGCAGAAAGCCTGCGGCTCATTGAGAGCTGGACTAGACCTAATCAAGGAGGTTAAAGGTTCCTTATCGCCGTACCTATCACCAATGGCATTCAGGCGGGTAATTGAGCAAGACGATTGAATTCTTGCGCAACTCAGAGCCAAGGTTCTAGTAAAATTGTGGTTAAGAAATCTTCATCCCAAGCTGGACCCTCATTTGAACGTTGCATCGTGGGGGCATGACACAGCACAGCTTGAGCCTGTCGTTTGCTCTCAAATCCCGTTATTCCCGTTCATGAACCCGATATTGGCCGAGCCGTACGTGCACTGTCCCTTCTGGTGAATGAGATAACTCTGCGCACAGTAGAGTACTCGGCCTTTTATTCAACACCATCCTGACATCGTCGGAGGGGGCTTTCGGTGAGATGATTGATAGCGCCGAAATCACATGTTCCCCGCAACATTTGCATGAATTTGCTATGGCTTCATACGTTGTCAAAAAGATTGGCCTGTTCGAATTGTATGTCCCTCGTACTGCCGACGTAGTATGGCCCCTCAGCAAATCTCGAGCGACCAGGCAGGCACTCTGGCCTCAAATTTTCACATGCCTCTCCATGATCCCCAAGGGTCTACAGGAAAACCCCATGGGTAGTGTTCCACGACTTCCAGGACATGGTACCTTGCAGCTCTATTGGAACCCACCGCATCTAGCCGTGTGAGACATTTTGGCCATGACACGACTCTTGATGTCTCCAGTGCACGACCACCCTTATAAGCCTCGTTGTGACGAGATTGACTAATGGCAAAACCACAGATAAACTCTTACAAGAGCTCGGAAATGGCGGCGCTAAGTCGGAGGCCGTGTTGCAGCTTAATCAATGTGGGGCGGTCAGTGTTGTAAACAAGTGAACTTGAAGTTCAGATATCAGTGACGATCCAAAGGCCAAGACTTGTCACTGTTTGCGCGTCAGGTTAGCTTTGCCCCGTCACTTGAATACTCGTACTCGTAGAAGATGTAAATACCGGGGACAGGCATGGTGTTGATGCAATGCGAGCACCACCACCAATGGGCAAGACCTTCCAAGCATGGTATTGGAAGATTCAAGAATACCACGCGCATCATACTCCATTCCGTTTGCTTGCATTTCCTTCAACGGCGATACGGCTCGGTTTCCTTATCTCGGTGCCTCAACGGTACTCTCCTATCGTGGCCCAAGACTGTAAACCCAGTGACTTGAAATTTTCGCTTCTCGTCTGGGGTCGAGAGGATGGGGTAGCGTCAATTTCCCCACAGGATCCTCCCGCGGACAACCATGATCTAGACGGGAGTGAGAGATATGTGGCATGACCGTTTCTGGTATGTGAGGATCGGCTGCTCGAGTCAAGGTGATCTACCATGCCATAGTAGATCATGCCGCGCTATCTTGTGTCTGGCTCCTGCATCGGAGGTGTTATGGTAACACACAACCGTACATGTAGCACCATTGGCCTTCTGTGCACACTGCGGACGACGGGAAAGCATGCCGATAGCATGAAGTCAGTCCCCTTTTATTCATGTCTACTCATACACCTTCCCAGGTGTCAACCAAATCTCATCACATATATTCCTAACGACAAACTCAAGACGAAAGTTTGCGACAACTCACTTCTTACGATGACAGTCGCCACTTTACAGCAACTAAAATGCTGGCGACCGACGGTTAAATGCTTTAGGCGAGTTCCATACAACGTTCAAGCATTTTTTCGAATCCCCAGAATCCAACAAATAGGAGAGGCGAGCACCAGAGCTTGTGTGATCGAGAGTAAGAGTATGAATATAGTGTGTTGATTCGTAGTGATCTGGTGTTGTTCAACTAAGCAACTCGCTTGCCACAACCACAGGATTTTCTTCGGGGAACTTATGTCATTGAGAGCTTCAAAAACAGGAGCAAATGTCACATAAGGTTATATTGTCGATAGAAGGCATCACTAGTAATTATCAATTACCTACTTATCGGCGCTGGGAGGTACAAGAGAGTGGCTCATCATGTGACTCTTGGCCAATCACGCGCAAGACTTTGGATTGTGTAAAAGAAGATCCACTTGTAGATGCCTAGATGGACTCAAGGCAAATCTATCAAACATCGTATCGCAATGAGTACTCGCTGAAGATGGATTACCATTCAATTCACGGCTATGACAGAGCAAGCTTTGGCACACCCAACACGCGTTCGTTTTGTAACGATATCCTACGATGTAGGGTCTAAGCTTACCTTGCAACAGACCGACTTCCAACAGTCTCAGCTTCACAGGCTCTTGACGAGCTTGGTAACGACGCGTCAACTCATGTCTCGATTGGGATTGAGGAGTTAGATCGTTCTCTTATTGCCAATATACCAGTTGACTCTCAAGATCCCACTGCCAAAGGTGGTGTTCAACGCGGCCAGGTCACGGAGATCTGGGGTCCCCCTGGTGCTGGCAAGACAGCATTGGGGTGAGTTGGCTGTTGCCCCGTATAGCCATAGAGCTGACTTGTGGGATAGGCTGCAGCTTACAGCAAATGCATTGTGTGATGGCGATGCTGTTGTCTGGGTAGGTCTGTTGATTCCGATCTAACATTCTCATCCTTTCCAAATAGTCAAGCTTACCCTTGCCTCGTAGATTGTTTTCAAGCTCTGCAGCACGACAGACTTCGGGCCGTGACCAATGCAACAAAAACTCGTCGCAACAGTCAAACAAATTCAGCGCTTGATGCATCAGAGACTCAAGAAGGAGACGCTAGTCGATTCTATCATTACTCATGCTTCACTCTCCCCCATCTGGTTGCTCTCGTGTCACGGCCTACCGCCAAGCTGATTCCACACAACTGCTCATTAATGGTCATCAGTTCGCTATCAGCATTGGTTAACTCCGCCTTGCCCAAATCCCACGATGGCAAGGCTACATCTAAGAGCAACAAGGGTATGTAAATGCATTCTCGTCTGTGCAGGGTCTGGCTAATGTCTGCGCAGGTCCAAGTCCATCTGCAAAGCGAACACAAGCATTGCTTTCGATCGTGAATGCCCTTCACAAATTTGCTGCAACGAGAAATTGTGCAGTTGTGGTTCTGTCTCAGTGTGCAACGAAAATGCATTCAGAAAGGGGTGCAACGCTGACAGCCGCGGTCAATGCCAGTGTATGGGAACAAGGGATTTCAACTCGACTTGTCATGTTTCGAGACTGGGCCTGGCAAGAGAACAATCTTACAAGCGTCTTCCTGGCAGGTCTGCAAAAACTGGATGGAAAGGCATGCCAGGAGGTCGTGGAGAACGTCGTCGCATTTAAAGTGGAGTTGGTACGTTCTGTCAGGCACCGAATCCTCGAGCCAGCAATTACTTACATGATTGTTACAGGACGGGGTCAGCCAGGTTCCCTACGAAGCATTACAAACTTTTGAGTTAGCCCGACATAAGCGAAAGCTTGGACAAACAGAACTCGAGGTTCCTGATAGCGAGGATGACGAGGATTACGGATGGGCAGATGAAGATGAAGCGGCCATGCCGGCGCCTCCGCCTCAGTGGCAAGGCAGTGAAGACCTCATTTTGGGCCAAGACATCGGTCAAAGCGAAGACGAAAACAGCGAACAAGAGGAGCCTGTCACTGATGATGAATCGATCATGAAATGAGGCTCTGGACGGAGTCTGGGTGGAGTCTGGGAATTGTTGGGGGATAGTCTCGGCGCCGGTGAAGCACCGAGCATACCAGACTGTAAAGCAGTCTCGCCAGGCATGGGCAGAGCCTCACAGCGAGACAGAGAAGTCAAGATATCCCCACAGAGCGAAATGAAGGAAAACTTGAGCCCCTTTATCAAATAGCCATGGCGGCTCCGCCCTGAGCAAGAAAACAGCGCAAACTGGGATTGCTGGGAGCCACAATAAAGCCGCGCATCATGCTTGCTGGGCCATAGTCGGGTTGCCAAGAAGCTTCGGACAAGTCCGGCCGTAGTCTGATGAGGTTAAGCATCGTGGTTCGTGGTGGGAGGTATTTCGTCATGCTTCATGGTCCCCGGACGAAGACATGCTTCTCGAAGGATAAGAATTTTCGACGAACACACAACCCCAGGACCTAGGTCCCCCAAACAAGCATAGCTTTGCTTGGCGTTTCTCCATCCAGGTCGCCCAAGAATGAACAACGGTTGGGCGGCTGGCGGAGGTTTTACTCTACTAACGTGGCGCTTGGAGGTGCGTGCTCCACCGGGCCGGTTGCTCTATGATGGGGATATTGAAGTACCTACGGGGAAAAGATACTTGTGTGTGCTTGTCTCTGCCCCCGGGTTTTGTACATACACACCACCCTTCCGACCTGGTTGTCGAAAGCTCCTGATAAGTTCATCCCCGAGATTTTCTTTACGACCCTTATTTCTGTGTCATCGACGGTGGCGATTTTGCTGAAGAAAACGTGGACACGCAACCTCTTGGGCTGAAAAGCCAAATGTTCGGAGAAAAGAAGCCCGGGAGAAGATGCATAGAAGCATGGCTGACTCGACGAATGACGCAGCAGTTTCCAGCATGGATGGTGCTATCACCGTCTGTCCTATGTACATAGTACAGCGACCATCTCGCGCAGCTTTTATTAAGCATTAATGGCCCTTGACTTGAAATGGTTTGCCATGCATATCTAAGCCAGTGATACCAGGCTCCGGCGCATTCAACGCATGCAACAGCATGCACAATGCAAACCCGTGTTTTGCCTTCTTATTATGGATACAATGCGCAGTCTTGAAACCCAGTGTACTCTGTTGTTGTGGATAAATCAACACCAAGCACCCAATAACAACGGTCTGCGTGGTGATTTAGAATATACCAGATGAGTCCCATCCGGGCTAAGTACGATATTTGTGACCCAAATGATTCAACATTGCGTGTTCATCCACTCGACAAATCAGTCACCAACATTTATGGCGGCTATCTGGAGGTGAAGTAAAAAGAAAAAGTTTTGAACCCATGCCAGGCACCAGGGGTCTTGGAGATGTCACGGGTTTGCGGACGTTTGACCACACACCGCCGTCGTGGCTTTTTTCTTGTTGAATCGCATCTGCATTCTCACCAATGACTTGGCTTTCTTCGCTGCACAGAATACGGGATGTGCACTAGCATGACTTCAGGCCCACGCCAGATCTCACGATCTGGGATTCACGCAAGTTGGGCCGAGATTGGATTGGATTGGATGCTGCTTTAGAAGCCCACTAGCCTCTGCCTCACAATGCTATGGAACTGCGGTTTGCAGTCGTGCCGAGACATGTCCGCGGTATGGAAAATTCGTTGGTCTTTGCTCAAATATTTGTCGCACTCGAGATGCTTCGGGTACGACACAGATCAATTGGCGACCCATTCTCCCCCATACATGTTGAACAACTTCCATTTTGGAAGGTTGTGGATAGCTACAGGGTCAGCGGTGTAGAATTCAGCAGCCTCATGTAGACTTCGACAGGCAATTGCTCACGGCAGCGAGCGGCTTAAGGTGCATTGAACTTTTTACTGCTGTGCCATATACCACGACTCAATTTCTTGTCTTTGGTTTTACTTCCCACATCAGTGCCTGGGTCAATTCGTTTCCACGGGCAGGCATGCATCAGTCAGTTGTGTGTGAAAAGAATATCCATTCATGACCAGGGTACATGTACAGGGCACTCAGACGATAATCCATCAGCATGGGCCGATGATAGCGGATACCTTCTCGGAGATATCCCCAACCACTGCAACAGCGACTTTTCTGCGCAGTGAACTTGCGATGTCAGGCATGTCTCGTCGCTTGTTGAGGGTTTCAAAGCCCAGTGAATTGACGGAGTTAGGTGCCCCCTCAGTCAATTTGCTCATCCAATTGAGGACTATCGGTGAAATGCCTTGAAGTTGTCGCAAGGCGAACCCCGCGAGATGTGGAATGTTGAAGCATGCGCCCTGACCAGCTTCTGGCCTGATCTTTCGAGTGCCCCAGGATTTCGAGCTCTTGTTACTTCCAATCACAGTTGTTGGTTCCTTGCTTTCCGTAGACCTCCAACTTGGATGCCTTATCGGCACATGCCCGGCAGATGGCCGACGATCTTGCTACATTGACCCCACGGGAAATGCACCGCATTCTTCCACTTGCCTTTTTCCCTTCCTCTGATTTGCTTTTTCCCGGGTGCCCATCTGTATGTAAATATGGATACTGGTGCTACATTGAGGTCTGGGGAACTTGACCATGGCAGGGCATCATAGAGACTGCGGACAATATCGCGTGATGCGAGACACGGGTTTAGACGCCGAACTGTGCGATCGTATCATCCGGAACACCTTCCTCGGCACTCCGTGACGGATGGAATCAACTACGGTCCCATTACCGGGCGCCCGGACTCTGGTGGTCTGGATAACGCGTGATCGATATTCTAGATTGGTAGTCCGGCTCAACATTTGCGTTCTTGGTTTGCCGGCTATGTATGCGCATCAATCAGTCAGCTGCTTTGTCCCCAGACTCCCCGTCGATAGATAGCAGGCTTACAGTATAATTCTGGGGATGAGGAACCATGGGGTCCCCACGGAAAACAGACTCGCTATTCTGTACCCCTAGGAGCGAGCTTATACGTTCACCTGGATACGTGTACTGTGTCTTTGTTTCCTCAGGCTGCCGTGATATGTGGTTCGGGCTGCATTGTATTACAGCTCACAGATTGTCGTAAGCTCTTTTGCGGATCCTAATGGGTCGCATGTTTGGAGAGCGTTCCAGGTCTGTAGTTGACTGGCTCGATTATTGTTCTGTTGCCACATGGATCTCTATACTGGCGATCATGGTTGAGATTGAAGTACTGTACTGCATGATCACGGACCATGTCACTTCTCCATTTGGTTCGATGCACCAACCTAATTGCATTGATGCTATCCATGAACTTGGATAGAAGCTTCCAGCTTAGCCAGCCGCGAGGGGACTGGCATGAAACATACAGATGTGCTTGGCAAGTCCGCTGATTGAACAATTCATCTGGGACTTGCTGCCTTGTTTGAGCATCTTCCAGAACCATGTCCAGTACTATACTCAATATGGTACACAATGAAGGAAACAAGTAACAACTCCCCGATACTTCTGATATCAGCAAGCATTGTCATTATTAGAGACTCTCGGCATGTGCTCGGTATCTATTTTGGACTTGCCGTGAAGCTCACAATATTCCGAGACGTGCATCAGCATCGTACGACAGAACCCCGTTACTTATTTTGACCTTCATGCACGGGTGTAGGGGAGAGTATCAGTAGGCTTGGGGTTTCCAGTGACCGTTATACGTGAAGACCAGTAGTTTCGGGCGAATTGGACTGGTTGTGCGAGGATAACGTTGAGAGTGTAGTCTGGTAGTGCCTATCCATTTTGTGCGTAACGAAGACAAGAATTACTGAGAATACGATTCTCGCTTACTTAGTATCTGTAATAGTCAACGTAAGTCTCAATAGCATATTTCATAACTTGTTGACAACGTTAGCCTACTAAGTCTTCGTCGATGATTCGATGTCGAGTGAACAGATCTAGGGTAACCATCTTTGAACCTCCGAGGTAACGAGCTTGACCGAGGTGAGCCGGGAACGGACAATCTGCAGGCCGATCCCTCTTTGTAGTCGTCCCGTGATCTTATTGGCCAACAATCTCATCGCGACTTCTCTCTTAGCTTCATATTCATTTGAATCAGGGCAGAAGCGAAGTTTAAGTTCAACTCATCATTTACCGTCCTTCTTCATCAATCGACATCAAAATCTAGAGGCATCTTATATCGAAAGATCTGCCGATGTGTTTCAATTGACACAAGGCTTCAAGAGAAGGCGAAACGAGCGGTGGATGAGAACAAAGAAGACTCGAGTAAGATGGCTTCCCTATTTCACTACATCAAACTCCTTCTCAAAATTGCGGAATTCTCGACGAGGCTGAGACTCGACTTTCATGTTCAATTGAAATAGGAGTCTATGGGGTTGTTCTGCACACAATTACTTCACCCTCCTGACACTGCCGTTGTGCTACTGCTCGGTTGTCCGTGAATAAGGTTCTAGGCTTACCACTGATTCAGATCTGTTCCATCACTCGACCGAATTCAAGACCTCGATAGTACACTTCCACACCAAATTTTATGTGGGATATCGTCTTCGCACCTCAAATCTTCATCATGTCTGAAACTCAAACCGAAGAGGTTCGTGCCTCAGTTCCCATGGAGACCAAGGTTGAAGATGTCAAAACCGAGAAGAAGCCATTCTCCTGGCTGTACGTTTATCGATACCGTTCTCTGAACACATATTGACATCAAATAGCGAACCGCATCCCACCTTTGTCATCATACTCGTTGGTCCTGATGAGACTCCTTTCGGCATACAGAAAGATTTCCTCTGCTCTCGATCCGAGTTCTACGAAAAGCACTTTTCAGAAACCAAACCCGATGACAAGATTGAGCACATAGTCAAGCTTTCTGAGACCACAAAGGAAATATTTGGACTGGCTCAGCATTTCCTTTACACGGACAAGGTGATTGCGGACGAGGCCAATCTCCCATCGTACGAGGCTCTTGTTGGACTTTGGAAGCTTGGTCATAAACTCAATATCAAGGGACTGTGTGACAAAGCTCTTACCGCTATGATTGACTGTCGTCGAATCACGGAATCGATCCCAGCTACACCCCTTCTCATCCAGGTCTGGAAGGATACACCTGAAGGCTCATCGATTCGAAAACTGCTGCTGTCATGGACCGCTGAGTACATGCGCTTTTCGGACGCCCGAGCAGAATTTGCCAAGTCGCTACCTCAGGAGGTCCTCAGCGAGCTTGTCGTTGCCATGAGCTCCTTCGACACGGTTCCCGCCCCCGAAGCATCAGCCATCAGTGCTGTCCCTTCTGTGACACCTCGAAAGAACGTTCATTATCTGGAGGACGAGCCTGAGAATGATGCGAAGAAGAGCAGACGAACGAGCGGTGGACTAGTCAGCGCTCCAGCATCAGCAGATCGATCGATCAAAGCTCGCGGATCTTTGCCCAAGCCCGCGCCTCGACGTAGGACTAGTGCTGGCTATGCCGAAGGCCGAGACTTTACCACATCACAAAAGTTGGATTTCTGCGCGGACCTGTTGACAAGAATGTTGTCCGGACCTGGCAAGTTCACCTCTGGCGCCTCTCAAGACAATCGCTAACTTGAAAATAGGATTCTGGACCAGACTCGTCGGCCCTTTTAGAGACGCTGTCGAACCCGTGGAGGATGGCGTGCCTGACTACTTCGAGAAGGTCAAACGACCAATGGACCTTACCACGATCAAGGCCAAGATGGATCGCAAGGAGTATACCAGCGACGAAGAGTTCGTTGCAGACGTACGTCAGATTTTCGATAACTGCTTCACGTATTGGAAGAAGGGAGACCCAATGTGGCTTGCGGGGGAGAAGCTCCAGAAGACGTTCGAAGACAAGTTTTCTCACATGAACAAATGGATTGCCAAGATGGGTGGTGATGAAGCCGACTAGATGGGAGCTCCATCGCGAAGATCCACTAGGGTCCAAGGAGAATCTCCAACTTTGAGGGACGGAAACCAAGGTGATGTTTGAAACGCCTGTATTATACATATATGAGGTGCGCCCTAGCCATCTTGTACCAGACACCGGTTAGGAGACTACAGGATGGGGATACGTGCTTGTGCTAATAAGTAAGGTAATGCGTTTCTTTTGGGCGTCTCTGGGAGGTATGGTAAAAGGAGAGTCGGATCTTTATGTCCGCTCACAGTACAATAGCTCGAGTAATTGATTTATTAAACCTGAGTAAGGTGATCGATCGCTGCATTAGCTGATGATCCTAAGAACTGTCCAAATTAGGTAGAACTAGATTGAGGCACCAAGTGCTCCGGACAACGCCATTTCGCGTTAACGGATATCGAGATGAAGACCAATCTACAGGACATTAACTAGAGCTAAGAAGCACTGACAAGCGCGGGTCTTTTGCCAGTGAACGCTATCGAAGAGGCTGCTTTCCTTGAAGCTGAGAGTGATGGGAAGATACATGATGTGGTGTTATGAGTCACTAGTCTTTATGGGTAGTTGCGTGTCAATTATGCCAGCTCATTCATTGGTAGCTAACCTACGTGTTCCTTGGGCTTGTTCTGTCCAGGTGCGTTGTTGATGTAACCGTCTAAGCGTCTGCGGGAAGCCGGTGATGAGTTGTCAGCGGATTTATACGAAGACAGCACAGCAGCCATGATATTTTCATCGTGACATCAGTATGAAAGTTTATTTCAGCCGCCAAATATTGATGCCACCACGATATCGTACTCAGGCACAACAGAGTGATACAGTCTAAGGAGTAACTACTAGGTAGCAAAGTGATCAAGTCGCGCAAAGGTCAATAGACGCTCAGGTACTGGCTTAGTCTGGGGAACAGGCTCGCATTGAAATTAAGATTGCCACTGACGTTACTGGGTCCAGACTTTGGACCCCTGCCAATTGGTTGCTCTGTGGGTTAAGTGGTTGAGTTAATGGCGCATGACCTTGTCGTTTAAATAACCTGAAACCAAGGCCAAGCCCGCTGAGCGAAAAAGAGAGACGAGGGTTGGTCGTCAGTCCGTGAGAGAGAGCCAATAGAATTGTAGTCAAAGCGCTAGCGATTATATGTGAATCGACCAAATCGATAGAGAATGTGATATTCGACATTAAGTGTCTTACTTTTAGGTACCTAGTAGTCATTGTTGAGACAATTCGTTGTCTAAAAGAACATATTATCCGATACGTACTCGGTCAAAGGACGCCAAGTCTTTGTTCCTGTTCCTGCGTCAGGCGGGCTCTTAGCGCAACGGGCCTCGGGTAGTACCTGCAGCCTCCCACTGGACCCCTGAAGTTACACAACTCACAGTGCTCAAATCAACCACTCAGAGGCTGCAATGAGTGACATGCCCCAGTATTCAGTCTCAGGTACCTGCCGTAAAAGGCAAAACCACCATGCGCTATCTCTTCTTTTTCTCCCCCTCACAGAGACAATAGCCGGGAGAGGTCAGCAAAGAGGCTGATCGCTATTGAAGGAATATCACCCTTTGACGTCAAAAGGAACTTGGCATTTTTCGGTAAAGCATATGCAAGATTGACTCTCGAGTTTGGGCGAGAGACCAACTGATTCTCCAAGATTGCGCTCTTTTACACCATGGCCTAGTAGGGCTTGGCCTGTGTTTTTGTAAGTGGGCGGCTAATTAACCTGGGCTCTCAAATCTATCAACTCGTTAGTTCGTCTTTACTAACAGCTGTCATTTGCCCGAGCTGGCGATCATTTCAGAGGATCTGGGGTGGAAAATATCTCAAATGGGCCATTTGTTAATAGGCAGAAGAAACAAGTCGCACCACAAAGCCATGTGGTATCGTCTTGTTTTACCTTTTCGCTCCAAGGTTGCATCTGCTATTTATCTTCGATAGCTGTTTCAACACAAAACCCTATATCCATGCCTTTCAAACATCTTTTCCTGTCACAAAACGCTCAAACCATCGAGCAACCTCCGTATCAGGTCCCGTTGCCCCCCAGTCCATCCATATTAGGCATGGTGTTTTTCTTGTTGTCCGCGGATTGGTGGTGATTGAAGCAAACCACGATGGGCATTTTAAATTAAAAAATATCAAAAGAATTAGGGGGCCCCTGTCCTTGTTACCCCCGGGAACAGAACCACTGCAGGGCCAGACTGCTTCTGCATGATGCTCCGTCTTGCACCAGCCTATCACGGCCATGAAACCCGTCCCCATTTACCAGGGAAGGAAGGGTCGAGTTTTTGACGGTTCCATTGCTGCTTCCCGAGAGACGAGAGAGACAGAGCCCTTCCTTCCTTAGGCTTGGTGTGGCCCAGTCTCTCACTGCCTCTACTAGTACTTACATGAATGTGCCCCCATCTCGACGACTTCATCTTTTTGATCTTCCCTCACACACCTCTTCGTTCGTCCTTGTTGTCGTCGCTGCTATCCTAGAGAATCGTCCTTTTATCGATACTCGTTCCGTTCTTTAACAACAACAACAGTCGTTTATACTCTGATCCTAGTTTTATCTAGCATTCACTCACTCACTCGCTCGCTCGCTTACCGCTCAACGCAAAACCGCCTTCTCCACCGTCATCGGTATACCCTGTTGTGGCTTTCCTCCCTGTCAGCCAGATCGGACTCGTATAAGCCAACCCAGCTCAACTTCAACTTCGTTCGAATTCCAGCCTTTTTGCTCGTTTGACAAGATGCTTTTCCGAACCATCGCCTCTGTCGCTTTCCTGGCTTGTGCCAGCAACGTTGCTGCCGAGCCCCAGCCTTACAAGCTGGTCAAGGCACCCGTTGAGGGTCTCAGCCTCGCTCGCCGTTCTACTCCCGGATACCAGCCTGATCAGTCAGTCTGCGGTGGCGGCGGTGACACTTGCGCTGAGGCTTGTGGTGCTGGTTACGAGTCTTGCCCTTCCGAGGATGACTCTACCCACTGTTTCAACCCTACCGTTAAGCAGTCTTGCTGCTTTGACGGCACTGGAAGTATGTACACCCAGACTCATTCATCTATGAGTCTTTTCATAGAGCAAACTGAATACTAACTATCTCTCTAGACTCTTGCGATGCGGGTTACTACTGCTCTCATGACACCAAGGCCCAGACCTGGTGCTGCCCTGAATCTATGGATCTTGCTCAGTGTGCCAAGGCGTATGGCGTTAAGGACGGCCTCAAGACCGAGAAGCTCATGACCTCCACCGCTGCTCCCACCGTTGCTACTACCACTGCTGCTCCTACCACCACCTCTGCCCTGGAGACCACCTCGACAACCGTCTACATCATCAGCACCTCTCTTGCCAGCACGGAGCCTGCAACCACCACCAAGTCGGTTGTCGCTAAGACCACGACCAAGGCTGCTAAGACCACCATTGTTGCCCCTAGCTCTGGCTACAGCACGGCTTGGAGTGGTTCCAACAGCACCATCGCCACTGCCGCGCCTACTCAGCCATCTGAGTCCGCTCCTGGCTCTGCCGAGCCTTCCACCATTAGCAGTGGTGCTTCCCTCACTGGCGTCAGTGCCATGCTCCTCGCTGCTGCTGGCTTCTTCGCCCTTCTCTAAGTCACAAACTTCCCCGTGGAAACACTGGTTTTCGCGAGATACCACCCAAAATGACGCTCATGCGTCGTCGCGAATAATGACTCAATGATGAAGAAAGCAACGAAAGGCTTTATGCGTGGAACACGCCAAGTAAGAGGTGGATTGAAAACAAAACACGTGGTGCAATGTCGAGCTACATTATTCTTCTGATGAAATACCCCTTTTTCGATATCCCCATTCTGTTTACGTCTTCAACTGGAGTTGATCGGCTTGGTGTTTTTGGTTGGTTAGGAAAAGAGCATGAGGAGGACGAGTTGAAACGAAATGAGAAACGCTCAGCGCTTGGAACATACATTCTTACGATCGGTATACGGTTTTCGTATACCTTGTTACACCTAAAACTTACTTGCTATTCGTCACGTTGCGAGAGCTTAGTCTCCGCCTCGTATACTTGACATTAATAATTGCCCTGGTAGACAATTTTACTCGACATTGCACACAATTCAACCAAGACATTCTATACAATGATGAGAAACAGTGACGCTTATTTGTGAAATCGTCGCAACAAATGTGAGCCATTGAGAATAGCAAGTATATAAGTCTTACATATCCACTCTTCTCAATGCGCCATGCGCCAATGAGCTGCAACGAACTTAATAGATACTGGACTGTGGTATTACTGTGTTATGTAAGGAGCTGGATGATATATTGATGATCTGGCATGGTTCAATAGCAGCTCATATCCATGTCCTATGTTGTATTGATCTACGCATATCATATCTGTAGATCTGTCTCCATAGACCTTCAGTCAGATACTCCGACGCCTTATGTAATGACATTTGAGGCGCAAGTCCAAGGCCAAATTGGGACTACAGGCAACGAAGTTGTACATTCTCCTACAAAACTCAAGTGCCTGCTACACCACAATGTCATGAGTTGAGGAGTATTACGTGATACTGCACCACCAAGTTTGGGAATCACCGTCAGCTGTGAGTGATGTCACATGTGACCGGGAGCGAAATCCCATGACATGTTGCCCACCAAGGAACACATAACACATAAAGGTCATGCTCCTGGTACGATACGAGTACTCTGCTTTGGAAGTCTGGACGGCATCAATGACGCAAAACGAAAGGGTATGATTTATCTCGGCAGCTAAATACGATGCGTGCTATAGGCAGCGTAAAAGGGAACCACAAAAGGGCTTCTCCCATCTGATCTGATTCCAACATTGTATGGTTTCATATGCGTTTAGATATTCCTGCTCTTGACTTGTTCCGTCGTGGAGGCTTGTCTATTCGAAGTGGTGATTTGGAAGCTTAGTTACCAACGGCCTCGGGAACCTTGTTGGCATCGTAGCCGCATTTCTCCTTGAGCTCCTCAACCAGCTCAACGTACTTGGCCTGAGCGGCCTCGGGGGTGAGCTTTTCCTCCTCAGCAGCCTTCTTCCAGGCGTTGTACTTGGCCTTGCCCTGACAGCGGTGTTAGTTTGTCGCGGGCAAGGAATATAGGCTTCAAAACTTGCCTTGAGGTCGAACATGCCGGGGGCGGTAGCAGCGGAGAAGTCCTCACCGTTGGCGACCTTGTAGAGTCCTGAAAACGTTAGCTGAGAGGTTGAAGACACGAATCAGAGAGACTCTACCGTAGAGCCTGAGAAGATCGTCGGTGTTGGGCTTAGAGGTAAGCTTCTTGGAGTCCTCGACGGCCTTCTGGAAAGATTCAGACATGATGGGCAAAGAAGTGAGAAAGTTGTTGGAGTTATTGGAGGAATCAAGTTTGGAGAAGAAGGTAAGAAAGAGAAGAGCTGTTGGGATGTTTGTTGAGGAACTTAACTTGGCTTCTCCCGTCGTGCGGGTTATAGCGGGGTCATGGGATTCAATGGAGGGGCTCAGGGGCCAAGTTGCGCTGAGTGACGTCGTGATCTGCCATTGGTTACTTTGGGGGACCTTCCCTACCTTCCTTAAGTGAGATGAGAAGGGGATCTGCCGAGGGAAGGAAGTAGCTGCTGGATAATTGCGACTGAATGGTGAAGCGAGGCACGTGGGGAACAGGGGCTATAATTCTTGGAGATACCTATATTATTTATTATGGTATAACGAATGAATATAGACAATGCTTTGTTGATACTACTTACCTATGCATCAATATCGGATGCAAAGCATGAGCACAAGCAAGCTTCGACAGCTCCCCACCTCGGGGTCTGAGACTGAACAAGAGCTCAGCATGAGCTGAACAGAGTAGAAAACCCATACAAATACATCAGCTGAAGCTACGATAGCCTCAAATCAGATATTGCAGTTTCCGACGAGCCTGAAACATAGGCCGTTCCGGAACATCTTTTCGTTACACAGCCTTGAACTCGTCATAGACGAGCTTAGTATTGCTCCGAGACCATCGGGAGCGGAACAATCATGCTCGCTCGGCTTTAAACTTTCACAGCTCACATGTCTCTCCGACGTTAACTACACGTTACATGAGCAACTCAGTTTTGATAAAGAGTGCCACAAACCTCCAAGAAATAACCATCAAGCTCACTTCACATCAATTGATTAATCATGACAAAAACCGTCGTCGTATTAGGCGGTAGCCTAGGCGGTATGGCCGTCACCCATCAACTGCTCAAGTACACGCGACCTCGTGAACAAGATCTCAAAGTTATACTGGTCTCAAAGGTACTCACTCAACAGATTCTGTTCTCTTTACGCTATCGATACTGACAAGCTTACAGAGCAGCCACTTCTACTGGAACCTAGCTTCTGTTCGCGCCATTGTCCCTGGCGTTATAAATGATGATGAGATTTTTGCGCCTATCAAGCCAGGCCTGGATCAGTATCCCGCCGGCAGCGTTGAGTTCATTGTCGGCACCGCTTCTGGCGTTGATCACACGGCCCGTACCGTAACAGTCGATACAGATGCTGGTGCTGATCAGAAGACCGTGCTCAAGTATGATCATCTTGTCATTGCTACTGGTGCCGAAACCGTTGACCCCTCACTCCCTTGGAAAGCATCCAGCTCGCACGAGGAGCTCGTGGAGAGCCTTCACAGCACTGCTGAAAAGGTTGAAAAGGCTACGCATGTTGTTGTCGCCGGTGCCGGAGCTACAGGCGTTGAACTCGCGGGCGAAATTCAATATGCTTATCCCTCGACTACCGTTCTACTCATCTCAGCTGAGGACAAAGTCGTCGCTGGAGACCAGATTGCTGGTAGTGTTGAGTCTGAGCTGAAGCGCCTTGGTGTTGAGATCCGTGCTGGTGTACGATCCAAGGACACGACGGAACTACCAGATGGCAAGACGTTGGTGAAGCTGTCCAATGGGGAGGAGTTGGTGACAGATTTATTCCTCGCGACGATGGGATTGAAGCCAAATTCTGGGTTCCTGCCCAAGGAGTGGCTTACCAAGCAGGGCTATGTCGACGTGGACGATGAGATGCGCGTCAAGAATGCAGAGGGTGTATGGGCAGTTGGAGACGTCGTATCCAAGCCTCGCGCCGCATTCTTGATCACGGAGGCTCAGGCTGCCGGTGTCTTCAAGAACATTGACCTCGTACTCAAAGGCAAGGAACCACAGCCTGTGAGCGGTCCTCGAGTGGATGCTTTTCTATGCGCCACAGGTCGAAGTCGCGGAGCTGGACGCCTAGGCAAAGTTCCGGTGCCATCGCTTGCTGTATGGGCCGTCAAGGGTCGTACATTAGGTCTAGAACGTACCAAGAAGTACGTCAACGGAAGTATGTGGTGATTGAGAATGCGTGTAGTGCAATGCCTGATATCCTATTCAAGAAAGCGCCATGATATTCCTACAAAGTAAAAACAACATACCCACACCCATAATCTAATTAATTCGCCTATCCTCTCTTCTCGTCTTCAATCTCCCGCCTGATCTGCTCAAGAACTTGCTCTCGTGTTCTCAAGTGATTCTCTAGGCCCTCGACCTGCTCCCGGACTGTCTGGAGATCTTCCTGTATGCTCTTGAGACTTCCTCCAGCCGCGCTCTTACCAGTTCCCTCTTCCAATTCCCTAAGTTCTCGTCGCTTGTATTCGAGCAATTGATCGAGTTCCTTCTTAACAAGTGCAGGCTTAGAATCGCGTTTGCCGCCTTTCCGGCGTTCCGCGATCTCCTCCACCTTCTTTATCTTATCCTCGAGGTCCTGGAGCTTGCGCTTCAGTCGAACCTCTTCCCAGTCCTCCGTCTTTTCCGTAGAGAAATCCGTGCCCGAGCTCTTGAAGCCGCTTCGACCCAGGCGCGTTAGGTATTGATCGCCGAACTTAGCCTTACGGCCAGTACTTGTGGTGTCGTCAGCCTTGGTGGCCCATCGCGAGTTAGCGCCTGTTCGCTGGTTGTCGACTTGATAATCAATCTGGTTGCGCTCAAAGCTCGATCGAAGCGACGCCGGAACGGTACGGGGGATTCGGAAACCCTCATGTCGGTAGTTAAGGATATGTAGGAATGCGAGACAAGCATCCTTGTTGATAGTCGATTGCGCCGAGGGGTTGATCAGATTCCAGGCGGATCGGACATCGGTATCGGGAACGTCAAGGGACTCGTAAAGGTCACTAAGCGCATGGACTATGATCGTTAGCTTTATTTCCCAGAATTCAGGTTACCATAGACATACAATCCACCTCGCCGCGCATATCTCGGTTCTCCTGGTAGATCTGCTCGTATTTGGCCTTGTCCGCAGGCTTCATGTACCATTCGAATCCGTCTTTGAGCCCCAGGTCCTCCGAGTCGTCCTCAACCTGCTCGAACTGTACTGACTTTCCGGTGATAGCTTGGCCAGCCTGCACGAGATGAGCCTTGGACTCAGGGACAAGCCAGTCGGGCAATGTCGTCGGCACATCCGCGTATTCCTGAAATTCGTAAGTTACAAAGCCAAAGAACCACTCAGCGACCGTGCCATACTCCGTTGAGAATATCAAAGATAATGCGCATGGCAACGCAAAACTCCTCGAAATCAAGGTTTCCATCATTATCCACGTCCGCAAGATCCCATACTCGTTCTAGCTGATCATCTCGGAGGCCACTGTTCTTCAGAACAGGAGCGGCTTGTTCACCTGTAAGGAACTTGCCGCCTCCTGTTCGCGTAGAGAAGATATTCCAGTACGTTTCAATTTCCTGCGCCTCGATCTTGGGAGCCATGATTACGTCTGGGGGCTATGGACAGCCGCGTGGAGTTATTGTTCGAAGTCGAGTAAAAGCAAAAGGGCGCTCTAATTAAACCGGATTAGAAAGAGATAGAGGCAATCGTTTTGGCGGCGACCGCAGAGGATATTGAATTAGCGAAAAGGCAAAGATGGAGGTTCTGTGGTCAAGGTAGAGTGAGCTGGAGGTTGAATGACGAAGCCAGCTCTCCAGCCACGCCTGGATAGGCCTGCATTTCCCCTGATGCGTCTGCGGCCCCCGCTTAGCCAATATCCAAATTAGCGCATAATCTTACTGGCAAGAAAGTTTGTTGATCAGTGAGAGGATAGAGCATGTAAGTCATTGGCATCACTTATTGAGTTTACTCTTATTCTAGCAAGACTTGAGGATATGTCACTCTTAACAGTACGATTCTACAACATGCATCTGAGTCGCTCGCGAGTTTATGGACAGCATACCGTCACCCCTCTCTAAGCCCAGCCTGTCATAGAGGCTATAGTTCGCTAAGTGTATGTGTTGTCTAAGTTACCGTTGATCGTCACTATGGCATTTTATCATGAACTTACGCCTTTTAGTAAGAGGAGGATAATTTGCATGTTAATAGTTGAGTCCTTGAAACCTATCATCTGGTACACATACGCTAAAACAAGAAGAGGTTCACCGAGAGTGACTGGCCAACAGCCACAGCCCAGGCTTTGAGTGGTTGAGCCCCACTGCCAAATAAGGAAGGGACCTGGAGAGAACCCCCATAAACTCAGCTCTCAATGGCTGATTCACAAGGTTGTGGGCCTGCAGTAGCGGGTAGAGGGGTACGGGTGCCACACCCGATAACTTTTTGGAGGGGCAAATGGTAAAGAAGGCGCGAAACAAATGACCCTTTAAATTAATCCTTTCTTCAGACCGCTTGACCCCGTTCCTCATATATGTATACCCGCTGTCTGTTTGTCTGTGGCGCACCCTGAACTTGAAAAGCATCGCGAACTGTCTCTTCTCCATAACTCAGACTCTTCTGCTGTTTAAATCACCATGTCTACAACAACTACCACTACAACCCAGCCTATCACGGCCGAATCTATGCTCCGTCTCTTCCCGGACATCGACACCAGCTCAGAGCCTCTCTCCGGTCATGATGAGGAGCAAATCCGTCTTATGGATGAGGTCTGCATTGTCCTCGACGAGAATGACAAGCCAATCGGTACCGCCAGCAAGAAGATCTGTAAGGGAAACCGCACCACTATCCAATACCCCCTCTTACTTAGACTATTAGGCCATCTCATGACCAACATCGATAAGGGCCTCCTTCACCGCGCCTTTTCCGTCTTCCTCTTCAACGACAAGAACGAGCTCCTCCTTCAGCAGCGCGCATCTGAAAAGATCACCTTCCCCGATATGTGGACCAACACTTGCTGCTCCCACCCCCTCCACATCCCTACCGAGACTGGCGCTTCCCTTGAAGACTCAATCGCCGGTGTCAAGCGAGCTGCTCAGCGCAAGCTTGAGCACGAGCTGGGTATCAAGAAGGAGCAGGTTCCCTTCGAGGATTTCCATTTCCTCACCCGAATCCACTACAAGGCCCCCAGCGACGGCAAGTGGGGTGAGCACGAGAGTATGTGCATCCAATATTAAATGTTACAGTATCTAATAGCCGGCGCAGTTGACTACATCCTCTTCATCAAGGCCAACGTCGATCTCGACATCAACAAGAACGAGGTCAGAGATACACAATACGTCACTCCCGAGAAGCTCAAGCAACAATTCGACGACCCCAGCCTGGTTTTCACACCTTGGTTCAAGCTCATTTGCAACTCTATGCTCTTCGAGTGGTGGCAGAACCTCGACTCCGGCTTGAATAAGTACATGAACGAGCAGGAGATTAGACGCATGTAACGATATATGGATAACGAGTCAAGGAGAGAAAATGCCTAAAACGAAAGGGGAAGCAGTGTAAGTGCCAGACCCAGACTTGGCATACGGTGCATTGGGTTTTTGCAGTCAATCAGCTTAGATATCCGTTGTTAGATCTTGCTGCGTTAATGTTTACGAGCAACTGAGCCACATTCAATTTGAGACCATTTCACTACCAAATTCACCTATCAAGATGGAGGATACCATGACCAACACCGCCAATCAGAGTCTCACACTTATTCAGCACGGCCGGGCCGTTGGGCATGGTTATCTTGAACTGAACTTCCATGTACGAGCCAATGATCCAGGATCATGATGCTTCGGTTCCCCGCATCATCCGGCATGACATACCGGTGGTGAGTCTTATCAAGTGACACAGTACTGATAAAAGGATTGGTGAGTCCTGGCGCCGTTGCAAGCCGTGGCCATCCACCAACAAACAACATGCATGATGCTCTTTGACAACACCTACTACGACCCTTTCAGTTTGGGCTCCTGCGACTGCATCCAACTGGAACATCGGGGCCAATGACGGTTTTTCTTGGCTTCTCAAATCAAGGGTTTTCGATCTCCTCCACACTCAGCTGCCGGTGGCTTGAGCCTTGACTCGAATCCTGCACAGAACTCCCTACTTCTGTGCTTCCGTGTATTCCACTGTATTCATCGAATTGAGTCCAATCTAGTCTCTAACTGCACAATTGATTGGAGTATCTCGGGACCCGGACTTCACAATCTGCTTTGCCCATGCAACGACAGCGTCACCCCCACGGTGTCGCAGCTGATCATGTGGTCTAGGATCGTCCTGTCAGCAAACACTGTGCTATCCTATCTCGCCTCGATTCCAGACTCGCTATTCACTGTCTCAGAATGGATCCCGAAGCTAGTCAATACCCCACGATAATAGCTGTCATGCATCATCTGGCCAATGGCATGTTGGTTTTCCACCTAGAGGCGCTCCGTATCTATGCTGCCCATCTTGAGGCCCACACGGCGTCTAACCAAGACTCGCCCTACTTAATCCCCCGAACGTTTCCTATCTCTCAGCTCCTCTTTGCTCATCATCTGTCTACTCAGTCACTCATCTCTCTTCCACAGACACTTACTTTGCTGAACTTCAATCTTGACCAGACAACAGCCGCTGGCCACTAACAGGACCCTCAGTCAGGATATCTTGCTAAGCCCTCTCCCAGAGGAGGCTGCTTTGAAGAATAGCCAACTCGGCGTCTTGCTATTGCTGCTACCACGTGCTGCTTGCTGCACTCAATTTCTTTGCACTGTTGACGGTCGTTGACTACTGTCCTGAAACCTCTGAACACTCCCACTTGACAAAACTTCTATCCATTCTCGTGAACTCTCGAAAAGCTTGGACGCTTCGTCGGCGAACTTCGCTCGATACAACCCCCTTCTACTAAGCCGTGATCGCGAGCCTGGCCCGCTCAAGTACCACCTTGATGTCGGTTGAAGTTCGCACCAGCCTTAATTGTCTCCGCCATCCCTCGAGGTTTACGTCCGTTTGCAGAACTCAACTGTCACGAGTTCATACGGGCGATAATTGTCAAAATATACAATGTGAGTCTGGATGCTTGGGCCACGAACTTATCATACTTAATACGCAATGGCGCCCCTTTCATTACCAGGAAGGGGCCCTTAGGTACAGCGAATAAATCCAGTACCGGTTAAACTGCCATCATGGAGACCAGCAAGAATAGTAAAAGTGGTATCCATGGCTCTGGGACATTGGCCAAGTGGCGGCGACGCTCCCTTATACCATCTACCTGGGAAACCTCTGTTCGTTTCGTTAACGTGAACGAGTCTGCGGCAGCTGGTAGTGCGCTGGCCCAGGCCTTTGCAACGGATGCCATGAGTCAGTATGTACTCGACGGCGACGACATGGCAGATTATTCGGATGAACAAAAGTGGAAGCTTCATGTTGACTATATGACTTATATGGTTGCAGCGCACTGCTACAAAGGAATGGTGACAACCATCGGGTCGGACTATGATGCTGTAGCTCTTTGGTACGTGAACCACGACTATAATCGCAATTTGATCTAACAGCCTTTCAGGCTTGCTCCTGGTCAGCAGATGGATGACTGGTGGACTAGTCTTCGCAGTGGTATGTGGAAGCTATACTATCAACTGTCAGCTGAAGGACGGAGACGATACTACGATGAGATGATCCCTGTTCTGGACCAGACCAAGGAAGAGGTCATGGGCGAAAGGAACCAGGATTGCTATTATCTCGTCTACATCGGTACCAAGCCTAATGCCCAAGGCAGAGGTTATGCCGGAAAACTGATCCGCGATATGGTCGCCAAGGTACTACAGTTGATGAGCACTTGTTCCACCTTCCATCGCTAGAGAAAACTAACAAGAGCCAGGCCGATGCTGAACAGCGTCCCATGTATCTTGAGTCCAGCACCGAACATAACAACGGCTACTACGCCAAGTTCGGTTTCGAGGTCAAATGTGACGTCGTCTTTGAGGGAGGCCCCGAGCCCATCACGATGTGGATCATGGTTCGCGAGCCTCAGAAGACTCGCCCCGCTTGTAGCTCTGTTATCGTTTCTGCCGTCAGCAGCGCAGTCAAGTTCTAGGGAGACGAGCCTCTGGTCCTTCCAAATGTCGATACAGGGTCAGAGGCTGGAGTCGAAGAGGTTGAGGATGTCCAGAACGTCACCCATGAGCAACAAGATTGGAAGAAATGTGTTGTGATGTGAGTTCTGGTTGCGCGAGAATTTGCGTTAGTTTACACCGAGTTCGTTGACTCTTGTCATTCTTTTGGACATTGGTATGTTTTGATGATATGAAGCAGTATGGCGCTGGCCTTTTTGTATTGCCAACATATGTCGACAGTCTCTACCGCAATAGCTGTCTATCTCTTCTGTTTTTGCAGTACGCCAACTAGCTCGAGTCATTCATTAGAGAGAAATAACCCATATAAGATTGTCATTCCTTCATAAGCTGGCCCCTCCTGTAACCGTAAACACCGTGCACCTAGCTTTTGTAGTTTGTATTCCGTATAAATTGCCCTTCTCGGAGCCCGCCCCTCATAAACTCAATTCTGATGTTAGTATTCGAGGATTGCCCATGTCTCGTCATCAACTGTGGTGTAGATAAGACCCTGGCCAAGCAGTTCGTCAGCAGCGGTGAGAGCATCCCGCACTGACATGCCAGTAGAGTTGGTGATGACGTTGAGATGGACACCTTCATTGCCACCAGGTGTGTCGTTCATAAAGTTGAACATCTTCTTGGCAAGCCCACTGCAGCCAGCGAGCTTAGTAGGCGCCTGGCCAGCGTTGCCGCCTCCATTGTCATTGTAGCCACCACCATCCACGAACATGCTATCTCCATCTCCATTGGAGCCACCTTGACCACCGAGAGGGCCCTTGGTGAAATAGAGATGAACATATGTAGCCTCGAGCATGTGGTAGTTGACCTCGTTGAAATCCGCCACAGGTCTGATAACATGAGCTCCGACGTGTCGCTTGTTGTTGAAGGACTTGAGACGACCCCAGACACGAACGTGAGACTCCAGCTCGAAACCGGGATCAGCATCGTCCTGCTTGTCGACATCGATCCACTTCTTGACCTCAATCATACCGGTTCCGTCATCGATGTTGAGGGTGATATTTGTAGGTTGAGGCTGGATCTTGCGAATCTGTCCGACGAATGTGATCTGTGTCACGGGGGAACCGTCGATTTTGAAGTCTGCACCAGCGTATGCCTCTTCGGCATCGAGGATCTGCTTGATTGTGACAGGGCGCAAGGACTCATCTTGGTATGACTAGTAGATATGAGAAAGAGTGGTAATTATCAGTTGTAGAGAGTGCGATGTACCTTGCCGCCGGCGCCGCCTTGACTGCCCTGCTGTGAACCACCAGCGAAGAAGCCGCCAGAATCGTCACCTCCTTGGGCGCCATAGCTTGTTTTTGTGAATCCAGAGTAAGCAGCTTTAAAGAAGAGTCAGAAGTGCAATTTTTGGCAGAGGGTGGGTGTCTTATAGTGTACTTACACATGATTGTGGTTGTGTGATGTTTGAGTTGGGCTAGGCAGAGCTCACGGTCAGGACGTGAAGATCAAGAGACGCGTTAAAACGCGCCTTAGTTTAATGGGCTCCATGATGCCCCGCCTTCACTCTGTGGGGCATTGGTTAGTTGCCTTAGTCATCGATGATAGCTTCTGGCGTTATGGAATAGAAGGCACGTGCTTGGGAATTATGATACCTACCTATCCAACAACTCAATGGAGGAAGCATATGCTTTGTTCCATGATAGCGCAAAGAAGAAGCTGATATGGAGTAACCTCTCGTTGATTCGATTGCTGTCTCTGTCAGCCCGAGACATCCTTGGACCTCTCCCAATACGGTAGGCGATCATGCATCTGCCGACATCCTGCCAAAGAGCCATGTTCCATCGCTAGCGAGTCTAAACACGAGGTAATGACCTGGATGGAAAACTATGGCATCGCTTAGAATATGCTACAGCTTTCCGAAGCTTCTCCGCCGGCTTTTCCTGTGTTGGCATCACATCATTTGATATATAAAAATGATCACCATGACTAGCAACGGGTAGCTTGAACCTCGGCAGGAAAAGTGGAACTACCGCCAATGGATCCCGGCTTCGGCGTTCGCCCCGTGTTTCTCCAGGTTTCCTTCCTTCCAAGGTACTTGCCGCAATCACACCTTACCTTTCATACGTCGTTCGGCCATCGGCCACTGTATCCGTAGTTGCTTCTGACATCAACAACTTTCTCCTCTTATTGCTTCTATCACGAAAGCAACCTTCATCCTTTTTGCCCTCTTCTTTGGTTCATCGCTTTTTGCATAGCGTTTACTTCATCTCGTTCTAAACTTGTATAATCAATCACCAGTGGCATCATGGCAAAGCCACAGACCGCGAATCTGCCCCTGATACCACTCGCGCGAGGCACCATCCTTCTCCCCGGCCTTGTCCAGCGAATCCCAGTATCTTCGAACCGTCCCGATATTCCTGCTCTGCTCGCCCACGTTTACGAGCAAGCTGCTACAAAAGGCCCTGATACGCGTATCGACAGTATTCCCATCGCCTGCGTTCCAATTTCGTCTCCTCTTATCAGTGGCAATGGCCAGCGACTCATTGGCGATGCTGAGGATATAGACCCCGCTGAGATCGAGAACGTCCTTCCCGGCTCTGCTAAAAAGACTGACCTGTTCACATTTGGTGTTGCCGCCAAGATCATTGGCATTGATGGAAGAGGAACAGGCGAGTTTGCGCTGCGCGTCGAAGGCACAACCCGTGTCCGAATTGACTCCTTCACCCGCGAACGCCCCTATTTTGAAGCCAAGGTGACATATTTCCACGAAGACTGTAGGCTATTCCATGTAACCGCTTGCCCATCACCTGTAGTTGACTGTTGTTCCAGGCAATGCTACCGATAAACAGACGCAAGACCTGTTTGCTCTCCTAAAAACCCGATCTCGAGAACTCGTCACGATCCTCAGGATTTCCTCCTTGCTTCCTCGAACCCGCGATGGCCCGGTTCTTTCACCAGTCCTTACAAGGCGACTTGAAATGCTAATCATGAGGAAAGAGCTCAACGAGGCTGGTCTTCTTGCCGACTTTATGGCTAATTTGGTTGAGAGCACACATGAGGAGAAACTCGAGGTCCTTGCAGCTCTAGATGTCAAGGTGCGCCTGACCAAGGTCATTGAGTTACTGGAGCGTCAGGTTGGCGGTATCAAGAACAATTTCAAGATCACGACCTTCACCACTATGCCCGTCCAGATCTTGGATCGATTGAACGAAACCAATCAAAACCGAAAGCCAGGCTCGCTACCACAAATCCCTGGCATGGCATTTGTTCCGCCCAATGGACAGATGCCAGGTGGACATGACCAAAACGATGACCAGGAGGCCAATGAGCTTGATGAGCTGAAGCGCAAACTATCCAACGCTAAACTTCCCGCTGATGCTGCCAAGACAGTCGATAGGGAGATGAGACGTCTTCAGAAGATGCAACCCATGAACCAAGAATATCAAGTGACACGCAATTGGCTCGAAACGTTGGCCGAAATCCCCTGGACAGCCACCACGGATGACCGCCTCGGCCCTGATACTCTAAACCGGGCGAGGAAGCAGCTTGACGATGACCATTATGGACTGGATAATGTCAAGAAGAGGCTTATCGAATATCTAGCTGTCCTCAGGCTTAAGCAATCGATCAATGATGAGGTGGAAGAGAAGATCAAGAAGGCACAAGAGGAATTGGGACAGGCTGCCACATCCAATGAGAAAGAGAAGGGAACAGCCGAGGAAGGCTCAGAGATTGAGGGAAGCGCAAAGCCTGAGATGGCTAAGCTTGACATCCTCAAGTCTCAGCGTATGGTGGACAAGTCTCCTATCATGCTCCTCGCTGGTCCCCCTGGCGTAGGAAAGACCAGTCTCGCGCGATCGGTGGCTACAGCTCTTGGCCGCAAATTTCATCGTATCTCACTTGGGGGTGTGAGAGACGAGGCCGAGATTCGGGGACATCGAAGGACCTATGTCGCGGCAATGCCAGGTCTCATTGTGCAGGGTCTCAGGAAAGTCGGCGTTGCCAACCCTGTTTTCCTACTTGATGAGATTGACAAGATCGGGCAAGCCAGCATTCATGGAGATCCTTCAGCTGCCATGTTGGAAGTCCTAGACCCGGAGCAGAACTACAACTTTCAGGATCACTATGTTGGCATGCCGATTGATCTCTCCAAGATCCTTTTCATTGCCACGGCTAACAGCCTGGACACTATCCCCGCCCCTCTGCTTGACCGAATGGAGACTATCTATATCCCTGGCTACACAACACTCGAGAAGCGACACATCGCTATGCAGCACCTCGTCCCTAAGCAGATCAGGGTCAACGGACTGGCCGAGTCTCAGGTTGCATTCAACCAGGAAGTTGTTTCCAAAATCATCGAGTGCTACACTCGAGAATCTGGGGTTCGCAACCTGGAGCGTGAAATTGGCTCTGTTTGCCGTGCTAAAGCTGTCGAGTATGCCGAAGCGAAGGATGGGGGTCACATAGATGATTACCGGTCCGATCTCAGTGTAGAGGATATCGAGAACATTCTAGGCATTGAGAAGTTTGAAGAAGAGATTGCTGAGAAGACGAGCCGCCCCGGTATTGTGACGGGCTTGGTTGCTTATAGTTCCGGTGGTAACGGAAGCATCCTCTTCATTGAGGTCGCTGATATGCCCGGCAATGGGCGGGTTCAGCTCACAGGCAAACTCGGCGATGTGCTGAAGGAAAGTGTTGAGGTTGCCTTGACCTGGGTCAAAGCACATGCTTTCGAGCTAGGTCTCACTCCAGAGCCCACCACGGATATCATGAAGGAGCGTAGCATCCATGTGCACTGTCCATCGGGCGCTATTCCCAAGGACGGTCCCAGCAGTGGTATTGGCCAGGCCATCGCACTCATCTCCTTGTTCTCGGGGAAGCCGGTACCACCAACCATGGCAATGACGGTATGTTATTAGACTCGCTGTGGACTTTAGATGACTCAGTATGCTAACAATATTGTGTGAAACAGGGCGAGATTTCTCTCCGGGGCAGAGTTACAGCCGTCGGAGGTATCAAGGAGAAACTCATCGGCGCCCTCCGAGCTGGCGTCAAGACTGTGTTACTTCCGGCCCAGAACCGCAAGGATGTCAAAGATCTTCCGCAGGAGGTCAAAGATGGACTCGAGATCCTTCACGTCAGGTAAGCTACCCCTTACTTAAAGCAATCTCTTTGTAACACTCTCAACCCTGCTGCCTATATGCCCTGACGACAGGATTATGGTTTCACTGACACATGTCTTGGATAGCCATATCTGGGAGGCGATTCGTCTTGTCTGGCCAGACTCGCATTGGGCAGAGGACACTAACTACCGAGGCATCGAGAGTCGACTCTAATGCTATGGACAAGTTGTGTCAGCTGTGCTATCGCCCGTGAACAATGTCTCGCCGGTATACACCAACCTTCTCTGCATCTTTGAAACGATCCGTGGCGACTTAATCGACCGCATCGCAAGTCTGCCCTTCAAGACGGGTGTGGCCTATCTAGCCTCACCAAGATGGCCCAAACCAGCCCTCTTTGCGACGCATCTATCCGGTTCACCAAACAGCTCTTCGTCTCACAAAACCTCCTCTCCCGTGATTCCACGTTGTCCTTGCCGGCGATTCTAGCCATCGCGCCCTTGCGCACACACATACTTACTTCTATTCGAGACAGCTAGAAGGGCCTGACTGTGGCGCCTACTGGAGTTGCATGCCTTGCCCCAAGGCGATGATGCATCATGCACTTTCTTCTCATATAAAGTCAAAGCCTGTGCCAGACTGGAACGGTAGACGTAACGCCACAGGGAGCCAAGCGAGTCTGTGAATTTTACCGTGCTACACCAAAACTGAATCGGTCAGGGGGCGTAGAATACGGCACCCGATTTGAGATTTGTCTTTTGGCTGATCTGTTGCTATCTTCCGAAAGTCATTGTGGACGATACTTGCATATGAGACATCAGTACACCTTCGGCAGGCGATTCCCGAGCTAGAGTGTCGATTCCAACAAGCAGAACTTTGTCGTTTATGATCGGCGAATGGAGTCTTCAAATCGGCGTTCATTGTCTCGGTTTACTTCCTCGTCTAGCATCTCTCAACTCAGATTCCATGCCTACACTTAGTACAGTAGATCCAGATATCTTTAGCGTGTCAAAATCTTTCTCAACTTATCCCTCGCTGTCTTGGTTTCACATGTCTTAGCACAAGTTGCCATGTCAAGAAGCTCCAACGAACCCAGAGCTTTGTAACCATACCCAAGATATATTTCGTGACAGAATAGAGATTTCATTACCCCAAGGTCAACAAAAATCTCAGTCCAATTGATGGCAACTAGTCTTAGAGAGACAAGCCGGCAGGTAGCTTAAAGCTCGGCTCCGAATGTGAAGCATTCGCCTAATTAACATGTATGCAGCCATCTCTCGCTAGCTGGCTCATAGCTCATCGCGGCAACTTTGGCACATGGCTGCCCTAGCTGCCCTAGCTGCCCAAGCCCTCGGTGACTGAAGGGAGGGAGAGACATCTAGAGAAGCAAGCCTTGACGCCACATTCTCGAACTGACAGCAAGCTGAAGGGAGTCTGGTAGTCCAAATTCAGAGGCACAAGGTCGACATCTTGACACTAAAAGTGAGCTGAATCTGGCGCTTCGTCATTGTAAGCCCTGCTCCACTGTTGGCCAGGCAGCCGATCGTCGAAACCAGTGCCGGCTGAAGCTATCCCCATATTGCTGCTCTGTACTTGTTAGGCCAATGCCTTCAGCTTCAAGCATCAAGCACTCTTTCATTCTCCGGCTTACAGGGTTAATCCTCTTAATCACAGTCCTATTCTCGATCTATGATGAATAATGTGTCATGGCCTCGGGGTCCGCGAACTGGAGTGGGCTAAATTGCTTTTTCCACGTCGTTAGGAGATTCGATAGCGGCATGACGGCCCCCTCACTTGGGTGGCGCCGTAGATATTCCAACGAGGCGGTACACGATAGCCAGTTCACCTAAGTTCTCATCAACAATCAGATCATAATCAACAAGAAATCTAAAACGCAGGTTCGAATGCAAGACAGGTGCGTATCCTTTCAGCATTGTACCCCCTTTTTTTGGTTCCTAAATGTCTTTGATGAGCAAGAGCTGCGAGATGGCCTATATCGGAGAAAGAAGCAATAAGACGGTATTCATTTTCATCTCGCAGCACATACCCTCAGACTGATTATGATGCATGAGCTCCCCGCTACAAATCAGGTACCGGCAATACTCTCTGAGACAATAAGCCACCTCAACACTTCAGCACGCGGTAGTGGGCCTGTACGAGAAATCAAATTCGCGTGGCCATCCTTGCGAGTTCTGAGATCAGCCGAAAGCTCAGGAGATGGAGATGGTACCGCAAAGTGTTGTACGAGATGCTCCACATCGGGAGCCTTGCAATGGCCTGCCATTAACCACCGCCTCATTGTTGTCTTGGTTATGTCTGTCACAGTGATAGCCATTGCCGATGTGAGCAGATGAGAAACCAAGGAGGCAGTTACCCGCGTGTAATGGGTTGGCACAACCTACAACCACACGGCCGCGTCCCAGGCCTCCGGGCTCGTGGTCATCAAGTCCCCCGTGTTGTACAATACATGTCTCGGGAATCCTCCCTCTGTGGTCCAGTATGCGTCGCCAGAGATCGATGGCAAGTGGCCTAGCATGTTACAAAACCGTTGGCTGGGCAAGGTCAACAACCCCTAGTTTGGCACTATGTGCAGTTGCATTTCTTGGGTGTCGAAAGGCATGCATCCTTTGGAGGGACCTGTCCCACGAAATTGCAAATCTGCATCAAGTCATCATAGAATTCCCACTCAAAACAAGGTACCGTTCTCGAAACGGAGAGGAATATTTACGCCTGGTTGGTCACATTAGGGGTGAGTATGAGACGCTGATAAGTTGAGGTCTCGTGAGATGCCCGAGACAGACTGGAGATCCTGTCGATCCCAGAGGGAGCTGAGCACCTTGAATCCTGCCATGTCTTAATGCTAGTATCTTGCCATTGCTCAGTGGATATTGGATAACATCATCCATGCTGTGATATGCATTCTCATGGGTCATCCTCTCCACCGCTCACAAGCTATCGATTCTACAGGGTGTCAACAACATGGGCAGGCATCTGGCTGGCGCAACATAGTGCTGTCTGTGCGAGGTGACGTACGGTATTGCCGACCTGGGGGGCTAGCAGAGATGAGATAGTGCTGGCCTAGTCTGAATTTGAAGCTTGATCCCCAGGGTTCATAATAACCCATGACATCGTGCTGTCATATCATGTTCTTCAAGGCCTCAAGCAACAGACCAGCCGCAGAAACCTACGCAAAACTAGCGCTGCCCCTATCAGAGCACGACGGCACCAGCCGTCGTGGTCAAGGCTGATGACGGGCCGAACACTCTGTTCAAGAAGAGTCCCAGCTTGAGCAAGCCATGTTGAAACTGATAAACATCACATCGTGGGCAAGAATATCGACGCCGACAAAGAACATTCTGAGCCTGTCAGTTATGTTTTCCTCATGCTAATCGTCTCTCAATAAGCCCAGATCCCTGGTCGACAGGGTCTGATGAGATGAATGGCACCCCCAGATGATCGTACAAGTAGCTGGCAGCCAGCCTGCTGGAACTTCATCCTCATAGCGGACTCGGCTCGGCTCTGCCCAAAGTGTCAAAGGGCCGTGCCAGGGAGAGGGGCCCGCTCAAGCTGCCGGGCACATAATCGAATCTTGGTTGAGGGTTTCAAACATAAGTGAGATGAAATAGACGGATCCTAGAAATGGAATGGCTCATGACACTGATGGTGTTTACAGTTCAGTCATTAGCTACCATTTTGCGGGGATGGGGCACCAATAGAAGCAGGTGTGTGAGAAAAGCCACAACAGCTCTCGTTGAGCTGCAGTGTCTTGGATCCATGGGCAAAACAGACTGTGGTCGCGACTCTTGGAGTCGTACGATGGACGACATCAAGTTGGCTATAGCCGCAATAGCGCTCCCACGAGCTGCATGAAAAGTTACTTTTTTTTTTGTGCCGTATCGAAGGCGTTGGACATAGACTTTGATGGTTATCAAGTCCGTGGCTCAGGCCCATAAGTAGCAGGTCGATGGTTTGGCATGCTGCGGCCGGCCCAAGAGGGTAGTTCGATGACAAGCGACATCTCCTGGTCCTGTAATCGCTACAGTAAAAGTCTGCCTTCGAGTGTGGTCAATGTTGTAACTGCCCTGTCCTGTAACTACTGCACTGTGATTAGGGCCGCTGATGAGGTTGGTTTGCATGCTCATGTGGAGAGGCGGACGGGGGTCCACTGCCATGTGTCCGTCCCCTACCCGAAGTGTCCACGAGCTTCCTTCCCAAGAGGCGCGTATCATTGCAGGGACTGACGTTGCCTTATCCTAGTAGATACCCTAAAGTCGGGAGAGCCAACATGAGGACTGTGCCATCGCTGTCAAATCCCCATGTATGCCTTTGGCTGAACGCCACACCGAAGTAGTCTGGACAGGATGTGGTTGGCTGGTTGCGGCCTCAAGGATGTCGGAAAATTCTCAGAGTCAAGTTGAAAATGTTGGGGATGAGCAGGCACGGCATTGGAGGCCTTTGGTAGCGGCACTGGCAAGCTGAAAGAAGATGATGGTCAACGTCTGGCCTCGTGCTAAATCTCCGCTTTACGGCATTCTGAAGTAAAAGACCCTAGTGGTAGCAGCCCGTACGAGCGATGATACTGTCCGATACATGATCTGCAGTGCCATCATCGCAAGCAAGGATCAGGCTGGTGGTTGCTGGTGCTTCTCCATTGCTGGCGGTTGCTAATTTCCGCACGTTGCTAAACCTGACCGTTGGCTTGGTAGACCAACGAGAGGTCAGGCTCATGGCTCTTTGGTGATTTAGTTCTGGGTTAGGGTTCCCTGCTGTCGCTGAGTGATGCAAGGCGCGTTTTCACATTTCCCCGCCTGATCAGGCAAGCGGGTGGGTTGATTGATTGATTGATTATCTGCAAGGTCGTAAGCCGTTTTTCTTTGGCACTGCCGATCGGATCAGACGCTAATAAGCTTTCCATACGGCTGGTTCTCAGGTTCTAATCCTATGGTATCACTCGGTCTAACATTGGTAAAGGATATAGATGGTATGATCAAATTGAAGAGACATTCCGATGGTGCTGGAAGAGCAAAAGGGCTCCGAGTTGGTAATTACAGCATGGAAGGCCTAGACCCCCCACCCACCTCGTATTTGATATCCATTGTATGTATTGGCTCCCGCCGTCTGCTCCTTCTCGGACAAGCTAAGGTACTCCTGCTATCATCCGGTACCTATGAAACAACCAAGAGCACTTGGCATTCCCTGGGGAGCAAGAAGACTTGCGATGTTAAGCTACGGTGCCAGAATTAACTGATCAAAAGGCATGCGAAGGTGCACTAAACTGACCTAAGTCTTTTTTATGACTTAGAAAAGAAGTCCTACTTTTTCTTTCGATGTCTGTTAGCTCATGAAGTAAAGTGGTAAGCTATAGCAGGTCAGCATTGTGATATTATCTGTCTCGAGTTTCAGCTCTATCTGATATTCACCTTCATCCCTGTCCATACTATTCTTTTCGCTATTATCCACCAGCGATATGCTTCGCAAGCTACGTGATCTTGTATGGATCTGTATAGTTCACCACTAGCTGGGATTGTGTTCGTTCAATTGCAGATCGATATATGCCCGGGCGCCTCATGCCTTTCCGAGGGTTCTTATTTGTCCCTTGAAGTGTGTCGCTCTGATGAGATCTGACGATCTCATGCTGTGTACCCAGCATATTTACACACGCATCTCGCATCCGGCGCCTCTTTCGATGTGCAGGTTGTCGCACCGAGACTCAAGGAGAATTTGTCTCTAGCAAATGCAGTGTAGGGTAGCATTGCGGGCTGCACACGCAGAAAAACGAACACAATCCCTGTTAAGGAACATACATAATAAATCAGGCTATCATCCAATGACGGGGTGCCCGTCTCGCCGTCCTTCTGTGGTGGAGCTGCCCTGCTTGATCGAAATGCCCTCATCCCTCGCAACTTTTCTGGTTCTTTGGTGGTGGACTTCCGACTCATTGGGCAGCACCAAAGACATGGCTTGGTAGGCTAAGTGCCCATGCTCAATGGTGACTGAACCGTATTTCTTTGGACGTTCCAGACCTTTTATTTTGCCACGATAGGAGCATTTCTTCAGCAGGTGTCTTACACCGGTGTGCCACACACGCCTACCATGTCCGACAACATCCGCGTCATGAAACTCCCAAAGTTGAAGAACAGAAGCAGAGCTTGCATTGCATTGCCTTGCATCGCATCGCATTGCGCCCCTTCTTCTGCCTCCGTCGCAATGGTCACACCCTGACTTGCTTTTCCTGTCTGAGATTCACACGGGAAGCATCGCTAGGCAGATGTGATAACCTTTGCGTCGGTAGGGGGCGTCGCAACTTGAAGGGATGAACCGCCATGTTCTGTACCCGAGAACTTGGATTCGATGCAATGGTCTCCCTTCCCAATGTGCTATAACCTTTCACGTCCAATCAACGCTTTTTAAACTCGAAGCCAAACCGACTCAGAAGAAACGGTACTGCTGCATGCCAACGTCACAGCCAGCACAATTGCCCGATAGCTTAACCACCGCTTCGCTAGCTTATTAACAGCGTCCGTCGCCGCCACCTATATCCACACCGAACCATCCTGCCGGTAGTGCCACTTTTCTTTTTATACGAATAACCTTCCCGGAGATTTCTTTCAGGAACAGAGCCGAAGCATCGAGCCAGCTCGCCTTGGCAATTGGGCAATGAATTGCGCTGGGTGTATGAACAAAGCCAACAGCGAGATACGGTGACTCAGAAGAGGGGCGAGTCTGGATTGGAAAACCCAATGGGAATGGGCTCTGCCTGATCCCATCGGCCAACTCTTACCCATTTCTAAGGCTGTTGTTGTGTGGGTGAGACACTCAAGAAAACCGGCAGTGTTGACTTTACTGCTTCAGCCTCTTTGCAATTAAGACCTACGGTGAGGACGTGACTCGTCCCATCAAGCCTGCTAGACATGGACTAGCAGCCTCCCATGTCTCAATAGTGAGGGCTAGACTCCAGCATACCGAGAGGCCCCTACCTACTTGGCTAGGTACTCTTTCAAGGCTTGGCCGACATACATACCACACCACCATGCTTGTCAGGTCCGTCGTGGGGTTAACAGCTGAACAGGGGTCGACCGTTATTCATTCTGTCGGCGCGACTGGAGAAGTAAGGAATAAAAACGAGAAACAACCTAGACCTGAGCTTGAAAGCTCCCAAATATAGACATAGCGCCTGCCATCATCCCTAGACACGCCAATAAATGTTCCAGGGGAAAATTGATGGCGTTGGGCTCTGGACGAAGTATTTGACGGCTTGATATGACGATCGTGGCTTGAACCTTGTCCACCAACCAACTTCATCATTGCCTAACGGTTCTGGATCATGTAAAAAAAGGACTTGTAAATGTATACATACGCATCGTGAAGCCATATCCCAGCATTTGGTTCGTGGCTTGTCAGAGGTTGCTGCCTGGGGTGCCTGGAGCAATGTAGCCCTCGTGGTTTTACCACAATGGCACAACTGTTGGTGTCTAGCAGTCAACAAACCATTACCAACATGTTCTGGACCACAAGGTACTTCCCCAGTAAGCTGCATGAATAGACAGTCGATCACCACAAACTATGCTTTTTCTTCCTCATCTACCTTCGGAGTATATGTGGCATCAGATGTGTTTGCCACAAGAGTCAAGCCAGATACGATCAAAGTAGTGGATCTCAGGCGATGCCCGAGTTCTGAAAGAGCTCCCTGCTGCATGCAGTAGAGAAGAGAAGAGGGTTTTGGTCCATGTATCTATCCCTGCCTCGTGAGCGTTTCTAGACCTTGTATGATAGATCACACGAGTTTCGGGGTCTGAGCTGAACAAGAACTGCCATAGCGATCGTAATTGTCCCCCCTCCCCCAATATTGTTGTAAATCGATGCATTTTCAGCTTTGTTTTGATTCATCTCGTGTTGAATCAAAAGACATCAGACATTGACTGTATGTCATCGACTACCACGGATAGGAACATCTCGTACTGATCGCGTGCAAGTGGACATAACGATGACTAGTTTTGGGCTCCTAGCCAAGTAATGACCATTAGCCAGTTTCGATGTATTGTCAGTCTTCCAACCATTTTTGTTAGCCGTGGCATCTTTGCTTAGGCGCCATGGTTGTCATGACCAAGAAACTAGGGGTAACAGGTAGGGGCCAGACTTTGGCTCGGGGGATTTTTAGCCATTGGGCCAGAGCTGGTCTGACATAACGGTCGCAACTAGGCCCAACACAGACTCGCTTACTGCAGTCAAGGCCAAGTGACCTGTCACCAAATATAAATTTCCCTGAAGCTTGAATCTCCCCGAAAATAGTCAGTTGGTATCAGAACCATTACACTGCCATCCAGCCAGGAGAACATACCCCGAGGCGATTAGAAGAACTACGCCCCAAGTTTTGGCAAATTATAGCATGCATAGAGTGAGACCCTGTTGCAATATAGCTGCGTGACCCTCTTCTGTTGTATGGCGTGGGAGGTCAATATGCCAATTCGACATATTAATCGAGCTTTAGACGAGATTCCAGAAGCAGTCTGTTGTGCCACACCTTGAGCTAAGATTGTGACCAAAGGTATTGCAGCCAATACACTCTCCTCCATACATAATACAACTTTGTCTCGTTTGTGTGTATTGAGACTGTGCAAACGATTCTCCGTCTTCATCGAGCTTGCATGGTCGTAATGTGACTTTCTGGGGTGATAGTGAGGAGCGGCCGCTCGGAGGAGGAGTGCCGATGTAGAGGCACGACAACGACGTCGAAAATTAGTGACGGCGGCGGTGGCGGCGCAAAACATCCTTGGAACCGGAGATTTAATCATGGCCGCAGACGTCGACAAGATGCGATAATATGCACTGGTGCCCATAAGCAACATGGCTCATCCGGTAATGCCATGCGCATGCCATGCTTGGCCCGCTTGAGCGACAAGGGTATTTATCTGTCTGGGCCGCCATCACCGCAAATCAAGCTCAACGATTAAAGATCTAGCGCTCACCAAGACGGAAAATTTGTCTGCGTATGTGTCCACGATGGTACTGTTGCATTCACTAGATGGTACGGACTGCTCCTTTTCCTGTGTGCGCAGTGCAGGGTCCAGATGTATTCCTGCGCAATACCTACCTGATGGAACTCGGAGTGGTCGGTGGGATCGCACTAGCCGCAGAATCCAGTAGTCAGCCGTTTATTAAAGGCTGCAGTAGTCAACGGCAACGTCATGAAAACTTGATTAGACGCCAAACCACACAACTCGAGTCAGTTTCGAAGCGACTCCATGCAACAGCTGGAAAGGAAGACAGGGTGTCGAGAAGACCAGACGACTGAGGCAGCCAGGTTCGGATGTTTCCCTTCACGCTGTAGCTAGTTGAAATGAAGGCCCGCCCAGAGCTTTCCAACCTGACACTATGCACCTGGCAGTGACAGCTGCATAGTGGGGGGAAGAAATCTGCTAGTAGAGGGAGCCTGAAGAGCTGCTTGCACTCCGAAGATGATGTGAAGCCACAGCTAGCATGTTTGACCATCATAAAATAAAGCCTGCTCTGACTTTATTGATAGGCAAGTGCATCTGGATCATTTGTGAGGGCCTATGTCTGTATCATCGAAGTATCTACTCCGTACCTGTGAGTAGAACGTCTGCATAGCACCTTATAGTGAGATCTGAGTGTCCCTCGTCACGGGCCGGACTGCCACCCTAGCCACCTTATCGACTCGGGATGTTCCTAATAGCACTGGGTCGGAGTCTTCGAACCTGCGATGCGTCATCAACGATCCCCTGGATCATGTGCTCGGTTGCAGAAGAAAAGGATGCCCCCACAAGATAGTGGGAGCCGATGCGGCGTATCGTCTTGTGTTGCTCACCATGTTGTGATCTGGCTCCTAGGCATGAGCGAGTCTCGAGTCGAAAACGTATTGTTGAAGAACCAGAGGACAGGGATAATACGTGGTACAACTGACTGGGGCTAAACCTTGCACCCTGACACCAGATCTCACGGCATTACGCGCCTGGATTTCTCGGCATGCTGTAACGTCAGTATTTCGATGCACTGTTTATTGGGAGGCAATAGAAGAAGAATGTTTGTAGCTACGCATGTAGAGACTGCGATATCAAGCAAAGGTTAGAAAAAGTTAATCGGTGCTGGCCATGGTTGGAGTTGAGCTGGCTAGGTAGCTACCTTAGGTAGGTTCCTTCCAATCTAAGTTGGAGGTAAGCACAACCTCGAAAAGTGACTGGGTTAGCAAACCCAGGTGCCATGGATGCAATTACCTGTTGTAGAGAACAATGACAAGGCCCCGTGTCAACCAGAAGGCGCTTTCCTCAAGTGGGCCCTGTCTACAAGCTTCACCAAGGGAAAGAGGCGAACAAGGTATGAGTGAGGCCTCTACATGTCACGGCGATATCACAACACTTACAAGCTACTAATCTATCTGCCATGAGAATTGTGACGTATGTATTGACGAAGAGCAATCTACACCAAATCTTCTCTATTTCAGGGATCAAGGCCACCTACCACAGTACAACCAAAGCACCTAGCGCCTAGCACCTAGCGCCTAGCACCTGGCTCCTTGGCCATGTCATGTTCCTGTGAGGATCCAGCCACCTTTTCCTCGTCTTCCGCGCCGCCCGTCGCTGTCGCTATGTCTGGCTAGATTCGCGATACTAGCCTGGGGGCTAGGTGTCCCATGCCCCAGGGTCCGATATCCCAGGCCACTGGGGCTCGTTTGAGGGCTGATGGACGTTGAACGTTGCCGGCCGGAACAATAAAGCTAAACTTGTCTGAGCCAATATCGCTTGGATCGCCATCGCCCCAAACCCCAAACGGCGCTCTATCCTTCTCCTATCACGGTGATACAGTACCTAGTGGGTTAATAAAGCGTCAACTATGTTCAGACAAGCCTCACAAGATACTAATAAGCGAGGCATGGAGCGGAAAACTCCCGACCTCCATTTTGTACAGGCCCAACCCGCATCTCATCTTGCTTGACCACTGTTTCTTGCATCACCATCTATTACTTGGCCCCCGTTTCCAGGAAACCCTAGCTGCAACCTCGGCCCTGCGCCCCTGAGTTTTCTCCGTCCATACCCCAGTATCAGGACAACAGGCCTCTCTGTATCCGTACCTCAGTTAGTTCCTATTGCAGTCGCAGGCATCATGAATGGCCTCGTTAATTCGGAGCACCGGCCGAACAATCGCTACCGGTTTTCACAACGTGGCTTTGCCTTCAGTTTAAACACTACCTATACTGGAAACCCTAAGTCCACCAAGAGTACCAGTCATGAACGCCAACAACATAAACTAAAGCCACCGCTAACATACACGCCCTGAAGGGATAGTGTAATTAACACCCCATATTGCGGCCAACCCGTGAAGCTTGCGAGACTTGGAGCTTTCGGTACCTGAATTCGTCCCTATCAATCATGTTTATTATGGACAGAGGACAAGTTTGTGAGCCAGTCGCATACGAGCTCCACCTTGACCTTCCTGTGCACATCCGCGTGCAATGAACTACACTGTATTTGCGCAACTGATATACGATGCACAGCGTCGACGTTGAATGTCTATTCAAGGGCGGACAGATCAGATCTACTAGTAATATGAGGTCGACACTTGGATTCTCTCGGGGTCTGAAGCTCCCAGCCACGAACGTCGTGAAGGGCACGATCAATTAACTACAACTCAGCCCACTTGCTGTGGCCCATGGGCCATCAATTGGCCAATGCCTTTCTGCCCTCACTCGACTTTCTTCGACTGGCCACTCACCCTGTCCCAATGGTTCCTGAGAGTCTATCATTCTTTGAGCTTCCACAAATGACTTCACAGTGGCTTATCTTGGTCGTGAGCTGTGGTGTTTCCGGATTTCCTGGACAAAGTATGTCATGGGTTTCGACAAAAAGTGCTTTCGAGTTCTGTAATCACTCGCATGCTGCTCAATAACCAACAATTAAACAAACGTCCATACCCTAGTTTGAACTTTGTAGTTTGGCTGACTACCATGATCCTTGGCCACGAACGCACATATGTAAATCATGTGTCCTTCTTGACTTACACCGTTGTAGGGTTACCAAGCAAGTTGGCACCAAGGTGCTGGTTGGGTCAGGTTTGCTGGGTTCTCAGGGTTTTCTTTGTCGCACCCCTCCCCCCTCGGCCGGGCGTTGAGCTCTCGACAACCTTCATAACGGGCCACCAAGACTATCTCCACAAGCCCTGAAGTATACACTCAGGGCCCTAGTCTAGCTTGCTTGGACTGGGCTGGACTGGGCTGGGCTGTCCCATTGCGCGGGCCCTTACTCGACAAAGACAAGACTCCAGTATCGTACCAGGTCAAGTTTGTTAACACCTGCATTTATTTACATTTACATCTCTGTCTTTCGTCTGAGTCTTAGTTTTGGTCTCAGGCGTAGGCTTCTGTTTTGGACTTAACGTTCTCGACTTCATCCTTATCCCTGCTTTCTCCTTGCTCAGGTACAGATACAGATACAGATACAGAACTTGTTACTGCTTCAATGGACATGCTCGTTGCTTGTCTTTGTTGCCCTTCTCTCTCAATTCCGTCCATTCGGGACAGCCGATATCTAACCCAGCCAGTCGGCGCGAGCCCGACTTGACTACGGCGGCTCTCTCACTCCATTCAGCGTCTTCCTCGACCGCCCTTGTTCATCTTGATCTTGCCTTACACCCCCGCTATCAAAATTGAAGAGCACCCTCCACCGATTAACAAGAACCTCTCGCTCGGTGCTCAGCGAGAAGCAAAGGCTAGAAGGTTGTAGCTAATATTGCTTCTGCTTGTTCACACTATTACGTCGCCTATACCACTACTTCCAACTGATATAACGCCCCAATCACCATCACGTTTTCTGTCTTATTGCTTCCGCGCCAAATCTCTCACTCTGGTGATCTTCTGGCGCATATTGCGAAGACCAAGGCAGGCGGAGAATTCTGGTTATGGAAATCTACCGGAACCCTTGATTGACTTAGCAGCCACTCTAAAATCCGAACCAGGGTCCTACTGCCCTGTCACCAACCCTGATCCATCCAAGCTGCATCTCAGTCGCGCTGCCACTCAGAGAGAAGGTTTTATTGCATACATAGTCTCACAAAAACCAAGCGTAGGCCACCGAACAGTCTCCGTCCACAGCCCGATCACTTGTGTTCACGGCCTCCCGGCCAGCAAGGGGCCCGAATATACTTACTCACCCGCCCTACCTCACCCGGTTCCGCCTCTTAGGTTCCGGCCCTGAGTATCTGCGGTTGGCCGCTTCCGTCTCGACCTCCCAACTGCACGGCTTGACGCTGTATCACCAGGACCTCTCCAAGATCGCATCTTTGTAGTATCACGGTGCAGCATCTCGTCTCACGCCTCCTCGCTTTGGCACTCGCTTGTCGCTTCTTTGATCCCTGACTCGCTACCGTTGAAGTGTTCCTTCACAACCGTCAGCCTATCATCTCGAATGCCCTTGGTAACTTCTGCTCCTCTGCCACCTCAGCTCCGCAGATCTTAGAAGCGGGGCACCTCTCCATCAAGATCAGCTACAACGACCTTACAGCTCGCAACTCGAAAGAAGGGGTTGTCGGACTGGTAAGAAGCTGTTGAATTTGCACCTGGAGCTTAACAAGAGATACTTCTTTGTCCAGGTCAGCTAGATCTTGACCAGTGGTCATTGACGACAACTGGAAGTTAGCTCAGATCAAATCTGCTTGTATCGCAAAGACAGATCAAGACGACAAACCCAGAGTGTATCTTTGTTGTTTCTAGCTCAGGGTTGGAGTTCCTGTCTGTCCAGCCAACTAATCCTGTAGCAACTTTGCCCTCATGGTCATCAAGGGATCCGTCTCCGATTCAGCTTCCGTCCCGCTCGGCCAACGCCGCGGCATCTCAGACCTGGCGCAAATTGCCTTAGACCTGGCCTGGGTATCCGAGAGCGCAGAGCAAGACTCTTTTGCTCGATATCGAGCATATCCCTCTCCACCCATGTCAGGATCTCCGCCCCTCCCCCCGAAGCAGCCCCAAGACGCTGGGGATCGAGGGCAAGCACCAGCGGGTTATTCAGCTTCTAGCCAGCCCGATACTTACTGGGGCAACTCAAATCAACAATTACCGACTGATCACCGAGGACCTGCCAATATGCAGACTGCGCTTCCTAGATTATTCCAACCAGGGCCCCCAGACGCACCACCGTTTTCATATCGAAGGACAGAAGAGATCGTACCTCGACCTGTTTCGTACATCCAACCAGGGGGACCATCTATGCCCCAGTCATCTGGTTATATTCCTCCGGGAATTCCTGGGGCACCTTCGTCTTACACGTCATCTGTTCGCCCGTCAATGGTTGAGAACCAGCCTATGACTTCGCCAAAATCGCAGAGGAAAACGAAAGGTCATGTGGCCTCTGCATGTGTCCCTTGTAAACGAGCGCATCTTCGGTAAGTGGTCCTCTAGGTGTCCATATGAACTAGCTGTACTAACTCGTGATTAGCTGCGATGGTATGTTTTCGAGATCCTATTCCTTCACGTTATGTTGTGGAATCCCTTTCCTTGCTCAAGAATCCTCCAAGACTGGGAGATGATGCCAACTTGGCCAGTCCACGGCTGGGTCTCTTGTCGATACCTTGGGTATGGCCAAGCGGAATGCACATATCGATATACGCTTCTGATATAACTTCGCAAGGGCAAGGAGCGCTAATACATTAATAGCACAACGTCCATGTTCGAGATGTATCACGAATGGGAAGGAAGAATCATGCGTCGATGTTCAACATAAGAAAAGAGGACGACCGCGACTAAGAGACGATCGTGAAACTCGCTATGATCCATCCAGATTTCCTCATCCGCAAGATACTACAGCAAGGCGACCATTGAGCATATACCCTTCGGGCGTTCCAATAGGACCTGGGTAAGTCGGATGTCGTGACGTACTTGCATTTTGTCGAAGTGCTAATGATTTGATAATAGGGAACATATGAATCCGAGATATCCTGAGCGAGGGCCCAATATGGACGCTCCCACTTTCCCACCCCCTTTATCGGTCGGGCCTCGAGGAGCAGACCCTGTTGCTTTCTTGAACATGAAGATGGATTTTGCGAAGGCATCGCCAGCTTTTATGGAAGCTGTAGGCCATGTGGAACTCCAGGGACAGAACTTGGGGGATGTCGTTATTCCTGCGGAGAGGGAGAAAGTTGTGTCGATTAGAAGTCAACTGATCGAGGAGCAAACACGGAAGGAGCCGAACTATTTACCCCCAATCCTTTCTCGACTCGACCATATCATCCAGGGACTTGGGTTTGGCGCAGAGGATATCGGACGCTTCCAACTCGACCGAAATGAATACCTAACTTTCAGAGCTGCTGATGGACAACCGAGACAGTATCCCGTTCGACTCGGACTCGAGAAGGAGGGCTCGATCTACGTCGTTGTCATAGTCCTGAGCTTACCACCCCGGCATGCGTACCCTTTACCTTCTTCGCCTGCCACCAGAGAGGCTTCGCATGCGTATGGTTCTCAGCCGCCAACTCCACAGTCTCTGTACAGGACACCGGTGCCGCCAGGGCCACTCTTCGATATGCCCAGAAGTCGATTCAACGAAGTCCCACTGGTATCTCGACCGGCTGCTGTTCCCCCAACACAGTTGCCTGCCAACATAAATCCTGGAGTTGCTGCTGGGGCGGGTTCAACTTCGTATGCTGCATCACCAAGTCATACAGAGTATGGAGGACCCCCGTCATATAATGTTCCCCGAAGCGAACTGCCCCCTGCAAGCGTGTATCGACCTCAAGCAGCTTTTCAGCTCCCACCAATTCGAGCTCAGCCAGGACCAGAGCAGCCTCGGCCACGGACACGCGAGGAAAGGTCCAACCGAGTTGATATTGGCGGTCTGATCGACAAGCCCGATGACCCTGAGCGGCGGCGATAAGTGTTGTTGATATTTGCATAGATGGAACTTGGATCATGTGGAGCGTCCAGATACATGGCTTGTTTGATTTTTGTTGTTTTGATTTTAGTGCGGCGGGATTTTGTGTCAACCAAGACACCACATGTACTATAATCCTCTTGTTATGATTGTGTCTTGTGTATCGTTACGTGTATGAGAGCGAGAAAGGAGGGTGAATACGGCCTGGTGGTGTCGCTGAGGCATCTGTGCATTTGCAGCCGGCGGCGTTAGGTTGGGGAGAGCGACAACAGTTTTGCAATGTCGAATATATCCATACAGTTGGGTTCAGCTAGGCTGCTCTTTATTGTTAGACAGCTTTGTGTGAGCAGAGAATTGGGGTTTAGTTGAGTTTGAATGCGTTGTGGTATGTGAAAGAACGGGCAAACGAGGTCAGTGATGCGTTGTGGTGGGACTGGACATAGAATAAGGCCGGCGGCATGTCTTGCCTGGGCTTGAGGAATAAGACTCGGCAAAACAGAGGAGAGTGAGTCAGATTATGCAAGAGGAAAAGAAGAGGATGTGAATGCCGGACGCGATACAATGAGTAATAGCACGTGTTTGGTAACACAGACAGAAGCACAGGCATGAGCATTACGGGTGCCAGAAGGTGTTACAGTGCGGCGCTGATGTGATGTGACAAGGACAAGGACAAGGCAGGCCAGGGAAGGGTCTTTAAAAGCCAATGAGAGGTGAGTGCAACGGATATGTGCAGCACAATTCGGATATACACAGAATCATGGATCCAATAGAAGGATGTGATGTGCGAGTCAATACCCAAATCTGGCTCTGTTGATGTGCGATTCGCAGGGGGTTCCTGGGGGGCGTGTGCGTTTAAAGAGATGTATTCAATGTTAAGGTACCTTGCCTAAATTTTTAAAATTAAATATTCTCCGAGTCCGTTAGTTCATCCGCATCCGCATCTGCCTGCCGCACCGTCCGCCCCCCCCCCGTTATCCGTCCGCGCATGGAACGTTACGGCAGTTGGGGAGACGGCAGACGGGAGAAGGGGTGGACACTCCCGCTTAGACAGACTCGGAGGAGGACCCGTCGCCCCGGTATGGTATCGAAATAAATGAGCTGAGCTGAGCTGTGGCGGTGCTTGACGATGATGTCACGGGGAGGGAGAGAGAATCTTGCTTATATAGATGTAGAGGTTATGTTATAGTGGAGTGTTTTATCGCGTATTGCTTGTACAATTAAGAACTTGAACACGCTTTTGAATTCTTCTATATCCCAATTTGACCAGGTTTACCAACTCGACGTGCGTACCATATTGCAATAAGAATCGATACTTGAAAGAGGAGAAGAGCAATATCAGAAGAAACTCTGGAAAGAAACAAAAGGGAAACACAATATTGTTATACATTTTGTCTCGCGACTATTGGTCTTGTATCCGACTCGCTGCCTCTAGACCCCAACATGCCTTTTTTGACTGGATGTAACGTTATTACTCAGTTCAGTTTCGGCAACTTGGGCATAGGATGGGGCATTTGATGGTCGAGTTTCTTGCTATCTTCCCATTGAGCACCAAGGTCATCTCCCAGGGGGTCATTTCCATTGGCGACACCGGTAGCTGAGTTCGAGAGATAAAAGTGTTCGAGGGCGTTCTTGTCGCGGTCTCCGGGTGCGGGGCGTCCCGGAGGTGGGGATCCGGCCCGGAAGCTACAGTGGGAGCAACGGTTTGATGCGGAGGAGCTGGAGCGTGATGATCCTCCATGACTAGAGCCCGAGCAGAGGCAGCTAAGAAAAGAAAAAAGTCTTATTAGTAGGGTTCAATACGAAAGATCACTGTGAAACAAACCTCTTGGATGACTGAGTCTTTGAGTTTGAGTTTGGGAGTGAGTCGGCTGCCATCTTGAATGGTTGAGACGTGTGCCGAAGGATCTGGGGTTGGGTTTCTTATTGCAGGGTACAGGGTCGATCTCTAAGTGGAATGGGATGGGCCAACAGAGATTGAATGAAGGATGTGAAGGATGGAAAATATGGAAAATATTGACAGAGATATAATAGAGGTTACTCTGGAGTAGTAAAAGGATAGATCTTACGAAATAATTCTTGGGAGTAATAGATGGAATAACCCATCTCTTTTATGGGGGTTTGACTCTTGAAATGGGCAAACCATGGGCGGACCATCTGCCTCTTATCTAGCCTCCACTGGCACAAGGAGGTGATGCTGAATGAATGAATGACCCATTTTCAATCTCTGTTTAGTCTAAGAAAATGGAAAAATCTAGCATTGGGCTGACTGCTTGGCTTCTGCATACGATGCGATGCGTGGTACCTTGCATTTCGTAGTGCGCAATTTCACACAGAGAGAGTGTGCCAGGCTGTGTTGTCTTGGGTTGTGCCTTATTCAGCAACACCACCATCCACTGAAAGAGCCTATCCAAGGCTTACAATGAGGCAATGCAGCGGCTTGGAGGTGCCACAGAAAGGTATTTCTCTTGCTTTTCACAGGTTATAGAGGAGCAATGGATTCACAATGTAGGCAGATGCATTGTGTGCCTGCATTTGCAACGCTGGATCTTAAACACAAACATTATGTGAATTGCACTGCGACATAGCGCAAAACACCAGTGGCAAACAATTATGCATCAGGTGAGAGAACATACAAACAAGACTTTGCGATGAGTTCTCTTCTCTCTTGTCCCTTTCCACGGGCGTTGGTCCGCATCATTATCATCATCCATGCCTACGCGTTCAGGCAGCCGTTCAGACTTCACGGTCAAGAGTCCTGAAAAGAGTCCCAACATGTCCCAATTCGGGCGAGAGGTGCAGCCAAATTGACAAATGGATACGCATATTTCAGTCAAAGAAAATCGTTAGCAACAGCCACCAACGCTACCTTGAGGTGGGTACATTTGCTGTGCATTCAAAAAACTGCCTGGCTACTTGGTGATTGGAGGTTGAAAGTGAAAGAACACTCATGGAAGCACAGTCAGTTCGTCACCAAGACAAGGCGTCCAAGACGACAGGGGCCGGCCGTGAAAATCCTCGACAAACCAAACCTGACGTCAAATATCATAAAAACAACCTTGTTTAGATTTGTCATGAAGGGGGAAAAAAAAACGACGACTGTTTGACAGTATCAACCTTCGTCATGAGAGAGAGGCTGTGCTACCAAGAGCGCATATGCGCAATACGCCTTTAGACTACAAGGAGAATTTTAGTGAATCACAAGCCCAGTCTTGCTTACACAAAGAGCCACAACAGTCTACCTGACCCTATAAGGCGGGTGGCACAACTGATAGATGATGCAAAAGGACGGTCCAGGTACATGAACCCCTTGCTCTAGTTTACTCACTCAATTCAGTTGGAGCCCTCACCTCCTGGAACCAACCATGATGCTTCAGTTGTATCTAAATATGTGGAACTTTGCTGCACTGCTGACTGCATTTGTGTCGCTTGCGATCCGCCTTACGCGCGGCGGCGAGAGCTGACGCAGCGTTGAGATAGCGAAAAGTTCACGCTCGTTTAATCATTTATCATCTTTTTTCTTCTCGTTGCCTTCCCTAATTCCTGGGCGCTGAATAAAGTTGAGTCACTGACCGAGGCGCCCCCAATACGTCTTTCATCCCAAGTTGGTTCGATGCAGCTGGAGCTCTTGGAGCAGTAATCAAGGCGAGTTTGAATCCTTGTTGGCGTGTCCATCATTTGTAATTTTAAATGTGGTGAGCGGCGACAAAAAATCATTGGAAGTTACACGCGCCAAACACGGCAAGTCCTTTTCGAAGTGCATCCTGCCTGCCTTGAAGTCGAGATGAATTGAATTGAGAAGATATTGGATGGAAGGTGCACCTTGGTGTTGTAGCGTAGTCACGTGGCCGAGCTCATCCGCGCATTACCTATCAATGAGGCCTGCTAACAACCTGCTCTTCACGGCCTGTCCTTGTCTCGCATGAACCGCAACCTTTTCTCCTTTTTTCAACGTATCGGATTCAAAGTAACCTCTTCCCCGGGGTAGGCTATCATCTCGTGTGGTCAATCCTAAGCGCCACGGGAAACGTAGATAATTATGGGACGACACGCCCGAGGAACGAAATGAGAGAAGAGGAAATATCAAGCAACTTGCGCATGACCTACAACGTTTGTCGCCCAACCTGTTCGCATTTAACTACCCCCAGAAGAATTCTTGATACCACCTCACAGGCTGGTTCTTGTGCCCTGGCGCAACAACTCGGCAGCCATAGCTAGAAATGGCAACAGACGCGGATGTTGATATGGGATGTGCCCCAACAGCCTCCGATGACATTCTAAATGTTCCCCCAAGCGGGACGAAAAGAAACGCCGATGGGCAGCCCATTGAAAATTTACCCGCAAAAAGTGATGCGCCTCGCAGAATCAGGGTAAGCAAACTTGAGGCTGTTTCTTCAACGCCTTATGCATAGCCTGGGCTCGCCCGCTAACATGACTGCAGGCACTTGACCCAAACGTGGTGAACAAAATTGCTGCTGGTGAAATTATTGTGGCTCCCGTTCACGCTCTCAAGGAGCTCATCGAGAATGCGGTTGATGCTGGGGCGACCTCTCTGGACGTCCTCGCCAAGGACGGAGGGCTCAAGCTGCTCCAGATAACGGACAATGGTTGTGGTATCCAGGTAATAAAATGATCACCCATGTGCATATCTTCAATGCTTACTATGGTAACAGAAAGAAGACTTGGCCATTCTTTGTGAGCGTCACACCACATCTAAAATCACCAGCTTTGAAGATCTGGCAGCCATTGCGACATATGGCTTCAGGGGCGAGGCTCTTGCCAGTATCAGCCACATCGCCCATCTCTCCGTGACTACCAAGACGAAAGATTCAGACCTGGCATGGAGGGCCCATTACCTTGATGGGAAGCTTGCTCCGGCAAAGCCTGGCCAGTCGGCAGAGCCCAAAGGTGTTGCAGGTCGTCCTGGGACACAAATCACAGTGGAAGACCTTTTCTATAATATCCCGACTCGAAGAAGAGCCTTTCGCTCGCCGGCTGATGAGTTCAACAAGATAATCGATATGGTTGGTCGGTACGCTGTGCACTGCAAAGGCGTTGGATTCACTTGCAAGAAGGCAGGCGAAGCCTCGACAAATTTATCAATACAAGCTCAGGCTACAGTCATTGATCGCATTCGTCAAATCCACGGTAGTGCTGTGGCGAACGAGCTTTTGGAGTTCTCAGTCGCCGAAGACCGTTGGGGTTTCAAAGCTGAGGGTTTCACAACCAACGCAAATTACTCTGTCAAAAAGACAACACTTCTGCTATTCATCAACCATCGATGTGTAGAATCAACCCACATAAAGAAGGCAATTGAGCAAACATATGCTAATTTCTTGCCTAAGAATGGTCATCCATTCATCTACCTTAGTCTTGAAATCGAACCAGCTCGGGTGGATGTCAACGTTCATCCAACAAAGAGAGAGGTTCACTTTCTCAACGAAGATGAGATCATTCAATCTATATGTGAGCATATCGAGTCTAAACTTGCTGCAGTGGATACAAGCCGGACATTCATGACACAGACACTTCTTCCTGGTGCAAAAGTGATCGATTCCACCCCACAAACAGACAGTGACGGCACACCGGGTCGAAGAACTCCAGCATCAAAGAAGCGAAGATACTCGAATGACCTAGTGAGGACGGATACAACTGAGCGGAAGATTACATCTATGTTTGCCCGAGCTGGCCCAAGCGAGTCGACTGGCTCTATGGACCACATAGTGGAAACAACCACTGCCCCTGAAGCTCATGAATACGAGATGGTTGACCGCGAACTGGTGCAATGCCGACTGAACAGCGTAAAAAAGTTGAGAGACGAAGTCAGAGAAGATACACACCACGATCTAACCGAGATATTTTCCAACCATACTTTCGTCGGTATCGTGGATGAACAAAGACGGCTGGCAGCAATCCAAGGCGATGTCAAACTGTATCTGATCGATTACGGCCGAACTTGCTACGAGTATTTCTACCAATTGGCACTCACGGATTTTGGTAATTTTGGTGCCATCAAATTCAACCCCTCATTGGACCTTCGCGAGCTGCTTCGAGGGGCAGCGGAAATGGAGAGGAGCTCTATAACCTCACCCGAGGAAGATTTTGAAGTTGAAACCTTGGTAGACCGGGTAGCTGATCAGCTCATCGAGCGCCGCGAGATGCTTCTTGAGTACTTCTCTCTCGAAATATCACCTGCTGGCGAGCTCGTTTCATTACCATTACTATTGAAGGGGTATACACCACCTCTCGTTAAACTCCCTCGTTTCCTCCTCCGTCTTGGCCCTAGTGTTGACTGGACTGAGGAGAAGGCCTGCTTTGACTCTTTCGTGCGCGAACTAGCCACCTTTTACGTTCCAGAACAATTGCCAAGTTTGCCTGGTGATGCAGACAGTATTCGCGAGGAGCATATCCCAGAAGAGTTGCGGGCAAGGCGCCAGCATATCAGACACGCTATTGAGCATGTCTTCTTTCCGGCATTTAAAGCTAGATTGGTAGCGACCAAGTCGCTGATGGAAGATGGAGTTCTGGAGGTTGCAAATTTGAAAGGCCTTTATCGGGTTTTTGAACGGTGTTAAGAGAGGCCAGTTCGCTCTAGACGTGGGATATAGTGGTATGTTATTTCGGGACTGCTAAGATTTTGAGATCAACGGTTTCAGGGGCCTTGATGCAAGGTGCTGGGACCAATCTAAAGGCACCAAAGATAAATTCAGTACAATAGTAGTTCAAAGATTCACATGGGACGTATGGTAGGTACCATGGGCAAAGAAATGGGAGGTGAATCAGAAACGGATCAAATTTCTATAGACGTCCAGAAAAATCAAGTGCTTTTATTTAACCAATTATGCCTGGGGCTTGTTCTTTCGTTTGTATGTCAAGAAACGATTCAAGTTCAACACGGCCTCATCGGCGCGCAGACGAAGCTCGCTGTTGGCACGCTTATCAATGCTCTTGATCATAGTTCGCACCTTGGGAACTGTCTCGTCAAGGTGCTTCAGGAAGTTGTTGTTCCAGAAAACCTCCTTGTCGTATGAGTAACTTTCATCAGCATAGATGTCAAAGACCTGGTTAAGAGCCTCAACAGCATCGGCAGTTGGGGTCTCGGGAAGACCAGCAAGGAGAGTAATCAGGAAAGTACCGATATCGTGGTTTCGGTCAATAGGTGCGGGGTCGAGGGCCAGCTGGCCGAGAACACCGATACACTTGACGCTGAGGGACTGGAAGGGATCCTCTAAGTTCTGGGCAGCAGGTGAACCCTTTGTGGCCTGGTAGAGAGCGATGAAGCGGCGGTGCTCATCAGCGAAAGGTGTGTTGGGTCTGCCTCGCAGAGAGCGGGCAACACCCCAGGCAAGACTGGTGACATGAGTCGCGAGATCGATGTCAGCAGTATCAGTTGCGAGAATAGGAGCGATGACTTGGGTCCAGAGAGCGCGGCCGACGGGGTCCCAGGCATTTTGAATAGGTGCGTTGTGAAGGTCAGAGAAGTCGATGAGGGAGACGGACCAGGCAATGTTGTTGAGAGCGGAGAGGGCGTGGCCTTGCAGGCGAAGGGAAACGTCATCGGTGGGGGAGAGGGATGCTATGCGGATGAGCTCAGGAAGGGCGTTGTCAATGAGAGTCTTGAGGATGGGAAGATCATCGATGTTGCTGTCTTCCTCGTTTCTGTCCGCACCGGTAACCATCTCCATGTCGGCTTCCAGCTCATCGTCGTCCATCTCGTCATCATCTTCCTCGCCTCCCTCCTCCTCGCCGTCAGAGATCTCTTCGTCTGCATCACCCATCTCTTCATCATCCTTGACCTCGGGCTTCTCCTCCTTCTGGGGTTCGGCTTCAGCTGATGTGTTCAATGTTGTTCCAATAGAAGCTAAAATCTCAAGGGCGAGCTGCTGATACTCGACGGGGTTGGCCCAGCCCACAGCATCGGTCATTTGGCCTGGCTCAAATGTCTTGAGAGCCTGTGAAAGGGTGGGGATGAGAAGTGAGTTGTCGGCTCCAAGAGCGATGTCCTGACCGTCGAGAGAGGAAAAGAGGTTGTGGAGGACACCACATGCAAGGACGCCATCGCTGTTGGCGGTCTTGCGCAGGGACAGCAAAGTCCCATAAGTGCGGTACTCCTTGGAGTTGACGACCTTGTCAGATAGCTCTTCGTTATCTTCACAGAGGATCATGAGACAAGCCAGAGCATCACTTCTTAGTGAGACAATATCGGGGCTGCTGGCGAGCTCATCTGAAGTGAGTAGCAAGAGGAAGCGAGTGATGGTGGTGTTGCGGGAGATGGCCTCAAGGATATCGTCTTGAGCTTCTGCGAGAGCAGTAAGGAGAGAAATTAGTGACGAAGCAATGCTGAGAATTGTAGCTTGTTCGGGCTTTGACCGTTTTTGAAATTCGAGGTCCTTGGAGAGGAGCATCTCAGTCATCTGTGAGTGTTAGTATATGAACCATGTTGGAAGAGTAAATACACTCACCGATTTAGCAGCAAACTCGATAGCAGTGAGAATATCAACACGATAAAGATGAACACAGAAATCAGGCTCCTCCTCCTGCGCAAGGATCCTCAGAATACCCCAACCAGCAGCACGGCTCTCAAGAGCAGCATCGGTGAGAGTCTGTGTAGTGATGGTATGAACAATCTGCTCACGCAGAAGCAACTTTCGGCACTTCTCATCTTGGATAATGTTTGAGATGGCCGAAGCAGCAGCAGAGCGAGACTTAGGATCGGCACTCTTGAGATCGTTGATGACTGGGAGAATCTTTGACTCGCGAAGGGCAGCAAGTTCAGGGTCTGAAGGAGGCTTGACGGTCTTTGCGATGGGGTCTTTACGGGCCGCGTGGCCACGGGCTCTTCGAGATTTTCCCATTGTAATATTATCTGTTGTCAGAAAATAAAAGATATTGCGCAAGTTTCACTGCGAGTTGAGAGGCGGCTAAAAATTTACATGAATATTCTGCGACGGCGAATTGGATCGTGCCCCACCATGAAAAATGTCCCGAGTTAAGCCTGACAAGGATTGTTTTAGACTCAGAGGCCACATGTGAATGATTATTTGAAGTATATCGATCAGTGGCAGCTGTCATCAGACTGGTCAAGTATCTAAACCGGCCTGGCCTTATGAATATTATATAGGTACGCTCGAACTTGGATATCTATTCTTCCATCCCTATCCCTCCTCGTTTGCTTCGCTTCTGGACATGATGGTTTTGATATGAAGCAGTCTCATGAGGGTCATTCTATATGATATTATTAATAAGCATCGATATTATTATCATGAAACCTTCTGGTTGCCCAGAGACATGGAACCTAAAACTGTTTGCAGTAATTGGGCTTATAGCTGTGGTACTGGATTTAGTTAGCCCAAAGGTCCTGAAGCTCACTGAAAGCTTGCACCAACCAAACCGCAACAGTGACGAGACAAGCACGAGCCACGCTGTTCTAAGGTCCTGTCCTGGGGAAACAAGGGTCAGCAGCTACCTCAAACTAGGTGCTCTCCGTCATCCTCCATCATCTTCAATCCTTTAATAATCCATCCCCATACATAATCATTCAGAACAAGCGTCATTTCTTTTGTTACCCTCGCCCGATGCATCGCAACTGCGATTGATCCCTCTGCATGTTTATACCCGCCGTATAAATACCTGTCTCTAGCCAGGTAAACTTCGATAAGCTAGCGCCCATGAGCTCTATCTACCCGTCCTCTATCGACTCTTGAGCTCCATACGTTTCCGATTGACGACAACTATACCACAACAATATGACGCCTGCACGCGGCAGAACAAAGGCACGCTTCTGGGCAGGGGATGAGGAGATGGCCAATAAAAAAGACGACGACCTTCACCTCCCAGGGCATCGCTATCATAACTCGGGATCTGGTCCTCAATGGCAGGCTACGCCGCGTGCTCCCCGCCGTAGCTCCGTCGGTCGCCTTATTTCATATCTAGTCTTCATATCGATCGTCTTCTTCATAATATACAATTTCGTATCATCCTCCGACAGCTCGACCGATGCAGCATCAGAGAGGTCTGCGCCGGGGGGCAAACAGGGACAGGACAAGGTCTACCATAGGGGACCCCTCAAATTCCCAGAGCTCGCAGAGACGCTGCGCAACATTCAAGGGACCGGCGGCGCTTATGAGAGGAACAAGAACATTCTATTCGCTGCTTCCAGCATCAACAGCGCCTCTACTCTTCTGCCAATGGCTTGCCAGATGTCGGCGCAAGAAAAGAACCATGTTCATTTTGCGCTTATGAGTAGGAAAGAGATTCCTATCAAGGAGCTCCTGGAGATAAACGGCATTGATAAAAGCTGTAAGATATATGTACACGGTATGGGCTTCTTCTCATTGCTACCGGGCCTGTTTTCTAATTATTTGTGTAGATGCCCGCACTGACTATGCTTCCACGTTTTCTGAGTTGAGGCTGAAACTCGCTGCTATCCGTGCATTCTGTAAGCTCCAGTTCGAACCAACGTGTTACACATTTGTCTAACAACATGGTGTCAAGTCTACGTTGAGAACTTCATGCACCCTCAAGCAATTATTGTTGACTCTACTCAGAAGGAAGAAGATTACTTCCTCCAAGCCATACGAGATCAGATCACTGGGACGAGGTCTGCTCTTATAGAGCTGCCAGAAAAGCCTGAAACTCGTCTTGCGTGGATCTCCAAGCTTGACGCCTCAGCATTGGCTGGTGAGTAGCTCTCCTTGCTTCTCGTTACCATGTATACTCACTAACTGTTATCAGCCTGGAACAAAGTGCACTTCGACATATTAGTCCAGGCACCTCCCGTTGGCACAGCCAATCTACAAAGACTCCTCACCTCGCTGCGCAAGGCCGATAAGAGTGCCCTGTCGGTTCCCCAGCTTACAGTCGAGCTGCCTCCAGTTGTAGAAAAGCCATTGGAAAACTTCTTGTCTGGCTTCCATTGGCCTTCCAAGGCTTCTGGACAGCTCCCTCAATCGCAAATGCTTTCTCTTCGTCATCGAATCTCATCACGGAAAATGGATGAGGAGGAGAGCTCAGTTCGATTTCTAGAATCGTTCTGGCCAAGCAAGCCGTCACACAATCATGTGCTTGTCTTGGCGGCTCACACTGAGGTCTCACCTCAATTCTTCAACTGTACGTAATCTTCTATGCCTTAACCAGGCAGCACTGACATAGCCAGATGTGAAATACACCCTTCTTCATAGCCTATACTCACACTCTTCCATTCTTCAGGACTGGAATGAGAACATCATGGGCATCAGTTTTTATTCTCCCAGTACTCTTCTCGATGATACAACACCCCTAACAGTCCCGCGAGCTGAGGACGCGGACGAAAAGACCGGTTCCAGTCCTTTCTTTTGGCAGGCCCCAACTAGCGATGCTGTTCTGTTCATGGGAGACAAATGGGTTGAGCTGCATGGCTATGTGTCACGCATTTTAGAAAAGCAGCAAACAGGAACAGAAACACCAGCCTTCTTAGCCAAGAAGAGTACAAGCAAGAAACATCCGGCCTGGTTAGAGTATGTACTTCAGCTATCACAGCTTCGGGGGTATGTGACTCTGTACCCGAGACCGGAAACAGCGAGCACTATCTTGGGAGCACACAGTGACCTTCCTAATACTCCAGAGGAGTACTTGGGCGAAGGCGATGAAAATGATAAGACCGGAGAGGCAGATAGTGCAACGTCAAAGTTCGACCCAGCGTCCCCAGTCGATATGCTCACAACATTACCTCGTGAGGGTGACCTCCTGGCATTAGGTGACTTGCCACTCATTTCATGGAATGGCAAATCAACATCGCTTGCAGAGCTTGAAACGACCTCGATGGAGCTTACAAAACAATTCCGTCAAGAGGTTGGCGGGTGTCCACCGAGCGCCATAAACGATGAGGACGAGTTTGGACAGCCGAGGCGCAACAAAGACGCCAGTGATCTCTTTTGTAAGAACAAGGGCACGGCCAGTGCAGATACAGCGACTGAAGCCAAGGACATCAAGGAAACAGCATAACGAATTGCTATCCACAGCCGAAGCCAAGATATGGACGGCTTCCATTTTTCACTATCTATTGTATGGGGTTTTGCATGGTTGGTACTGGAAGGTTAGGCGCTATTGAGTAGCGAACATGTATTGATGCAATTTCAAGAACTCTTTTGGGTACATATGTCAAGAATTGGACGATGATTGTTGTCGAACCTTGGCAATGACGAGCAGGATGAGACAGGTGCCTATGATTGAGACTGCTGTGAGACTGAAAACCTGCGTGATGTCAGTACATAATCACCACGTTTATCATACATTGACAAACTTACTGCATGAGTCTTCCAGCCAATCTGTACAATAGCCGCCCGTTTGCTGTACTTGTTGACCGTTGCTACACAGAGCGTTAGTTTGGCGCATGTGCTACGGCGTAGTAACACTCACTTATATAGTTACCCATTCCAGCAAACAGAGTCAAGACTGAAAGTCCCCAGAATATCGTCCCGAGAGGCTTTGCCATTCTCAGCTCTAACGGTGTGGCTTCGTTCTTTAAGTGGAACGAAAGTGTGATGGCTACCGAGACGATGGCCATGTATATCGACAACCGAAGGTATGAGAGGAACGCTATGTACAAGGATAAGACTATGGCATGAAAGAAACAGCGGAAGAGGATATGTACTTCTCTCATTGGCGCAGTGATCTCGCGCATCGCTGCTCTCGTTCTCTACTATCAATGGTCCAAAGATTGGCCAGTGAAAGAAAGGTCTGTTTTCCTCCTCGCTAAAGACACAAACTGTAAGCTACTTCATTCATAAAGTTCTCTCGTACAAGTCTCACATACTCAAGCTCACTGAAATCAATGGGTCGAGCTAGGTTGGTAATAGGCGCGCAGCAGGCATGGATAGTGAGGTCTTCATCATCGACATTCGCATCATGAGAAGCCATTTCAACGATATGACGAACAAAGTAGCAATTCGATGGCAGAATCAGTCAGACTGATGCTGATTGATGTATTTAAAGCCCACGAGACGAATGTGAGCATGTGAGGGTTGGGTGTTAGTAGAGGAAGGTCGATTTGGTTGGTGGTTTCGGGGCTCGGCCGGATACTCAATTTATACCGACTGCCGGGCTTCACTTCGAAAAGTATAGCTTACCCTATAGCGGAATTCAAAATCCTATCATATTAGCACTAATGACGTGACGTTTGAAGTTCTTCACTGCGTTGGAATGTCTTTAACATTTGAATTCATCTCGAGTCTATAACAGATGCTTTTAATCATCCTTGCTATCACTGGTTTGTCTATTTTCAACCAGATTGTAAAAATCAAACAGCCTCACATCTCCTTGGACACGCCGTGTAACCCATGGATATAGCATATATCATGTAAACCACTGTCTTCCTCTAGAAACCCCATACCTCATGCCATCTATTCTCGTCAGTCCTCAATGGACCTTCAAGTCGTCCAAATCTTGCTGCCCGTCCCGTGTTGGCCTCAGGAAGACACAGCCACTCTCTTACACAGTCTGGCACCTCCTCCTTGACATGAGCAATACAGATCAGTGCTTGCTGGTCAGAAAGACCTGGGATCTTGACCTGACCAGACTTGGAGGCGTCACTCTCGATGATCTCTTCACCTCGATATGTTTTGACCTCACCTTGTTCAAGGAACAGCGTGCACTTGTCTCGTACTGCGTCATCCATGCCGCTAAAAGCTTCATCAAGAACCACAACATCCGGGCTCTTAATCATGGATCTAACGAAGAGCGCAACACGTTGTGCGCTGAAAGACAGACCACCAAACATGTGATCATCCGCCCAGGAGAGGTTCTCGTGCGATGCTGAAGAATAGCTTGGATGTAGTTCAGGAGCAAACCAGCGAAGAGCCGCCTCAACCTTCTCTTTGGCTTCACTGTCTAGCTTCGGTCTCGCTCGAAATGTTTCTGACCAAGCATTCTCAATCACTTGGCGCACCGTCAAGTTCCGAGGCATGTGCTGATGAACTTCAGGGCTCGAGTGTCCAATCCTGGACTGGATGTCCCAGAATGTAAGTGGCCGCTGGCCTGTACCAGGTTTTGGAAGACGAGATCGCCCGAATAGCTTGATGGGGAGAGAGTAAGACTGAGGATGATCCGAGCAGAGCAAAGATACTATGGTTGTTTTCCCTGAACCATTAGGGCCAAAAACTCCCCAACGCTCACCACGTCGAACTGTCCATATCAAACCGTCTTTAGAACCGTCAGTGGTTTGCTGTGTCCAGTTACCCAGTGCGATCTTCCCACGATACTGAACTTTGCAGCCATCCATCTCAACGAGGGGCTCTGCTTTGGGATTTATTGGCTCAAGCTCCTTATATGATGCTTCCCCTAGATTACCGGAGGCTTCTGTAGAAGCACTCGATGGTAGTACACGACCGATATCAACAAGTGAATGTAGTGGTAGCTTCTCATCTTCTGTAAGTCCACCCTTTCGGACTCCACGGACGTACTTCTTAAGACCGTCAAGAACTTCCTCCTTAGGCCCCATGGATCCCACTTGGCAGTCTGTTCTTAGATACACGAGGTGAGTGATCCAGTCAGGGACAGGATCCTGTGGTCGTGCACTAAGAACAAGACGCGGGCTTGCTTTCTCAGCCAGCGAGTGTAGTAATGGGCTTAAACCTGAGACTGTAGGCGGGTCCAACCCCATGAAAGGCTCATCAAGTAAGAGAACTTCAGGCTTGGTGAGAAGTGCACGAGCGATACGTGCCCTTCGACCTTGCCCGTTACTAAGAAACGAGACAGGGAGATCTAGCAGGGGCTCAAGCTTCAGGTCCTTGACGACTCGAGAAAGAAGATCCGGCGAGATAGTAGCCTCATCCTGGCTGGGTTCCGTCTGCATGGGATTAAGCTCTGTGTTGCCCATGAGGAAATCCCTTAGTGAGAAGTCCGTAATCTCCCGTCGCGACTCATATCGCGCTGAGAGATATGCACTCGTTGCAACACCACCACCCAGCCCTCCTCCAGTCTGCTCAGCATCAAAACCCACATACTCAATTGCCTTTTGCGGCGTTCGTAACCGCTTGGGTACTTCCTCAGTAGAAAGGTAGGGATATGATCTCGCAATAGGTGGTTCGCAGAGGAACCTACCCCTCAAAGCCTGAAGAAGCGTTGTTTTGCCAGACAGAGATGGGCCTATAATACACCAGTTTCGAGGTGAGTTCGATGTAGAAGCCAACTCGAAGCTCAAGTCACTAAAGAGAGGTGGGTTTGGACGTGATGATGCTGAATTTGGATGATGGCGATAGAACGTGCCATTGGCAATCCGAATGATCGGAGGACGAGTCGGAATTGATCTCATGACGATATTAGAGTGTCTCTGAATACATAAGAACTCATTATAAATGCAAAGGAAAGAATGCTGTCTCAAAGCGAAGTCGGAATCTTTAAGTAAGTGACGACGATGTCTGCGTGGGTCTCATCGAGAAGAAGCTGGGGTCAGCGATACGTACCTTCTGCCGGACCTGCAGCTTGCTCCCCGGAACCGGGAAAAGGTACGTACCCTCAAAGTGCGGCAACGCCAGCGCAAGGCTGCCTTAAGCTGGAGCTTTCATCATCAACCGCATGTTGAGCCTCCATCTATCAAACAATCCACCCGCCCATCAACGTCGCATCATCTCCTCCGCGGAAACGGCCTCAGATAACACTAAAGTTCTAACCTAACGACTCATATTTCTTCCGCCGAACTCACTTCTTCCAAGCAACAACCACGTCCTCCAAAATGGTAAGCTTCAGCACCCATCCATCCTCTATATCATGAGAGCTAACTCTTCCCTTCCAAAGTCTCAAGCAATGCGTATCGTCCCCGGCAACTCCAACGCCCAGACCTACACTCACATTTCGCACACATCCTCCGCCCCCTCCGCCCCGGGCATCCACGATACTCTCCGCCACGGTGTCGGCGCATCCCCCTTCGACTCAAAGTCCACACCCGCCTCTGCTCATCCCCTCGAAGCCCGCTTGAAGAACTGGGAGGCTACTCAGGAGGCTCTCAAGATGGAGACACTCCGACGCACCTACGGCATGGCTGAGCCTATTCGACGCGGTATGGAGCTCAAGATTGTTCAGAACGGCGAGTGGCGGCCCATGGCCCTCGGCAATGGCCTCCCCAGCGTTCACGAGGATATCCTTAGGGGTCGTGATGCTACGATTACCTGGGAGGATGTATTCACTGGCGATGAGACAAGGGCCGTTGCTGGATTCCACGACGAGATGGAAAAGAAGCTCAAGATCCAGTAAACAAGCCGGCTGGCTGTCTCAAAGGAAACGACGACATAGCCATCTCCTTGTATACCATAAATTACAACACTTTAGACAGGCTCAAGGAAGTTAACGAACAAGAGAACCAACGTCTGTTCTTCTGCTGAGAAGATGAGACCATGCAATCGCAACATAAATGCTTTCTATACTGCTATGAATGCGCTGTGATTGATAACGCGTCGACAAATATGCCGAAGAAAAAGAAGATTACAGAACAAAAATACAACCAAACCCATAACTCAGAATACACGATGATACGCCAATGTAGACTCCGGTGTCCCCGTCTCCCACACAGCAGAATCGTCATACGCTTCTGCTGATAAATACATACAATAAACCAAGGAAAAGTTATAAGGAATGAATGAGTGTCACCCGAATGCTCATCAACTAAAGTGAAGACTATGGTGGCTAAAAAGACCCCGCCGACTCAAAACGTTGAGTGCATGAGAGTCTTTGGACTTGGCTCTTCTCGTGAGAGCATGCGTTGAGCAGTCAGTCTGGAAGTTGCCTGTAGTCAAAAAAGTGGCCTTCACTTATAAAATGATACAGCAATTGCTGTCCCGCGAACGTTGGCCATCACCGCCGCTCGATGAAAGGTTCTTATTTCCCGCCTTGGGTTCTTCCTCATCAAGATCCTGCGGCCGAATGCTCATATGTACAACATTGGGGCTCTCGGTTGAAAGTTGATATTCTATGGGGTGGTTAGCAAATGATGCCCCTTGTCTCAGGTCGACAGCGCGCCTTACTTTTCAATTGCTCCTTATCATCTAGGAGCTTTCCGAAATGAATGAGTCTAATGCTGCTGGGACTTGCTGGTTTTGCTTCCCAATCACTTCGCCATTCGCGCAATATTAATTCCTTGAGGGTATAAACGCTGATACTGAAGGGATCCGGAAGGCCACTCTCCGTCTGGTCTGGGATATCCACGCTCCTCCGACTCAAGTACTTGGCATCAATCTTGTACGGATGTCGGCTTCCTGAAGTAAGGAGAAGGGTAATGTTGCAAACGGGTCCGTCGGAAGAACCCCCTGAAATTTCTCTGATGTCGTCCACAGCAGGTCCGATGCCCAGATTCGAGTCTTGCTTAGTAGGTGGTGGAGGAGGAGCTGTATCCTTCTCCTTTCCCTTCGATGAGGCTGCTGCAGTGGCTGCTGAGTTATCGGTGTTCTCGGATGTAGCTGGCACAGCAGTAGACGGTGCTGGTTCAGTTGTAACTGTCTTATCGGCGGATTCGGGGGCGTGATCGGCAGGCGCCTGCTCGGAGGGCTGGGCAATGTTTTCCATGGCTACCGCATCGTTAGGCTGTTCGAGCCGTGAAGTTTCAACTGGCGCAGCCTTACCACCACTCATGGTGGAGTCCGCTGGAGCCGACATACTGGGTGAAGGGTGATGGCGCGGTAAGGATGTGATCTGAGGTCACACCACGCAGAAAAGGGAAGAACGCGAGAGGAGGAGCGGCGTAAACGAGTGGTTCGTTCGCTAGCAATGCGATTCGATGCGAATTTTGCGACTATTTGAGGATGTCGGATCAAGGATGCGTATGAAAATGAGGAATGCGAAAGTGGATGGAAATGGAGATGTGGATGAATGTAGTCGGTATCCGTAGCGTGGCCAGGTCTCGGGAGCAAAAGTGAAAGACGTCAAGTTCGCTGGGAAGATGGCTAAGGATGGATCGCCCAGGCCGGGGGCCGCAAGACCGGGGGTGGGGCAGTGAATGGCCCGGAGTCTCGTCCACTCAGATAAAACGCTCAGACATAGAGCAGATACAAATGCAACGCGACAACCAGGCAGGGCAGAGTTGAGGAACGCGGGTCTGCAGTACGTAGTAGCAGTGAATCGCTTCGTGGTGCAGCGCTGTACTCCAAGGCAAGCTAATGGGGAGACAGTGAGCAAGTGAATGAACAAGCGAAGCAAAACAAAGCAGCCAAGGAGCCCTGGCGGCCAGCGGCTGGAGCGTGGAGCCTGTGTGGAGTGAGAGACGGTGCAACAGAGTGGACTTCTCTTCTCTTTGGTGGTGTCGCGGTCGCTGGACGCTTTGCCTGACAGGGAACGGGGAACGAGGGGGCGCTTGGCTTGAGCTAGGTAGACGACTCCCTTGCAATTGTCGGAAACGATAAAGTGACAATGACGAGAGACAGGCAGAGACCGAGACAGGCAGGGCGACTCGGCAGTGAAAGGGGCCGCGCTGCTTTGTTGACAGTTGTTGTCGATCAGTTCAACCAAGCCGGATTCGAGGCACACAATTGATGGCAGAGATAACGATGCCGTTGAGAATACCGGCAAAGTCGGTTACCGGATACACGATAAATCCTGAATGCGAGAAACTGTAAGAAAGCCAAGATAGCTAAACAAGGTAAGTTCCAGCCCAGACCGAGGTGACGACACCAAATACAGTGCTGTATCCGTGATCCGTAAACTACTTGGCGGGCAGATATTGGCGCTCACTCAAAAAGTTCAGCGAACCGATTTGTGCCAGTCGGAGATATTAGTTATTCGGTGATAAGAATGAATCGGACAGTATGAAAGCATTGTTTGCTTGATCCCGTTTTGCTTGTGAACAAGACAATGGCAAGACTCGTGATAAACAAAGTCAACGGAAGTGACTCGCCAAACAAACCTACCAGGCGCAACGGACGGCTAGCGAGGTACCTTAGGTGAGGTGAGGCAGTTGCCTTCAGTTCCGTTCGGTTAGGTTTACTGGTAAAACGGAAGGAAAGGTACCTGGCTCTACTACACAACCTGAGTCGGGCAGGTACATAAGCAGTAACAAAGTCAGTAGAACGCTACCTCAGCGAATGAATTCACTCAGAACATGACGCTTCTAAGAAAATCCTATAGTATAGGTCATCTCCCATCTAGAGCTGGGAGTCCTTTTATTGAAGAACTCCAGGCTTCATTCATTCCATGTCGTTGGCAATCTGAGCAAGATGCCATGGTGTACATACGGAGTTTATTCTCAGCGGTTGATAAGGTAAAAGCCACTGAAAGGTAAGGTAGAAAAGGTGGCGGATACGGAAGCCGGCTGTGCCGCTTCCAGGCGACTTAGCCCAGACCAAGCAGAAAGGAAGACCCCAGCGCAAGCCATCTGTTTGACACACTGTATTTCGACTAAGAGAAAGTTATTGAATATAGGAGAACTACCTTACTCATGACTAGGACAAACATGATGAATAACCTTCGTCTTATCTCTAACGGATGAATTATTTACGATAATACTTCAGTGGCTCTTAGATATATTGCTCTTTTGGCTCTTATGCTTACACTATTAGGCTGTATTCATGAATCAGTGAACCACTTACACGAAACGTATCGTATTCTACCTACCAACCAATCCAACATAAGCTATAGCCAATAGTTGCGTATTCAGCACATCTAAGGGTCCTCATGTGGCATGCACCCCTCAAGATCTCATCACTGGTATGCCTCGGAGCTTGTTCCTGAATCCCCAACGTGCCACCGAGAAAAAGGCACAGGGAACACCCTTTCCAACGGTCTAGTACGGCCGCTCACACACCGATACATCGGATATATCCCGCAGAAGACCACGGATTCGCCCACTTGCATACATTCAGAAGGTCCTTACAACTCACCAACGACATGTCTCTCCCCACTGTCTTTATAGACCAGACCAGGCCAGACCAGCAAGCCAAGTCTCAATCTAGCGTACTCCAGACTTCGCCTCAAACCCCCTGGTCAGATGTGACCTCTCGGGGGAGGTTTTGGATACAATGGTAGGCTCTGCTAACGTGCTTCGCCCCAATTGGCATTTGGAATAAGGTTATCGGGCCAAGCCGAATCGAGTCTACGCCGTTCCCCGGAGCAGTCACCCGCAGATTCCTCCCTTCAAATCGAGAATGTGAGAAAGATGGGGTAACGGAGAAATTTGTAGATAGCCTCAGTGTTAAGAGGTAAGATTCTGTGACTCAGTGTGTCAAAGCATGCTTAGAGTATCGTGGAAAAAAAACTAAAAAAAAAAAAATCAACATTTATCATAACTTGTAAATATGAGAATATGTAATAATTTCATGCAAGTATGAAGCAACCCTTGGGCGGATCCTGGAGCTGGACGCAACGCCAGATTGTACTCCCACAAGTTCCATCACAAATTCCTGCCTAATACGGATATGCTTAAACGGCTTGGCTTCTGACTATGCCTCCCATCGCTAGTATACAAAGGTATCACTCACTCATAGCACTAACAAATCACCATTGCTGCCAGCACCCTGAGCTGGTTGAAGAACCGCTTGAGGTGCATGTGCGCTCACCACGTATCCCGTCGAGTGGCCATTACCTCCTCCAAAGACATCATCCCCTTGATCATGCATCGGTTGCATCTGCTGCTGCGTTCCAATACTTGAAAAGTAGGCATCTGCGTCGTTGACTGCTTGCGCGAGGTCCCCTTGACCATTGCCTGATGTCGGGTTTCGGCTTCTTGGATCAATATCTGTTGCCGCCCCGGCGTTGCCAAACATGCTTATGCTCTTTTGGCTGTCTGCAGCAACAAGGAGGTTTTGCTTCTGCAATGCGGGAGAGTCCTGGAGTTTGCGAGGCCGAGCAGATCTAAACACGGTCTGCACCGGCTTCAAATAGACCGTGGCTAGAGTTCCCACGTTTAGACACATCTCCTCTAGCGTCGTCGAATCGAGTCTTTCTGACTCAGCGGTAATCGCTGGCTTCTCCCCCATCACGATCTGCTTCGCCGCATTCATATCTGTAGACAACAAGCGCCAGTACATATACGCTCGGTCTCGAAGATCAGGGTTATCCGTCTCTTCAGTTGCCCACTTCAAAACCTTGGGAACCAATTCTTGACCCTTGGTTGGTCGCTGGATGAACAGCTTTACTGTAGCTGTGAGCAAGGCCAGCTGCACTTCGACAGGCTCCTCTGCGAACGAGTACAGGAAGTCTTCTAGCAAGGCATCGCTGTTCTCAATCCGATCTGCGTATTGACCAATGACCCAAACCATGGCTGCCTTGGCCTCCGGCTCATCCAGAGAATCCAGATGCTCGCAAAGAGTGCTGATGATGGATTCATATTGGTTGGGGTACTTTCGGAAGATGTTTCGGATAACCACCGTAGCTTCCTGCACGATATATGTGATCTTGGTTGCCACAAGCTCGAGGAGCAAGTTGATGCATCGTCGTGCAGCTGGCTCAATTTTAATTGCCAACTTACCGATAGCACGTACTGCCTTGCGGACGAAGTGAACATCAATTTCAGTGGCATATTCTCGCAATTCCGTCAACACCTCATCGATGTTGTCCTCGTTGGCAAGCATGAAGATAAGTTCCAGCTTTGTGACCTTGACGTAAATAGGATCGTTGTACTTGCAGAAAAAGACACGGATATCGTTTCGGAGCACTTCCGGTCGTCGCTGGAGAATCAACAAAGCATTTCGCAGAGCGAGGTACTGAACCTCAGGACCCTTGGCGAGAAGTGTGACCAGGGGTGGTGAGAGCTTCCTGCAGAGAGCCGAGATTTGCTTCTGATCGGCGATATAATTCATCAGATACAGAATCACCCGAATGCAGGTCAACACGACCGACGAATTAGAATGCGACAGTCGTGGTGATATCCGTTCCGCTAGGAGTACCGCTTCTCCGGATTCTTGTGGCACATAGGACATGAGAGCCTCTAGGATATATGTCTGACCCCATCTGTTGACACAAGATTAGCGACAATTACACAAATGTACTGTGATTGATCTTACTCGGAGCAATCAGGGAGAATGGCCACCATCTTGGAGGCATTGCTATAGTCAATGGTAAGTTTGATGGCGTCACTGCGTTCCCAGATATCCATGAGTCCAGCCAGAGCGCTCGCAACAACTGTGGGGTTGTCATCCCGTAGCAAAGAGTTCAAACGATCAATGAGGTCTGAGTTCTCCACCATATGTCGGTCATGGTCGTAAAGTTTGGCGACACAGAAGGCAGCGGTTTTTCGCACATATGGGTCATTATCCTTCAGCATATGCTTGACTATTGGTACAGTAGCCTCAACAAACTCTCTGACATGAATGTAGGACATTGTTCGGAGAGCCAGTGCCCGTACCAAAGGGTTGTGGTCTTCCATATCCTATAGTTTGTCAGTACTACTCCTAGAGTGGTCTTAGGTTAAACTGACATGTTCCAGTACAGGGATTGCCTTTACAGCAATCTCAGGTCTTATCCTGGCATAGTTGACCAGAAACAAGAAGCACCTATTTAACATAAGCTTCTGAGCGAGTTCCAGATATCGAAATGCTTACATCTTCTTGATTTCCAAACTCTGGATACCCATGCATCCAATGATGTCGGGGAATAGTGCAACCATGTCATTATTACTCATGGTCATATTTGCGACAATCTTCTTGAGAGCAATCTTCTTGCCTGTATAGGCCTTGTCCTTTTTCCCTCCACTGTTAAGCTCGAGGCGTAGCTCGGCAACTTTGCCCTGCATATTATTTAGTCTCGGGCCATCATAAAGTGACTTTGGGGGCATATATGCGAGAAACATGGCGGTCATCACATGGTTCGCGGCGCTGCGACACCATGTATCGACAGTGACATTGAACAGGAAGTATGATCTGATGCAACCAAGGCTTTTCGCGCAACAAGGTCTGCGCAAAAGCAGGAGGGGGTTAAAGGAGACACGAAGTCGAGTTTCAGTGAAGTGGAGGTTCAAGGACTTATGAGACCTCAGGTCCTACGAGGCTGAGACATGATAGAAGGACGGGAAGGCTTACTCGAGCAAACAATTTGGAGTCCCCTCCACCGGCGGAGCTCGACATGGTGTTGTACTTGTATCCCAAATAAAGACTATACGGCGACTGGGACTGGGTTTCGGTAACGTTGAATGTGGAATAGTCGCCCTATGCCTGACAGCCCCTCACTTTGAATTCTTCCAAGTATTTTCAGCCGTCTTTTCGATATTCACAACCTAATTGGGCGGGGATGCGTTGCCCAGCGTCAAGAAGGTCGTAGAGGGTGGATGGTGGATGGCAGATAGGAGGGGATGGTCACATGTGCGCCAGATGCCAACGGTTGCAAGGCGCTGTGATGTCGCTTCTCGATCGTGGATTATCGTTACGGGGCTTCTTTGGACTCGAGGAAGCAGGGGAGGCGCCGGTTTCCTCGAATTTTGTTTGCGACGTTTATTGTGATCGTATTTTGAACCTTTACGTCTCGAATCGGCGGCGTCGGAGTTGGGAAAGGGGATCACTAGACTCGAGTAATGTAAGCCAAATAGGTGCTGATAAGATAGTGGGTTGCAATTAAGCCGAAATTGCAGCTGCCACAGCTACGCCACACGTCGAATATGCCACATGGGGGGTGGGCTACAGTCATCAACTTAACCCAATCAATCCACGTCAACGTTTCCTCCGCGAGCGTCCAACATCAACCATTAAACAACCTTGCTTGCGAACTTCAATCCGAGACCTTTAATCTCTATCAGCAACTTTCGACAGCACAAGCGATATATCATGGCTGGCCCATCTGCCTCCCCTATCTGGGTCTCTCAACTCGAGAGCCCTCCGGCTGCCAAGTCCAAGCAATCTGGCGTTCAGGATCCTCCTGGTTTCAGCTCCGGAACAACCGTCACCAACTCCAAGGCACGCGCATTCTCTATCGCGCGATCGAAACGATCAAAGACTAACACAGCAAACAGAAGAACAAGGATGCTGTCAAGGTTCAGCCCCGCAAGCCCCCGACTACCGCCGAGATGGAAACCTTGAAGCTCAAGAAGGCCTGGGAAGTCGCGCTGGCTCCTGTTAAAGGTCTTCCCATGACCGCCATCATGATGTATATGTCGGGCAACTCTCTCCAGATCTTCAGTATCATGATGGTCTTTATGGCATTCAAGAACCCTTTGATGGGCTTGATGAACACGAACCAGGCCTTCGAACGCTTCCAGTCAGAGTCTCTTTCCTCCCAATTATTGCAGGTCAAGTTTGTGTATGTGGTATGCCAGCTGGTTGCGCTTGGTGTCGGAATTTGGAAGATCAATGCCATGGGTCTATTACCGTAAGGATTTATCTCCGTATGCACCATTCTTACACTACTGACACTGTCTAGAACAACACGATCCGACTGGCTGATGTGGGAGGCGCAAAGAGAGCCTCTGGAGTTCGCTGTGGCAGCTTTATAACCTGTCTATTGATACGATAAATGACTAGATAATTAATTGGACTTGCAAAGCTATGCCACATTCATTGCTTCTCTTTTTGCTTTGGCTGCCCTCCATCGCATACCTCTCTTGTCAACAAGTCTCAAAGCCGGGATCATGGCCAAGTTCAGTAAAGCAAGAAACGTGAAACACCACCCTCTACCCATTCCTGCGATCATGTGGTCAATGGCCGCCGTCGCTGCAGCTCCAAACATACATCGCACGAGGTTATTAGCTGCAGTTGCTGTAGCTGGAGCATGTGGGTTAAGATCAACAATAAGGGTATTGAGAACACTGAATGAGGTTGGAACGAACATGCCGATAAGGAAGACAAGGACCAATGGGACAGCAACTGAAGTTTCAACTTGCAAAGCCCATCCATACCCTATAAGTGTCGCGATACCAGCGAGGAGCGTTGGATAGACCGGCTGGATTCGCGCAGTCTCGATTGGGAACTTGCCCAGATCATCTCCCCGCTTACGGTTGATAGTGAAGCCAATTTTCTTCGCAATTCGTCGATAGTTCCAGTCCAAGACGTATCCTTGACCAACAACGGCCAAAGCGCAGCCAAATCCGTAAGGCAAATAGCAAAGACCAACCTGAAGATCGTTATAGCCGTACGTCTCTTTGAAGAGTGTTGATAGGGTAGCCGCCACTAAAATGAAAGCCAGGTAGATGATGGCATTGATACATAGAATAATAGCCATTTCTTTCTCAAAGACGATGTAAAGCGTCTTCAATGGGTTGGGAAACTTCAACTTCTGCTTCGGAATATTCTGGCTTGTAACATCTCCTCGGTGGCTGTAAAGATCAAGTAGTGACCTGTTCCATTTTGGTGGTGCCATCGAGCCATTGCCAACGACTTTACGGCACGTCTCGGGAGCGGAGAGGATAAAGGGGATCATCCAGACACCAGAGAAGATGGCACAAAACCAGAAGATAGCAGGCCATCCAAGGTACTGGCTCAGAATACCACCCAGGACTGGCCCGAGAGCAGGCCCAACATTGATTCCGGCTCCAACAATGCCCATATATTTTCCTCTTTCAGCTGTCGAGGATATGTCCGCTACCACAGCAAAACCAAGGGCCAGAGTACCACTGCTGCCCGCACTTTGAACACAACGAAGGATCAGTAGCGCAACAAAGTTACGTTGCAGGGCCAAACCAATGTTTGCACATATATAAATCAAGAAGGCCAGTATATAAGCGGGTCGACGCCCGGCCATGTCGCCGAAGTCGCCGAATATGGTTGGTGATAGCCCCTGAAATATCATGTAAGATGTCAAAGTGAGGTTGACAAGTGACACAGATATGTTCAAATCTTCGGCTATAGGGGGAATTGCGGGGAAATATATGTTGGCCGTCATAGGCGAGACGAAGCTGGCTGCTGTGACCAAAGCTAGGATCCATCTTTTTGTGTTCTTTGAGAAAACGCTGTATGCTGGACCGCTTGAGACTCTGCTCATGCTCTCGGGATCACCCATTATCGTCTCGTCAGCTTGAGTTGTTGATACATTATGTGGCGGTCTGCCAAGTTTCTCGGTATTGTTGTTATCGAGGCCCCCAAGAGTCTCCGACTCAGTGCTCTGTATGCTGATATCGTCATGGTCATGTCTCGGAGGGTTTTCGGTGTTGGAAGAGGGCTGGTTTTGGCTTTTCTCTTTCATCTTCGCTGAACAGAAGGATGGAATATACAACAAACATGATGAGAAAGTCGCCGAGAACTGGAAGACAAGTCTTTTAATACTACCTTAACAATTTGCCCGCGATCGGAGAACATTCTCCATCGGTGATAGAATGTTTATTTCCGGTTGTCTTGGCTTCTATTCCCGTAACCAACCGGCCGAAGTTGCGTTCACGGACCCGGCGTGTCTCCACTTTATGCCGAGCTCCGCTCCGATCCGCCTCCTGAAGATATTTTGAGTCTCATACTCAATTTCGTCGGTCTGGCCGTTGAATCAAGAAAATTTTCAATGGAAAGAATACTCAAGGCCTTCACAGATGACTGATATCTTCATAATCCTGCAATACCATCCAGTCTTTCGGTAGGTCGAATCGAGTCAACCTGATTAGCCCATCGCGCACCTTGAATGTGTGGAAGCTGAGAGACGATCTTTATTTGTAAAAAGATCGCGAAGCGTGGAGGATTAGAGGGTCCGTATAAGTTTCGAGTGATTGCAAATCATTACAAACTAGTAAAGTGGTTGCATCACAGTTGAAGCTTGGTTTGTTCGGCATTCAAGCTTGAGCTCGATGACTAAGCCACGTGGAGCTTTGCTCGAAGTGCGTCAGAGCTTCATACCAATGCAGCCATGGTGTCTACAACAACCCTGGACCGTTATTGATGAGAGAGCTTGACTCGAATGTTCAGACAAAGCCTCGAACCCCTCGGTCGTAAATCACACAAACTGAGGAACTCGGGTTCACCAACAGCTTATCCTTTCAGTGAAAACATTCGTCCTGGACTAATTTGGAGTACACGCCATGAATGTCACGGTCACTTTCAATGAGCTCCTGCGGGAACGAAATGCGCCGGAAACAAGAAAACGTGTCACCTTGGATGCCATCGATGGTTTCTTGAAGGAGGCATATAGGATTGTAAGCCTATACGCTTCTATTCGGCCTCACTCCCAAAGCTGATTAGTATCTCTAGAATTCTCATATCACCAGCCTACATCGAGAGCTTCAAGATGTTCGACAAGCTTATTTATCGACTGCGCAGCCACGAAAGACACATAACCGAGTCGCAAAAGAACAAACACGTGTCCTTACAGATCGAGACCGAGAAGAAGTCGACGCCAATGCGAAACAGATGATTCGGGAGTTGAATGCTGGCATTCGTGCTCTCGACGAGGCTGAACAGTTACGGCGTGAAACTGAATCAGCTATAATCCGAAAGAAATATGGAGGCCTAGGAGCTTTTGGAGCATGGGCTTCAGGTGGTATAATCAGCAGCAAAACAGAGGAGCATGCAGAAGCTGAAGCCAAGGCACGAGATTTGGGAATTCATCGAGATAGTATTCTCTGGTTTTTACGACAACGACTCGAGCTATGCTGTCGAACGCAACAAGAAATGATGGAAACACGTCTAAAGCGCGAGTTGGAGAAGAACCGCAGCATGCTTTCAAGATCAGGCGCCACCATTGCTGGAGACTTTGCGGAATTTCCTCCATCTGCCCGACGGAACTCCCAAACAGCCCCTGCTGCACCGATCCCTATGTCCGAAGACGGCCAGTTCCCGAGCCAGGGGTTGACAGAGGAACAGATCCAGATGTTTGAGCAAGGGAACCAAGACATGATGAAGCATTTCGAGAATAGTTTGGACAAAGTCAGGTACGTGTCATATGTCCTCTCGATCTCCATCGGCACACCTTTGCTTGGTTGTATCTGCACTAGAGTACCAAGCGCAAGCGCCACCCCATGGGGAAGGTGAAGTTTGTTCAGGCATATGAGCTAACACTCGTACGACAGAACTGCTGAGAAGTCGTTACTAGAAATAGCTGAGCTGCAGTCACTTCTCGTAAACAACCTCGCCACACAGTCAGCGCATATAGATCAGCTTGTAGCAGACTCGTTTGCAACTACGGAAAACGTTGGCGGTGGCAATAAGGAATTAAAAAAGGCGACACAGCGCGCAAGTCCAGCAAAGTATACATTCTTTGCAGCAAGCGGGCTCTGCGCTTTCCTTGTGCTTTGGGATCTGGTGTTTTGAGTTGGCAAACGAATAAAAGGGTATGCAGACATACTGACACCTAAGCATTAATAGCTGGCAGGGTGTGGGAGCCGCAACCAACTACATCTCTATGCTATATACTAAGCAGGTAGTCAAAGACGGAGCACATGTATGTGCCTTGTTATGTTCATCTTCGTAGTGCCTAAGGAACTCATGAGAAATGCATGGCCTGAAGACGAACACCACTTTGAGTTGGAACATATCCTCACTTCAGACTGAATTGACCATAACTGTGAAGAGTGAGACCACGGGCTTGCCAGTGTATGGACCATTAAAACGGACGCCCGAAGCAATGAAAGAGTTTTGTATTGGCATTTAAGTTGAAACCGGTGTACTTTGATGTACCCATTAATGACAACCCCTTGTACGCAAGGACCCGAAAAGAAACATATGTATGGCTGATCAGAGACAAAAGCCATGTATCAATCTCATGATAATGAGAGGTATTTCTTTGCTGTATCGATTTCAAATTGTTGGCCGCTGTGCTTGAACGGTACTCTGCATAATATGGACTTGGCAAACCCTGCGAAATCAGAAGATTTCATCTCACACCGGCAATCTTCCTATAGTATCTAAGATTCAAATTAGACCTCTTTCCTCGTTGAATCAACTGGCCTCGTCTTTCAGCTCTGGCTAGATCAAACATTCGATAATGCAAAGACATACGATGCAGAATGTTCTGTCACCCAATAACGCTGGCGGGTAAACCGGGCCCAACGCCGGGACCCTCAAAACCTTCTAAGGATTCAGGGGCAATTCAAAATTTACAGTAGATGTAGATTTCAATGGGAGATGAACCTCGCATAGACATGGCAAATACCATTCCAATCTACAGAGTCAGTCATACGACTAATCAAATCCATCATGTTACGTTTTAGCCGGGCGAAGTCGGAGGCGCGTGTGTAACTGGGCGCTGACGCTGGACCAGCTATTACCCAACAGTGCGTTCTCAAGCCCCGTGATGTTTTGTCTAAGATTTTTACTTCCCCGTGACAGGACGGTAACGGGGCGTCCGGGGCCGCCAGAGCCACCCGGTACTGTACTGGCAATGCATGCGTGCTGTAACTTGTCTAAACTGGTAGGGAAGTGAATCGAAGGGGTCTGGAAGAATGAACCGGGTTCTTTTTTTCTGGGGAACGGATCCATTTGGAGCCTTGGTCAGTAGGGGAGGGGTTTGGGGAAGAAACTGGAGAGATTTTGACGTAAAATGTCGATCCAACTCAACAGTCATGAAACTTGGGTTAACATGTTACGGTATGGTAAGTTATGGAACGGTGAGAGCTAATTAAAGTTATCATCCGTAATGTTAGATGAGATATTTTAGATCAGATTCAAACATGTGAGTTCAAGGGACCACAGATCAGACCACAAGTGAACTAGAAACTTGATAACCAGTTTCAAAAGTTCATAGATTCTCTCCGCAAAAATTGAACATGGGATCAGTTACTCGAACGGATAAAGCCAGCACTACGTCAGCCTATCTCCGTAATCTAAACTCACCGTCACCCATGCCAAGTAAAGTAACGAAATGTACGAAAGAGTACATACCTCGGTGAGGTTACGGTTGTCGGTCGGTCAGCTCCATTACGCGCGTGACGTTAGACTGCAAGGAGCCGAGGTGACCTAACCTAGGCCTAGGTATCGGTAGGCAATTACAACGGGGAGCTCTGATATTGACGTGATGGAGCTTCACAAGCTTTTTCACAAGCTCGGGAAGTGTTTTCGGTATACCTGTTTGAGGGACAAAGCATAAAAGATTAGATTGTCGCAATCCAAGGAAGAGATAACAGTAGTTATTGAAATTCTGCGAGCATAATTTAAAGGCCCGACCACAACTCTCTACAACTGACGATTTCATTGTCAATTGTTTCACGATCTCTGCGCAAGTTCAACAGCTGTACTGTCGCATATTCAATCCAATCGCGGATTCCTACTCGTCTCCATTTGAACCGCACAAGCTTTCGAGTCCGACCGTCACGAAGCACTATTCTTCGCCTGTTATCATCGTCTGCTAAGGCATCGAATACCAAGCCTATTTATATACGAAACAGCTTCAAACAGACCAGCTACCCGTTGGGATCGTCTGAGAAAAGAGCGAGGGAACTCCAGGAACCACAAAGGTACAACAGCTTCAAAGGTGAGTTGTCAGTTTCTTTACAAACGCAAGAGGAAGTTTCCTATGTTTGCCCTTGGTCCGTTAGGCCTGTCCCTGTTGGGTCGCGAGTTGAGCTCGAGTCTCAGTCAACCACAGCCGCACCCCCTGGGAAAGCACAAGCACAAGCACAAGCACAAGCACAAGCACAAGCGGTTTGCGGTTCTGTTCTGTACCTGTATGGTACTGAACCTTCTACCCATGCAACGATAGCATCAACAAGCAGCAAAAGAGCCCACCGCGAAAGTTGTCCGGTGAGCTCAGCCCACCTTCTACCTCTGTTTGGCATCGGGTGGCATGCCCCTTCCCCCGAGAGCTCCAGTGGTCCGGAATAACGGCGCCCTATTTGCCCGCCTGCAGCGAAGTGCCTGGGGGGATATGACCAATTGCATCAGGCCAGAATCTGGTTTACGCAACAGTCATAGCCATGGGGCCTTGTGGATATTCAGTGCTTTTGCCCGGATAGAGACCACCGAGTTCATGAGATAAGAATCGTTGGGCTCTGTAAGGGACAAGTGCCTCGCAGCAATGATAGTCTCGAGTCCCGAGGCTCTTACACGGGAAGAGTGTTGAGAGACGTTTCGGAGGCGAATTGAAACATTTCCTCGTCAATTCATTGCCCAAAACAGTCTTTTATTAACTGGCGCGTTCCGTCACTTACTGACAAAAGTTGCTGTTAGGTACCTTTTTTGTTTTCCCCAAAGACGCACACTCCTACAGGGGCCTCTCACCTCAGTTCACCTGGGCTCAGGCTCTTTCGCATTCACCCGCAAGTCCACCGACCTCAACTTAAGAGACACACCCCCCCTGGTTCCACCCAGACCACCGGACACGGCGCCGCAGGACCCCAAGGCCCCCTCTTCCTTACTTCCTTACCCCCCTAAATCGAAAATCCTCAGGGCCACAGCCCACTATGACACCCTCACTGAGTACACCCCGTCAGAGTCAGTCTGGCAGCAGCAGCTCAAGCTCAAGCTCGACTCATAATAAAACGGCGCCGACCTCTTCTTCATCTTCCTCCATCTCTCGTCTCAACTCCATCGTTCGTCACATCTCGCCCAAAATGGTTTCTACTACAAATTTCCCTGCCGAAGTCGTGCCCCAGGCTCCTGAAGACCCTCTCTTTGGTCTTGCACGAGCTTACAAGGCCGACAACAGCCCCAACAAGATCGATCTTGTAAGCAGAAGCCCTCCACCACAACCTTTTCATCTGAAGGGTCTCCAAAGTATGATTGCTCCTGCTAACCTATGCTTTCTTGTTGTTTAGGGTATCGGTGCTTACAGAGACGAGAACGCAAAGCCCTGGGTGTTGCCAGTCGTTAAGAAGGTATGATACTCTTGCACACCTCGCTGCACTTCCCCCTTCACGGCATTGCCGGTCACCCTCCCTCAGTCGCATAACCCTCCAAGCCTCAAACCCCCAGATCGCATACACCTGTATTGCGCTCCACGAACGCATTGCTCTTCAGGCATTCCCCTACCCGGATGACGCTTCCGAAGCAGATCCGTTCAAGCTCCAGTCTGCCTCATAACCCTCCCATCATTGCGATTTTAGGGTCATAGGGTCAGCAGCTTTCCACAATGCGCTGCCTGGATCCTTCTCATGCAATTATGCGTCACAACATGCCCCAACAGCCCCGCCGCCACGACTTGCGCGCAAACCTTGAGTCTTGGAATTTGAGCTAACCCCACGTGCGTCACAGGCTGATGAGATCCTCCGAAACGACCCTGAGCTCAACCACGAGTATGCCCCGATCGCGGGTATTGCCAGCTTCACATCCAAGGCCGCCGAGCTGGTCTTTGGCGCTGACTCCGCCGCCATCTCAGAGAAGCGCTCGACGACATTGCAGACAATCTCTGGTACCGGTGCCGTGCACTTGGGTGCTCTCTTCCTAGCCAGGTTCTACAAGGGCAACCACACTGTCTACCTGTCAAATCCCACCTGGGCAAACCACCACCAGATCTTCAAGAACGTCGGCCACTCAATTGATACCTACCCTTACTTCCACAAGGAGACCAAGGGTCTTGATTTCGAGGGCTTCAAGCAGACTCTTAAGTCTGCTCCTGAGGGATCTGTCTTCGTTCTTCATGCTTGCGCACACAACCCCACTGGCGTTGACCCTACCCAAGAGCAATGGACTGAGATTGCTGCTCTCATGAAGGAGCGAAACCACTTCCCCTTCTTCGATACTGCTTACCAAGGCTTTGCCTCTGGTGATCTCGTCCGCGATGCCTGGGCTATCCGATACTTTGTCGAGCAGGGCTTCGAGCTTGTTGTTGCCCAGAGTTTCGCCAAGAACTTTGGTCTCTACGGCGAGCGTGCCGGCTGCTTCCACGCCGTTACCGCCCCCGCCGGTGATGCCTCAAACACTATCACCCGTATCGGCTCCCAATTGGCTATTCTCCAGCGATCCGAGATTTCCAACCCTCCCTTGTATGGTGCTCGCATCGTCAGCACTGTTCTCAACGATCGTGACCTCTTCGCCGAGTGGGAAGAGAACCTGCGCACAATGTCAGGCCGCATCATCAGCATGCGCGATACTCTACGAGCCAAGCTTGAGGAGCTCCAGACCCCTGGTACCTGGAACCACATCACGGACCAGATCGGCATGTTCAGTTTCACTGGTCTTAGCGAGTCACAAGTGATGAAGCTCCGAGAAGAATTCCACATCTACATGACCAAGAACGGTCGTATCAGCATGGCTGGCCTCAATGACAACAATGTCGACTACTTTGCCAAGGCTGTTGACAAGGTAGTAAGAGAGTCTGCTTAGATCTGTATAGATTGAGGTAGAAGTTGAGTGTTTGAGATGGTGTATGAAACTCATGGGACGTGGTCGAATACAAGACCCTGGAAGAAACTCGGCGTTGGGATTACAGCTTTACCATTATTATCGCACCTGTCATGAAGGGGACTCTGCAAAAAGCACTGGACGATCCTTGTTTATGCATGCTGTTGACAGCTTTTAATATACCTTGACTGCAAGCTAATGCATTTGCATACTCAACTACTTGGTTCTATCTTTCTATACATGATGTAGTGTGATCATGATGCAGTAAAATAGAGATCAAGATAGCGTACTTTCTTTGGTTATCATGGATCGAGGGTGCTATCTTGGCGTACGCCAGACCTTGACCCGCAGATAGCATGAACACCTTGATGCCGCTTAGAGAAGGGCGATATGCGATATCCAACACGAGTCTGTGATTGGCCCGCCTCTCACCCTGGAAAGACAGGAACTTCCTGCTTCATTAGGTAAAATTACTATTCTTGCTGTAGCAGTAACCAAAAACGGACGCAAGCACGGGGATCCTACAGAACAACTCGACAAGAAGAGTCTGGGCGACCTCCATAAAATAGAATTCGGGGAAACCTCGCCGTCTCGGGGTGGAAGGCGCTGTCTCTCTCTATGTGTTCTCCGGGCTTTCAGTGGTATCTATCGGCGGCGCGCGGTATCGAGACGCCGATTCACCGTGAAGGGAGGGTATGGGAAGAGTATTGCCGCGCACTCCCTTTCCCCCCTGCCACTATCTCCCGTCTGGGGAAGAAAAAAGAAGATGTCTGGCTTTTTTTTCATGGAGAGTCCACCCCCGCATGTCGCGATGCAATTTTTATCCTTTCCCCGCATGGGAGCCGCTCGCTTGTCCGGGGACCAGGGGGGGCGTGTAGTAACCAATTCCTTGATAGTCGAGTCCAAGGTCAGTCATGAAAGAAAAGATACGGGGGAAACCGGCGGAAGGGAAGTTTTTGACGGTGGAGACGGAGTCTCGAAGCGAAGCATTGACTGGGGAAACGGTGAGATATCTTGAAGAAGAGCTGACCGTCTGCAATAACTTGCTGTTTGTTCAGTTTCCCTTATGTCATGAGACAGGCAACTTTACAACATAGGATCCATACAGAGCCCCGGCAAACCCCGAGTATCATGAAATTGACTGAAGCAATTATATCGTAGAGTCAAAAACTGCGAATCGTGCCTTGGGCTATTACACAATTGCGTATCCACTGCAGCGGGTCAGGAAAAAGGTACATTGAGGAACTTGGGGAATTTCGAGACTATCAACGGGATTTGTCCGATACCGGGGGAGGGTGTGTGTGCCAGACTGCCAGTCCTGGAGTGAGGGAAAGGGAATAGGATCCATATCATGGGGTAAGAGAAACGTTAGTTGGGTCTCGCAATTGAGGATGTACCTCGCGTATGGATATGGTCAAGATGGAAATAGTCCGGTGTGAGGAATGGCGTAGGGCACATGACTGTTTCGTTATCTGGGCCTTGTCCCTAGGTAGCCAGTCTAGAGTTCGGTTAGACATGCAGAATTGGGAATCCGATTTCTAGTCAAGGCCCTGAGGAGCTAGCTGAGGAATCATCAAGATAGTCATTTAGCCGCGTTGGGTAGTGTTTAGATAGAACTGCCACCGCATAGCATACACTTGGTGCCGCCGTAATAGAGTGTGTCCTTCAGGGTATTGAACAGGAACGATAAATGGCTTAAGATTATACAAGACTTGAGAAACTGCCTTAAGACTGGCGGCTTTTTCTGACCTGATAATACACTCTTGGAATGATATGGGCTTCCGTGGGCGGTCACAATCTTGATCTAATAACCACAGCCAACAGTACACTCATGCTCACACCACTCAATGGCTTCCCTTGGACTAGGACAAGATCCATGTGGCCCAAAAGAGATATAGGATGCTTATGGCTTTATCCATCCGGCAGAGACTCCGATAATATGGTGACCCCTTTCATTCTCAAGAGACAGACCGCGACTGATCGACTTACAAGTCCTGCCATACCGCATCTTCCCAACATAGTAGGCCAGATAACAAAATACGGTGATTTTTTGCTCTTTATGGATGACTCAGATAGTCAGCAATAAGTCACAGGTTTAAACATTATCAGACTGTGTGTCAAGCACAATGAAGATTGAGCGGTAGGATCTGGCATTCATGCTGACTCACTTGAGAAAGCTTTACAAGGGACTATCTGTCCCGCCATTCTCTCTTTTCTATATGCGGTGGAGGAGTGCTCGATACAGCAAGCAAATTGACGAAAGGATGCACATGGGTAATGCTGAGGCAAAGAGCATTGGTTTGCTGGCATGTTTGTCTGACATGGCATTCACTCAGCCTCTGATTTAACAAAGTGTTATGGGAAAACAGACAAAAGTCTTTAGACGTTTGATCTAGTCTTGCTCCAGCATTGTTTTCTGGCGATCCTAGATCAACCTACTTGCCCATATAAAGTGAAAAACATCTCCGTCTCTCTCACGGGCAATGACGATCTTACACCTCTTCCATTTTACATGCTAATAAGAAGAAAAAGAAACAGCATACGAGCTTACTGTAGCTCACCACGACTAAATTCCAAATTCCATGAGAGATTGTGAGTTGTATGCCATCTTACTTCATTTGAGTTTGATGGGTATAAGTGCAAGGTAGCTCTCGTTTAGCTCAACACTGCGCTGCCTAAGGTGGCAGCCCCCACTATCCAGCTACATTCTCAACCTCACCAATAATGAACCTCAGCCATGGGGAGAAAATTACCATGGAAGACTTCCTCGACTCCTTCGGGCCCTGGAAGGAAAACTTCAGTGAAGTCGGAGAGCCCACTACCCACACCATCACGAGCGCTCCATCCAGGTACACCCTCAGCATTCCCTAAGAAACCGCGTCGCGAGCGCGTGATAGAGGCAGAAGGTATTCCAGACTCAACACTTTCATCAAAACCGCAAAGAAACCGACAATATCATACAGATGCCACACGCAGTCCTTCAACCTCGCCTCCGCCAGAGCCACCTAAAGAAAGGTCCATCTCACTCCCAAACTCACACTCATACCAAACACTGACCAGACTCAGATTCATGAGACCAGGCCTCGACCACGATGACCGATATCGTATAGTGGAAGACGAATTCGTCAACATGGCTCACCAATTCACACTTCACATTCATGCTTCTGAATACAATCGTTTGAAGAATTTGGCTAAACACCAAAACGCAGACACAATCCGTGAGATTGAAAGGCCTGTAGTCGGCGCGCCAACCCTCCTTACACGACATCGTCAGGAGGACGTACGCCGCAATGCCAAACAGCGCAAGCTTTTAGGTAATGACGCAAATGAGAAGAAGGACTCCCCTTACGTAGGGTCAAGTCTGCAAGGTCTCATGGAGAGTCCCAGAAAGGAGCACAAGTGGATATCAACAGGTCTAGCTGATACCGCAGCAACGAGAGCTTCGGCGGGTTTCAATTCACAGAAGATTAGCCCGCTACGGTTAAAGCAAGGATCCAATTCATCTTCAGCAAAGAGGAGGCAGATCTCTTTGGGCGATGACGATGAGACCGATGATGGAGATGACTTGGATCCAACTACGCCCTCACGCACCGCAGCTACAAAGGCAGCACGCACGACGCATACATCCAGTCCAGCCATGCCACGATCAACTCCACGAACAGCATTTAGTACTCCTCGCACACTGAAATCAGCTATGAACACAACTTCAAGGTCGGGCTCTAGCGTTAAGCGACCAACAACAGCACCTGGAGGAAGCGAAGCACGTAAGATAACCAAAAGCCGCGATGCTCAAGAACACATCGATGATGACGATCCTTTTGGGATCAACAAACGAAGAATTCAGCGCCAAAAGTCAAGGGAACAGTTCCGCAAAACGGAAGAGAAAACACCCTCTAAATCCTCACTCGACGATATTCCTTCATTCCTCTGAGCACATTCACCATCACGAAATCTCAACGGTGGCCCAACAGAGCCCTATTGCATGGAAATCAAATCAGTTCTTTTCATTCATGTAAGCCCTATTCTTGCATTGGCCGATCCTCCATTGTAAGCTCATCAAAGTCATCCAGCAACTCATTCATATCGACGTGAGGTGCCTCATCATCCTCCTCAGTCTCAGCCACACTCATCTCCTCCTCGGCTCTCTTCTTAGCCTTATACAGGGCGAGCGTAGCACGGAGCTCCTCGTCTTCCTCGACATCTCGCAAGAACTGCTCGTACTCTTGATCCAAGCGTTCTTGGTCTGCCTTCTTGGGAAGAAGCTCTCCCTCGTCCTTGTCCATACGCTTGAGCTGCCAGTTTCTCTTGCGGTTCTTTCTGCGGCGGGGATAGTGCTTCTTGACTAGCACCACGTCAGGGATTCTCGATGAGTATGTGTTCGAGCTCTCGATCTTCTCGTATTCGGTGTTGTTGAAAACGGTTCCGGCCATCAGGTAACCCATAGCAGAATCACCGGGCTGGAGGAGTCGACCCAAGTGAGTCCTTGTGAAGTATGTTCGGTCATTTGAACCAAGATCTGAGGCACGAGCGACTGTGGCTTCGGCAAGCGTCCACTTGCCCTTCTGGGTTGCTGTGCGGTCGATATCCATGACAATGAACTCAACGAGCTCATGCGTATCGGTGAGAGATAGGAAAGGAGCTCGCCAATAGATGGGTGAGCTGATATCGCAAGTCTGAAGGGTCTGAGGGTCCAACAGGTACACAGAGGTACCGATCTTGTGGCAGAGGAGGAGAGGTGAGATGTTGCCGTTTTGCTTGGCCATCTTGATAGGCAGAGCGACCAAGTCGTCTTTACATATAGGCACCAGCTCGGCCGAATATGTGAACTTGTACGACGACTTAGAGGTGTGGGTATCGTGAGAGATAAGCTCCTGCGACGCCTTCACCTTGACAGGCACCACAGAGTTGAGGAAGTCGATGAACTTCTCAGCCTGGTTCTTTTGGGCGAAGAAGAAGTCGATACCATCCTTGGCCTCCCGAATGTTGAGTGTATCTTTGTGTGCGCCGTGCTTCATAATAAGCTGCTCGAGGAAAAGGAAAGTTCGCTTGTGAAGGACCTTTTGACGAACTTGAACAGCAGCTCGCCAAACGTTGGCAGTGTACGACTTGGCACACTCAGGGCACTGCTGGTACGCCACCACATACACAACCTCGAAACTCTGTTGAAGCAGCATACCATCTTGGACGGAATCCTGGATTGTGATCTTGACCTTTACTCGTCGCGAGTGAGGCTCGGTCCAGATAAAGCTCGCGTCCACGATACGGACTTTGTTCAAACCTCGAAGTTTCTTGAGGCACATGGCTAACAATTCGCGGGATTCGGGGGCGGCAACGATCCAACTGTTGGGGGGCATGAGCCATCGGTCGCAATCTCGGCAGAAGTTGAGCGTCGCCTCTCGCTGGACGCCTTGGGAAATGTCGACAGTAAGCTTGATACAGTCGTAGCAGAGAGCGCCGCTGGAGGCGGTTCCATCGATCGGGGCACCGCAGTTGCAGCAGAGAATACTGAAGAAACTCGAGTTAGTATTGCGCCCAAGAATGGAACGAGTGCGGGGTGGTAAAGGAAGATCAAGACTTACGTAGCAGAGCCCTGCTGCTGAGAGACAGGGGCTATAGAGATAGGCTGGTCATCCAGATCCATCGACATGTTGGGCAACGATGTCGTGTGAAATTTGATGGTGTTGTTTGGGTGGAAATGAATGATGTTCAGTGACTTTTAGAAATCCTAGAGTGGGAGAATTTGGTTCGCCGCCGCTTGATAAGCGCTTATCGGTGGGCAGAAAGGATATTTTTTTGCAGGCGCGGGGCAAAAATTGGAAAATGCAGGATTCTTTCCTCAGAGTCATAAAGTTCAGGGTCCACTTGGCTCCATGAGATTTGGTCATGCCAATCATTGGATGGCCATCATGTCTTAAATGGATTCTATATCTTCAAAAGTCGTGGTTTTGATAAATTCAGGTATTATAGACAAAAATGCAAAAAAGAAAGAAAAAAAAAGAAAAACAATGGCTATACAGATCAGAAAATCTTGCTTAGTACCCTCGTCACCTCGGCTGGTTGATCTTCCACTTCCGTCTTCTTCTTCGCCAGAGGAACTTGCTTGAACGATCTCTTGACTTGTCGCCCCGAGTCCTCTCCCTCTCTCTCGCCATCTGCCTTCCTCTTCTTGGCCTTTGCCTTGGCTTCCATGCCGTCCAGCATCTTTGCTTTCTCCACGTTCCTGACAAACTCCTTGTTCTCCTTTGTCGACTTGCTGATCTCGGCTCTCATGCGGCTAGCGCGCTCAGCGTTCTCAGCAGCGATTTGCTCTGTGAGGTTGTGCCATTTGAAACCCTTGAGGTATAGAAGATTCCATAAATCGTCGTGGTAGTAGCTGCCCTTCTTACCGCCAATGGTGCGCGCGTTGAGAAGATCGCATACAGCCTTGGCGTCCTTCTTTTTTGTGAACTCGACCCATCCTTCGGTATAAGATCGCTTCTTGTTACCGCCAGCGCGAACGCGACGGGCATGTGAGGCTGGGTCTTCAGGGGCAAGGAAGATGCGGTTGATGGTTCCGTAGGGTTCGAGGAGAGAGCGCAGCTTGGCGGGCTTCATGAAGGGTGGTATACGGGAGAGGTAGACGACGCCTGACTTCTTGATGGCGGCTTCGGATGCGACGAGGTTCTTCTTTGTCAATGTTCTTGTGACATCGGGCAGCTCCGTCGAAGTTGTGTCTTTTGATTTGCGCTTTGGCTTTTCCGGTTTGTCATCCTCCTTCTCGCCCTTTTCTTGTTTCTCTAAATCCTTTTCGGCCGGCTCGCCGTCATCGTCGCTGGCATCGCGCTCAATGTCGCTACCCATATCATCCTCATCGTCCGAGTCAAGTTTCCGTCGCTTGGCGCCTCGGCCACCCTTTTTCATATCATCATCCTCGGAATTGTAGCCAACATCGTTCTCTTCATCGCTATCGGCCGTATCGAGAAAGTCGTTTTTGGTTTCGGGTGCCATGATGAATGCGATTGGCAGCACTGAGCTTGAGCTGTCTCCAATGTGAGGCCGGAGAATCCAGTGTCAAAAAAAAGTAGTCCCTGGCTGATAAGATAAGCTGTGGTCGCGCTAGACTACAGGGATCTGAGTTTGAGTTGGAGACGGTCATGTGACTTGGAGGGGTAGCCAACGACGTCACTGATAAGAGGTTTAGAGGGGAAGAATTGTTCGAGAAGAGCTTTGCAGCAGGTTAAGGTATAGTACTATGTAAAGGCATGGTATTTCCGGAAGCATGATGTTCAAAATGGACTATGAGTATTGGTCCAGAATTAACCTCGATGCGGTAGTCGAATTGTCTTAAAAGGATTCAGCGCAATGTACTTGGCATACCTTAGTAGTCTAAGCTTCCATGGATCAAAGTCTTATCATGTGGCTTCGTATCGCTATGATCATGAATATTCTTGAGAATGGGAATAGACTTAACTCGGGTCTTGATATCTCTATAGTATCATGGGATCACTATTCCCAATTAAATTATCATGTCTTATCAAATTGTAGCGGGGTTGAAGCCGCCGAGTTCGGGTTACGTTGGTATACGTGGGGCAACCGAAGCACCGCGAGCCGCGAGCCGCCAACCGCCGTCCGTCATGGACGATAGACAGTACAAGTACACGTACAGTACACTCATGACCATCTCATATACTCCACTTGCACTTTAAAAAGTGGCCAGCTACAAAGATATAATCTCTTCCACGATCTGTCACTACAATCTCACTCTCTTCCTCACACATACCTAATTATACCCACAATGTCTCTCGAAGTCATCACCACAATCTCCCCAAACACAAACGAGCCCATCCTTACCAGGAATGGCGCCTCTGAAGCTGACCTTGAGTCTCTCCCCAAGGTCGCCACTGAGGCTTTCCAGAGCTATCGCAAGACAACGTTGAAGGAGCGTCAAGCCATTGTTCGCAAGTTCCTCGATGGCCTCTTGGCTAAGAAGGATGAGCTCGGTGAAGAGTTGACTGTTCAGATGGGCCGCCCCATCTCATACACACCAGGTGAGGTCGCCACAGCTGTCAAGAGAGGTGAATACCTCCTCAAGATCAGTGATGAGGCCCTCAAGGACACCGACGGCGAGCCCGAGAAGGGCTTCAAGCGTTTCATCCGAAAGGTCCCTGTCGGACCTGTACTCATCATCTTTGCGTGGAACGTAAGTGCTGGCCTCGTTTTTGCTGGACCAGAAGCATCTTTTCTGACTCTGCACAGTACCCTTACCTCATTCTGGTTAACTCTCTCATTCCCGCTCTTCTTGCAGGCTGCAGTGTAATCCTCAAGCCCTCACCTCAGACACCTACCATCGTGGAACGGGTTACCGATCTCCTGAAGGAGGCGGGCTTGCCTGATGGTGTTTGCCAGTACTTCCACTGCGGCTCTCCCACTCTTATGGAGACCATTGTGCGCGATCCCAGGATCGCCCTAGTTTGTTTCACCGGCTCTGTCGCTGGAGGTCTCGCTGTGCAACAAGCTGCGTCTGACCGCATTGTAAATGTCGGTCTGGAGTTGGGTGGCAAGGACCCAGCATATGTTCGATCAGATGTCGATGTTGATTGGGCTGCTGCAGAGATTGTTGACGGTGCCATCTTCAACTCTGGCCAGAGTTGCTGCTCCATTGAGCGTGTGTATGTTGATGAGAAGATTCACGATCAGTTTGTTGAGGCCGTGCAAAAGGTGCTCAAGAGTTACAAGCTCGGCGATCCCTTTAACAAGGAGACTCAATTGGGACCTGTCGTTTCGAAGCGATCAAAGCAGACTGCCGAGGAACATATTAAGGACGCCGTCGACAGCGGTGCCAAGGATGCCACTCCCGAAAACGAGACTTTCAGCAACCCTCCTACCAAGGGTAACTTTGTGAAACCCACCCTTCTGACCGGCGTCAACCACAGCATGCGGGTCATGACTGAGGAGTCGTTTGCCCCAATTAGTAAAGATTCCCGACGACAGTTGAAGACATTCTGCTGACGAAGATGTAGTTCCTGTCATGAAGGTCAAGGATGACAGCGAGGCCGTCAAGTACATGAACGATAGCGAGTTTGGTCTGACAGCCAGCATCTGGACCAAGGACACAGACGAAGGATACGAGCTTGCCGAGGATGTGGAAGCCGGCACTGTATTTGTCAACAGATGCGATTATCCGGCACCGGTACGTTTTCTGATCCAAGCACAAAGGGTCTCTGCATTACGTGATTACTGACTGGCCGACAATAGGATCTGGCTTGGACTGGCTGGAAGAACTCGGGCAAGGGACAGACACTTAGCAAGTTTGGATTTGACCAGTTTGTGAAGCTCAAGAGCTACCACCTGAAGGACTACCCAAACTAGACTAGATAGAGAGGTCGCTATTGTTGATCGAACCCGGTTAAGGTGACTCTGAACAATGAGACGACGGTCTGTGCTGACATGAATCAAACGCTCGCTGCAAACAATCTTATACTGCCATGATTAAGAGCGAAGTACGTGGTTTGGGTGCACATCATTTCTCTTCGCGACTGTCTCTGGGAAGTGTCTCCCCTGGCGAGGCGGGCAGGGCAGAAGCAGGTGAGACGAGACGTTTTCGATAACGGGCGACCAAGACAAAAAGAGGTAAGTTTTGGTCATTCTGGGGAATGTTATGTTGATGAAGGATTGCTGCATTCGGTAATCTCTATGGTGAGTAGAACAATCTGCGACAACTGACACTACGTGGCCTTACACGGTCAATTTACCTAGTCACTGATAGTGAAGTGACTAACGGAGGAAAATACTATTGAAGCTATTCAATACTGTTTATTTCCTCACCCTGGATTGAGCTGGCGACTTTTCCCGCCTCCCTTTGTTGCTGTCACACGAGATTAGGATTGGGCTTGGGCTTGGGGCGCCACGCCTGAGGCATTGAGTATATGATATTCGACCCCCTTGTACATGGACGTAATTTATCAAGAGGCAATAAATCCTACACAAAGGATATGATATTTGCAACCGTGCACTTTTTCGTCTCTACTTTCATGTCACTTTTAGTCTCGATATATGGTCCCAAGTTGGGTTCTCCTTGCGGCCCTTTTTTTTTTCTTCTCCCTCTCTCTCCCGTCGCACCATGAAGCGTCGTTCAGCTGAGACACCCAATGGAGAACGAACCCACCCTCTCCCCAAAATTAGGTGAGCGCGAAAGTTTGTTGGTGGCGGGTTTGCACAGGACCCGAGACGTTAGAATTCCAGTGACTTTGATACATTCCAGAAGGAAACGTCAGCGTAGCCTTGACCCCTGGCGCTTAGACGGTTCAGGGCAGTATGTCACTGTTGATTTGCCTGTTTTCACTTCCACCATAGTGATGTGCGTGCGTGCGTGCATGCAAGTGTGCGTTGTGTTCCGTGTGTTGTCTGCATCAGCGTCTACGTCTGCAGTCGTCTCTCTCTCTCTCTCTCTTTTTTGTTTCCCTTTGTTCAATCTCGTATATTTTATTTACATACATATCCTCCTCTTAATTTCTTGTTCCGTTCTTGTGCTGTTGCATCTTTCTAACCATCACATTCCTTTCCTTCATCAACTGTCCTGCTCTGTGAGGCTTATTATAGACCAACCTCCGGACTGTCTTTCACTTATACACATTCTCTTCTCTCAACCTCCCCCCATCTTATCTACATACCTCAACTTCTCATCTCTTCTCTTCGTACCTGAGACTCGGATGATCCTCTTTGTATCAAAAACATACCAGAGTTTTAACTCCACCAACCGCTCGCTCACTCACTCTCCTACACCACTACTCTCCAAAAGAGCCACATGCCTTTTCCCCATCTGACATCCACTTCTTTGTCCTCCTCTAGACCGTGAATTTAAAGAAAAAAACGAGGCTTCTTTTTTAATTTCCCGCCTTTTCCTCTCTCTCATACAAGAATTCCAAACTCGTACCTTTTTCAGTCGGCCTCTTGTCTCCCAACCCTTCTTTTAAATCTCATCTCAGCTTGCCTCGTTCCATCTTGCTTCTTCCCCGACTCTAGAACAACTCCCCACATACTCACTCACAACTACAACTGCAAACCAACCACCTTTTTGGGCTCTTTCTATATAAGAAGCCTTTCAAACTCAAAGTCGACTTGATGGGATCCGCTGCTGTTTATCCTTCCGAGAGACGTGATCCTCGGTGCTTTAATCTTCCCTTGAATCGACTTCGATCTTCAAAGATGCATATCTCGGATGACTTCCAGACGCTGTGCGAGCGTGTCCAAACAATGGTTCGCCAACGACGCCGTAAGGAGAAGCGTCACATGGAGATTGTATGTCTATACCATCAAGCATCTTGTTCTTGGCTAATTGTTTGTCTTGTAGTCTGCACCTTTTGGCTTCGAAAAGAACCCGGTCAACCTCCCAGGAGTCTCAGAGGAGCAGTAAGTCAATACTTATACAACCACTACAAGATTGATAACTAACAATACAAAGACTCTCTATGCTCCGAGAACAAGCCGCCGCCAGTCGAATCGGCATCGCAGACCCTCCCAGTCCTACCGCCCCTCGCTCGCCCTGCTCAACCTCGAGCCTCTTCTCCCATCCAGTCCGACCACCCATCAAGACTGTTCCAACATCCACTTCTCTCTCGTCCACCGACAGCCTCCACTGATCGAGTATGGGCACTTATCATCACTATTGTTTTTACCGCTATTAGAGGTTTCATCAGGGGCGTCTTGAGAAAGGAAACACATCACTGGCTTGGGTCTATGGAAAGGAACAACTGTACGATACACATGGAATGGATTGGAATGGAATGGTAATGAAATTGGGCGGATCATGGGGGGATTGGGCATCTACGGAACCACGGGAACGGCAACATTACAGAATATCATCATACCCGGCGTAATCTAATCTGATTAATTCTTTCACCGACACTATTGCTCTCAACTTATCCCGCTGATACCCCTAAATTAAGGGTTCTGTGCTGAGCTGTACCGGTGTCTGTTAGGAATGTGGACGGAACAATGTCGTTGACGGGGAGAGTGACATGTTGTTTCATTTGGAAGTCTAAGACATGCATGCACGCATGCGTCCATCCTCGCTTCTCGCTGCTATATTCTAGATCACTGCTAATCTTTTAGATCCAACCGGCGTACACGTCCAGACTCTCGGAGCGAACTCCCTCCATCTCCCCCTTAACGCCTAGTAGCTTGACCTTTGTACCCTTCTCCTTAGCCCACTTGTCCAGGAACTCCTCAACTCGCTGCTTCGTCTCCTCATCATCCTTCATCAGGAGAGCCAGGGCATCGTAGCCGCCCGCACCAGGGACGACACCGCCGTAGACCCCTTCGACGGTGCTGAGGGCGTCGAGGAGCTCTGTCTGGCTTCCGGGCTCGATGGGGACGTCGCTGGCGCTACCCATTTGTCTAATCATCTCTCGAACAGCTGTAATCTTCCCCGGCAGATTCTCGACGTCGCCGGCATTGAGAGTAGCAATCAACTGCTCATTACGCTTCTGGAGCTCATCCCAAAGCTTCTTTGACTCTTCTGGGTTTGATGACCTCCACTTGAGGACCTTCTTGACCATACCAACCGTCTTACTTCCACAGTCCACATCGCACATACGCAGAACAACTCCTTTGGGCATGATGACTGCATCCTTGAGAACCTCTACATCCCAAGCAGACTCGCCGTCGACGAGCTTGACCAACGCATCCGCGAACCCAGCCGCACCGGGCTCGGGAATTGAAGACAGTGTCTCGGGAGAGAAGCGTCTGTATCTGCAAGATCCATAGACAGCGGTTGCAACATCGAATCCCGAACCGACCTTGCCTTGCGCAGCACAATGTGCAGCCTGGGCCAGGTTGTGAAGCGTCCTCTTGCCCCGGTCAGACTGGATATTGAAGAGATCTTCTGGTAGGTAGTGAGCCAGCAGAGCAGCAGTCAGTGAAGTGACGAGAGCAGCAGATGAGCCAAGACCCGTCTTGTTGGCATCTCCCAAGGTCACAGGGAACTTGGCAAAGCGCCCTTGACGTGTGCTCTCGGATTCAGAGTGCGAGTAGTAATCATTGTCTGCAAGGATGATGAGACGAGCAGATGCCATGCTGTGACTAGGACGCTGCTTGGCCACTCGGTCGATGTAGGTGAGTGCATAGCTGAGAGTTGTCTCCACGAAGGGATTGGGATTGATTTGTGCTCCGCTGCTGATGAGTGAGTAAGATGAGGTAATTGCGTATAAGAAAGAGTTTCCTGTGAGAAGTTCATGATCGGCCTTGCTTATGTGGTGATTGTCGTCCAACCTATCATGAACTCCTATCGCTCTGAGGACTGGCAACTCATCCAGTTTCATCGACGGGGACATAGCCTCACATTATTCACTCATTCATATGAAGAAAAAGTCACTTACACCTGCAACTGGGTAACTTTGATACCACCTCCCTCGCCAGCCAGGTGATAACCATACCGCCATTGTGCCTCCAGGAATTGCGGACTATCAACCACAATCTCAGTGAGCTGAACGCCAGCAGTCGTGTGAATGTCTCCAGCAATAATGTTGATACGAGCGTCGAGGCCGAATACAAAAGCCGTGTACTCCTGGTCCAGTACGAGGTATCCGCCAGCGAGGAAGACCTTGCCGGGAGCTGAGACAGCGATGGTGGGGTGGTGGAGGGTCATTGTATATGTGATATTTATATAAGAAGCCTTCAATGGCCAGGAAATGAGAAACGATAAATATTCAGGTGGTTGGTTGAACAACAGAGAACGGAAACAGTCACTCTCTCAGTCGTGAGCAAACTCCTTACCTTGAATGCATGAGCAAACACAGCCCAACAGATGAGAAGAATCATTAAACTCCAGCGGGGCCTCATTTCTAGACTGTACAGTGCATGTGACTTTAACACTGTGGTCTATTCATAGCCACAAGACAGACAATCACCCAATAACAGCAGAGTTCACCGTAGTTTCAACCAAAACTGCTCGGGTCTAGTCAACACCAACAGTATCGTGATGATGCCAATTAGACGTCATGCAATCAAGTGATAAAAGCCTCATCCTACTACGTGGCCCAGTCAAGATATGGCACCTTTGGACACAACCATCAAAACTTCATAAGCTCAAATCGCATCACTACAAGGACAGCTTTGTTTGATGACAAAATTGCCATTTCTTCGTTTCTTGTATTGTATTGGTGGTACAAGCAGCAGGACCCCATGCTCTGCTTTCCCTTGACCAATTCTCTTCTTGGCCTTCATCTCTCCTCCCAGCTGGCCCTGTTCCCTGGCTCTTTTGGTCCCTCTATGCTGCTAAAATGTAATGTAATATAATGATTTCCCTTTCTTGGAGTGGTGATGATCTATCCAGGGAACGTTCAGCCCCTAAACTCAATCATTCAGAGGCAAACGCTCCACGTAAGTCCCATTTTGATTCCCAAACGCCGTCCCTGTCCAGGGCCCAAGAAGATCCAAAACCTCTCGAGTATGGCATTTTATCAAAATGCCTTCCCCGTATAAAGACAACCAGCCCAGCCCAACCCAATCCCGCCTTCCAACCAGTACAATAGGGTATCAAACAAATTACGCCAACATTAAAAGAACATTACCACACTCTCATCACGAATCCCACATCGTAAAAGTCGTCTACTCTGAAACATCATGTCCTCCGCCAAGAAGCTCCAGGACCTTGTTGACGACAGCACTGGGGTAACCGCGGGTGAGCATCTCACCGACAACACCCTTGGCCTCCTCTCGCTGCTCAACAGCCAGATAAGCTCGGGTCATAGCCTCGTATGTGCTAGGTTCGCGCTTCTCTCGGCCAACAGCATCGTAGATACTTTGAGCTTTCTCAATCTTCTTCTCAGCAGCCCAGCCGTGAATCAAAGTGTTGGCGATGTAAGGAGTTAGTTCAACACCCTTGCTTCGCATGTGAGCAAGCACGGGCTCAGAAGCAGCAACCTGGTGGTTAGCAACCATAGCCTCGAACAGAGCTTGATACAGGCTAGCACTGATAGGAACAAGAGACTCCTTAACAACAGAATCAAACATCTTCATGGCACCTTCCATGTCGTGGAGAACACATCCCCTGGCGTGGATGAGAGAAGCATAGTGAACAGGCTCAACGCGTTGACCAGAGGCACGGATCATACCGAGAACCTCCTCGGCAGCATCCATGTCAACAGGATCAAGAGTAGCGTGAGTATCGACCAGAAGCTTATAGGTATGGGCGGTAGGGGCAATGCCCTTAGCCTTCATGCGCTCGTAGTAAGCCAAGACCTTTGTCTTATCTCGCTTTGTGGTCAGGAAGAATTGCATCATACTGTTGTAAGGAGCAGGACGAGCCTTGTAGTTGGGCATCGCCTCCATCTCATCGAACAGTGTTTCAGCGAACTTCTCATCACTGACTCGGCAGAGTGCATTGACAATGGTACCATAGGTAACCGATGTAGGTTTGATTCCAAGAGCTCTCATCTCAGCAAAGTAGAAAAGGCAGTCGTCGATGCGGCGAGCCTTTCCGAGCTTACCGATAAGAGCGTTATACAAGAAAGAGCTGGGTTCGACACCCTCAGCCTTTGCCCGGTGGAAGATACGGACAGCCTCGGAAGCCTCATCAAAAGTCTTGGTCGAATCCTTAAGCGTGGTGATGTAGAGACCGAAAGTGTTGGCAGAAGGGCTAGCACCGATTTCCAACAACTCCTGGTGGAATTGCTCAGCTCGTCCACGGTTACCCACGGTCAGACAAGCGCCGACCATGGCGTCAAGAATACTAGACCATCCATAGCGAACAACAGCATACTGGGGCATGATGGGCATATCAGTGCGAGCCATGCTAAGAATGTCATGGCAAAGATCGAACTTGCCATCACGAGCAGCAGCAGAGATAAGTTTGGCGTAGGTAATGTAACGAGGATGTCGGCCAGCACGTCGGATGTTGCGGAATCGGTTCAGTGCCTCACTAAGACGAGGTCCCTTACGGCCATGGTTACCCTCAAGATCGTCTGCAATAAGAGAGGATCCCTTGAAGTCGGTGTTGTGGGCGTAAGGGTCGTAGGTATCCTCGAAGGTGGAAACTACAGGAGTCGACAGGTAAGAAGAAGCGGTCATAGGCTGGAAGCTAGCAACTTGAGAAGCGATCTCGCGGGGATCAGGGATGCCACGAGTCTCCATAAATCGAGTGACGAATTCGACTCCTTCGTCAACCTCTTCGACAAGATGAGGTTGAGTCTGAGAAACAGAGGCGCGAATACGCTCAAACATCATCTCTGACTGTGCCAATCCCTCGGCAACTTGGCCAGAGCCAATCATGGCCACAGCATACATAGCTGTAGGCTCGATGAAAGTAAGATCCACCTGCACAGCGGGATTGCATAGGACTTGCCAGTACTTGGAGGCACCAACAACATCGGTCTGGCGGACATTCATGGCGAGGAGAGCAGTCGCAGGAGTAATCAAGTCATCCGCGTAAGGAGGCATGGCACTGTAGGCTGCGACAGCGGTATCCGTATCACCCTTGTCGGCAGCAATAGTTGCAATCTCACTCATGGCCTTGGCACGAGCTTCATCCGCGACGGACCGAGCCCATTCTAAAGCCTCCTGGTAGATACCACGGGTGATTAAACCCTTGACGAAACCAGTGGTGATCAGAGCATCCTTGATATCAGCAGCGCGGATACCGTATTGGTCGACGATTTTCTGAAAGAACTTCATGGCGCCTTCAATCTTATCAGTGACCACGTAGGCATTGATGACCGCGGCATAAACCTCAGCATCGAGTCGGTCGTTGAGAGTAGTCTCTCCATCGTCGTGGGCAATGGCCAGGTTGCGGTATTCGTTGTAGCATTCGACAGCACTGACCAGATCTCCGGAGGAGGCGAAAGCAGTGATCATGGTGGGAAACAGAGCAGCGTAAGGGACGATTTGGCTTCCCTCCATGTGCTCGTAAAGACGCAGCATGTCATCGACGCGTCCAGCTTTGGCACAGGCCGTAATAAGCTGATGGTAAGTCTCGGCGGTGAAGTTGGCGGCATCAGTGTTAACTGAAGTGTCGAACAGCTGGATTGCAAGATCGAGGCGGTCGTCCTCGCAAAGAATGGCATGCTCGAGTTCATGAGACGCAAGCATGAATTGGCCCACCTGATCCATGCCACCAAACCGAACTCGCTTGGCCTCCAAGGCAGCCTTCAGCTCAGCAACCTCGAGACATCGGGATGCCAGGAGGCCAACGAGAATGTTAAAAGTCTCGGCATCTGGCGAAACCTTCCTTCTAAGCATGTCGGCATAAACGTCGAGAGCCTTGGATACAATCTCGATCTTCTTCATAGGGATATGGATAGCCGACAGGAGGAGAGCATTGTAGGCACCCGCGATAGGCTGCACGCCAGTCGCCAGCATTGCCTCAAAGACTGCGGGAATTTCAACATATCGGCCATTCTCAGCGAGCTTGTGAAGATGGTCGGCATAAGATAGGGACTGGGGGTCCACAGGAGGAGTGAAGCTGCGAGCGACACTTGCTGGAGTTTGCGACCTGGAAATCACTGGAGATCGTGACTTGAAGCCAAGACTAGACACGGGTCGTCCTTCAGAAGCAGCATTCTCAGCTGCTTCCTGTAGGCTCCGTACCTCGATCTCCCTCTCGAGCGCAGCATCGATATGCGCAAGAGCTGCCTGATCCTCAATCGACAGGTTCGATTTGACCTCAGCATCCTCAATCAAAGCCTCCTCAAGAACATCTTTGGAAAGTCCCTGGTCCTTGGTGAGAATGGAAGCAGGAGTAGGCTTCCATTCAATGCTCTTTTGAAAGTCGAATTGGGTCCATTCGGAATCGATTTCACCTGTGGCCTGCTGGTGCTGTAGGGCCTCGAAGTACGCGTCTAGACCTCCATGGTTCTGGGCGGGGCGATGCTCAACGGACGGGAGGCCCGAAGATGCTGTGCGCTCAGTGTGGAAGGCAGAATGAAGCTGGAGGTTGGAGAAGCGACCAAGTCGGTTGGTCTTTCGTCGTACAAAGCTAGGCCGGTTCTGAGAGTTGAGGACGTGAGGGTGAGCGGCAGCAACAACGGATTGAGCGTAACCGTGTGTTGTGATAGACTTTGCGAATGTTGATCCTTGACGGACGAAATTCGAGTAAAGGCTGGAGTATGTGGGCATTTAGAAACCACCCAGGGGGGAAGAGAGGAGACTATAGAGCCTCTAGGTCAGTAACAAGAACAATCAGGGAAGTGATCACGATGCGTCTCAAATATATCCAACTGCCGCTGACATTGTGCCTGAGCAATGCCAAACCTGGAGTGCAGTGGAACGATTATGAGATATGTGTCGGGCCATGCGATCTGGGGAGGCGTGGAGGAACAGTGGTGTGTGGTGGACCAACGAAACGCGACAATGGAGTTCGAGGTGGCACTTACATTAGAAAAAAAGAGGAAATATCAATTGCAGGTTCATTTGACAGCAAGGACGCCGTCAAACAAACGCGCAGACCAGATTGATAGAATAATTATGAAGGGGGAGGAAAGATGTGAAGAAATGAAAAGAGATCAGATCGAAAAAATAGACGAGAAAAAATTAAGTCGTCTGGGGTTGGTTGTCTTGTCCTCGGGTGTTAGGATGGATGGGATGGAAGACGAGGGTGAATATTCGACATGGACCCGGGCCTCAGGGTCGGGGGAGTGGCTGCCTTTTTTTCTCTTTGCCTGAGGTGCAGTGGAGTGGATACCTTGGCGACACTTTTACTCTCAAAGTTGCCCAGTTACGTAGAAAAATGTATGCGTCAAGAGGCAGCTCACAAGAGTCAGTGTGGGGAAACCCTCGCTGGAGCCCTCATAATGGAGCTTGTTACGGTCAATTATCCACTGAAGGAGCTTCCTCCACGGTCTGTTATCGCTACAAAGTACTTCGACACCTCTGTAACTGCAAGTACCTATCGATGATGGCTGCGCGGCCATAGCGGCCTTGTCGGGGCGCGGAGTTCGGGTCGTTGTTGGATGCGGCCTATACAGACTCCGCAGTGGCTCTTCTGTGGGTGTCGACAGGGGTTAAAGCGTGCTCTTCCAGCTTGTGGGTGCCTGGACTCCATCGGAGACAGAAGCAGGTTCTGGAATGACTCAAGGCTTGGGCCTTGGGGCCTGTAAACAAAGTTATCTCCATCCCGTCTCTTTTTCTCTTACTCACTGAAGCTCCCTAGAACCTCCGGAGGCAAAGCTTCCAGGTGACGAGTTGAGCTTCAGGTGAACAAGTGAGTGACAGACAGAAAGAATGCAACCATTTGTTTGCGGGGGGATCTAATGCATGTGGCAACGATTCATACTGCTTAGTCTATTACACGCGCATTCACACCGATCATTGATCCTAGAAACCATAGATGCTTGAATTCCCACCGCTCGCATAATGTATCCATCTATGAGCAGAACATTCAGCGCAGCGAGCAGCAAGACCACTTGGTCCTGGCGTTTGGAGAACCCGTTGGAAGAGCTTTATATTGGCTCAGCTCGACCAATCAGCTTTCATCGAATTTTGGAAACTCCCTCTCGTCCGGTCATGAAGGTTTTTTCTTCCTTGCTTTTTATAATGGTCTTTTTTTATTTGTCGATCTCATCAATTGCTTTTTCTGTGGAGGATCATCAGAAAACACAAATCATATCATCCATGACTGAACCACATACATATTTTCGTATGCAGCATTTTCTTAGTTTCTGCTGTTTTATTAAAAAAAGTGCATCCGCATTGACGGACCCTTCTTCGCACGCGACCCTTGGTCTGACCGTAAGTGACGATTTTAGCGAGGAGCGGAACCGTTTTCTAGACCATAATTCAGAACATGCTTCCATCATCGACCTCGTCAACAGCAAGGGCCAAGGGTCTCGAGAGTCATTGACTAATCAGCCACCAACTCTTCGATCTCTAATGGTGGCCAGGGCGAGAACAAACCGGTGCTTTTTGTCCAGCCCTCCCTGTCTTAGACGTTGGTCTAATGAACTTCTATTGGTTGAAGTCTCTCTTCTCCCGTTAGCGTTGAGACTTCGTGGGAGAACCCGGAACTCCACGTCCAGCCTGTCGGGTCGCTGCCAGATGTCCCGCCAGAGGACTTCCAAGGGGAAGCAAGAAAACTTAGAACCTCTTTTCTAAATGATAAAAATACTTAGGTAAACTTAGTCTATTTTGTTAGGACTTTAGACCCGTTTATTTTGACGCCCTAGTTCAACGTCAGAGGTTTTCTTGCTCCCTAAGGGGCTTTCTAACAAGGGTATTTCAGTTTTGTTCAGCTTAACTTCTATCTGTGTGTTGATGGACAGGGCATTGTGAAGGTGGATCTCAGCAAAGAACCATTCATGATAATGGAATTACTGATATCAAACGTAAAATTTGGCCATATCCTCGGTTATAGATATTGTTGAAAATTTGGTTCATGAATTAGTGCCATTACACCACGAAGAAACATCACGAAATTGAGAGTTTGGTGGAGTCTGCACAAGGTGTGGCGAAAGCTTGTAAGCTCAACCAGGCTGTGTGAAAATACCAGCTGTCAGCTGCTACAGTGTTGCAACAGAGTGAAACGCACAGCACCCTTCAAAGAAAGGCACCAAAAGTACTGTATTGTACCTACTTACGCCCCAAACTCTCACCGGATTCTCTGCCGGGGCAAGTAGCGCAACTCCGTCAGGGTTCCGTTTGCCCTAGCCACAGCCTCTCTGTCAGAACAACAAGCATTTTGTTCATGATGACCAGTCATTGTAGTGTGGCAACGTCAGCAAGCATCCAGTCAGTCCCAGCCTCATGAGAAATGTGAAAGACAGATCAAGCTCTGGTTTTGCTTCACTTGGAAATATCATCACAAGAGACTACCTGTCATAGAAGCATATAGTCATAAGGGCTACCATAAAAGGACATAGATTCTTCAAATAATTATAAATATTCATCAATAATCACACTGACCTATGATACAGAGTTCCGTCCCAGACATGTTCCCCAACCATCTAAAGTCAGGACTATGGAGGAGTGGCAGAACTGTCCTGCCACAGGGCTGCAATTTTGGTCCGTCACAGGATCACTATCAACGAAAAATACCCGTTTACAACGGATGCCACGGATCACTATGGATTATGGCTGAAAATCCCCTGGCTTTTCGCTTGTCATCCTCCAGGTCTCGCCTAAGGTGACGGGTTAATAGCCGAGTCCGATCGGGTGTAAGCACATGCCCGGCATTTTCGCTTTAAGTCCATGAATATCCGTCCTCGAGTTAGCGATTTGGAGATTTGGAGACTGTAGTGCTATCTGATGGTTCGCCCGGCTATCAATAGGCTATCGCTTATCAATCTGTGACCGTCTCCGGGGCGTGATGCAAAATGCTGATCACCTCCGGCACGACGGAGCAAAGTTACGAGCGGCTTATGGAAAGGGGATGTTTTACTCCGAACTATCCTCAATGACATACATAGGCAAGTCAGGTCTGTGGCATTCGTAGTTGACGTGTAACTACAACCCTCAATGCCCCACGGTTTGCGCATACCTGACGTAGCACTGATTTACTAAAGGGTTTGTGCTTCCGTATATTAAGATTGCGATGCGTATCACATGAAGGAGTATGACCGTTGAAGTATTGGCATTCGCAAGGCCTCCCTTTGCTTACGCGGACAGAATTCGCGATTCTGCGGGATCGAGAATATGCCTCGTCGCGCCTCATTAAACTTTCTGCGTGATCTCGTATCGATCTCTTCCTCTTGAGGAATCTCGGGGAATTTGAGATGACTCAAGGGGCTGTCGGTCATTTGACAGCGAAGACCCGGGACTTTTCGATGTGCATCGCCCAGAGTGCCCTGAAACGTCTAGATTCCCGATATTGGTGGTCACGAGACAGTTCTCAGTTTCCGTCATGACAGCCTTGCTTCGGACTTACGAAGGAGCTTCTTTATGTTTTTTTTTTGGCTTGCCCTGTCAACCTGTAACTATGAAGCCAGGGCAGAGCTTCTGAGATCTGAGAGTCTAGACCGCATCCACAATGCTTATCGATAGAAACCAGATAAGATAAGATACTCCACTCTTTATTTTTTCTTGCGCATTGTATCGAGAATATCTTATGGCCCATGTGAAACCTCTACAGCAACACCAACATCGCAATCATGGCTGACGATGGAATGCTTCTGAATTTTGACCTGGGTTCAGGTCCAATTAAGCCCCAGGTCAAGTTCAAGGGTGGTCGATGGCGTGACAGGAAGCAGGCAGAGAAGTCGGCAAGGTTAGCTTCTGGGAAGACAACGCAACCCAAACCTTCCGGAGATGGATTCGATGAGGGCAGATCGTCAAAACGCCAAAGAACAGATGATGGAGGAGGAGATCATTCATTCGATTACAAATCATTCAACAGACATGGTTCGCGACCAAGGTTCACTGACAACGATGGCCACGAAGGTTCAGGCCAACCTCGCAACCAGCACTCAGATCGCAAATCTAGACAAGTCATCTCACGACTCTTCTCATTCAACCCCGCACAGACGACAGAGGGAGAGGAGAAGCAAGAAGAATGGACAGCTCCGGAAGCGACCAATGCGCCTCTATCAGATGTTGCGAACTTTGGTACATTGACGATATCTGCCCGACTTGTTGATGAGCTTGGCAAGATGAACCTGGAGCGACCCACGGCTATTCAGAACAAGGTGATTCCGCACATGTTAACGAGTAGCTCCGATGCCTTTGTGCAAGCCGAAACTGGTTCTGGAAAGACTTTGGCATACCTGTTACCTATCTTACATCGTGTTCTACTTCTCAGCGAAAAGGGGAAGGCTCAGATTCATCGAGATTCTGGTGCTTTTGCCATTATCGTTGCGCCTACTCGCGAACTTGCAAAACAGGTTCACACAGTTCTGGAGAAGCTCATCCGACCGTTCCCATGGCTCGTCTCGACAGCAATTACCGGAGGAGAATCTAAGAAGGCGGAAAAGGCTCGCATACGAAAGGGTGTCAACTTTTTGGTCGCTACTCCTGGACGACTTGCTGATCATATCGACAATACAAAGGCGCTTAGCCTCAGCACGGTTCGATGGTTGATTCTCGATGAAGGTGATCGACTTATGGATTTGGGTTTCGAGGATGACCTGAAGAAGGTTATCACGGCTATCAAGGCAGTTGACGTATCCGATAAACTACCCGATGGAACACCGCTCACGGCCCTACCCGAACGAAGAGTTACAGTGCTGTGCTCAGCGACAATGAAGATGAACGTACAAAAGCTGGGAGAGATGAGTTTGGCGGATGCGACATTCCTGGCAGCAAAGAAGGAGGAGATGGAGCTGGATGTGGAAAAGACGGAAATGAAGGCGCCCGCACAGCTTCACCAGTACTACTCTGTTGTCCCGGCCAAGCTACGACTCGTCACTCTCATCTCGTACCTCAAGGCAACGTTCTCTCGGCGTGGGAAGACCATGAAGGCCATTATCTTCATATCATGTGCCGACTCTGTCGACTTCCACTACGAACTGTTGCGAGACCCCAACAATAATGAGGCACCTGTTGCAGGCTCCAAGGATGCAGAGTCGGTTTCGAAGACAGTGGCAAAAGCAGCATACATCACTTCACCAGCAAGTCCCGAGGTTGTTCTGCACAGGATGCACGGATCTTTGTCGCAGCCCATTCGTACAGCTACATTGCGATCGTTCTCAGCTTGCAAGTCTCCATCTCTTCTGATCACCACCGATGTTTCCTCGCGTGGTCTTGATATTCCGTCGGTCGATCTGGTCATCGAGTACGACCCTGCGTTCAGTTTCGCCGATCATATCCATCGTGTTGGTCGCACTGCTCGTGCTGGTCGACCCGGTGATGCTTTATTATTCCTGCTCCCCGGAACCGAAGAAGGATACATCGAACTCCTAAAAGCGTCAACACCACCAACACCGCAATCCTACGACTCTATTCTCCAGAAGGGAATGATGACGAAACTCGAATTCCCGGTCGAGACGTCTGCGAAACCGGAGGATGGACAGTCTTTCCACGACAAGGCGGAGGCCCTTCAGCTGCACATCGAGCAACGTCTCCTGACAGACACCAAGCGACTAGAGCTTGCTCGAAACGGCTTCAAGTCCCACATCAGGGCATATGCTACGCATACCAAGGAGGAGAGAAAGCACTTCGACATTTCAGAATTACACTTGGGACACACGGCAAAGAGCTACGGTCTGAGAGAGGCACCTGGCGGCATCGGCGCAGGTGTGGAGAGGAAGACTAAGAAGCGGACGAATAAGGGTGTCGAGAAGAATACAGAACAGGCAGCTGGAGATGAGAGGCAAAACCAGAACATTATCAGGAAGAAGAGTATGATGCTGATGAATTCCGCGGCAGACGAGTTCAACATTGGTTAGGTAGCGCATTCTTTGGTTCAGTTGAGTTTTATTAGAGCAGCATAACTAAAAGCCGGGCATGATGATCATGCTCATGTTGATTTTTCCACATCTTCCTATGACATTTGCGTCCGACGTCATGGCCTTCCAAGATCTTGTCGCCATGACGATGCAACTCAACATCTCACATCGCACAGAGATCTCAAGGTGCGCATCGAAACCTACACGATGTAAGTCGCGGATTCTCTTGCTCGACCAATCACAGCCTCACAGTCTGACAGCTAACGGACAAATGCGCCACAAAGGGCATCTCTCCGGCCATTCAAGGGTCCAAAGGCCCAGAACATGACATAAACTCACCATGGCAATTGTCGGGACATGCCTGCTAGTAATGCTCTTCTGCCCTATAACATCACTGATGAGGGACACCTCTGCATGCGTCTCAAACACCGGAATGCGTAATTATGTGTCGAGGGACGTCATTTTAGAGGTACGGGAGGGATGGTTGTGTGGCTGGTGGTTAGATGTTGATCCAATGAACCCGGCCGACTTTGAAGGATACCCTGTGTTTGACGTCATTTGGTGATGTAACCTGGCTTATGATTTACAGGACAAGACATTGTTGAGATTCCGATGAGAAGAGGAGATATATTTAAGAGAGGCTTCTTTCCACTAATTCTAGAGTTGTTCATCTGCAATCTACAAGATCTCAACGCGCCTCAAAACAAATCTTAAGACACAAGCACCACACTACCAAAACTATATCCAACACCACCACCCACCGACCATCATCATGAACAACAACAAGAACAACAACCCCGCCGGCAACGTTGGCGAGACCGTTGGAGGAGGTCTCAACTTCCTCACTAGCACCGTTGGCAACACCGTCGGTGGTCTCGGCCGCACAGTCGGCAACGTTACTGGAGCCGCAACTCGTGGTCTAGGCGACACTGTCACCGCCGCGACTGGCGACGCTGGCCGCCCTCTCGGCGATGGAATCGGCAACCTTGGCACTGGAGTCCAGGGCGGGCTCGACAGCATCTCCAAGGGTGTCGAGAACGCTGGACAGTGGAAGAAACAGTAAACAATCACAATGATATCACGATAACTTTGGGAGTTGAGGAGGAATGTAATTATTTGGGACTATCACGACGGAATGTAGGATTACGATTTTAGTTAATATGAACACAAACTTCCATTGAGCTTAACATCCATCATCGATTCGTGACATCAGTAACGGTATTTGCATGCTTGACTCGATGATATACGTTCCGCGCGCAAAAGCGTGTCTTCGAAATTTGCCAACAGCCTGTTTTCCTGCCATCACTAACAAGTACATAACTCTCGCAGCACCGAGGAACAGCCAACGTCCCTAACTACGCAATTCCTTCCTCATGACCCAGCATCAAGCCGAGCACACAATGAAAGATGGGTTATAAATCAAAAATTACGCCTCTCATGGCCCCGAAGGACAATGAAGTGCGGACGACTCCGCGATGTGCAATGCAGGCCGTCACACACTGAGGTTCCTCATTCTTGAGCGAGGAAACTCCAAGCAAGGTAAGTATGAAGAAGAAAGGAAAAGAAAAGCAGAAGAAGAGAGGCAGCGCGAGATTAATATAGAGGAGTTTTTGGGATGGCCCGTGCGCTGTTGACTGCCTCAGTTGCTAGGCCAACAGGAGCTATGGGTAGCTGCACGTGACTGCTGCCTAGGTAGCTGCTCTGTGCGGCTAACATTTCGGAAGGTGCAGAGCAGTGACAACTCGGCTGCATGTGGAGAGCTTCATCTCCTTTGAGTTCAAGTTGACCTTGGCGATTACCTCAATTGGGCATTTAAGCCTACGATTTCGTTGAATAAAGTATCCGCCGACCATGATTGTTCGAGAAACTTGAACCGCGCCAGTGGTAACAACTTAGCTAGGATTTACTAACACATTACAAACCTCAAGACCTACGTGTCGATCGTGGCGCAGGCCCGTAAGATCAAGTATTTCCCTAAAGACTCGCGATGCTCACCACGTGTTCTACGATGACAAGCGATGGCAAGCGTGAAGTATAATTCCTATAGCTTCCACATCGAGTGCTCATGCCCGAGGATCGCAGTGGACCTAAATATGCCAACCGCGTAGTGATTGATAATGATGTCTTTAGGGTAAGACCTTGGTCAACATCATAGAACGCGAGGTATCCGACGACAGTACTACCTGACGCTTCGGACAGCCCTCACCGAAACCTGCAGTCGCACCCAAGAAAGCTGTAGTAGTATTTTCGCAGATCTCGGCGTCCATTATGTAAATTGGCATGGCATTGTTGTGCCGCACAGATATGCAACATGCCAGAGCAATATTGTGTTAAGGCAACATGCTATCGGAGAAGCTGCAGTGACATGCTACTGGAGTTTGAGAATCATCTCCCCTACACCATTCGATGTTTCGAGTCCTTCCTTTGTGTTTGTACTAGTCGAGATGTTGCCAGCCGTTTCGAGCCAAGGGGCCAAACAAGACTCGCATCCGCATCACCACAGTCACAAACTTACAATGTCGCCAAACTACGGTGACATATCCTGAGTCTGACACGAGAGAATGCATACCTTCTCGGAGGCCTCGCCCTTCGACAACATCAATAGCATTAACCGTATTATATCAGGCGAACCGAGGGCTAGGGATGCCTGGGGTGCTAGCTTCGGTAGTTCGACCGTTCAGATCTGAATTGCGAATATGCTTGTCTTAAAATCGGTGAGAATGTGGGATTCGTATTCAACTCAATGAACCAAAATGGCCAGCGCTTAACGTTATACACAATTAACGATTCGGGCCAAATATTCCGTACCTCAAAGCTTACAGTGATCTATGAATACATTTCAACGTCAGCATACTTGTAGCCTCATTCAATGCCCAATACAATGCTGGATATCACGGCAGTGGCTTACCTCCATTGGCGCACAAGTGAAACGTGTGAGCCAAGGCGCTTCAGAGTGCGCGCTCAGTACGGCACCAAATTGCCGGTGCAAAGTCAATTATCGAGACGCTTCAACATGGCTTGCTACACAGGGAGTCTCGGCTCGGTCTGGGACCCGGTTTGATCTAGCGCTCAGAGAGTTTCGAGGAGAAAGGTCAAACAGAAAACACTAAACGAAACCAATTCATTTCAGGTCTGGTTCGGGGGTATCAAACTGTCCGCGACGGTACGGAGTCGCTGGAAACCTAGCACAGCACCTGGATCTGCTATGCATATGCCGAGTGGCTGTGTCTCAGTCTCACTGTTTGTTGTCCTGCTAAATAAATGTTTGGGGTAGGGCGGCCGCCCCTTTGCTTCATCCTGGTTTGAGGTTAGCAGACGACCCTAGATGACCCTAGAGGACCCTACAGCGAGGCCGACAGGGGACGAAGTTTAACTCGACTTCATCTAATTGGCATCAATTGGGATGACTATAAAGAGGAGGGATGAACTACCAAAGATGAGATTGTCTCATCAACAAACACTTGCACACTCACACTTGTAAACACAACAAACATCCAATCCATACAAACAAAACACTTCCACTACACCCATCCACATATCACCACCACCACCACCACCACCACCACCACCAAAATGCACGCCTCTCCCATCAAGCTTTTGGCCCTTTCCGCCAGCACCGTCTCTGCTGCCGTCCACGTCGTCAAGGTCGGAGAGAACGGTCTCAACTTCACTCCTGCTCAGACCTCAGCCAAGGTTGGCGATACTGTCGAGTTCCACTTCTATGAAGGCTTCCACTCCGTCGCCCAGAGCAGCTTCGCCAAGCCCTGTGAGCCCATCAACAGCACTGCCTTCTTCAGCGGCGACCAGAATGTCAAGACCAAGGTCAGCGATAAGGTCTTCACCATCGAGGTGAAGTCCGAGGATCCCATCTGGTACTACTGCGCTGTCCAGGGACATTGTCAAGGAGGCATGGTTGGCGCGATTAATGCTCCGTAAGTTGCACTATCTTGTAATCAACATTACATATGCTAACAAATAATAGTACCAGTGGTGCTAAGAGCTTTGACAACTACGCCAAGGCTGCCGCCGACTCTGAAGATAGCTCTGCTCCCAAGTCTACCGGTGGCGGCAAGCTTGGCGCCGCTGAGACAGGAAGCGCCTCAGGCTCTGCCTCAGGTACCGCTACCGCCACTGCTACAGAGAGCGGAACTGCTGCCAGCGCTTCAGCAACAGAAAGCGGTAACGCTGGTATCGAGGCTCGAGGACAGATCCAATGGGGTCTTATGAGCGGTGCTATTGCTGCCCTCTTTGGCGGTTTGATGATGTAGGAGAATCTCCTGCCAGTCAACGTTGTGTTATGATTCCAGCCCTAGAGGCATTGTATTTGTTTCAGCTAGCGAGTTACTAGTCATGAAACATTATGTATAAACGCAGATAGACCGTCTCCTGCAAGGAGTAATATGAATATACCCAAACTTCTACCCATAATGAGCACAGACGGAACACAACCCATCAATGTATCTGAACTGCCAGAGGCTCGTTGAACCAAGACTCTATCTCATGATTGTTCCAACACGTCAAGATGTGCCGCTTTACGTACGATTCTGGAGCCACTCAAATGTATTCAGCAACTCAAACCCGAATGTTAAAGACTGAGGAACCCCTATACCTAACGGTACCAGGTTTGTATTGCCAGTCGGTTCCGAGTTCAAATGCTCATCAAGCACACGCTGAATGATTGCTTCGCAGTCTCCACAAACAACTCTGTTTGGCGAGCTGGGACCGACCCAGTTCAAGAAAGCAACGAGCAAGCTCAGTTGTTGAACGATGTTCGACCGTGAAAGAGTAGGATTCAAGGGATGAACTCCGAAGAAGGTTGGTCGAAGTAGCTCTTGACAGAGAATGCCTCCTCCTAGTGCTCCGTACGCTACCAGCTATTCATAAAATCAGAATGGATATCTATTGGGGGATGACGATACTTACAAGCCATTCAAAGTTCCGCCGCATAGGCGCAAATCGATTCTTATGTATCCAGAGCATGACCGTTACTTTGACTAAATCAAAACTAGTTGCAAGTAAAGAGCCATCATCAATGGCCCCATGAGTAAGAAGTAATCTCTCGACCACAAAGACATCTTTTCGATGAGCGAGATGAAGCAATATTCTCAGATAAAGAATATTTATGTCAAGATGTGGATCATCTAGATCTTCGAACTTGAAAATCAAATGCGAAGGCATGTCGAGAAACGTTTGTGTCACTCGGACTTTGACATTTCTTCATGGTATTAGTATATGTCAAATATTAACACACCGGATAACTTACTGAAGATATCCAAGCGTGACATGGGCATCGTTGCCAAGTGCCACCTCTATCACCTCGTCAAAGACATACGACATCAAGTAGCGAGCCCGTATGTAACTGTTGCTGGAGATCTCACCATTTGTGTTCCAGCCCCTGTCATCCAGAGCGTTGAACTCTTCTACCAGCGTGTCCTCAGATACCATACAGCTATCTGGCAAGTCCAAGGGCGGCACTGATGAGCAATAGCGACGACTTAGAAGTGGTGGCCTACCAGTAAAGGAGACCTCGGATTTGTCATTTGCAAAGATGTAGCTATACAGTAGACGCTTATGCTCGACACAAAACGAAGGCTTCTGGGGCTGTATTTGTGGCCTCGATGCCTCTCCCGAAGCATGAAGGCCCATGAATAGAAGCATGGAGACACACAGACTGTGTGAGTTCCAGTATACAGGGCCTAAAGAGTTAGTATAATGATACTAGACTTGATAGGGAACTTACTAGCATCGCCATAAACCAGAGTTCCAAGAGCTGCATGCCGTCGACAGAGATCAAGGAGCATATCGTTGCCAGCTGTGAAATGGCGCGCGATCTCAATGCAATAGTGTATGTGATCGTGCGAGAGAACAGATGATCGCTTGCCTTGAACCCATTGAAGCTGACGATGTTTCAGGGTTGATATTGCATCGGAAAGACCTTCAAGATGAGCCCACAGAAGCCCTATCGATTCCCATCGGATGTTTGGCCCACAGAACTGGTCTACCCAGTCATCAAACCTATCGAAGGTATCGTTAACAGGCTTTGAAGTGTTGCGGCACAGCACATCAGCAACCTGCTCATCGAAGCATTCACTGCCCTCAAAGCTTTGAAAAAGTTGCCGCAGAGATTTAATGATTCTTGATACAGCCGTATGAGACCAACTCGTGGTGTTTTCAGGACCAGGTTCGTCGTGGAATATCATATGTGCTTCTGGTCGTCCCGGAAGATACTGTAATACAACAAGGCACATTTGCTGTGTTGGCAGAGGCAAGCTGCGTAAACAAACATCATCGCTTCCAGGACTTGATACCTCTGGGCTGGGAAATTCAGAGCCTGTTTCAGAAACAGATAGACTCTCTCGAGCTCCTTGGAAGACCGAGTTGTAGCTTGTAAAACCAAGGTAGCCTGGACTGAATGCGTAGTCTCGTGCCATCGGCTTGGCAGGTTGTGGTGAGAGACCTGGACTAGACTGAATCGAAGCTTTGACTCGTGATGCTGGTGATGATGCTGTGTAGCCACAATTATCTCCTCTTCTCTGGCATCGCATACAAATGGGTCGTCTGTGATCACACGCGACTTTGCGTGCACGACATGGATCGCAAGCTTCTGGTCGTCCATTTGGTCGCCGGGACCATTGGTATGCATCGCTCATAATGGTGACGGCATTTAGTTCTGCATACAGCGGTGGCAGATTGGAATAAAGGGTGAAATGAAGAGGCCGAAGCCATTTAATACCTTTGAAATGCGACCCGAAGATACCTCTTCAGCCAAGACGTAGGTCTAAAAAAATGATGAGGCTCTAAGCGGTTGTCGGAGTCATAGTTGACAATTATTGTCAAGCTCTAACCAAATATCACTATGAATCCCCTAGAACGACAAGGTCGGGTCAGCATGAGTGCCGATTTCGGCTTGTAACTAACCATCGAGCTGGGTTTAATAAACATTCATATCAAATACTTTACTCACTACATCTCCGCTGGATCCATTATAGCACCTATTCCTCGTATTTAACTGCGTTTGGTTAAGTGAATGTGGATAGACCGACAAATTTCAAAACAGTCATTGAGACTCTGTCATCATGGTCTTCAGTCACGGTGCTGATAGTCTGAAGCAGCTTTCTGGGGCTATTACCACAGGATCTTATGAAATTGTCAGAGAGTGACCGAACAAATATGCAAAAACTTTGTCTAGAAAAAGATGTTGTTTCATAATCTCTACCCCTTCGTTCCATAATGGTTATCATGACCAGATCGCTTGCAAATATGCATTTAATTGGAACTGAGCGGACAACACCAGACACTACAGAAATGTCATTACTCGTACGGTCAAGCGTTTCCTAAATTCATATAATACTTTCCCGTCCAAAATATGAAGTTAACATTTCTATTGTTCTCACTTTTCCTAGTGAAGCTATCATAAACCCACTATAAACCTTGCATGCTTTTAGCGTCGCACATGCTAAAAAGTGGCGGGGCCTTTTTTTAGTCCAAATTTTTTGTCGCATTGAATGTTTTCTCGATTCAACCACTTCAAGACATTTGCGACAATGGGCAAAAAGAGCTTCAGGGTGCGCATACACTTGACGCAACATCCCAATTGCGACCTATACTGACATTACCATAGGGAAAGAACAGAAGAGGAGGCGGTGGCGGCCGAGGTGGTGGTAACCAGGATAGAGGTGGCTGGAGAGATTATCCTGCCATTCCCAAGGAGAACGAGAAGCTCCAGCGCTTCTATGATACCCTCCTTCAGCTGCCTGAAGAGGAGAAGAATGCCTACTGGGAGGCTCTCAGACGTGAGCTTCCTAACAGCTTCAGGTTCTGCGGCTCTAAAGGGTATGTTCTATCGCAATCGCTCGCGTAACGCGAAATCTGTCTGCTAACCCCAATGCGCTTTCAGTCACGCCCTTCTTGTCAAGAGCCTTCTCCAGACCAGATATATCCCCGAGATCGTCAAGATCGAGCATCAAGATGGCCGACCTGTTGAACCTCCCCAGCCTGTGCCCTGGTACCCCGACGAGCTTGCTTGGTGGATGACTACCCCCAAGAACGTCGTTCGCAAGTTCCCTCCCTTCGCCGCATTCCAGAAATTCCTGGTCTCCGAGACGAGCGTTGGAAACATCAGCCGACAGGAAGTCGTCAGCATGATCCCCCCTATGCTGATGGATCTCCGCCCTGGCATGACCGTCCTTGACATGTGTGCTGCTCCTGGAAGCAAGGCGGCGCAACTGCTCGAGATGATTCACCAGGGCGAGGAGGCTCGTGTGCGCAAGGTTCTCCGATCTTATGCTCAGGAAGATGGCCTGGATCTTGGTGCCGAGACTACAGACGAGATTGAGGCCGACCTCGAAGCCGACCCCAGCGACGCTGGACGGGCTACTGGAATGCTTGTCGCCAACGACTCCGATTACAAGCGCGGACACATGCTTGTCCATCAGCTCAAGCGACTTTCTTCCCCTAACCTTCTCGTTACGAATCACGATGCTACCCAATTCCCTTCGATCAGGCTCCCTGCTAAGGATGGCAAGAAGCCAACCTACCTCAAGTTCGATCGCATTCTGGCTGATGTTCCCTGCTCCGGTGACGGGACTCTGCGAAAGAATGCCAACATCTGGAAGGATTGGCAACCCGGAAGCGCTCTTGGCCTGCACCTCACTCAGATTCGAATTCTGGTCCGCGCTCTCCAGCTTCTCAAGGTTGGTGGCCGTGTCGTGTTCTCTACCTGCAGTATGAACCCTGTTGAGAACGAGTCTGTGGTCGTCTCGGCCATTGAGCGATGTGGCGGACCCGCGAATGTTGAGATTGTCGACTGCAGCAATGAGCTGCCCAACCTGAAGCGATACCCCGGAATGAAGGATTGGAAGATCATGGATAAGAGTGCCCGTATCTGGAGCTCCTGGAAGGAGGTCGAGGACTTTGCCAAGGAGAGCGCCGATGGTGTTATCCCTGGACGAGTCGTTGAGACCATGTTCCCCAGACTTGAGGGTGCTGAGTGCGCTGACCTGCCTCTTGAGCGCTGCATGAGAGTTTATCCTCACATGCAAGACACTGGTGGTTTCTTCATCACTGTCTTGGAGAAGAAGTCCGAGTTCAAGGCTAAGAACGAGAACGAGTCGAAGGAGACCAAGCAGCCCGCCAAGACCGAAGAATCCGCTGCGGCCACTCCTGCTGAGAAGGTTGCTGAAGAGGCACCTGCCAAGGAGGAGACCGAGGCGAAGACTGAATCTGAGATAGCTCCTGCTGAAGCTGAAGCTACACCTGCCAAGGCTGAAGACAAGCAGGAGGATGTTGCTATGGCTGATGCGTCTACTAACGGTAGCAAGCGACCTCTCGAGACCGAGGATGCTCAAGATCAGCCCGCTAAAAAGGTCAAGACTGAGTCTACTGAGCCCTCAGCTGCCGCTACTCCTGTTGCCCAAGTGGCCCAGGAGGGCAGCAAGCCTCGCCGAAACGGCCCTGTCGAGGAGGCCTTCAAGTACCTGGACGTTTCACACCCCACCGTCCAGAACATTAAGGAGTTCTATCATATCTCCAAGCGCTTCCCCGACGATCGGTACATGGTCCGAAACGAGATGGGTGAGCCTGCTAAGGCTATCTATTACACCAGCGCACTCCTCCGCGATATCCTTATCGAGAACGAGGGCCGTGGCATCAAGTTCATTCATGGTGGTGTCCGCATGTACATGAAGCAGGACGCTCCCTCAGCTGATGTCTGCAGATGGCGTATCCAGGCTGAGGGTATGCCCATCCTCCAGGGTTACGTCGGTGAGCCTCGTGTTGTGCACCTCCACAACAAGGAGACCTTCCGCAAGCTTCTCATCGAGATGTTTCCTCGCATCAACGATGGCAAGTACGAGCGCTTCGACGAGATCGGCGAGCGTGTCCGAGATATCGGCATGGGTTGCGCTGTTCTCCGCGTTGAGCCTGACGGCACAGACCCCGACTTTAGAGAGCGCATGGCTCTCCCCCTCTGGAAGAGCATCCACTCCCTTAACCTTATGCTTCCCAAGGAGGATCGATCTGCTATGCTACTACGCATCTTTAACGACACATCTCCTCTCATCAACATTGCTGCGCAGAAGAACCAGAAGGCCGTTCAAGACGCCAAGGAGGCCGAGGCTGGTGATGATACCAAGGAGGAAGTGGATGTTGCGGATCTTCCCTCGCCTGAGGAGCCAGCAACGGAGCCAGTAGAGGCTGAGGAGGAGAAGATGGAAACGGCTTAAAAATGGGTCAATGCACAATTGCTTTATGTTATTTTGGTGTTGTTACAGTTTGAATCATGATCAGGGATGAAATGTTGATACAAATGGTATAATACAAGGTGTCTCCAAATTTCGTCTACTCGTCTAGTAATCCCACAGTCCAGTGTACAATTCTATCTACGCCCTGGCCATTGATTGCGCTCACTGGGATAACAGCACAGTCTTTTGTCCAAGCATCCGCTACTCCGCTTGGATGCGGCTTTTCGCCTTTTGTGACACTATCAAGGTATTGTTTTAATTCCTTGAAGTTTTCTTGTGTCTCTGGCAAGTCAGCCTTGGTTGCAACGACAAACCATGGCTTTCCAGCAATCTGTAGTCCTGGCTTTGAACTGAAATCTTCTTCATCGTTTGCGATACCTGGGGGCAGATTCATAGGACCGTCCATATCCGACGTGACATCCCAGTCAATGCGTGACTCGATTGCGCGATCAGCCTCTTCTTCATCTCGCATTTGTGCGTATAATCCAACCTCGCGCCATAGTGACTCCAAAGCCTTGACTGCATTACCAGCAGACAGATCAATGACGAAAGCGAGCACACCAGCGCGTTCGACATGGCGTAGGAAAGCAATGCCTAGGCCACGGTCAAGATGTGCACCTTCAATCAAACCAGGAATGTCAGCAATCGTGAATCGAGTGCGTGGTTCAGTGTCGACTGCTTCGGGCAGACCCAGTTGAGCAGGATAGCGGCGGTAACTCTTGATTACTGGCCGACCAGAATACTTATCAAGAACAACCGTGCCGATATTGGGCTGCAGCGTTGTAAAGGCCCAATTGCCCACTCTAGTACGGCTGTTTGTGATGGCACGAAGGAGGGTACTTTTTCCAGCATTAGGAAGGCCGACGAGGCCAACGTCAGCAAGGAGCTTGAGCTCAAGCTCAATCTTCATGGTAACAGCCTCTTCACCTTTGGTAGCAAACATGGGCCGAGGATGCGCCCTAGATGTGAAGTGGGGGTTGCCCAAACCACCAATACCTCCAGTTGCAAGAAGGATTGGCTTTGGGGTAGGGCGAGACAAGTCGAGATGGATGGTGGGAGGCGGTTGTTTAAGAAGTCGAGTTCGTTTAGGCAATCGAGGAAAGACGGTTTGTTTGATGTCAGTCTTGGACAGTCCGGGATATAAAAGCCACTTGCGACGCTCAGGATCCTGATCGCCCTCCTCCTCCTCTTCGACTTGTTCCTCCTCCTCCTCTTCTTCGTAACCCTCTTCGTTCTCTTCTTGCCTCTGCTTTCGCTCCAGAGCAGCCATACGTTCCTCCTTCCTCTTTTGTTTCTGCTGAGCGCGCCACAAGCGCATATCCATCTCTTCGTCTAGCACCGGATCCTCACGCTCTATTTCACGGACTACTGTTCCCACAGGCACAGTTATGATGATATCCTCTCCTCGTGTTCCACTCTTTGCGCTTCCCTGTCCATGCTTGCCTCGGCCGGCTCGAACAAATCGCTTGCGCGCCAACTTGTGCAACGAGGTTTCGCCATGCGCCGCCTGAATGTAGACATTGCCGCCGTGACCACCATCGCCGCCATTGGGAGGGCCCTCAGCAAGGTATGCTTCTCGCAAAAAAGAAATACAGCCGTTTCCACCTCTACCAGCATAAAGAGTCAAAAAAGCTTTGTCTGAGAAACTGGGAGACGCATAGTCGTCCGGAGCAGGGTTTAGTCGTGACTCTGGAAGGTCGTTTATGGTGGAGTTGAAGCGACGTCGGAGAGCTGCTGTGCTGGCGAGAGTGTGTCTTGACAGGAATATCGAAGGGTATAGGAATGGTAGGAGTGTCGACGACATAGCCGGGCACCGTGGAGCCATAATAAAAGAATTGTGCGACAATTCTGGTGGAGAATTGAAGCTGTTATGTCGAATATCTTTTGATCATGTCTTGCCTTGAGCTTGGTCGAAATTTTGGGGTTCCTGATTAGATAAGGTCCCTGCGTGAGTTTTTGATTTAAAAATGACAGAGCAGATGATAGATGAGATAATACAAGTACAATTTCTTGAATTTATTAGACAAGGCTATAGCTTCTGTGCAATTATGTAGGTATGATTCCAGGCATCGATTTCTCTCAGGTACTTTGATCTCAGCCAGCATCTCGTCATGAAGTGGTTTTCGTGTAAGTCCTAAAAAGGAAAGAGGACTTCAGTGCAGAGCTACCTACCACCAACCTACAAGGCAACCACCGGCTTGGATCCATGCCTCAGGTCTCAGCTAGGACTAACGAAGGCAGGCAGTGCTAAGAGTTTCAAGGCCTCTTTCTCTCCTCATCTGATTTCTCCTCTCTAATACTCACTTCGTGATACCTTCAATCTCGTGCCATGTCAGCATCTCGTCCCTCCGACATGTCGCAGCAAGTTGCCACTAGGCCATCTCCGTATCACACTCACGGACCTCACTTCCGGCGCTCTGTGAAGGAAACGCCCACGCACGCGCTGTACGAGTGCGGGCATGCGATTTCCAACAAACTACTTTAATTTCTGATATTTATGCTCAAGATTACCGATAACAAAGCGAACGTTTTGAACTTTATTCGACTCTCTTTCGACGATGCTCCCCTGGCTGTTCGTCTCGCCTCGCCCCGACGGGATCCTGCAGCTCACCTAGAATGGCTCGTTGCTGGCGTCCATTGCTATTTGACCAGCATTGGGCTAGCCCCAGCTTCCCGAGCTTAACAACAAACGCCAGCTGACGCCAAAATGCGGTGAATCGGTGTTGCAGCAATGGATAAAGCCAGCAGAGCCTCTTGTGTGTCTGTGGTCAGCCTTTCAGTGTTCCCTCGCCGTCTTCTTTGCCTTACTACTAGGGTTCTTAACGACTGGCTTTACCTTCATTCGTCGACTCTTGATAGATGCTCACTGGCTTACCATCGTCAACCCAACCGATGACCCCATTTGTCACGCCTGGCTGTCTCTTGCATTCTTTGAACTTCGCCAGTCGATCCAGCTCCAGTCTCTTCTGCAGTACAATATCTCACGTCAAACCTCGCATAATTTTTCTCGGTCAACTCTCGACTTGACTCTTCGTTGACGTCCCACTCACCCCTCCATCTGGTGTACTACCTACTGCTTGTCAACACCACCCTTCCTAGCAGAAAGCACATGAGCCGCACAATCACCCAACGACAGTTCGCCGCCATCGACCCCTCCCTTGTACCAGTTCGAAGCCATTGGGCCAGCCTGCATACGATCCGTGGTCCCGCATTCGAGCCACGACTGTAGACGTGGTCGGCCTGCTCTCATTCGATCTCTCCACATAGCTTCCTTCGCTTCCCCACGCGACTTCTTCCATCTCGCTCTTCAGTTTCTCCCTCCATTTCCAGCTTGAGCCCCGAGAGCTGCTGGTGCTTGCAGCGCAGCATTCATACGGCTCCAGCGAAACAGCTGCTCGCCTTCCCAAGCTGGTTCTCGACGGGCAAACCAGACCATTTTGCAACCCAGTGTCGTTATCTCCTTACCGCCACGCCGTCAATCGACTTTAACACGGCTCGTGCCTTTTAGCTAGGTCCGTTTTAACTTCTCTCTGTCATCCTTATCCCTACCTCCTCCCCCATTTCTTGTATTCTCATTGTTCAATCTCACTGTTGCTGGTCTTCTCTCCTACGCACATACAACCCTATGAAAGACGTCTGCGGGGTTGGAGGGGGATCTCACGTTGTTGTCATGAGTTGACCGTAGATGAATATTGTTTTTCTGGCCATCTCTTGCACTACGCTCACCCGCTCTAATTCGGTGTAAACCAATTCGCCTGATATCACAGCTAAGATGTTTCCCAGAAGTTATCCCTACAGTGGCAAGTCTATTTTCAGGATGGATCCTGATTGCGCGATATGCCACGCTCCGGCCAACATGGCATGCGAGTGTGAGGCTAAGGGCCTCGACGTTGCTGTCAAACAAGCCGAGGATCGCATGATGCGGTCGATATACAATGAAATACGGTACATAATTTTGCCCTCCCATCACGCTGCGAAGCAGTTCTGACTATCAATCCATAGTTCTTGGGTCCGAGGGCATGCACAAGACTACATACTTGAATACTTCCGCCTCCTAACTGATCAACGAAAAACTGCCCATGCTGCGCATATGGATCGAATTACTGCCCACGCCTATCACTACTACCACGCACCGCCTCATCCGACACAAGTTGCTGAAGCGCAAGCGTCCCTCAAACGTGGAATTGACGAAGACTGGCAAGCGAGCGTACAACGGTATCCTGAAGTTTTGGAATATTTCTTTGGACTTGTTGAACTCACACTACCGGCGGAGGATGAGCCGGCCGTAAAGGATCCGCCATTGGGCTCGTTATCAAGCTCGCGAAAAGTGAATCGTCGAAGCGGTACTGCCCCTCCCGGTGCCTCTGCTGTAGTAGCACCTCCAGGATATCGTGGTGATCCAGGCCAGATGCATCCACAGGAGCCTCCCATGCCCCGACCCGATCGCCGAACTCCCGGCCCTCAAATGAGACGGCCTAACTTTGGGGCTATCCCGCCGCCAATGCCGGGTGCCTATAATTTCCCTCCACCATACTAAGCGACTACAAATGGCCAATACGTTAATTGTGAGCACTTATCTCCAGGTGCTGAGTATGCTACAAAAATCCATATTACGATTTCTACGAACATCACGACCATTGCATAACTAGGGCGTGGAGTATTACCGGCACAGCAGACCACGGTGGCACCATTACTGGGGGGGTTTTTGAAGTTTGGGCTGACGATGCCATTTGTGTTTGAGTAGAAGCTTTCCCGCCTGGCATTTTTTTCTTTGGAGTAACTGGGGTTAACAAAGTTTGGCGATTTTATCTGTATCTGAAATTACAAATACCACGCCACTGAAGGCAAAATTATGAACGACACCACAACTTCATTTGCCTTTTTGACATGCATCACGGCGAACAAAGACATGTCTTGGTTGGACGTGTGGGAGATGATGCGAAAGAGGGGCACGCATCCGAGGCAGTCAAGGTCATGGCGATAGGTCGAAGGGTGTGAGCTAGGTTATGCAAGCTCATGCCGGCGTTTTCAACACATCATCTGCTGCGGTAAGACGACAGTGCATACATAGTTACATGACCATGTCTTGGTCAACTGCATATACGTATGCACACAACAGGCAAAACAAGCAGAAAAGAAGGCAGAAAAGTGTAGACCCAAAGAGGCACAGCAGTATGCCCGACCCCAGGCTCAGCCCAACTAAAACTTTGATGCAGGTTTGCATGAGCTCATCATGTCTTAGCAAATCTGTCCATGAGCGGCAATAAGCAATTGAGCCAACCCTAGAGTCAAGATCTACAGGGAACCCGATAACCGAGTCTCATGTCACACAACTTAAAATGATAATAGATGCAATGCACCACGAGATTGAACCAACTTTTTGTCATTTTCCTTACGCATGACTTCAATAAGAAACTGCGCCTAATTACAAAAACAGCACAAAAAAGCGCTTTTTAGATTCGAGCATGTGGCGTTGAAAGAGGGGGAGAAGGGATGTATGAAGCAGGAAGTAACTCAGACAATGAAGTTGGTGGGCAAGACAACTTTGAATAACGTTTGATATAGGCTCAACGTTTGATTTTTATGCCGAGTGGGCGCTGGGGAATTCCAACAGATTTCGGAAAGGACGAGGACAATAATATCAATTGGGGCGAGGTAGAGAGAGAGAGCGCAGGAGAAAGTTGTAAGCCCAGGGAGCATCGACGATATGGGATATTACCGACGAGCAATCAATGTTGCGATGAGAAGGAAGCTTACGACTCCTGCTTGTCAGCAATAGAAGTCTCCTTCAGGTCAGCAGTGGTCTGCTCGACCTTGTCGCCATTAGCCTCAGCGGCCTCGAGTTCAGCGATCTCCTTCTTAGCCTTCTCAATGTTCTGGAATAGTAATTAGCATCGTCTCTTCGTAAGCACTTTATGAGATGGGTGACTTACACGCTGTGTCTGGGCCTCCTGGTCGTTCTTCCAGAAATCGAGCTTGGCACGGACCTTCTCAGCGACAGCAGGGATATCGGCAGCACTCATAGGAGGGTCGATACCCATGGCAGCACAGTCCTCGACGACAGCTGGGGGAACGTTGAACTTGTTCGATGAGCCGCCGTGAGCAGTCTTCTTGCCCTTCTTACCCTTCTTCACGGCAGGCGCGTACTCCTCATCACGGTCCTCCTTGCGAAGAAGTTTGGTGCCCTTGAGGCCAGACTCGTCAACGCTTCGTTGGGCCTGAGCACCGAGACCTGTGTCGGCCATCAGAGGACCCTTCTCAACCTTGTGGTTGGGATCGAGGAATTGGAGCAGGCTGTTGGCGCGGCGGATCTCGTCGAGGTAGGCAGGGTCGCTGGCATCGCCAAGACGACGCTCAGCCTCAGCCTTCTTTCGCTCTTGGTGATAACGCTCCTGCTCAGCCCTTTGCTTCTCGCGGTAACGCTCTCGAGCCTCACGGTCGTAGGCCTGATATGCCTTCTTCTGTCCGTAATAGTCATCCTTGAGCTTACGGATAGCGGTGTACTTTTCCTGCTGTTCGGCCTGGAGCTTGGAGCGCTCATCACGGAGACTGGAAAGACCCTTGTAAGCTTCGTCCTGCTCGGCCTTAATAGCATCGATCTCGGCCTGGATCTTGTTATACTGGTCGGATAGAGCCTTTTGCTCAGGGTCGTCCATGCTATCCTTGATCTCCTTAATCTTGGCGCGGAGGTCATCAATCTGCTTCTGGGCATCGTCAAGCTGTCCGAAGTTCTTGCGCATCTTACGGAGACTGGAGATGTCTGACAAGGCCTTCTTTTCGTCTACCAGCTTCATGGTGCCGGAGTTGACCTGCTTGTCCAGACTAGCAATCTGGCGGTCGAGGTCCTCGAGGCTCTTGAAGGGAACCTTGCTCTTCGCAGCCTTTTGCTCATTGATTCGGCTTCGAACTTGCTCATCGAGGCGCTTGATCTGGTCGAGCTTAGTAGAACGGGCGTTCTTTCCGCCAGCCTGCTTCTGTCGAATCTCGTTGGCCTGAGCAATGAGCTCTTGTCGTCGCTTTTGGGTAGGGTTGGGCTGGTCCTTGTTCTTGTTGGGCATAGCAATCTCGATCTTAGCCTTAACAGCGGCCTAGAAGAGTATAATTGTTAGTTGATGTTGACTCTAATAGCTCCAGCTCATGAGGCCACAGATGTGGAATCTGGGTCGATCCAAGCCACATTTTCAAAAGGAGGGGGATTGAGCGAGATCTTACCAGACGGTCCATTGAAGCCTTATGCTCCTTCTCAGCCTTTGCGAGTTCCTGCTTGAAGAGATTCTCATCAGGCTTGGGAGGTCGAACATTAGCTTGCTTGTCGGCCTTGTCCGCCGCAGGGGCTGGAGAGGTTGCGGTTTCGGCCATTGCGATGAGAGGAGAATACAAAGACGAGAACCAAGATGAATCAAGTGGAAGACAAGAAACCAGGAGCGAGATTGCTCGAGGAGAAGTGAAAGTGCGAGGCTTAAATTGAGCAAAGTTCGACACGTGTTGTCGAAAAGGAGGGAAAAAACGACGACCCCAGAATAAAGCTAAGGTAAGGTATAGGTAGAGTAGTTTGGTGCGGTGCAGCGCAAATGCAGTCTCGGCCAGTGGAATTCTATCACCTTCTGCTTCTGAGGTAAAGTTCTGGACCCGTGTCTCTTGCTGTGAATTCTCAGGGCAGGCCCGTGCGCCCCTGAGCTGTCTCTCTTGCCATTGTCTCGCTCAGTATTACAGCTCACTCTCCTCTCTTTTTGCTCCTTCTAGGGGTGCCCCTCCCTTGGGACTCGGGTCCTTCCCCTAGCGTTCGCTGGAAAGACCACTGAGCTTCACTGGCGCGTCCCAGGTCCAGGGGTTCGTTCCCGCCCCACCTTCCATGATCAGACTAGCCCTCTTGTGGTGGCTGATGTAGGGATAAGTGGCGGTGCGTGGCGTCCATCAGAATCACATGACCCTTTCAGTGCTCTGACCCGCTCAAAGAAGTTTGGACTTTTGCGGCGACGATGCGAGGCTGAGCGAAACATTTTTGACGACGCTCGCGATTCCGACCTTTCTTTTCGTCTTTGTTACCTCGACCACCAACACCCCATCTCGAATCGCACCTTACACTCGCTACCATGGATATCGATCACGTTCCCACCGACGCCAGGTCCAAGGAGGTTGTTCGCCTTTGGCGAGCATGGAGGACTATCCATGAGATGGTCGCGGACCGAGTACGTTTGTCCTAAGAGTCCTATTGTAGACTTCAGAGAAGCGCGCAACATTTTCAACTGTGTAGCTTTTCTGTAATAAGCATCAAACTGACGTTTCAAAGGAATACGAGCTCGCTGAAGAGGAAGTCAAGATCTCTCTCGACCGCTTCCGCGACGAATACTGCAACCCCGACGGTTCCATCAAGTAAGACCGGCTATACTTGCGACATCACAAAGAAACCATGAACTAACAGTTCGACTACAGCCGCGCCAAGCTTCAATTCTCGGCGCGTCCCAGCGAGAACATGATCCGCAAAAACACACCTCCCGTGACAGCAGCCAACCCCAACCCCAACCCCGGCGCCGACTGCGGTCCTGTCTGGGTTGAGTTCCTCGCCGATAAGACTTTCGGCGTCAACCAGATCCGACAATTTGCCAAATATGTGATCACGAACAACTATAAGACTGGCATCATGGTAACACACGTTCCTCTCTCACCCGCCGCCCGCAAGACTCTCCAGAGTGTCGAGTCCGTCGCTAAGATCGAGTGCTTCCTCGAGGATGATCTTCTTGTCAACATTACCCACCACGAGCTTGTTCCCAAGCACGTCTTGCTCTCCCGCGAGGAGAAGCTCGCTCTTCTCAAGCGCTATCGCCTCAAGGAGACCCAACTACCACGTATTTTGCAAAAGGACCCTGTTGCTCGTTACTTGGGTCTGAAGCGGGGCCAAGTCGTTAAGATTATCCGAAACAGTGAAACGGCTGGTCGTTATGCCAGTTATAGATTGTGTGTATAGATGAACAATTATGGATGGGGCAGTCTTGAGATCGAGTCGAAGATGAGAGCTGTTGGATGGAAAGGAATGGAAAGGCTCTTGGTACGAGGACGGAGGCGTCACACTGCACTTGAAATTCTAAAAAAGCTGGCGTTTCAGGGGTTCTATGTATATTGCGCGTTGCCGCAGCAAAGCCAATAAAGGAATATGAAGCATTTACGAGAGTTACTCTTTGCCCTTTGCTCTGCGTAGGTAGATGCGAGACTTGTGAATACCTTAGTTATAGTCTTGTTCTTCTAAAGCGACGGATGCCACCAGGGCATCGAATTATTCTGTAACCTTGCCAGCGCGGTGTCTCGAATGGGCGATTGTGTTGTCAGGCCATTCAGGATATTCTCAGAGATTGAACAAATCATGTCAATGCCATTAAACGTTAACTTGGCGTTTGCCGGGTATATATAACCAATAACCATGTCATCCTGACACACAGCCATAAAAATCCCAAAATATCATAATGCAAACCGCGATAGTTGCGCGAATGCCTGATCTCCAAATCCTGCCTTGTATTGAGACTTCGCATATACCCAAGTAAAAGATCCCTGCCTGCGCATTACTCCTGCCCTGCCAACCAAAAATACATTCAGAGCCTGTAGCATAAACGCCCCAGGCCGTATATAAATCTTCCAAGCCAGGCCAAATAAATTCCATAAAAATCGCTGTTGTCGTGAGGTAGTCGCATGTGAAAATGTGAAGATGTCGTCAAAGGTGATGGCAGATGATACCAAAGATTATTGCCGCTAGTTTAGAAGGCCGCCGGGATCCCTCAGCTCCGCCACGGGCGGTCCTTGCAAATCGTATCGCGACTCCTGTCGGGATTGCGGTATCGGCTGCAATTCCGTTCCTCGAGGCTTGGACTTGGACCGACTTGACCTCGAATTCATAGGTCCAAAGAGGCCACCGAGGTCTTGGAGCAAAGCAGTTGAACCTCGGCGAAAGCCTCCGGATCCTGCTGGTAATGAAGGTGCTGGGGGCGAATGCGACTGTGAAGAGTCTTCCTTAGACGACGCACGACTGTTTGCTCGAAGGCTCCCAGAACTCTCGGGGGGCACATCAAGCAGACCACCAACGTCGAAGAAAGAAACTCTCCTTGGTGCTATGCCGTTCTCACTTTTCGACTGGGAGAGTGGGTCGTGTTGTATCAGAGAATCATCGCTGTGCTCTGCGTTGCTGCGTTTTCTCTGAGGAAATTGCCAGCGCTCGAGGTCTTGATCCAGTTTGCGAAGAAGAGGGGCCGGGGTGTATTGCAGAGCACCGTTCTCGCTCGAGTTATCAGGCTGATCCTGAAGTTCTGGGTCAACGGTCATGCCAACGTCCCGTACAAGGTCTTCATCGCTTCCCCAGTGTCGGTGCAAAGTCGGGCGGCGGAGGTTGAGTGAGGGGTCGAGGGACTCAGCTACCGATGAACGGCGGAACTTTTGCTTCTTCAGGCCGCGATCACGCACGAAAGATCCCAACACGAGTGAGTTTGCCGCAGCCGTGGCAAAAAGAAGCTCAACCGATGCCAAAAGCGATCGATACTGCTGACGACCGTGGTCATCAATGATATGGGGTACCCGATAAAGAGTGACCCCAACAACAGATAGACTGAGAGAGAAGAGAAGCACAAGCTGTATCTTCCTCTTGATTGTCATTCCGCTTGTCACAATGATCGGAATTGGGAAAATGACAAGCAACAAATCAGTGACCACGTTGCAGACTGCCATCGTGAGAAGCTGCACGTATCCTTGACGGCATTGGCCACCAGGATCGGGCACAACCTGCCAATAGTGACTGTAAGGGCGGCATTCGACAAAGTCACTGATGACAACCGCGATGAAAGTAGCAACGAGGATTATTCGAATGACGTATAAAGACGTCTGCCATGATCGTTCCCACGTCGCTCGAGTCAATCGGTGAAGGAACTCGAGAACTGCGAACTTGAGTACCCAAAGGCTATGACCAGTCAGCGTCAAGATCCATATTCGCGTTACCCTTTGAAGAATGCGGAAGATGAGCAACGTTTAAATGAGGGCGGTACATACGTTGCGGCGTAGAAAATCCGACTGGCGAGCACAAGGCCGCTACCGATGGCTTTTTGACGCAGTTGAAGGTCAGTAAGCTCAACACCATCAAATTGAGCATTGTTGGTTCCATATATGAGAATAAAATGAACGCATGCCATGCGAGCATACAGAGGGATCAAAGCTAGGGCCGCAACACGATCTTCAGTGAACAGCCGTTCGGTACGGATAAAGCGGCCTGCAAGCCGCAGAAGGATAATGAGGGTACAGAACGATGTCGCCCACCAGCAAACAAGGAGGGTCGGTTTATCGAATTTGAATTCGCGAAGAGTTGGAGGTTCTGAATAGAGAGCCATTCTTGCGTCCCCTGTCCGCGCCCGTCGTCCTCCGCAGAGGGCTCGACGAGCGAGGTAGTGATTAAACGTCGAAGGCTAGAGCTTGGCCGGAAGTATCGATGTGATCGTGGTGGGTGGTCGAATATGTCGTGGTAGGGTGCCAGGAGTCGACCTTGAAGTGTTTTGGTGATTTACCTCAACATAAGGCCGCCAGCGGTGGCACTCGAGTGATAGTATTATCGACTCAGCGGGAGAAGAATGCATGAAAATCGTAGACTCGTCGCTTCGTGGAAATCGGTATCAATTTGATATGTCGACTATAATCGTGATAGCCGGTAAAAACAGTAGCGTTGCCTTTTGAACAAGTATCGATCAAGCTTGTAGTTATTGTTCAAATATGCAATCGTGGAGAAGCCAATCCAGAACCAAGGTAAATGCGCAATATCGTGGGTGATGCAGGTCCAAGATGCATCGGTGGATTACTTCGCAGTTGATCGAGGGATGAACCAGCAGGCCGCGGCCAGGTAGGGAAGAGACCTGAAGGTAGTATTAAGACAGCAGAGTAAATGAGAAAGCAGCAGGTCAAGATAAGAGGAAGAGTGGAGGTAGACAAGGTGCGGCTGGTCCCAAGATATTGCGGAGGCGAGCGAATGTGGGCGAATCGACTTATCCCGGTTGGCCATCCGGAAGGCACAGTCAGTTCCTGTAGCATTGATGGGCGAGTCTTGGGATTGCGCAGCGTACACTCACACACTCGTACTCACACGAGCCTATCGCCCCCAAGCCCATGGTCCGTCATCAGCGACCCTGTGCGTCCTGGAGGGAGGGGCGTTGGCCACAACCATGTGGAGTTCCAGAATCGAAATGGGCCAGACAGACATAACGAGACAGGGGGGTAATCAAGCATCCAAAGCACCGGTCGTCTTTGGCTTTTGCTCCACTAGTGCTGGGGCTGGACCGATGAGCATTAGGGTCCTGATGCAGGATCTTTCAGCTAGCGCGCTTGGGGTTCAAATATTTTGGACCTTCGATAGCTGGCTCGATGGCGACTCAAAATGTTGGTTATCACAAGTAGGATAATATGAAAGCTTTCAGAGCTTGATGATTAATTTCTGAGGTGTCGTCAAGTCAGCAGACAAGACAAACGATAACCACGGGTGCCGAGTCTATGGCATTAAGGACGTCGAGTCTTGGCATCCGCATTGAGACAATGATTGGGGTTGGGCAGTCAAGCCAAGACAGAGAAGGAGGGAGAACGACAGCCTAGTGAATAAATGGTTTAGGCGGCCCAGCAGACAACGATGCTGTACCGTGTTGACACCAACAGCCGGAAGCTAATAATGAGAGAAATCAAAATTGATTGAGCAGCAGAATATCGACTTCGAATAGCCACCTCAGGTGGCTTCCACGAAGTCGCAGGTGCTAATGATGTGGATGGCCGAGTCATACTATGGTAGCACACGAAACATAGACGCCAAGGAGGGCATCAAGTTCTTGCCAACGAGCAGAAATATGTTCTTTCGGGGTGCCATACTGGTATTAGGGAGCATGGCGAGACATGAGGATATCGTTGACAAGTAGTTTAATTTCTGACATCCAGTCAGCATGGGTACGCAATACCGATGGTGAAGCATCATTGATGTCGAGGGCCCCCTTCTCATTGTGGTGACAACTCTTCAAGATTTTGCTTCATAGTTTCAAATTGCAAGGCTCCCAGCCCATCGCATCTCCTGGCACAAGGCACAGGGCAGGACTAGCAAGTCAGCCACCAGGCTTGGTAGTACCGAACTCAAGAAATCCAAACTAGTCATGAGAATACCAGGCTGTCAAGTACACAATGAACTCAACCGAGTACAGATTCCTTAACGGCGTTGTGGCTTCCTCGTGGTGAGTGGATTGCGGTTCCGTTGTCGGTCACCAAGCTGGGTGATAAACATAACCGTAACCGTGGCCAAGCCGCCGAGGTATGCCATTTTCACCAGTTGAGATTGGCTACTAGCTCGCTGTTTCGTCAGCGAGAGATTGCTTTAAGCTTGACAAGGGTTCGATGGTGACAGAATGCAACAGTATCGGTCTGGATTCAACAGCGATTTCACGTGTCTTGTACGGAACTGCCCGATACGTGAAAGGAGCAGCGGAAAAGTGTTACCATCTTGCTGTTGTGGCTGGGCGCGATTCCATGTCGCTTATCACGGCGCCCAGGTTTGGCTTCCGCTGGCTGGCCGCAACCATTCCGTTGTGAGAGTACTTGATCATGAGCTGTTCTTTTGCATTGGCATTGCCGTATCCGATGTGATAGTGACATCTTTGTAGACTTGAGTTTGCTGGTTCGATGCTGAAAAGCGGGCAAAATGGACCGTCCAATATGAAGCTCGCATTTCCCCCGGGTTTAGACGTTGAAACAAGGGTCCAATCGAGCAGCCAGCCGCCCATCAAGGAAGGACATGTCACATCACGCGACAACGTGGTTGCCAGAATTGATAAGAGAGGCATATGACCCCCCACGCACGTTCAGACCATTCTACTGGGACTCTTGGAATGAAGTGGCAGGTTCATGTGAAAGTCAAGCAATTTCATGATTGAGAGAAAGCATCTCGAGTCGAGTTGACATTTTGACCGTGCGCGTTAAAGTTTAGCGAAGGCCGTGCTTGCCACGACTTCCTGATTTCCACATTCAAGGCAGAATGGGGTCCAAGTGGAATTCGTAGCTGTTTCCTCATCTTGCAAGCCAAGGTCTCAAACCTCAGGCATCAAGGGTCTCTGTCTCACAACCCCAGAATCAAATATGGAGAGCCAAGGTCATCTCAAGTCTTGTTAGGCACACGCACGCGGCACGACATATCAAAGTGATGATACGAAATGGTGGGTGATTGTAATAAGCCACACGGATAATATCCACATATATTTCTCCTTATCTGCAGAACTCCACATCTCACGATACATGCATCAGCCTTATCTCTCTCCAACCTTGACCGTTGGCCTCATCTCACTCGCCTCTATCGTCTCTCTAGCGCACCTCTGGCTTCGACGCCTATAATCCTATGCGGAGCAAACACGCCATGTTCGTCTCGTCTATTTACATGTTATCCACAACAAAGCATCAGGTTGAACTAGCAAGTCAGAAATAGTCAATAATTAATTGGCTAATCTCATGGAACTACCCCTGGATATTGCAGCAACGGTTACTATCCAGTTTTGGAGTATCGGTCATAAAGGCCTGTCAAAACCATCATTCCCGGCCCGATTCCGCTGCCTTTTGGTTTGGTACTTATTAACATGGCGATATCGTAACAGCGTCGGACTTGTATGACCGTGAAACAGGAAGTATCTCCTCCATACAATGTCGAAATTGGTTAAGGTCTGTTGTGGTTCTGCAAGCAATGCGCAACGGGCGCAATGCTAGATTCAAAGCCACGAACTTTGTCAATGCTTGAGTCGGTAATCTTTATCTTGATCTCTCTCATTAAAGTCCCTCAGTATCAAAACACATCAACAACTTTCTTTCATTCAGCCATAGTTAGCTTGATGAATGTACAGTTTCTGCTCATTCCTCCAGGCTAGTGGCCTTAACTCCCATTAGCTGCCCTTCAGCTTGTTCGCCTCGGTCCCGAGACGCTAATGAAAATAATTATCTCCTTTCACCACTTCAACCCTATCACACTACCTGGTATTTATGTGAGATCATGATTAAGAACGTACATCGCGGGCGTTCCGAGACATCTAGTGGCTTTTCTAGAACACTGGCAGAAACATGGCGCAAATCAATAATGTCTTGTTTCGATAGCCTGATGTCGGCTGAACTTTGACGAGTCGGTCACTGGCCCTGGCTGGACAATTCGTCAACCAAGACAGTGCCGTGGCTTTTGCACTACTATTCAAGCCACGAAACTCCATGCAGCACCATGCATAATTTTGCAACAATCCTGGTCTCACAAATCATTTGATTGGCGGTGTTCATTAGAGGCTTGCTAATGGATGGCTGTTGGTTAACTTACCTTCCTCTCTGGGTCACATCGATTAAACAAGTCTGACGCCTACCAACTCTCTTTGTTCGGTAGATATCGGCTCTTGACTTTTGCAATGATATTCAGCCTTGTAATCGCGGGTCGATCAGGAACCAAAGTTCAAGCCGCGCAGCCACTGCGACTCTGCTACCTCCTCAAGCATTATCGAGCTGCCCTATTTGGATACAGTCTGAAAACTAGCCCAACCTCAGTTCTTCAACTGCAGTCTTGATCTGCAGTTTGCCGGCTTGGCCCCAGTCTACGCCCTTCAACTTCTGTGCGATTTCTTCCTCCTCTTCAAGCACACCCCAGAGACCATCAACAACCATGCTCCTGACCTTGGGCCAGGGATGATGCAACAAAGCACCCAAGCGTTTCCTAGCTTCCTGGACACCTGTCTCAGCGCCTTCCTGGCCAGCCATTGACGCAATACCGCAATAGACTTTGGTGCACGCTTCGAGCTTTCGGACGTTACCTGTCTTGTAACCCGCCTTCTGTGTCTGCAGGCACAAGCTACGAAGGTTGACGCTGCTCTTCTGAAAGAGCTGCATCTGGAAAAGGAATGCAATGATCTCCAGGGTTGGCACGATCACCCTATCCTGGCCCTGTCGGGACTTAAGATTCTGTAACATCGCGTGACAGGTAAGGTCTAGGTTCTCATGCTTGGCCTCGCAGAAGTCGCAGAGCGCCGCTCGACTAGCAATGACAAGGTCCTCGTTGCCCGTGTCTGCAGATCCCACAAACCCAGACATGAGTTCTGTCATCCATTTCTCCGTGTCTCCTTTAGCCATATCGCCAAGCAATGGGCGAAGACGACCGCCCGCCTGAAGCTCAAGGAGACTCTCAAAGTAGGCCCTGGAAGAGAAAGTGAGTTCGCGGAAGTGCTTCGCGTGGCTAAGAGAAGTCAGTCGTATGTCTAGGAATCTGACATTTGAAATTTTGGCACGCACCCGTTTTCTAGAACCAATGCAACTGCGGCCTGAGCTTCAGGACGTACGCGGTCGAGTTTCTCTGCAGCAAGACGAAGGACACTGAAGAATAGAGCCTGCACCGAAGCCTCCTCCCATTCGCCTTGGACAATTGTATCATCAAGCTTATTCCACAAGGCTTTCACGGCTCTCAGAGCGTGCACACGGACGTGCGATCCAACATCTCCTCGGGCATTCGTAGTATAATCGTTCAAGCCCTCAACGATCAGTTGCAGAAACGCCAGAGGCTTGTTATGCAGAACACTGCTTTGAGCCAAGCTCTGCAAGATGGCGACACGAGTCTCAACTTCGCTATCCCATGTCCAACGCTCTAGGATCGCCTGGCAGGCCACGTCCTCAGACGAGCTTACCAGAGGCTGCGCGACTGTAAGTGCAGAAAAGTAACCAATCCCATGCACTGAAGTTCTGCTTGTTGGGCGACGTTGGACAGTTTCTGCCCATTCACTCAGGAGTGCCTCTCTGTCAATTGGCTTAGAAAGAATGAGAAGAACCAATGATGCAGTAGCAGTTGGCTCAATCGTTTCTTGCTCGCTGCGGTTCAACCAGGTTGGGATAATGGCGCGTAATGCCGAGATCAGTCGTGCTACAGTCTCACTTCGGTCCTCATCGCACGAATCGAGTGCAGATACGAGACCCAAATAGCCTGACGCATTCCCGGGATGAAGGAGCTCTTGGCCTGGACAAAGAGCTTGCTGTGAATCCATGCCGAGAACTGAAACTTGTAGAATAGGCAACGCTGAAACGACTAGGCGGCTTGCGGCTTCAGCGAGCAATTCCGGTTTTCGATAAGCAGTTGACTGCAGGTTCTCCAACGCCCCTGAGACCGTTGAAAGTATTTCATCAATCAGCACCGGGTTACTCTTCTCTGCGCCTGGGCTGAACAAGGCTGGAAATTTATCAAGGACAGAGGCAAAGCATAGCAACAGACCGTGTCTCTCCTCAACCTGACGAGGTTGAAGTGTTTTGAGGCGATCAGTCAGCAGTTGAATAATGGTTTTGAACCGGGCAAGAGAGTCCTCGGATTTGGTGTCCGATAACTCATAGGTGAGGACTCCAAAAGCGGCACCAGATACGCGTCTTGAAGCAGCATCAAGGTCGCCGATACCTCTCCAGCCTAGGAGGGTATCAATGATGGCTTCGCCATACTGGCTTGCAAGACGAGTCGCGTTTACCGCAACCTCCTCGATTGCTCTGGAACGTCGTGCAACAGCGTGGTAATCGACAGTTTGCACCACCCAAATACCCTGCTCAACAGTGTCCGGATGTCGTCCAACAAGTTCTTGCAAGGCAGCCGATGCACCGCGTCTAATGTTTCCCGCAGGGTCCAGAGAAGCAGTCACAACGAGTTCTGTTGCAAGGACTTGAAGGATCGAACTTGTTGCCGGATGAGCTTTGGCTGCAAAGACAGAGTGTGTAGGAATTGCTAGGAGCTCAGAGCTCGTGTATCGGCGGGCGAGGGCCCAAATACCAAAACAAGCAGCATCTCGTACATTGGTTCCAACACTACCTCCAGACATACTTCGCTGCTCAAATGACAGACCAAGAAGCAAAGCATGGACAATATCTGACAATTGTTCAGTGGGCGGTGATCTTCGATAGAGCAGATGTGATAGTGTGAGCATGAGCCCATGCCATTCGAGGTTATTCACAGCAGACAAGTCTCTGACTGGTTTGCCCCCGGCGGGTTTCGTCCAGAGGACATTTCGGTTCAGTGATTCAAGGACAGCCTCAACAACCTGAGAAGCCATATCGGGATCCAATTTCAAAGTGATGATACTCAAAGACTTGCTTGCTGCAAATCGTACTGGTGTATCGTTGTCAGCTACAGATTCAAGCAAATACCCAATAGCTGTCTCTGTAAGCTCAGTGCTGGCCATATCTTGTGGTGTCTGGCGAAGGCGCAAAACAACCACAGATCGAATAACCTTCAGAATCATTTTTCTTGCCAAGGCTAACGAGATAATCGTTTTAGAGAGCGCATTCTCGCCAGCGGATATTTCGTGGATAGCATAGAAGATAGTCGAAAGATACGGATTCATGTCAGATGTATCTGACGATGCGCGCAATACACCGGCTAGGAACGATAGGACTCCTAGATAGAAGTATGTTTTTTGTAGCGGCTGGTCTTGTTTCGGGCGTAGAGAAGCAAGGGACCAGTTTATGAGGCTTTCGAGGACGCCAAGCTGCTGCATATCGCGACGGATAGACATTCTCACCAGCAGAGCCTTTGCAGCGTCCCTTTCCTTTCCTGGAGTACCAAGATACTTGATAGCGAGAGGAATCACACGTACAGTAATGGCAGGGAGGTTCTCAGGCCAGACCAGGCCTGGTATCTCTGGCACTGTAACATCTTGCAAGTCGACGGAAGATATGGTAGAGAGGTCAAAGGGAGCCAGCAGGAGATGCGAAAGCCACAAAAGAACGACATAGCGTTCCTCCCATGACCATTTCCCGAGAGCAACGTCATCAACAGAAGCTTGCTCAGACTCTTCAATGGCAGAGAGGAGCAACTCTAGATACTTGGCTTCAACATTGAGAAAACGCACAATGACCTTTTCGCCGCGGATCTTGCAAAACGTGTATATGATCTTGCATATGGCAAACTCAACTGAGACCAAGAGCTTAGAGCGGGATGAGAGTGCTTTTCCGCGATGGCGAGTTTGGAGGTGCTTGAGAAACGCCTCAGCAAGGAGGGGAATCCACTTGGGCAGGTAGGGATCCAACAGCTGAGGAAGTTCTTGGAAGGGATCTAGGAGCTAAATAAGAGAGTGAGTATATATATTATTAGTGTAGGAGATGGCATACAGTATTGGTAAGTCGGAATATCTCCTTTGCGCGCACCCGCGAGCGTACTCTTGTGCCGCCGTGGCCATCCGGCTTCCAGAGGAAATTTGGCAGGGAGCGGTCAAAGTCCCCCAGAAGATCCGCTGAGATCTTCTGGAGCTTGATATCGAAATCTGCTTCTGGGGCGTCCATTTCTTCAGTAGGAACAGGGCCACACAATCAGATTGCCTGACTCTTGTTTGTTAGGACTGAAGTTGCTACTTGAACATGCTGTGTGAGGCCAGGCAACGAGTTAACGAGATGAGCGGGTCCAAGTTTTCGATGGTAGTGATTCGAGGAGGATAGAGATAAACCAATAGTAATGAGCCTGACTCTCAGAAACTATCTCAACTTGAATTAAAAGTTTGCTATTGGCTTTTCCGGATCGTACATCGGTTGTAAAGAATGAGAGCTGTTGTGAATTGGTGCATCAAAAGCTCACTGTCCTTGATTCCGTACAGTGCGGACAATGGTCATGGTAGGTTACACTGTACATCACGGAATAGCAATTCGAGCCTCAACTCCCACTTCATGAAAGCAATCGTATAAATTCAAATACTTCGACGTTGTGTAAGGAGTCCAAAGGTCAATAGATGTTTTCACTTTTAGTGTATCGTCATACTGTCCAAACTGATTATGTTTACACAGTTATCAAGAATGTCTGTCCGTCTATGAGCGCCTCAAGCCTCCATATCTTCTCTTTACATAGCTCCAGCTACCTGTCTGTCCTCCAAATCCTCTAAGGGGGTATCAACCATTAACAAATAAGATAAACCAGGAGTCACAGACCCTGTCTTGTCTGATGCTCGTAAGCCGTGTTCCTCTATGCCCAATGAAATAACCCAGGTTCGCCAATAAATCCAATCCCTAGTTTGTTCTTTTACCCATCCATGACGCCCAGTCTTTTTCCCGCTCTAAATCATAAGTTTGAAACTGCGATCGCTGCTACTATAGCATCCAAAGCACTGCTGTGCGAGGGGCCAGTGGCATCAATGTAAGGCCCAGCCCAGGAAACGCCTAGCTTGTTGTCTTTGCTGCGGCTCTTCTTCCAAATGGAGATGGCGTTCTTCGTGATAAAGCGACGGTACAAGGGCTTTGGTGAAACAGTGTGCAAGTATCGAAGGTTTCTGACAAAGATGCCTTTGAACTGCTGTCCGTCTGCGCCACAGTGACCCTCCTTGGTCTCACAACCGTCACTCTCGATAAGGATACCATCTTTGTTGGTAAGTTCCTTAATGGCAGCATAGGCGATCTTGTGAGCTTTGTCGGTGTAAGCGTCGTCTCCTGTGGCAAGCGAAAGTTCGACGAGAGCGCCCAGAATGACTCCTTGGTTGTAACTCCAAGTCTGAAGACCGTTATTCTTGCATTTGCCGTTCAACCCATCGTTAATAAGTCCCTTCTCGTTTATCATGCCACTGTCGGAGAACCAGTTCCACTGCTTCTTGGCTATGTCGAGGTATGTGCTGTTCTTTGAGACACGTCGTGCTAACGAAGCAGCAGTTGCGAGATATAGTTCGTTTGCAATCGCATTGACGTAGCCTGAGCCATCCTCTCCCTCCTTCTTCCACCTTATACCGCCGCCGCAAGGTGTGTTTGTGCCGGTCTGCATATCGTTGAAGATGTCGATAGCAGCCTCGAGATACTGGTCGTTGCCAGTTGCATCCGATGCTCTGATCCATGCCAGAGCCCACCAGCCTTCGTCGTCGTAGAACTCGTTGAGGAAGTCGTCGAAACCACGTTTTCCCAAGAAACCCCGCTTCATCATACAACCTGAGCTTGAGTCTATACAGTAGGAAGAAGCAACGAGGCCGTTTGTCATTGTCTTCATGGTATGGACCGTTGTCTTTTGGGCGTTTTCGTAGGTTGTGGCGAGAACTCCTCCAATATTTAACTTGTTGGCTTCTTCGAGACGTAGAGTTGAGAAATCAGCGAGGGTGGTTATGATCTGGTTGTTGTTAGCTTTGTGTCTAGTATAAGAGACTCTAGACTGACATTTGCACTCGACCACCAAGCATTATCCCACACACCGGTGGCAGAATTGTAGAATTCTTCATTCAAAACTTGGATAGCAGTAATTGCCTTTTCAGTATATGTGGTGACGCCTCGAGCTTGAGTTGAAGGTTTGACTGAAGTAACGAAAGTCGTCCCGGTAAATAGATCCGCCCAGGGGATATGCATGTTGAAAGAATGAAAGTTAAGGAAACAAGGGTTTTGATAGCATTGAGGAAAGAGAAAGCAATATCAGAAATGAATAGAACTTTTAATAACTCTCAGAGTTTGAATGAATCAGAGAAGAGGCATGAAATGAACAGAAGCAACAGCTCGGGTATAAGATATGAGAAGGGACCAGGAGATCTATATCTATATAGCTACATACAAACAAGAAGATCAAACTTTTTGCCCTCAAGTGGATGCCTCTTTGTCTAAACCCACACCAAACTCCCCCATGACTTGCATTGCATTGACGTCCATTGATGAATGAATGTTTCCTTCAACGTGGGCCATGGCCGCGACCAGCACCACTTACGACATGGCATAGCGAGAGAAAAGCCCTCCAGGGGTACAGGTACGGGTACCGTACAGGATGAGGACGCCAACGCTACGGTTAGCATAATGCTGAATTGTTGCTGTCCCAGCCAAGACTCAGTGGAGTATGTGGACTCGGAGCAGTAACCATCAGTGATTGGGCGAGGAAGAGGTTGAAGGTGAAGATGCGACGCGCCGATGAAAGTCGTGATGGGGCGCTTGATGTTTCAGACCCAGGACTACGGGATAGGTTCCACAGAAGAAAAAGAGACTGCCGGTGCACTTAAGATAACCCCTGACGCTACCAGGGTTTTAGTGGACGGACGGCACGCTACTGGTTTTTTACCCGTCGTAGTCTCAGGACATCGACCTTATCTTTTGTTAGCTGCGCCACGTGCTTGACCTGATACTCAGGTCACCTTCAGCTACATCTGAAGATATTAATAAGACAGACTTTGATAGACACGGCACGGGGATAACTCCCAGGTTGATCCTGTAAAGCGTAGAGCAAGGACCAAAAGCAAGAAAACATCTCCAGATCTGCAGACCATTTCTTGGAGACTTGATGAGTTGTACCATATCCCTGCAGACCGATCCTCAAATCATCATGCGTATCTCTCTCTCTGTGATCGCCTATTTTCTGCTGTGCTGTCATGGCTTCGGAGCCGGGGTTTGGTGTTTCAAGCTGGATGCCAATATTATGCGATAACGACAATTCGCATGTGGGTTTTCAATACTACCTACACAAACAAGATACAGTTAGATCTTGACACTCTTCAGAATCATCTCATCCCATCCCATCCCATCCTAACCTATTCTTGTTCATGCCAGCGCATCTTGTTGGACAGCCCTAAGGTGGCATTGCTGGTGCTCCTGAAGTATTATCTTGTCTGCACGACTCCGGGTTCGTCATCCCCTTGCTTGGAGTCTTATCTCTGTGTTCTGTACAACATCTTTGTCTCTCGGAGCATATCAGCCTCCGCTGTAGCCGCTCAGGTCGTTGGCGCCTTTGGTATCTAACTTATCTTCCTTCTTCATCACCTTTAACAATCGACGCCTTTGACCTAATCCTTGCACAAAACCGATTGAATTCCCAAGCACGGTGTCACTTGTGTCCTGATCGGAAGAGGGCGACAGCTGAGCTTGTTGAATAAACGCCTTCATCGGGTCCGTGGTTGTCGGAGGTAAAGTATAAGTTACTATATCGAGCTGCCAGCCTGCCAACTGAGACTCACCCTTGCCAGGAGGTTACTGTAAAAAGCACAACTTAGGTGACATGGGCAAAAGGACGGTCATCTCACAAAGGGAATGAGTATCGATTATCGCATTGTTTAATAATTTTGACAAAGCCTTTACCGACGGAATTACCATGTCGATCTCGGAGACGATCTGTTGATGCGGCGTGGCTCATGTTCAGCAATATGCATTGTGCATTGCTCAGCATGTTCTTAAGAGGTAGTGATTTTCAGTTGAGGGTGGAGATGTGCAGATGTTTCATCGAAACTTCCGATCAGTTGAAGCCTGAAGACCCAACAAGGGCTGCAAGGCGAGATAACTCAAGGGAGATCTATACCTTGTCATGAACATGCAAGTCACAGCCAACCAAGAAGTCGAAACCAACGGCCGTGTTCCGTATTTAGAACGGCAGAGAAAAAGAGGTGACCTTAGCGCGTCCAACCTGAATATGGGTCTTTTTCTCCTCTCCTCTCCTTTCTTTCCTTTCCTTTCTCCCCGAGAATCTCTAGTTGAAACAAACCATTTCTGGGTCGTGTACCTGCAGCTGCTGCACTGGAGATCTCTGTGCAAGGTGCAAGTGCAGGTGGATTGCAGGAGCACCTGTGCACTAAAATCTACGGAGCCTCAACTACCTTGCCTCAGGCTTTTCACATTCATCATACAACTTACACATAACCTTACCAAAAAAAAAGAAAGAGAAAAAAAATGCGCCATTTACGTTATCAGAGTAAACAAGCCCGATCAGGCGGTTCCCGCTTCGATTTGGTCTTCGCTACACCCTTGTCTACTCATCCCAAGCGCCTCATAAACTTTGATCTCAGCGGTAGCTGAACGACAGGGCGGGTATCGTGGCGCTTAAGTCGACCTCGTTCAACTCATCCTAAGACAAGGTCACTAATGATACCCTCGTTCATTGGCTTTCAATCTTCAACCCATCTTCCAGACTTAACAACATGGGCTTGTCGTATTATTGAATTCGGCGGTTCCGGCAGTCTGTCAGTCCAGGCTCGTCATATATGTAAACTATTCCTGGAAGAAGCCATGGCTCACCAAAAACAAGATCTTAACAGTCTTGGCGACGATGAACTGAGCGCCATACCGCAAGAACCCTTGCTTTGGCGGCGCCTCCTACCTGTTGTTGAACCTGCAAATCAGAATTGGGTCCAACAATTTTCAAGCAATTATTGAATGGTAAACACGCCCTTCGTAGAGCCATCACGATGCGGACATGGTCATATCAACATTCGAATTGAGCTACCAGTCATAATCTGACTTTCTCCAAAAGGAAAGAGAACATGATAAAAATAGTCTACATGATGAAGCAAAACAAATGAAAAGGACTAGTTATCCTGGGGTATAGTGCAAATACGCCACCCAACGCCCTTCGTCGCAACGAATACATCTTGGTTTGTCATACATATTACATTCCATCAAGGGACTCCTCGATTTTTTTTTTAATCGCGTACGCTTGCACTGCTCATGATCGGGGTTGGAAGCGACGGTATCTCGTTGCTGCTGATCGAGCCGGCTACGCTTCCAGGTCTTCCTGCTCGGCTGGCTTTGCGAGACGAGAACCGAGACAAAACAGACAAGGACTTGTTTCTCTCGTTACTCACGATACTTGCTCTGTCAGAGCCTGAGTTGCCAAAACCGCGTAGCGTGGCTATGTCAATGAACGCCTGAGGGAAGATTCCTGTCTTGCCCTTGGAATTCGTCCCCGACCAGCACCAAAATTCTTGATAAGGCCCTATTTGCGAGTCAGATAAACAGTCTTTCCTTGACATGCGTCTTGAGGGACAACTTACAGCTGACGTTGGTAATGACTTCATCTTTCTCAAACTTAAGCCAGTCACCCTTGACTTTGTCCTTTTGGTTAAACTTCCATCTTGCGGTGACTTGGACTGGGCTGGTTCCGTCGATCTTGATCTGACTGGATGGTGGCGGATCCAGCTTAATGATCTCCGTAGGAACTGAAGCCCATTGGCCGTCGTACCAACCCATTGCCCATTCTCCAAGATACTTTGCAGGCCAAGTAAGGCCGCAAACCCTTGCGTTAACAACCAATTCAAGCGCCGGCGTCCTATCGTACAACAGTCTTTGGCCGTACATACGGCGAGCAGCCTCCTTGCTGGTTGCAGTTGGCAAATACGATATCTCATCAGCTTTCTCAATTGCAGGGTGTGTTTCAACAGGTGATTTGAAATGAAGGTCATAGTCGTTCTTATATTCGGCAGGAACTTCAGTCTGGTCGATCACTGTGAACCCTGGGACTGCTGGCAGAGGACGAGGATGGCGAGCCAAATGAGCAAAAAGGGCTTTCTGGCTGATGAACACAGTTGCGTCACTGGCGTGAAGAGTCTTGCCCTGGGTAATACAAAACACACAACCATACAGAACATCATCAGAGCGCCGAGTTGGCAAATGGGACTTTTGAAGGAATCGCAACCTATAGCCGATACCATTCTTGATGAAGTTTCCTCGTTCTGTGGGACAGTCAGCAAGGCATTGCACGACAATCATGATTTCGAGAGGCTCCTGTGGACTTACCAGCTTTGTTGACATCCAAGTCGATTTCATTAAAATCGAGCTCGAAGTGACACTTGACACATTTTGCAATTGTCGCTACCGTTGCGAACCCCTGCGTCTTTTAGCATCAAACGACAAAAAGGACAAAGAGATGACTTACTGCTTTCACAGTCTTCTTGACTCCCGCACCGCCATTCAATATTTCCTTTGCCCCATCGCAAAAACCTTTGTGAACATAGAAGGAACTCTGAGGGTTGAGTTTGCAGTCAATGGCAAACGGGTTTGGTGGGTGTTCGGGGATCGTAATTTCAGTTTCCACGGGAATCGGTAGGTTATCGACTTCTGGCATCATGACAGGCTGTACTGGTTCAAGCATGCCCTGGTAGTTGGTTACTGGCGGAGGCTTTACCGGCAGTGGACTTAATTCTGCAGTGCCGAGTGTCGGACTACCATCTGCCACTGAATATGAGGATTCGCGGTTGTCTGTGAGGGGGGTGGTCACTCCATCGTGTCGTCCCGAGTCAAAGACAGAGCCAGGATTGGTTTCGACTGATTCAGGGCGAGACTGAGGAAGCGAATGCGATCGAGGCGGAACCGTCCTTGGAGAAAGCTGCGAAACGTAACCTGTGCTGGCCCTTTCTGAAACCACATCTTCGGGGATGGATGTAGACAAGATGGAGTTGTGGCTCGAATAGCGACCTCGTGGTGTTGGGAAGACACTGTATGTTCGTTCATACGTCCCTGATTCCATGCCCACTGAACTAACTTGGGAGTCGTTGCTGTACTGAGACGAGCGATCTCCTCCCATCTTGAGTGGGCGCGGACGGAGTTCCCTACCTGAATCTGGGCTCAGAGGTGGTGAAATCGGCTCAATGGGTGATTCTACTGGGGCCACGGGCTGTCTCCTTTCGAAGGAAAAGTCTTCTGGGAAATGGTTGTCGCGTGGCTTCGGTGAGGTCTTGACATTGAAGTCCCATGGGTTACCTGATGGTGGTCTTGGAGGCGGCTCAACGGGTGTGAGTACAGCCTGGGGCGTATGGCTGGGTCTTGGTGGTTCGGCATATAGACCCTCATCCGGTCCTGATCGAGACTGCATCATGCGCCGCAACTCGGCAGTAGCTGCTTCGACCGTTGCAGGATCATTGCTAGATCGGCTTTCAGCGAGTGAGGAGGCGCTTCGGGGAATATCTTTTTTCAAATCGGAAAACGGGTATATCGGCGGAAGAGGGGGTGCATCTGGCGAGATTGGTCTTGATTGTGACCCGGACATTCGAGTCATGATGGAGCGACTGTCATGATCATAGGGAACCTCCAGCTTGAGGCGCATGAGAATGTCGTAAACCTTTGGCGCAGCCTTCCTCGAGAGGGCTTGTAGTTCGGCGAACTTTTCAGGCTCAAAATCGTCCAATTCAATGTAGTCGTCAAACTCCCAAAGCAGTTCGTTGAGCTCGGTTCGGAAGGCCGCGATTTCGTCTGGGTCGGCAAAGTCAATCAATGTCGATCGAAATAACAAGGCGGGCTGAAGATGAAATGACGACTTACCATTTTCCTTGAGAGCATCAAGAAAGTTAGAGCCATATTCGTCGAGGTGTTTTCGACATAAGGGTTCAATTTTCTTGAGTGCACGCTCGCCTTCTTTTGTCAGGCTCTGGGAGGCCTTGAGCATTGTCTTATCATCGCCAGCGTTTTGTGTTGCCTCACGGCCCTTTTCGACAATGTCGCGGAAGGGCGCGATGACAAGGTCGGCTACATCATCCATGATGAGATCAAGTAGTCGAAACTCGTAGAGAGGCTGACTGGAACTTCAAGAAGGGATGTTGTGGTGAAAGAGTATGTGACAATGAGGTGGGCGTGTAAGTCAATATGAGGGCCGAAAATGGGGGGCCGAAGGAATGAGGAGGGGGATCATCACACGACAGGGTAGAATTGGGTAAGGTAACCGCAACGGTCATGAAGCGACTAAGGTTGAAAGAAGAGGAAGAAGAAGGGAACCAACATGGGGATGCTGCATCTATAGCATTACCATGGCCATGACCATGACCATGGCACGGCCTAGCATTCATGGCCTGGCTGGGCACTCACCAGGGCACACTAGCACCCACTCGAGCTGAGAGCTTGAATCGACAGCAGTGCAGTAGGCTGCAGTCAGTGATAGTCCTAGACCTAGACTAGGGCCCCTTCTTTGTTGCGATATGGTGTCTGGGCTGTCTGGTGTCATGCGGCTTGTGAGATGCGTGTACTACATGATAGGCCGACCGGAAGCCGGGCCCCGGTGAGAGCAGTGGGAAATGGTTCTATCCCCGACGATCTAGTGCGTGTGGTTAGGGGTCGCCCGAGCATTAGGGTCATGATTTCTGGGTTCTCGAAGCAATTATTGTCTTGAGTGAGTTGACCTGAAGAGACGGACGGGTTGGATGGAACTAGCGGGGGTTAGAGAAGACATGACATGGGCCTCCTTCCTTTCAGAACGATAGAAAGGCGGAGTTGCTCCACTTGCCGCTGCCCACGTTGACGGATCTACGCAACGGGATTGGGGGACTCTCTATGGCCTCATGCACCAGATTATCATACTCACTTACTTTCAACTCTGACAGTGGAATTTTTAATCAAATTCTGCTCGGTCGATGCTCTCGGTAAAGTTAAGTCATAATAGCCAGGGGAAATATATGACTAGTCAGAACAAGACAGACCGAGGGCTCTTTTGGGTCAGAACTGTCAGAGCTGATGAAACCGATGCAGTAGTCAGGTACTGAACAGATCAAGTTACCACAGCAGCGACAGGATAGTCAGTGTTTGCGAATGGGGGGTCAGAGACTCGTATAGCGGAATTAGTAACAAAATGATCAGATTACCGAGGTTTCTTTGTCCCTGCTTTGTCCCCATGTCTTGCAAGCAATTCATCATGTTTCGTAGCCTTGAGGCCCCATAACGAAACACGACACAATGTGGACCACGGCGATCATGGAATGGGGTCAAGAAACAACGCAGGCCCGGATATGGTCCTGACAGCGCTGATCATTCAAGGCTTTAATTCATTAGAATGGATATCATCAAGGCAAACTGCATCTCATGATAGCCTAGTTAGCCTTGCTGTGGGTGATCTGAGACATGGGCTACTATGACGGGAGTACCCTAAAGTTTTTGAACAATATCTTCTAGAACACAATCATAGGATCGATAAGTCTTATTAACGGCCTGGGCTGAACCTTGATTTTGCCTAGGTAGGTATTTATATTATTGCTGCCATGATCAACCAGCAAACTGGCTTCGCATGATCAATGCACGACCATCCTCCAGATACGATAGATTCAAGTCGATCAAACAAGGCACACAAGCCTCCTCCCAATTGTCTTGCTCTGTAACTCATTTCATTGCTCCAGACTTTTTCAGCCGCGGCGTTGTTAAGGGAGCGATCTTCATACGGCACAGCCTCCGCCCTGTTAGAGTGGCACACGTGCGTTAGCGCCCCTCTTTGTCATGAATGCCTCGTCATGGCGTTCCTGTGGCACGTGTCTGCCTGTTTTGATCTTCATTCTTCGACATGACTGGGGCAGAAGGAAAGGATAAGATGATGCAGTCGAGAAAGACTTTCAATTGAAAACCAAAGCACTCCTTTCACCAACAAAGCAATGTTACATATCTCTTCCAATCCATACCAATCGTGAGCTCATAGCCGTTCGTTTACCATGACCATCATTCCATCTCTGTCAACTTCTTTCCATCGTCCAGATTCTACCCCATTTTGCTCCAGGCCTTGTTTTTCAACCCACTTCAGGCGGCCTTCATACTTGGCACAGCAGACTTGGCCTTTCCATTCTTTTCCGCGGCAGCTTTCTATATAAATGGTTAGCTAATCCCCAGCCTTGAATCATGAATCATCGAAGACTTACCTGCTGCTCAATCATTCTGCGTCCGACATCAATGGTCTCATTCATGCCTCTCTGGCGTTGCCAGAACCTGTGACATCCATTAGTACATATGGAACTATCATTTGAAGTCCACTTACATCTCCTCAGGCGTTCCATGACCTCGGATGGAAGTCTGTCGGGCCTCCTCCTCCAAAGCTTCGCGAGTAATCTTCTCACTGTGATCAATGCCTGGAACTGAAGACTCTTCCGATGCACCTTGGCCAATGTTCTCTTCGAGAAGTTTTCTCCTCATCAGGAAACGCTCCTTGCGCTCCTTCTGCACGCCTGGGCTGTCCAACTTGCTGAGAACAAAGCGGACCGCCAGTTGGACGACCAGATAGAAATGCTCAGCCAAAAGAATGCTAAGCAGCAGACCCCAAGCCTTGAGAGGCGATGGTTCACCATGGCTTCCGTTACCTCGGGCGCCGCTGCACAAGTACACAATAGCAGAGCTGGTGATACTGCCGAGCCAAGAAATAAAGCTCAGTGCGGTCAACCAGGGTCCAATTGAGTCGGTTCGCCATGGGATTGGTCGTCGGCTGCTGGTGGCAATCTTGAGGGCATCGGATCTCAACTCAACCCAGTTGTTGACGAGGAAACAGCAAGCTGCAAGTGGCCAAGCGACTGAGAACATGGAAACATAACCTATGCAAGAGGTCAGATATTGAGTTTCACAAACATTTCCAACGTCAGCTTACCGAACTGCATGACCATCTCACGGTAGTCTCCCGAGACATCGTACGTCTCGAGAGTGCTCTCCTTGCGTACGCGTTCAAGGAACTCGGCTTCCTCCTCGTGGTCGTCCTGAACCTTTGGCTGGGACTTGAGGGCCTTGGCTTTTTCGAGCGCCTCTCGCTTGAGGTAAGGTACCACAACCTCGGTAGCAAAGTTTACGATCTGAGCCGTGACTGTGAAATAAAACATTTGGTTGCTAATTCGAGCAGGGTTGATCTGAAATTCCCTTGTCGGAAGCGGCTTCTCGCTGAAGGTGACAACCTGGGCTGTCTTTCTCCAGAATTCGAGGAAAGGGACCAGGACATGGCCGAAGGGAATGTAGACGAATGCTGTGAAGAAAAGAGCCATGTAAGAGGTCATGAAGTTGAGGGCGAATTGTTTTTGGATGAGAGCAGCATCATGGGCTACAGAGGTTAGCTTCGAATATGTTCGAAGGGCCAATATCCTTACCATCAACAGTAGCATAGTTCTCCATTGAGTTCAATTTCTCAGCAGCGCTCATGAGCAGGCTGGAGATAGTAGGAGTACCCAGAACCAGAAGAATGGTTGGCAAGAAGCCCTAGTAACCAGTCAGTTACGTTAGTGAGAGTATTCGGGTCAACTTACCAGGTACTGCTTGCCAGGACCATTGTAGACTTCATTGATGAAGACCTCAAGGGAGTTGCAGGTCACAATCAAAGCACCCAAAGCAATAACACAAGCCAGAGCAAAGGGGATTTGGAGCAATTGAGTCTTGATGCGCTTCATGGGCTCATATACCTTAACAACTTCGCCAGTGACAGGGTCCTCAGCTTCGCGATCCCACTCAAACTCAGGTCTCGCCTGCTGGATACTGGACACACCCCGGACACCCCATTGCACGGCAAGGTCGACCTCTTGCTTCTTCCAGTACTCGAGGAAAACGACAGACCAGAGACCACAGAGCAGGGCATAGAGGAAAGAGAATTGGCCGAGCAGAAGCCATGCGACAAAGCCGAAACCAGAGGGGATGACGAGGAAGCGGAAGTAGGATCGCAAGAAGGCGAAGTAGAAGGCAACGCTTTCACCAAACTTGTCTCGAATGTCGTCGATGTCGCTCTGCTCCAGGATATACTTGCTGCTCCACTTCTTGATCCAATTCTTGTTGAATTTGTGACTATGCAGAGGAAATATGGACTCAACGTATTTCCACTTTGCATTGGACGGAGTAATTCCAGCACCACCTTCGTTACGTGGCTTCGTGATCATAAGGTAGATCAAGCGCAGGCGCTCTGCTTCAACTACGGGCTCATCCTGGAGGGCTTGTTTGACGTCGCTATGGGGGGCTGAGACTCGAACGCCGTGCAGCCAGTCGGCAAGGCGGGCGCGGTAGACTTGCTTCGCGAAGAGATCGGGGGAAGCGACTTTGACAAAGACGAGGAGGGAGTTGTTGTCGCCGTGACGAACTTCGGTGGCTAGACCAACAGTGGTGAGGGCCTGGATGAGCTGGACAAAGCCGGCTTCAGCTTCTGCGCGTTCTATGGTGTGTTAGTTGCGTGTGAGTTATTGAAGAGCACCATTTACCTGACAGAGGGACCTTGTAGTGAATGACAAAGTCGACGCTGGATCGTGTTAGTTGTGCTCAATTAAATACTTGTCTCGTGCTGACCCAAAGTTGCTTGTCTGGCTCTCGTCGCCAGATTGGCTGTACAGGTCCTTTAGATTGGACATATTCAGCAGAGGTTGACCATATGCTATGACCCAGAGGTTGAAGGAAGAGAAGCAAAAGAGGAGGGGAAGGGAGGGAGGAAGAGGTTATCGACACAGAAACGAGACAAGACAAGATGAGACAAAGAGCAAAACAGGGCAGGGCAGGGAAATGAATACTGATATGCAGTGTATTGAGGCATCCAATCCAATGAGGTTGGGTCGATGACGATGGGTGAAAAAAGTTGGAGAAAACAAGCTTTAGTTAAGATCCTGGCCCAGCTGAGGGAAGCTTCAGCTTCCAGCTTCACTGCTGTAGTGGGGGAGATTGGCACATTAGGCGACGTCACCACACATTTTGGTCAAGATATGGGTCTTGTCTGCATGGCATGGATATGATAAAATTACCTTTATATATAGTTGCTGCATATGATATAATGCTATTCACTGAAATCATATATACTGATTGAGTATACCGTTACTCTCCATCGATACTCTGCTCCACCTACCACAACTTGCTTATGAGATTGCCGTATGAAGGTAACTAAAGCTTGAAACATGCCAATGGCTTTCACATGTCGAAGAGTTGGATCACTATGACGACCTTCAGTTGTGGGTGTCCCTTGGAGCATCTCGATGAGAACAAATGATGTATGAATAGGCTCAATCTCAATGCCCTTCATTCATTCTGCTCAAGTTCATGATACTAACACTCGATACTTTTTCTTCTATATTGTAACCTCCTGTAACAATTTCCCATGGCCATGGCTAGAGGTAGGGATGGTTGCTGTCAAGTTAGCGTCACTGCGGGGCCGTTTATAGCTGGAGCTTCCGTCACCACTCCACACCATCCGAACTATTCTTACCTTGAGCTATCACAGCTACAGCTATAGCTCTCCACTCACTCAATCAATCACTCATTCGGTTACTGAGGCATCTCAATTTTTACCTCTCGTCCAATTGGACTCTCATTCTCAACTCTCCCAGCTCAAACTACCTCATACACGCCCATCATGGGCCTCCTCTCCTGCATAGGCCTTCGTCGCCGGAACCAATGGGAGCCCATGACCCTCCTCGACAATCTCATCTCGTCACCTTTAACATATCTCGCTTTTCTCTTCTACCACGCTGTACTCCTCCTCCGCGGTCGACCTTTCCACCCGCCGCGTGACAAGCCCGCCATTCGCGTCGTCTGCATCTCCGACACACACGATCTCAAAGTCGACATTCCCAACGGTGACATTCTCATTCATGCAGGAGATCTTACAGATTCCGGCACCGTAGCAGACATCCAGAAACAGCTCGATTGGCTTCGTGAACAGCCTCATCCTGTCAAGGTTGTCGTTGCAGGTAACCATGACAGTTGGTTTGACACCAAAAGTCGACATGAAGAGGATGCGCGCTCAGGTGCTAAGCCCAACATGGAGGGTCTTCATTATCTTGAGAGCGGTTTGACTGTGCAAAAGATAAAGGGTCGAACCGTCAATATCTTTGGTGTTCCTGATATTCCAAGCATTGGTCCCAAGGAGTTTGCGTAAGTCTATGAAAGATCTAGCTATACCGTGATAACTAACAGAAATGATGCTTTTAGCTTCCAATATACTCAAGATAAACACCCTTGGTTGAGCAAGGTACCTCCGCAAACCGATATTCTTATCACCCATTGCCCTCCGGTAAGCCTCTACTGTTCGAATGTGGCAACTTTTCAACTTACACACTGTCAGAAACATCATCTTGATCTCGGTCTCGGGGACAGCAATCTCCTCCGTGAAGTTTGGCGCGTAAAGCCCCGTCTCCACGTCTTCGGCCACGTCCACTTTGGCTACGGTAGAGAATCAGCCTTCTTCGATACCTTCCAGGAGACCTACGAACGTATCATGTCACGACCTCGTCGCGGTCTGATCCGAGACTTCATCCCTAATGAGGCTTGGCTTGATTATCTGCGTCTTGTAGCCCAAGGCCTTCATAGCGTGGCATGGAAGTGGCTCATGTCTGGTCCTGGAAGTAACAATGGTAGTCTCATGGTAAATGCTGCGCAGATGAAAGGCAACTCGGGCAAGGTCAAGAGTAGGGCGGTTGTTGTTGAAATTTGAAAGACCAAGCAAGCAAGTTTAAATATATACAAGGTATGTTTTCACTTCTGAGTCAACTATAGACTCCGAGAACCTAGTGGAAATATCTGAAATATCATCTTATTGGTATTACCGTGCATTAAGCTCTAATATGTCGTGACAAACAAAAGAAATATGACTATCGTAGTTGAACAAACATGTACCCTTTCCAACCATAATCAAACATGTCTATGTTTTTGTATATCCTGTACATTTCCCAGTATTAGATCCTCGTGAAGAGAAGGATGAATGAAAAAAATATCAAATCAACACCAAAAGCACCTAAAGAGACAAGGCAAGAATTGCCATGGCCACAATCGCAAAGTAAACGAAGAAGTCATCGACTCTCGATGAAGCACTAGAGACCACGACCGGCGCACCCGATGCGCCCGGTGTTGGTGTAGCATGGGAAATCGGGGCGTTTGGCCTTCCAGGAGACGGTACAGGTAGAATACTCATCGTCTCAATGTCTGATACAGTAACGACAACCGTGCGTCGCATGGTTCTTGTCTCGGTAGAGACGGATTTCGTTTCCGTACCATATGTGACCAGCTGGGTTGTCAAGTATGTTATCACGATCGTCGTTACTTCAGGGCCAGCATTTGCATTGCTTCCCATTCCGGTTGGCACAATAGGAGGGATCTCTCGTGTCTGATCTGGGACGACTCCTGCAGCCGCATTGCCAGTCGCCTGGGTTGCATTGGTACCAGTACCAGTACCGGTGACGGTGACGGTGACATGGACGGGCACAGTCAATGTGACTGTGTTTTCACCATTTGTACCACAGCCGTCGCATTCAACAACCTTCGTCGCCATTGGTGGCTGAATCAAGGTGGGAGTGTCGCAGTAGTCACACAGTGAGTAGCTCATGGTGACGATACTTTCTTGAGGTACAAGTGATCCAGGGTTCGATGGGAGCACTGTGAAGAAAGTGACCGTGCTTGTGACAACTGTCCGGTCAGTGTCAGGGATAGCCTGTGTTGCTTCAAGAACCTCGCCATCAGAAAAAGTGCTGAAAACCACAGCGTCCGTATCAGTGCCAGCTACAACGTCGGTAACTGTAGCGGTATCGGCAACCACTCTGTTATTAGTAGCCGCGGGCAGGTCATCACTTGAACCAGCCTGGCCATTTGTAGTCCGTTGAGCTGAATCTCCTGCTTGGCTATCGGATTCGGTTGAGCGATTTGCTCCATCAGCAGGCGAGTTGCCTTGGCCACTTCCACCAGTTGGACTTGATGAGCCACCAGCGGCAGTTCCATCAACACCGGGGCCCATGCCAGGTGGGACGTCAGGCTGTCCAGCGTCGCTGGTGTCGGCATAAACTGTGAGTAGGATGTTGTTGGGAGCGTCTCGGCGGAGAGGAATGCTCCGTTTAGACCTTTGAGAGACCATGCCACCACAGAATTGATCGTCGTTTCCAGGACAAGGGCGATTGCATGAAGACTCGTTGCGCAAAGCACGGGTATCGGCGTCAAGCTTGGAGGCGCAATAGCAGGTTCTATGGAAATAGTCAGTTGAATGTCGCTTTGGGTTTCGATTTGAGCCACTCACCCTTCAAAGAGACCGATATAAGTCAGGCCGTTGCAAGCTTCAATGCACTTCTCAATAGTCATATCGTCGCTCTCAGCTTTCTCATTGAAAGTCTGGAATCCAGTCTGCGATCCAAAACAGCCAAGATATGCATAATCATCAATCTTAGCTGGGTTGACTGAGCTTCCGCCCGTAGCAACAGGCAGAGAGCTAACAGTTGCACTATTGGTTCCAGAGCCAGGAATTGTCACCTCGACAGAAGAGATGCCTGCCAAGGTAGTTGTAGCTGTGGGCTCTGCTGTTGCGGATGCGTCTTCCTTAGGCCGGGGACGAGTGACGATGGCGGTGCTGTTCGGGAATCTAGTGTTTCCTGAGATTGGAGTGTTGGGGCCAGGAGTGCTAGCTGAAGGGATGGAGATCTCAGTAGGTGCCTCACTGGTTGATGATGGGACAACAGGCGGGACGTCTCCTCCCAGGCGAGTGTAGACATCGATGTAGCTGACATCAAAATAGGCGTCTTGGAAATCCAGAGGGTTATTTGCAACATATTCACGACAAGTTGGGGCGAGAGCTCGACAAGTTTCAGAACTTCCCCAGGTTCCCTCACCATAATCGCCGCAAAAGTTCTAGACAAGTTAGTTGGTTCAAGATTCTCCGGTTATTGTCGTAGGGGCCACTTACAATATTCAGAACAATCCTCATATCATTGAAATATTCGTCGACATTGCACTTTGAACCACCAAACAAACTCTGAGGAAGTCCCCATTTCCTAGGATCAGGTCGTTTGGCTTCGATATCAGCCGGAATTGCGCCTCGTGGGAAGTGCCAGATCGAGATGTACTCTGAGTCCCACTCCATAGCATATACACCACCGCCGACAGCGTTGAAGCCATCACCGTAAGAAGAAGTGTCACTAGCGGGTGGGGTGAAGCCACATCCAACATTATCTGTACCAACAGCACAGTCCAGGCTCTGAGGGTTTCCAGAGAAGAGATTCGAGTCTGCGGGGTCTAGCATGCAGCCATCGGCCGTGTGTGCAGACATGATATTAGTGTAAGCCAAGTTGGCGCCCTCAAGGATATCAACTTCGCCATTGTTGGGCCAGTTGGCACCATATGCCCAGACTATATCCACCATGTTAGTTCATCTTCTACTCGAGAGATAGATTAGAAGATCATACAGGCTGGCCAAGTACCACATTGTGAAATAGGCATGTGTTGGAAATCTGCGATGAATAATCCATACTGGTAGGACTCCTTGCTTTCAAGTCGAATACTGGGTCTTCCTTCGTTCAGACCAAATTTTCTAGCGGAGTCGGGTCTAAGTCGAACAGTATTACTGAAAGGATCCACGGAGTATAAGCCATATTGCTCAGCGCCCTCTAGGTCTTGATATCTGCCATGGTATTAGTAACGAAAAAAGCTCGAGACGGATGAGTCTTTCTCACTGTACGAATCCATTCGAAAGATCACGGCCATTGAACCAGTCGAAACCAGAGATGAGAGAGTCTCCTAAGAAGGAGGTGGTTAATGAGTATGCCATCGTAGCTCACGACGGATACGGGGACAAAAGACAAAAGTAGAAGAGTTGTCTGAAGAGGATGAGTCGTTGCATCTCGAAAAGCCGCGGGCAGCAGTTCGTCTTTTAATTCTTTACGGTCCATTGCCTTACACGGCGAGCACCACCCGCATATGGAATTCGGTAGTGGTTGGCAAACGTCTGAAAGCATACGCATTCGAGGTAGTCAAGAAGTTGTGACGCTATTCTAAGACACCACGAGATTCTACGCTGAGCCAATAGCATCATGAGGGGCACGCTGGAGAGAATGCAATGCTTTCCATCAACTGTGCATTGTCTGCAGGCTGGGATCGCATTTCGCCTTAGAGAGCATGACGTTGATCTCTTTGTGCGCCATCTTATACATTCCATTTCATTGACTCTCTGGCCAGAGTGTGGCTGGCCTCTGAATCGCCTCAAGGCGGCGGAGACTAAAGTGAGACATTGAGCGGTTGGCGTCGATGATAGCGTGTCGACGCAGGTAAATCAGACGTTGAGTGAAACATGGAGACGCGCATGCATTCCAAAGTCGAGAGATGCAATTACGATAATGAACCGCATTGAGATGTAGTGAAGCTGCTTCAATTAAAAGGGTGAGACATCCAAGTCTCCTGGGTATCGAAAATTGCACGCCAACACTTAGAAAATCTCCAACTCGACGCATGCAGTAACTTATACTGTAAATGTCGACTTCTCTATACCATTATCCGCCTTAAGCCTTCAGTTCCACCCAGAACCCTTCTGCCTGTCACTGCGCATCTCCCTTGACCACTCTCCCACTTACCCTCGCGCGAATCCATAAAATCCTCTTGTTTCTGATGCTGGCCCTCGATCCATTTGTGGATACATGTATAGCAATAAACGACGCCGGTTTGACAGGCTGTTGGAGTGACGATCTCATCGACGCAAATAGGGCACAATGCCGAATCGCTTGGAAATGGAATTGTGTAGACAGGGAGCAACGAGGGAGTGGCGATGGGCGCATCTTCTGCTGAAGGGATTGAGTCTCCCTCGTTTGACTCCTCTTTCTTCGCTTCTGGCTTCTTCTTGCTGGAGCCTCCCTTGCCATCTGCCGAAATCACAGGCGGGGGCAAATCAACACTTTCAGTCGCTTTTCGTGAAAGTTGCTTCGCAAAATCCGACTGATACCACCATTCCAAAAACTTGAGGGCAAAGATACTTGTCGGTAGCAAAACCGACAAGCTTGACAATATCCGTGGGCCCATTTCACGGGGGTTCAACAACGACCGCCACCCAGGTCTGTGTCCTGTCTCGGGTGTCTGTGTCAAAGCCTCAATGGCCTTATAGTCTGCCCCGGACATTCTTCGAATACGTGTTCCTATCAGCCACAAGAGAGGGCTGTGATACTTGCTCCCGTCGAAGAGGTACGCCACATTGAAAGCAAGCATGGCAAAGTAATAGCCGGCATTGACGCTCGGGTATATGTTCCTGAGGAACCATCGGTAATAGTATAGGAATCGGTCGCGAAGAGTCGGGTTTTCTGGCATTCGCGTGTATGCCGCACCGAGAAGAGCTCTTGGCGCATTCACCTCGTAGCTCTCGTCAAGCTTCCGTTTCAGGTAAGGGATGCCGACAATGACGAGCAGATTCTTCCAGACGTCCCGGGTCGTGAGTTTCAATGTCTCGCGCACAATATCGGGTGATGACATGCTCGCGCGTGGCACTTCGGCATGGAGGCCCTTTTCGCGCTTGAGGCCATAGAAGTTCTCTGTAAAGGAGCCGCCTCGGGTGCGCAGGTAATGCCGCTCAACGAGCAGCATAACACCAGCGTATATCTCATCGAACGAGTTTAGTATTCTTAGGAGATACCGTGGGTGTCGATGCGTCGCGATGGTAAGTAGGTAGCGGAGGGTCGGCGGGAGGAGGGCGTTGAGCTGTTGCTCAGAAAGTACTTCGAAGAGAGACGGCTTCTGTTCGTCGAAGGTGCCCCGAAGGGCTGTGACGAACTCCATTGCCTCTAGGATGTGCCTGGAGGATACGGAGGATGGGTAGAATA